TCTATTTCTCATTGCCTTCAGATCTAAACCTTCAAAATCAACAACCTTCATATCCACCAAAATCAGCAACCTTCAAAGTAGATTTTTAATAATCCGGCCTGATTTTCAGTTGCATTGGGTCAAAAGGGTATGATTTTTAATTGACTTATGTTACTTACAGTTTCTGGCTCAATTGACTGATGGAATATTGTACTTGGGATTTTTTTGTCAGTTTATGATATGTCATTCAGAATTTTTGTGTTTATAATATGATGTAAATCAGCAAGTTTGTTGTTGCCAAGTTCTGTATTATTCTATGTGGGTGTTTGGATGATTGAGTTTTCTTAGACAGGGCCTTACGAGATAACCACAATGTGGACTATGGTTATAAAGTTTGCTCTTCTGCCTTGGAAACCTGAATTAGTCTTCAACGGCACTTCTGTCATGGTCATCAATCCTGAAACCAAGAAATTCTGCAGCCATATGGTATGATTTTTACTGCCTGTTGTAGCATTAATTTACAGCCCAATTTAATGCTTATTTAATATTTTGTTTGTTATAATCGATAGGACTACTGGGATTCCATATCAAACCAGGACTATTTCTCTTTGGAAAGACTCTTGGATGTGATAAAGCAAGTATGTATTCTCCTTACATTACTCTGTCGCAATATGTCTATTTTGAATTCCTTGGAAGGTTAGGTTTTGCATAGAGTTTGAAGACATTGTTTGTGATTGTAACAGTTGCGAATCTACGGGACTCCTGATTTAGAATCCCCAAAATATAAGATACAGAAAAGAATTGCTACTTATGAGCTTTGGTGTTGTTTCCATGTTTAAGCATCTTTATGTTACACTTGCATTTGAATCGGGATTTGTTTCCTTACTCTTATCTGAATCTAGGATATGTTTTCTTCCTTTCACCTCCATTCAAAATACAGTGGCAGAAAATTTTCAGAAGCTCGAATCTTTATGTTCAAATTTCATTAATGCCATCTTCATATAGAAGTAAGTCTTCATTGGCTGACAAAATTTTCTTCTCCTAGTATAGGTGAGGCAGTATGATCCTTTTATAGTTGTAGAAACTGATGGCGATAAATTTTTGTAATAAGGTGAGAAACCAAACAACTCCAAATGATTGTGAATTTTCTTACTTTTTTTTTTACTTTTGAGTTTGTAAATTTTTTACTACAATTGAATTGGTAATTATATGATTGTGAGTATTATTCTTGATATAAATTTTCTTTTTATGATTTTTTTTTTCCCAATGAAGTTAAATTTGATTGGATATGATGATACTACATCAATCACGCAGAAAATTAAATTTGCCAAAGATCAAGGTCTTGCAGGTTATTTTTGATGTGTTTAAAGAGTTAACTTGGCTATTTCATTATGCTCATCTTCACAATGTGTCTGCGCGCGCGCGTGCTTTTGCATGTATATCTAAAATATTTTTGGATTTATGAGTGGAATAGAGTTTTTCTCCTCCCTTCTCTGTTGTTGTTGTTGATGATGATGTAATAAGAAAGAAATTTATTTTTCTTTCAAGTTTGAGAGTTTTCTGGGTAAGATGTCATCTTTTGATGCTTTAGAGTGGGTTAAAAATTTCAAAAGAGGTGTTGTTTTGTTTCTATTTATGGTTGGGCCATTGATATTCAGATGAGAAAGCTGAGATCTTCAATTTGTGTGTTCAGTAAAGAGGATGTGGAAAATTTATCGAAGAAGGCCAAGGAGGGATTCAATTTTGAGGGGAGGACTTGTGTGCACCATTAATTATACATGTATTTCTACTCTATGAGCACTATTTTAAGGTAATTTTCAATTCACAAAGTCTATACATTCATTTTTGTGTTTTGTCTCTTTGATATGTTAAAGCCTTTCGTTAGAAGCTTGATTCAAGTGTATTATCTTCTTTCCATTTTCAGGTTTATTTTGATAACAAAAGAATGATTTGATTAGGATTATCTTATAAAGTTCATTTGTTTATTGAAGTAGATTCTTTCTTGAAGTTTTCGCGTTATTCAGACCAATCAAGGAAGGAGAACCTTTCTCCTATGATGGAGCATGAGAGAAATGGTAATATGACTGTAGATTATGAATGTTATCAAAAATCCGTTGATACATCACTTTCTATTGCATATGACCTGATTTAGGTAATAAATTCCATTATTTGGCACCAAATAGGCAAATATCTTGATTGGGACATGAGGGAGTTAATAAATACTTCCTATATTCTCTCTCTCTATGTATGCTGACAGTAACATACGTTCTCCACTCGGAGCTATTGGATTTCCTAAAAACTCATCCTTAGGTAACGTTCTCCTCTTAGTTTAGTACTTATTTGAATTCCGTTGTTTATGTGATTGTTCTTTTATCATGTCACATGGGTCATTCAAATTTGTGATTGCTTGGACTTCACTATTTATTTATGTAATTGTTCTTTTATCATGTCAGAGGGGTCAAATATATTGTTAGGATTGAACTAAGATGAAAAACAACACAAGAACGATGAAGAAGCTACAAAAAAAGCTGCAAGACTACTGCAGGTAATCATCTCCATGTTAATTGCTGCGCACGAATAGATGCTTGATTATGTTGACTATTTTTCTTCCTAAAAAGTGTCTTAACTGTGGTTGAATCTACTGTATTTTGCAATATTTTCTGTCTTCGCTTGGTTGAGATACAAATAAAAACATGTTGAGTTTTGATGGACATATAATCTACCGGTTTAACTCGAGAAAATATGAAAGTGATTCTCATAATTAACAAACTGAAATTCTTGACACCGCGCATCTACGATGTAGTAGAATTGACCATAGAAATGAGTCCTTCTCAGATACTAAGACAGGGAGGTGCCAATTTTAGGTATGTATATATTATAGATTCATGGAGTAACATGTGGGAGAGTATTACAAATCTGGGTTGCTGCATAAGTTTGGGCAATATTCAATGAATATTCTATTGACATTTTCTTTACTGTTGCAGATCCACTTATTCATAATGACATTGGCTGACTATAGACGAGTTTTCTGTAGTTGATACGAAGACCATATATGATATATTTTGGAAGCTGGATTGTTAGCTTAAGGGAGCAAGGTATGAAGGTTACACATGCAAATTTCAAGACGGCGAGAGAAAAGATAATGTTCAAGACGATATAGCAGCTGAACGGATTAGGCTTTACTTTCATTCGGGTATCATTTTCGCGTCGAGTTATAGAAGGATAGAGTGAACTTTAAATTGACTGCTTTGTAATAGCATAGATATTTTTCACTAAATACAGGTACCATCTTTGATGACTGGAGTTTTAGTGCAAGACTCTTGCGATAGGTGTGCAAATGTGTAGCTATTTTTTTTTTAAATCAGTATTTCAATTATCTATTAACACAAAATTGAAGTAGAGGAACACAAGATTGAAGGAGAAGGTGTCTGCCCGGGCCAAAAATCTAGTGTGTATATATATAAGTGTGTATATATATATATATATATATATATATGGTGGTGTTTTTCTTCTACTGATTTTGTGACACTTTTTGACTTGGTAGTAAATATATATTTTATTTCCAAGTCTTTTTCTTAGTCCAATATCGTACCAATTTTACATCGAATTGTCAAAGTAAACAGAACTTGAAAATGCTCCAAATACGACCGGACAATAATTACATCGAATCGAGAAACATCATGGCGGATCAACTGCGGGAAACCAGTGCAAGTGAAAGCAACCCTTTTTGTCAAGAAAGTAATGACCTAAACCAATCACAAACATTAAGCAAAGATGAAGTAAATCTCGGAGCATATCATGCTTTAATAATAAAATATGTGTAATATAATAGTTCATTTTATTGAATCAGAACAAGTCGATCAGTGATACTCCCTCCATCCCAAAATTATTATCTAGTTTGGATTTTTATTTTTAGTTCAAATTATACTAAAAGTAAAAAATCAAAACTGGATAATAATTTTGGAAGAGAGAGAGAACACTACAGAATTAGTCCCAGAGCCTTCAAATCTGTGTGAACTTAGGACCAAAGTTAACATGACAATGCAAATTAAACGCTAACTACATGCGAGATTCTATTCCACCTAAATAATTATTAATTCAATAATGTAAAACATGTCGATCGTTCATGAGACAATCAAGAAGGGAAAATAAAGTGATTAAATCATTGTCACGACTTGTTATGATATTTACAAAATGAATTCGTATAAAGTATAAAGTGAGAGAAGAGATCACTCAACTGCCCATTTTGGTGATTGAACATTAACAATTGATCATCAACATCAAATGGAGAAGGAATCGGTCAACTCTTGCTTGAATAGAAATCATTATGAATGGTTACCTTGAAAACTTTAACTATATGGCTCAAGAGAAACTCAAAATTATAAATTAAAAAAGAAAGCCAAAAACAGTTAAGTAAGACCGAATGAGATGAAGAAGCTGTTCAAACAGTGTCAACCGAAAGTAACCGTCAATCAGCCTAAAAAGGAGAAACTACTCCTCTAGCTACCTCCCTGGATCCCTAAAGCAACACACCAGAAAGAATTCGTAGATTAATTCTTTCACAAAAGCAAGTAATTGGTTAGAGGATATGCTATTAATATCGCGATTGTGTCTTATGTTTTTATTTCAAATCAGCGAGTTTGAATATTATTCACGACATCATTAGATAACCTCATTCTCATCAACAATAATGTGTTTGAAGTCATTATTTTAATTAACACTTTCAATTTGACTTTATTATATTCGAATTGAATAAATATTTTGCGAGTATTTACAGTTAGTTATTCATCTATTTTTTTCATAATTGAACTCATGGATCTTGTATCACACACGGACCAAGTATTTGTTGGATAATAGTATTATCGTAATTTTCGTTTTTTTTTTTGAAGGCTGATAACTTATTTGGTAGATTTTAAAGCTTTATAGTAACAGTTCATTTGCACTTTTCATATACCTTTATGAAGTAAATATAAAACATAATAATGTAGATAGACAAGATGTTATTGGTTTAAAAACCCGAAAAAAGCAAGTGGACTAGGAAAGACTACATTTAATTAAGCTCCTAAAATGACTGTTTCTTTAGGCATAAAAAATAGCTAAAGAGGACCAATTTTTATTAGGGCCCCCCGACCACATTTGTCTCATTTTCCACTGCCTCATGTCCCTTAGAACATGGAGGAAATTATGGCATCCTTGCCTAATATAAGTTGTCCTCCTTTTCCCTCCTTCCTTCCCCCCAATTCCTACTTCTCTCCCTCTTCTTTTATGCTATAACCTCGTAGAAAAAACCTCTCAACAAACCAAACCAACACTACACAATACACAATACTCATAGCCTTTTTAGCTTTCATGTGCCACAGAAAAAATGCCCATCATTTTACAAGTGATGTTTGATTAACCAAGAAGGAAAGAAGAAAACTTTATTCAATATTTATATATAGACACAATTTTATGTAAAATCCACAACCCTTTTGGAAAACCTTTTATTGTTGAAGAGAAAAGAAGAAGAAGGGAAAAAGAAAAATGGACATTGAGTTAGCAAAGTGTGATTGTTGTGGATTGAAGGAAGATTGCACTCAAGAATACATAAGTGAAGTGAAGGCAAATTTCAATGGGAAATGGCTATGTGGGCTGTGTTCAGAAGCTGTGAGAGATGAAGTGAATAGAGGGAAGAAGCAACTGTCTGGTATTGATGATGCTTTGAAGGCTCATATGGCTTTTTGTAGGAAATATAAAGGCAATCCAGCTACAAGAGTTGCTGATGGGATGAGGCAGATGTTAAGAAGAAGATCAAGTGATTTAACATCATCATCATCCTCAAACTCTTCTTCTGGTAAGAAGTATTCAAGATCAACTAGCACATCCCAAGTAGGAGATGAATCATCTTTTTCTTGTTACTAGAGAGAAGATATAATATTGAAGGTATGGAAAATTACCTTCTTCTTTTTTTCTCCATTCACAAAAAAAAAAAAGAAAAAAGAAAGAAATGGTCAATTTGCTCAAATTGATCCTGTCACTTTATTTTGTACAGAGGATGTTATTACTTTCAAAGTTGGAGGCTCTCTTTAATTAGCTTTATTTTAATCCTTACTTAACATCCCATCATTCAACATTATAAATCTTCATTATAAATTAGCTTTAATTTGTGCATGGAGAAATTTCAATAATTCCATCATCTTCATCATGGGAAGCAATACAAAGGTAACTATGATATTTGTAATGATCATATTTATGGGTGATTTTTTAGTTAACTACGATCAAAGGAGTCGGCCAACTCTGTGATCAACTGAAATCACTTATTTTAGAGATGCTTTGGCAAAAACCCTATCTTTGAAAATGAGTTTTTTTTTTTTTTTCTGGAAAGTTCTGGTGGAAGTGAGAAAAAATAAGAAACTCTTGTTACATGATTACGAGCGTGTGAAGTGGTAGCAACAGAAGTTGAAGCGTAAGCATCAGAACTTGGGAAAATCAAGTGTTTGAAAATGGTGTATTAAAATACTACATTATCAAGTCAAATATCCCACTAGGTCTAAAAGGTAACTTTAGTAATACTCAATTTGCTTCAATTATTCTAATGATTTTTTTTTTAATAATTTCATGCTCAAATGGTAGTTGTGCGATGGAAAACGAAGTTTTTTTTTTTTTTTTCCTTTACAAAAATCATATTAGTGATTTTCTATCGATGTAATCAATGTTTACTACATAGCAAAACTTGATTTTATGATCTAAATGACAAGCACTAGATGGACAAATAATCAGCCAACTGACCCAATGAAATTGATACCTTTTACCTTTCTTAGGAGAATTAGTTCAACAACTTGGTTATAATATCATAAAAAGAACGCAAAAGAGCTCCAAGTAAAGTAGTGATCTACTAGGGAGACCAACTAATCCATACTATTTAATTAAAATTTGGTAAGGATATATTGCATTTTAAATTAATCATGACTTTTCTTTTTTGTATTACTACTATCACTTTGGGACGAAAAGCGTAATTTTTCATTGAACGAGCAGTGGCCCTCAACATTCGAATCTCTTCTGGTGCTTCACAAAGCAACATGTCAATATGTATCAAGTGATTCCTCATTTTTGTCCTTAATTCCAGTACAAAAACAAAGTAAACGTTGTGAGGAAACTTCAGGGGTTTCAAAAAATGACCAAAAAAAACTTTCAATTTTTGGGGTTTGACATGATCCTAAAGAACATGTATAATGTGGCATCTCGATGATATCAAATGATTGAGATTGTTGTTCCCACTGACCTAAACCAAATGGACCATACCTTAAATGTTAAGGCCCCTACCTGCTTCTTCTTGACAACAAATGAAATATAAGAGAAGGGGGAAAAAAAAAGAAAAAAAGAAAAACAGAAGTAACAATGAAATGAAGAGAAGAGAATTGTTCGATCCATCAATATGTCATACTATAATCCATCCACATATATATATATATATATATATATATATATATGTATGTATATAGTGTCGTTTATTTCAGAAAACAGTCGACTTTAATTAGTTCATCAACATACGTAGGTTATATTTTTTGATATTAAAAAGTTACATTAGAATATGTCTATCCTTAGGGACAATCGTTAGTAAAAATATTAACTTCTTTTTTTTTTTTTTTTTTGGTTCTTAAGGAATCTTGAAATTTGAAAATGAGCAGCTTGGACCTAAACACTCAAGTGTAGCTAAAGAGGAGAGTATAAAGAAAAGAGATGAAACGAGTTAATTTTCACTTTTCGGCTAATTTTCGCATGTATTATAAGACAACTAATTAGCCAAGTGGGGCAAATTATCGACGTGGTACTAATTGAAACCCCTCAAGACAAGTATTCTTAATTGAAGAAAATAAATTAAAGAATATTAGTAACACAAAACTGACCACTTAAACTTTATGTAGGATATGGGTTTGAGCTCGAGCGTGTAATATCGATCTATTAACAAAGGTTTGATGGATTAAAACCAAAAGTAATTTAACTTTATACCTACCAAGCTTGATGTTGATATGAAATCACATATCATAATAAACACATCGACTAATTTTGGGATGAAACAAGTATTATTAGTTATTTCAGAATGAGAAATGAAACAAAGAATTAACACGTTCTCAATGAACACCGAATACTCTAACTTATTCTACTTTAACTTAATTAGAAGTTGTGAGATTAATACACATAAATATCGATCAACTGATCATTTACATATCAACAACTACAAAAGAGATGTTCGAATCTTCCTGCTCTCTAGTCTTTTCAAGAGATAACATAATTAGTGAGGATATCTAACACATTCTTACACTTGTTTAGTTGACAATCATACAAGAAAATAATGTCAATCCATTTTGATTTCAAGAAAATGAACTAAATTATCTAATACACACGGTATGATCAGTTCTACAAATATGATTCTTTCTGGAAATAATATATGTATAAAGTGTACGGAACTTCTTATGAATCGTGAAACTAATCGCCACTTAGTAACTCACACTGACAATTAATTGGTTTAGAATTACTACTCCTTTCTCCCAAATAATAGTACATATATACTTATTCTTTCTGCTAAAAAGTCATCCGAGAACGAAAAGATCATCCGAGAAGGCAATGGATGAGATCTATATATCACCAAATTCGCAGGCCAATCAATGCAGTGTGATAAATTCGGTTGGAATTTTCTTTTATTAATAACTAAGTACCTTATACCCCGGGCTAAAGGGAACAATGTTATATGTTGTTATATATCTTGACTCCTTTTTGATATTATTATTATTCTATATTCTGTATTGTATTGTTACCTGGTCGATAAGGACCGTGTTGTTTTCAATCAAATTAGTAGGATTTATATATCTATTTTTAGAATTTTTGGAGATTTTGCTAAATTAGTGCAAGGATTGGTTTCCCAGGTAGCTCATCAGCATTTGACTCGTGTCCATTATGTTTGACCAACAGGAACAATATGGCTCCTTATCCCTTGACTCTTGAAAGTCGAAAATATTTTGTTCGAAGGTTAACTAATGAATTCCTTTTATCAGGTGTTTTATAAGATTGTGTATTAATAATTACATCTCAAAATAATTGCCGGGTTTTTACGACAGAGGAAATAATTCTTACCATATGATGTACAGTATGTTACTTCATTTTGTCTATATTTGGAGAGAAAAAAAAAAAAAACTTTACCAAATAATTGGCTTGGTATCCTCTTTTCCTCCAATATTTTAGTTCCACTTCGAAATGATTTAAGCCTTGATACATCATGATGTTATTGTTTTAAATCTAAAAACATACATAGGTCTTTGATTTAAGGGTTTAGATCCCATTATTTTATTTTTTTTACATTAAAAGAGGACAAAGTCTAAAAATCTATACTATTACATTTTGTGAATGAAAACTCCCGATCAAGTCGTGTTATCATCACATAAATAAGATCAAGCATAACAAGAAAAAATCCAACCTTTCTATTTTGAATACAATCCATGACTTCCATATTTCAAATAACACCACAACACCACTCTTCAAAAACTCTTTGGGACTGTAGCTCCCAAAATTGTCTCATCATCCATTGCTGTAATATCATTAAGTGGACTATCATCACTTCCCCACCTAGCTAACGGATCCTCTAAAAAAGGATTCGACCGCCTGCTAGTTTGATTAACATCGACCATAAAATACTCGACATTATCGAACTTATTTGGGCTGTCCACAATCACAACATCTTGACGTTTAGTCGGATCAAGACCTGTTTTAACTGGAAATAACATCCCATCATTACAAAAACGAAAAAAAACAAAACCGCAGACTACGGCTTATTTTACCATTAGATTGGTATATAGATGAGACTATCTTGCCTTCCCTCATTCAGTATTTCCAAAATTTTACTCCTTCCGGTCCTAGTTAGGAAAATACTAATAGTACTCCTTTTTTCAATATTAGTTGAAAACTAAACATGATCCAAAGGGATACTTTAAGTGATAAATTTGTTTAAATATATAGCTTGTGAGATGGTAAGAGTTCTCGTTAAAAAAAATGATCACGTAAAAACACCACGTTATAATAATAGTAAAATGTGTTTTGGGAGTGTTTAAAAAAGAAGGTTATTCCCTCCTAGTAGTCTCCTACATCATAGTAAAGAAATTATAATTCTGTATTCTTCATTCACCTAATTTGCTAGCAGAAAACCCCTAGAAATCAAATGTTGGGCCGTTCACAAAATGTTCTCCAAAAGCCCAATAAAAAACTAGTTATTTGAAAAGCCCATTAATACAGAAACGCAGGCTCCCCCATTTATCAGTCGAAAATCTGACCGTTTCGTTCAAATTTTGAAACCCCAAACAAAAATCTTTCCTTTGGTCATCTCCTTCAGCAGGCCTCCGATCTGGCTGACAAAAAACGCCGAACACAAAAAATTCTAAACCAAGAATCATCATCCAAAATCCAAGAAACCAAAAGGGTTCATCAATTAAGGAATCAATAGCCATGAAATCTCTGGTTTTGACCCCGAATTCCTCCACAAAATCCTCCGCCTCCACCACCACGGCGACTTCCTCCGCCGCCAGTGTGGAATCTCAATCCGAAACCAGAGACAGTTTTTACTTTCCGGGTTGTAGAAAAGACGCTAATTGCAACTGCGAAATGTGCATAGAGAGCATGAATGCCACCCTCGATCTCATGCCCCAAAGCGGTTTTAGTTCTCTGACTAAATTCTCTGTTTCGAAACCTGTTCTTACAAGAAGCCCTGTCAAATTCAACCCTTCATTGCTTTCGACCCCGATTCCGGAATCAAAAAATCAAGCCCATAAGATGTCGCCGCCGCTTGATTCCAAAGCAAGATTGAGTTTCCAGAAAAGGGTTGATAAAAGGAAGAGAGAATTCCGATTTGGGGTTTCTGTGATGAGGTTTTTCCTAGCTGTTTGCTTGATTTTAGCGGCGGAATTTGGGTTTTCTTGGGTGGTTTCTGGGGTTTTTCAACCTCAGTTGTCCAAGGATATTGTGAGGAATCTAGCTGAGAAATCAAGGGTTTTGGGAAGCGTGAATGAAAGGGTATCTTTCTTGAACCAAGAATTATGGAGTCATGTTGATGAAGCTACATCAGATTGTCCTGCATCTGAGTGGAAAATTGTTCAGGTAATCACTAACTATTAGGTTGTTTTCTCTTTTGCAAGCTTAAAAATGTAATCTTGGTTTTATTTCATGGTTCTTGACTGCTCAAACAATTACAGATGAATTGTTGCGAGATTACTGAAAGATTGTTAATTTGTGAAAAATTTTGATAGGATGGCTTGCTTTTGAATTCGAGAAATGTGCTGTATAGCTCAATGACTGAGGAAGTGAGCATTTGGGGATGGCCATTGCAGACAGCTGGATTGCTCACAGCGGAATTTTCTTCAAGGTTATTCACCATCTTATCAGGAAGAGTCACTGAGGTAACTAATTACTTTGATCCTCCTTCTCCTTTAACTGTGAACAGATAAGGGCTAATAAGGCTAGTTGGAATTGAACAATTAGGTTACGACGAACTTGCTCATTCTGTCATTGATGTTCCTTTAAAGGAATCAAAATGCTAGTAGCTTTGCTTGGTGTTTAAAGTGTTAAAGATTTTCCTTTTCTTATTATTACAGTGGACAAATGGTGAGGTCGGTTATCTGATTCGGGAGAGCAATAGTTCATGGGTGCAAGGAAAATGGAGTGCATCTGCAGTTCAATTTGATCCAGATACATGGATTTTGGAATACAAACAGAGTCCCATGTTGGAGAATGCAAGATTGGTTTCAGCTACATTTGAATTCCTGAAATTTAGACTAGTCAGGGAACTCAAACATCTGCAGCAGGAGTTCTGGCTACTCTTTGCTTTTGGCAACCAGTTCAGTGATTTAATTGGGACTACCTCCAATGTTCCTACATAGGAATTGTTTAGTAAGAAGATACAGCAATCTCATTTCTTGTGAGAATTTTCTGTTGGCTCTTTTGTTCTGTGTTCATGAAGATCGAAAAATTACAGAAATTCTATCAAGATGCAGGTTTTGTTAGGTTTATGTCAATTTTCATGTTAATACTACGTAGAAACTTGTCGTGAAGGAATTGTAGTCCTAGTAGTAGAAAAGTTAGGAGACTGGTTCAAAATTACCTTTACTTTTGTACTTCCTTCAGTTGGAATCATGTACAAGCAAGTTGTAGAATCACCACAATTTTTTACAAGAGAAGGAACCATCCATTCAATGAGGAAAGTCCGCCCTATTTTCTCATATGGCAATGCTTCTCTTGAGTGCCATTGTGTTTCATAAATCTGTGGCAATTCTTAAAGATTTGGAAGTTCTTTATTGATGTGAATGCGCAACTTAGTATCATCCCTCATCTGCGCTCTTTTGTGCAAACCCACAATCTTACCTTCCGTTTCCTTTATATCAAGCAAAACAAACAGCCGCGCTTGAAGCATAACCTATGTCTTGAACTGCCAACCTTCTATCCAGCTTGGAAATAAGCTGATTGCCCCCAAATTTGCGCATCTGATTTTCTCACCTAGACTGTAAGTTCCTACGTGTTTCTTCCATAAATGCTGGATAAAAACTCATGAGCTCCGTCATGATTAGGATCCAACTTTAGAATCTTTTTTGCAGCAAACTCGCCTAGTTCAAATTCACCATGAGTACGGCAAGCAGCCATCAAGGATTCCCAGATAATGACATTGGGAGACAGGCATAGTGTACACATTCACGGGATTCTCTAAGAAGATTAGCCTGTCATAGGCATAGTTTGGGTGTGATTTTGTATTCGTTCACCATTGAGTTGAATATTTTTCTCCCTTCCTCAACAACTGGTACATGACTACAAACATAGAGCACGCCAATAATAAGGGCATTGTTTCGGGGCACAGTTTCTCCAAAACCATTCTGAACGATATTATAGCCGTGAATCTGTTTAGCTTGATCCAAATCACCTAGATTAGCACAAAATGGTAACTCGGAAAGGATTTATTCCATATCCATGCATTTTATACAGAGCTTGATAGCTTCTTGAGGTTGATCGGTCATTGCAGAGTCAGCAATCATCGCACTCCAGCATATCAAACATTTTTTTGCCATTCTGTCAAAAACCGAACGAGCAGCTTCAATAAGACCCGCTCCCGAGTACCAGCGCACTGTGGAAGTAGAGGCACAGCTAGCATACAAGTGGACAAGAGAACTCTGGTTACAAGAATCATTCTCAATATCATTGCCCATAAGAAACTTGTGGAAAACTTTCCCAATCTACAAGCTTTTACTTTTTGCACAGGTAGAAAATAGGGTTGAAAAAACCCTCTTAATGAGATCCAAATTGTACTTCTTCATTTATTCCACATGCACTAAAACATCATAGAAACGCTCCACTTTGACAAATGACAATATCTGTGTTACATGCACAGGATCAGAAGGCGTAAGCATCTATTAAAAAATAAGCACATTGTATAAGAACAAAGCGACAATATTATCACCAATCAGAAAATGAAACTCATAAGTCATAACCTAACAAATATCGCTTTGACTTCAAATAAGCTCGTTACACTACCAGAACTCAGAAAGACTACAATTAGATTTTAGACCAATAACAAACAGTTTTCCCAACCGAGTTGATATACAGGGTAAGGCTGCGTACATTTTAACCCCCCAGACCCAACCGAGTTGGGAATATACTGGGTTGTTGTTGTTGTAACTAACAGTTTTCCCAAGGAAAAAGATTAAGTCAAAGCAATTCATGCAACATTTAGGAATACCCTCACACATTACATGGAAAGAGACTAACTTTTGCTATACCATGTTTGTTTTAGCCAGCATGTATACCTTAACCATCAATCACTATAGTCCAAGGAACAACATCCTTCAGAGAAATTTTATCAAACACCATGCGACCCTCCTGAATTTGATTAAAAGAAGCATACATTCCCAAGTTTTGTGGCCAACTCGTGGACAGTTTTCCCCTTTTTTTTCTTAATAAAAATAAAATTAAAAAAAGATGACGATTTGGCCGCAGCCTTCGATTATGGAGGTAAACCAAATCTAATCAACTGAGGAAATTCCGAGCTGAAATATATTTTGGCCCGCGAATTTTGAAATTGCCGTCTTATAAAGGTTTAAATATCACCTTTTTAGCCCTTCTATTTTTCCTATATTTCAATTTCGTTGATCAACTTCAAATAAACTCCAATTTCAATGTTCAATTTACTCATTTCTCAGCTCACTGTTAAGCAGCAAGGGCGGTTACAGAATCCAGAGAGAACTCTCGACTCCGTGCAGTAAACCTCTGATAAAAGTTCCGGGCGGCAAATTGTCAGAAACATCAATGGCGGAAGCCGTAATTGATGTTGAGAGAAATCTACGTGTGGTAAACCGCCCCTTTCCATGTTTTTTTTTTCCGATATGGGTTTCCGTCCTTGTCTACCTGTATGATGATGAATCATACAAAGAAATCAATCTGTTAAAAGACACGGTTTTTGTTCGTTCTGTACTAGAATTTATGTGAATTTTACTTGTGGGTTTTCTTGCTTTCCTTATAAAATGGTAATATTTTGGTTCTCCCAATACTTGGTTATGATGTTTTCATATTTGAAAATGGAGGTTTTGAAGTGTAATAATTTGGCAGGATCTACTGACAGCTCCAGAAGTGAGAGCGTTATTGGAATTAAGAGAGAAGACTGTGAGAGATTTGGTCATTGCTGCCACTGGCGGTGCTGTGGTCACTTTTTTTGGTAAATGCTTTTTTGTGCTTCTAAAGTTCTTTTGTGTTCGGTTATTTATTTGCAATATTGAGAATATTTGGTCTTTTGATCCCTTGATCGATGGTTGTTTCCAATTTGTTTGTATCAGTATCAGGGCTTTCTTTCCCGGCAGAGTAACATAATATGACTCCGTTTTAAGTTTCATTTTCAGTATCGTCATTGTTTGAAACTTCTGATATCTTGCCTGTGTTTAATTCTCTAATCTTTAGTACAAACTATCATTCAGATTTTGTGTACGCATTAGTATGTAGTCTGATTTGATGATAAATTTCATGCCACTTTGAATGGTCAGTGGTGCTTATTCTGCTTGCTAATTTTCCTTCCTCCGATGATATCTCTTCTGTCCATTTTCGTGTTAGCAAGCTGTATTTGAGTAACAGGGTGTGATTCTGATAATCTAAGATTTCATCCATGTGAGGGAAAATCCACTTCAGTGTATTCTTGCACTAAACTCAAACATAATGTATTACAATTCTATTTCTTTTGAACTATATTGTTCCCTTACTTTAATGGATGCGTCGTTTGCTTGTGCCTTTCCAAAACTTTAGTATTTATTTCCGCTTTCCATTCGTGCTATCCAATCCCGTTTGTGGTTTTATAGGTTTGTAGACTGATTGTAATTAATTGAAGCTTCTGACTTGAATGTTTCACTTGTTGCAGCCAGTCGGAAGTTTAATATTGTAAACCGTCTCTTGATAACCGGAGGTCTCTCTCCCAACCTCTCTCTCTCTCTCTCTCTATATATATATATATATATATATATATATGTATCTCACTCTCTTTCTGAGTAGATTATTGGAGAACATCCTTTAATTTTACATCATGTTGATCCTTTCGCTGTTGGACATTGAATAGTTACTGAGTTGGGGATTTTGTAGGACAAGTTTTATCTTCCTTGTTTTGGTATTACTGATTTTCCTATGTTTGAATTTGAACAGGAGCTTCCATTTCTTGTGGATATTGGTCAATTAACAAGTCACTAGATAGACACATTGACCGTTTGCTTTCTATGGATGGCACTTGGCTGCAGAAAGAGCTTTCAGCTTCGTAAGTTCCTTTTACTCCCAGATATGATAAGGTTGCATTTTCTCCCAGCACTTGGAAAAATCAAGTTTGAGTAAAACGATGTTCTTTCATCATAATTAATAAAATCAGAACTGTAAAATAGTCCCTTCATGATTCATGGAAGTTCAGAGGTCTTTCAGTTGTTCGCCCTTTATCAATTTGTTTTCTCAGGAAAAAACTCAGCTTTTCCTTTTCTTGGGTGGCAGATATTTCTTAGGGTAGAGGGTGAATCTCAAACCTAATTGAGTTTCATGTGACACTAAAATATAACCTCATTCTTCATATGAAATGTGGACCCTGGAACTTCCACATTTGCTCTTGTATTTATATGGATCTGCGGTGATGGATGGAAGGGCAGGACTGTTGAACTTCTAGTGATGCTGCTGCTAATTTCTACTGCATAATACTTCTTATATTTTTGGGTTCTTTTTCCTCAAACTTTGAATCTCTGCTGAGGTTCCGGCAATAAGAAGTTGGGAGTTGGAGGAGAATTAAAAAAAATTGTTAATAATTGATCCTTACTTGAAAAATGACGAATAATGACCACCTGTTTATTTAGTGTGATGACCTGATCTGTCATGTTCTGTTCATCCTTCGCCATGGATGAGATTGATATTCATTTAGTCATGCTTCTTGCTTATCTTCATGTTCAACATCAGCATACCCAGAATTCTCCCATCCAAGTTGGGGTCTGGGGAGTGAGTTGTACGCAGCCTTACCCTTGTAATTACACAGAGGCCGTTTCCGTTGTGACCAAAGGTCATGCTAATCTTCATGTTGTCGAGGATTTTTCCACGAGTTTGTTGGTGTTTTTATCTGACAAGGGTTCCATTTTTTTGTTACTGCATTTGTTTTGTCTCGTTTGGGTGATGCTATATGTTCTCATGGCAGGTTGTTGAGAAGGTATCATAATAACCCAAGAATTATGAATCGCTTTTCTAAACATTTTTATGCCGAGAAGGTGTATGATGATTCATCGGACATACCAAAGTTCAGATGGCGTCCTCGGTATGTCTACGAAGATGATGCTGGTAATTCTGAAGACGCAACAGACACTCGTGATTCTGCTAGCTACAAATCTGCTCAGAAGAGGGTAGTAACGAAGGAAGCTAAATCAGTCTCAAAGCCAGCTCAAGTGAGTTTACTGCCCTTTCCAGTCGGGTAAATTTGTGATCTTTATTGTTCTTTTTGTATTATTTCTGTTTATCTTTCTCCATCCTGATTCTGTGATGTCAATTGTTACAGATAAATACTGCTGTTGAACTTATAGAGAACCCATTCGAATGCATTTTTGGGCCTCCTGTGGGAATTGAACAGGTTCTCAGCAGTGGGGCATCCAATATTTCTCGCTCTGGTCCCGGACCATCCAACACGGCACGAAAGAGGCATACTCACAGCAACAAGCGACATCACCATCGAAGGCATCGGAAGAACCACTTCGAGGCCTATGAGACGTGAACTAATGACCTCTCTGATTGACAAGAGACGTTTGATGGTGTTTTACTTAAGACTGCCCTGCTGCAAAACTCTTCTAGGAGTAAAATGAAGATCGTCAACGTCACCAGTTTCAGATGAGTTCATCAAGCAGATCCTAGTGTTATTATGTTGCTGAAGCTCCCAATGTTGAATCCTTTGCTCTGTTTAGTAGCCCTAAGTCTTTCCGATGGTAGCTGAATTTGTACATGCACATGCTAATTGTGGAGAAATGTGTTTTTTGTATTTTGGGACAACACATCCGACTATTTGCAATCCACATAATCCACTTCTCCAGAATAACATTTCTAGTCCTATGAGTTGATAGATTTTGTTTGCGTAATTTGCCTTTTTCTCTCTTTTTTGTCATTTTTTTTTTCGCGTTTGGATTTACACAACTACAGCCTATAATTAATATAGTTAACTTCATGTTGTGGCATAAAGGCTTGTGCTTAGTTGTTGGATAGTCTTTTTGTGAACACTTTTACTCTGTAATCAAGAACTTTCTTTTGACCTGCTCAAGTTTTAGGAAGGGGAATTTATCCTTATTCCCGAGTCAAAATTCTCACAAAAAAGAATCCGAGAAAGAAGATCAGATAAAAGCTTCCTTAACTTTTCTGTGACATAAAAATTTGTATTCGTCAATATATATATAGCATTTTAATTCACCATCTTTGCAAATTTTAACTTTGCAATGACATTTTTTTTTACCTTATCTTGATTATCGGAGGATTCTTTTATTTTCAATCTTCCTTTTTTCTGTAAATACTCTACCTCACATGAAAAAAAGGGGACAAAACGCATATGTAAATTCCTTCCCCTGAATTTTGTTCATCTAGAATCTTTCAGTTTCTTTTCTTAATAGGCCAATAACTAAAAATCACAAAAAGTGTATTAGGGGTTTCAAATTCTTTTGGTAATCTTGAATAAGAAGGCTTCATTTCAAAGCCATTGATATTGTTTATGGTTCAACCATTTTGCCACCCCAAGAATCTTAATCTTATCAGGATCATCTTGATCTTGATATTATTATTCCATTTTCCACCATTGTCAGCCCTACAAATCTCTACATCCATGAGGGTTTATCCTCTACCAAGCAAGAGAAACCTGAGACTGATGGAGAGTTTCGATTCTTCAATGAATGGAAATCCTCCTCTCAAGAAACTTAGAAAACTTCCTCACGTTTTTGGCAAGGTCCTAGAATTGCCCTTTAGATCAGATGCTGATGTTCTTGTTGAGGATTGCTCAGAAAACATCCGTTTCATCGCCAAAATTGATGTTGATGGCGAAGATCTTGTTAACGAGATGAAGGTTCGTGCCGTGGAGATTCATCCTGGGGTTACAAAGATTGTAGTGAGGAAAGGTGATCCTGGAGAAGTAGACTTGTTGCTTGAAAGATTGAACATAGATACATGGCGGTTTAGACTGCCGCGTTCAGCCCAGCCGGACATGGCTTCTATCGTTCTTGTGGATGAAAAGCTCATTGTCACGGTGCCTAAAGGTGATCATAGAGGCTTCGGCGATGGAAGCAACACCTGGCGAGGCGATAGCCGGCTTGTTCTTGTTCAATAGATCGTGGTTGCGGCTAAATGTTTCGAAAAGGAATGAAAATGATGATGAGCTGAAAGGCTTGACATAGAAATGCTTTTCCAAAGCTCGTTTAAATTGAATGTTTTCGATTTGATCACGTGTTATGTTGATGTAGTGATCAGAAAGAGTCTAGTACATGTCAATCTTCATTTTGTATTGACAGAAGATGTCCATAGAAGTAGGAGTTTTCTTCTTTGTTTTTTTTCTCTCCTATCTCCAACTTTCTTCCTTTTTCCCAAAATAATTATTTCGAGGCAGAGGGAGTACATATAATTTGTATGTTCATGAAGGGTAACGCTCGATGTAGAAATCTGTTTGGAATAATTTGCCATAATTTTTTCATAAAAAGATCTTGTTGCCTGTTGAGACAATACTGTAAAGCACAAAAGACATAAAAACTAGAGCAAGATCACGCATGTATTCAGATCTTAATAGTGCAACAAGCGAACTAAATCACAGTGGAAAGAGTCCTTGCTTTTTTTGGTCAGAAGAAATTGACAATCACCCCACAACTACTTCAAAGAGGAAGAGTGGAAAGAATTGGCAGCCTCCTTACGCAGATTTTTTTTCCCCTTACTTTATTTCCTTCCTGCAAGACGCCTCAGACGCTCAGTAGTCATACCTGTCACCATTGCTTAAAGCGCAACTTGTATAAAAAACTCGAAAATTCACGCAGAATGCAGCAAAAAAACAAGTAAATTGAATGTAAAAATGAGGCAGACATCGATGTTGGCCATTAAAGAATTCTTTGCATGTACTTTGAAATGTTTCCTAAAAGTACCAAAGAAATGCTCATCAAAGATGTAGGACGGGTGAGGGGAAAAATATATATAAAGGTACAAGCTACACAACTTGTGTACAGTTGTATGGACTATAGAAAAAACACAGAATGCCTATTGATTTTCAGTTTCTAAACCATAATGTTCCTTGAGAATTCTTCTGGGGGTTCTTCCAAACCCCTTTGATACAGCTTTCATCTCCTTGAGCTTCATCACCTCTTCTTTGATTTGTTCCACCCTGTTGAGGATAGCATCAATCAAAACCTCTGTGTTACCTGTAGAAGCTTGCTTTGAAAGTTCATGTCTTTCGTAGTTAAGCTGTTGATATAGATTATGAATACGGTCCTTCTGAGAATGAAGGATGTCCTCAGCAAGTCTGTATTCTGCTTCCTGTGACCTCTTTAATTCAAGTAGGATCTGATCGATTTCATCTTCCAGTACTATTGCTTCCACTCCGTGATTGAAAATCGAGGAGTTTACTGGAGGTGATCCGTCTACTGGAGGGCCCTCATAATTTACAATATCGGCGGCTCCATTTTCAGCAGGCGATATCTCCCCTATCATGCACAGAAACTAGATAAATTCAAAAGTTCCAAAACAAATTTAGTGGAATAAGGAACCAAAATAAAAGGAAAACTGCAGAAGGGCATTTGAATTTTGAAGTAAGACAATATGGTCATCTCATCCCTTAAAATAGGTAGATACTTCTAAGCCAGCTCAAAACTCCAACTGCCTACAAGCAATCCGTCCCAAGGCTCTATTCCCCGGTTTAAAACCCGGTTTAAGGAGGTGGGATACATTATGTTGATAGCCCGTGAAAAGATTTCTACTTTTTTCCATTAAGATCATGTAAGTTGGCAAGAGAATGTGTAAAAAGGAGAGTTTCTATAACATCGCGGAGTTCAACTGTGACAAACTTGACAATGACCAACCAATGAATCTTAAAACCCAAAAGAGACAAGAGTATCCGTACTCTACTGGGGATAAATTTAAGAAAAACAGAGGAGATGCTAAACATGGTCCCCGTACATAATCATTTCATTGGGGGCAGTACAGGGATTCTAATCAGGCTACCTACATCTGAAATTAACAACTTTTCACTATCAGTTTATATGATTTCTCTACAAACTCATTTACTTAAATCAGCTCATACAATCAAATTCTGCACATTTCAGTATTTCCAGATGTACATTTCAGTGTGATACAAGCTACAAATTGTTTAACAAATCAAATTACTCCAGCACATAAAAATCGACACAAATACCTGGGATATCTTCAAATCTGTCTTCCTCTTTCCAAATATCTTCGAAGTCTGCTCCATTTGTGAGCTGGTTTTTAGACAAATTGGTCAAGAGAGCACCTTAAATTTGCGAAGTTGGGCCAAGAAATACATAAATACACTAATAAGAAATACCTTTGAAAGTGCCGAAGAGACACGATCTAACAACTGCATTGCACTAGTTCTCCCAGAGCCCCGCAGAATGCATATGCCAACATTGAGAATCAGTTCAACAGCGTCACGGGATTCCATAGATTGACATACCTTAAGAAGTTTCCCAACATGAGAAACAAGGTCTGACCTTGAGTCACAACGCCGGCAGTAGTACTCGGCATCCAAACCAATACTTCCTCCTACTGTACCAGCCAAGTAAGCTCGGAGACCACAGTTAATATGCGCAACATGACCACAAATGGATCCATTTACTAATGCTTCACATCTGAAATAACTATAGCCACCATGATCTAAACTAATTCTCTTGCAACAGAGAATACAACAACAATCTCGGCAAAAATCAGGTTCACTACAGCAAATATCACAAAACATGACTTCCGCAGAATCATCACTTCCAAGTAAACTACTGCATGATCTACTACCAGCCTTGCAAGCTGCATCTCCCATAAGGAAATCAGAGGCCGATGTATCTGTTATTTCTCCAAAGGTTAGCATCCCGTCCTTATTATCTGCATCAATAGTGTTCATGTAAGAGCAGTCAGAAAATTAGGAAAAGAACTCAGTAGTATATTACTAGGTCAACTAGGGAATTTAAGTGGAAGCAAATCATATTAGATAAATCTGCATCAACATTTCACAGAACTAACCTGTCAATTCAGAGCGCCGGTGGTTTGAAGGGATCCTCCAACTAAATGAGGCAAAAAATGCATTAGCATCAGCGTTTGGGAATTTCGACCGAATAAACTGCTCAACTGATTGCTTACTTGCAAATCCTTGTTTCCTACGATTTACATCCCGAAGATTATTAGGAGGGTACAAATATCTATCCAAAAAGAACCCAGAAGCGGAAACCCTTTTTCCTACTCTCCAACTCCAATGATCACCAGGATTAGGGAAGTCCACGGGAGCATAAGGCAAACCCACACCTCCATCGCCAACAGAAACAGGATAAAGGTTAACACCATTGTCATTCTGATGATCAGACATGCTTTCACTACTGTCATCCAGACTGTCAATCTCCATCACGAGTGTCTTGAAGTGATACTCAAATCAACTCAACAACTACAAACATGGAACAGAATAAATTCAAAGATACTTCAGCAGGAGCCAGAGAATTGAGCAAATGCACAAGACATTCCAATTCAGAAAGTAAAGTAAACAGGTGAATCTCATATACCCTAAAAACAAGCTAAACCCAATTGATGTACATAATTCACTGATGCCCATCAGAAACAAAAAAAGATACAATAAAGGTTCAATACAACTTAATGCAGCTCAGTAAGTTTCATCTAAAAGACAGAATCTTGATACAAAAAATGGGTGTAAAACGAACAAAATCTAAAACCAAGATAGAATCTAAAACACAGAAGGCAAAAACACCAATCCAAGAAACATACACAAGGATTGAGTAGACCTGCAAGAATAAACTGAACAGAAAAAAGGGTACCAAACCTGATAAATTCCAGACGTAAAAATGGAAAGCGGGATGCTGATTCAACAGGGTATTACTTGGTTGAAGAAAATTACCATTCACAAAGAAACTCAAAAAAAAAAATGATGGATTTAAAAATGGAAAGAGGGAAAAAAGAAAAAAGGGCCTGAAGTTATAGTGAGAAGACTGTATAGAAGAATTACAGCGGGATTGAATTTATCTGATTCAAGAAAAAAAACCCCAGAACAGAACAGAACAGCCCAATACAAAAAAAAAATAAATAAATAAACAACCTTTCTTCTATTTCATCTAATGTTGACGTTCTTTGAGTCTGAGGTTTAACGAGTAACGGCAACTTTAATCATTCCTATTTGTGTCTCCAAACCCCTTCTATCTAATCCCGATTATGCCCTCCCGAATCTCCTTAGCATTTTCCCTAATTTTCTTCGACTAATTCCTTCTTGGTAGTAATCGGGTCAAGTATAGTGTTTACGGGTTGAAGGTTAAAAGGTTTAGGTCATATTATCGATATTACTACCTTGGTCCCAAACAAATAATGCACATTGAATTTTGAGATATGTACTAGTTTTAGTACAAATTTAAAAACTCAATATGAATTATTTTTTTGAGACGGAGGTTGTATATTACAGTTATTTTATGTCCAGATACAACTATAAAAAAAAGTTTTACATATATTTTTCTAAATTTCCCTCTTCACCTACCCATTAAGATTGGCAAATGCTTATAGGATTATTTTTGAATGATTCTTTTGGACATGCGTATCGGATTAAGTATAGTGTTAGCCGGTCGAAAGTTAAAATTTTTAGGTTATAACATCAACACAATAGTCGAATTTATAATAGTTTTTTTTTCCCTTTTGGTTTAATTTTATTTGATTCATAATTGCGAGCTTTGCAATGACAAGTCAAAACATAATTGCTATCAATGACAAGTCAAAACATAATTGCTATTAGTGACTAATGTCTAATGGCTAAACGAAAAATTGCAATTTCTAAAGCAAAATATAGACACAGTGTGCAACACTACTATATCAAGCGGATAACTTATTTTGGTTCAAATGTTCAATGCATTAGCTCCCCGAGCATGTCTGATAACTTCATCTTGCGGAAATCGAAGTTAAGAATTTAACTAATTTACAAACCTAGTCCTGGGGAAAAATCGATTAGACATTGATTCATATCCATTCCCAAGAGCTAGACCAGAGATCATCCTTCAAAACACAGTGGAGATTAGCATCTTCATAAGACAAAAGTCCAAGGCATCTAGTCAATTACAACTACTAAAAAGAAGGCATCTTGGAATGTAAAAATACATGATCAAAAGGAGAAGCCTTCAAGGGGAGCAAATTTGGCTTTGATCTCAGCAACTTGTTCAGCTGATCTGTTCTTCTTCAGCTCCCATTCTTCCTTTTCAGTGTTGGCAACCTGAACTTCATGTACAATCTTTGGAAGGGATTCCATGATTTTTTTCTGAACGGCTGACTGTTCAACAATCTGCCTGTTGGTGGCTTTTATAGTCTCAGTGACTTCTGCCCGACGCAATTGCAGAGCTGCAATCTGCTCGTCAATTTCCATCATTGATAACATGGCCGATGATTCTTTAGCCTGGCTGCGGTCAAGTTGCTCCTTTGCCTCTTTATACTCGTTCTTGAGGGAAGCTACACGGGATATCTTAGCATTAAGGTTATCAAAAAACTTATCGGCTTGACTCACTAATTTCTCAGCCTCTTGGAAATTCTTGCTGGCAAGTGGGATTTCCTGGATCAACTTAAGCATGGAAAGTTCTGTAGGACTGAGCGTTGGATCACATTGAAGCAGCTTGGATGATAGGGTGGTGAGTTGTTTAAAATGGCTGGAAGTCACTAAACCAGAAAACCCCCTGGTAAGAAGTGATGAAAGTTTGGCCCGTGTTTCGGTCAGACCTTCTCTTTGGAAAGTGACAGATCCAGAAGCTTCAGACTTATTAACTGGCGTAGACATAATCTCATCAAGAGAGTTGAGAAAATTATCAAACTCCTGTGGATCCAATGCAGCTTGAGATTCAACAAGTGATTGTGGGCCTTTTGAATTGAGATCAATTGGAGATTCGTACTCACTTCCATTTTGAGAAATAGCATCATTATCGGATAACTCACTCGCCACTGCTAGTTCTGCAACCGATTCAGACTGCTCCAGTGCAAACTCATCATCTAATTCCTCATAAGATATTAGGTTTTTTGCCTTTGATTTAGCTTTCCGTGTTCTCTTAGTGCGACCACTGACTTGGAACTCTCCATCCAATTCCTCGCCAGAATGAGAACCAAGAATCACTATACCTGTAAAAAGGTAAAAAAGAAAAATTGTAAACTAAGAGAAAGTAGCACAGTATCTTTTCAGAAAAGTCTGGAAAATTAGTACTTGCCTTTAGTTAAAGGCTACGGCAAAGCATGTAGAGAGGCCAAAAAGATTAACAGAGCTAAGCTAGAATTCTAGCTAGCATCAAATGGACATTCCTTTCAGCCATTCTACTTTAATAGTTTTCACTGTAATACTTTAGGATCGTACAAACACCCGCATTGTCAATTACAAAGCTAGAAAACTATGCTAAAATTTTAATGTTGACAAACGAAACTGACCTTTTTTGGAATCCTCTGCCGGTCCTGGAATATCCCACGTGAAAGATGCCCAAAACGCATCAATGTCAGCATCGGGTACTTTTTCTTTGAGAAAGCGAACAACATGCGGCTTGCTCTGCAGCATCACTCTTTTGCCAGACTTCTCTTGAAGGCTCTCCGGGGCATACAAAAAACGGTCTTGGTGGAACCCTGATGCAGTGACTCGGCGTCCAACCCTCCAGCTCCAAACATCTCCAGGGTTAGGCCAATCCTCAGGAGCATAAGGCAAACCCCTCCCGGTAGCACCGAGAGGGACTGGGTTTGCATCAACATTTTCTAAAGCTTTCCTCTTGGCAACCATGTTTCTTCATAAACTCTACATAAGCACAAATTCAAGGGGTTTGACAACTCAAACATCAAACCACTCAAGAGACCAAACATCAACATTCTATCACTACTAAATTTTCCTACTGTTAATACAAAATGAAATACAAACCATTCAGAAGCAGATGACCAACAAAAAATACAAGTACAACTCCTATAAATCACTGGCCCAGCAAGATAAACAACACTTCCTGATCACCAAGATGACATTTTTTATTTTCTTCAACATAAGATAAGAGGCTGAATAAGAAATCCAGCCCATAAATCTGAAATGAGATAATGCCACAGAACGTAAAGCCTGAACTAATCTGGCAAGGACTGATCATTCCCATTATTGTAATGTAAAGCCAGAAGGTATCGATCTGACCACAGAGCAAAAGGAGAGAAAAAAAAAACCCCTTTTCCATTTAAAACGCCAGAAACACAAGTGAAGAAATATAAACTATTAGTTCGATTACAGCACCAATTAAGAGGAACAGAGGGAGAAAAGCAAAAAAGAAAATGACTGATCCATCCATATGTTTACCGCCAAGATGCAAATATTACGATTGAAGGATCTCCCCATCTATAAAAAGTGCATAATTTGTATCCCTTCCCCCAAATCCCTAGATAATATATACTATTTCTTCAACAGAATACACAGAATTTCAACTAATTCATTGAAAATACTAGAAATGCATAAAGGGATTTGAGGGATAGGAAAATTTGAAGAAGAACCCATCAAATTAAATCGAATACTTACTTACCAAGTACTAGGAGAAGAAAGAACCCCAGTTGAGAGAGAAGAGACCAGACCCTAACAGTACCGAACTAAAGAAGTTCTCAGTTTCAGCTGAGGTCTTCAATGTTGAAAAGGCTTTTTTGGTAATTTCGTGAATGTCAGGTTTCATATATTCTGTTGTGCGCTTCTGCATTGTCTTAAATTTTTTTATTTTTCCAACACAAATCATTTTAGTTGAATTTGCATTTTAAAAATATTTTTCAGAAATTGCAAGCTTAGTTATATTTCTCTTTTAAAAATAAAGAAAAAAAAACAATTTCTTCTAGTTTAATTTTTCATATTGGGAAATTTGGTACCATGTAGTGTAGCCTTTGTTTTAAATTATTATAGGAATGAGTTGATTTCATAGCGTTTTGTATAACAACTAGGATAATAATAATTTTGAATTTTGATGGACTAAGCATATTTTTATAAACAGGATGAATTGCGTTTAAGATTTTTCCATATCCAAAGACAAAAATTGCCCTCGTTTCTAACCTTTTTCTTTAATTCTTTACTTGCCCTTTTTATGAAGAGGTAAATATGAACCAGTTTTAATTTTGAATTTCTAAGGAAACTCAAAGCTTCATCAGGTCTTTTAGTGAGCATTTTGGCTTATGAAAACAATGGCAACCTATCGTTAGTATTCACATAAATAAAGTGTACTTAAACAGTCCAGTAAATAATTCAGTAACAAAAATACATTCTCTCCGTTTCAAATAGTATAATTTTCAAACAAAAATAAATCGAATCAAATTTGAGAGAAACATGGTGATTTCAAAAGAACTTTGGAATCACAACAGTATGAGCATAAGTAGTGGAACAGCACATAATCTTTTCACTTTCATAAAAGTCATTTTCGTTGAATTAGTATAATACTCTTTCTGTCTCAAAACAATATGACATTAGAACAATCGATCTGAATTATATTTACAAATTTATTTTACGCTATAGAAATGGTTACATATGGAAAAGGTTTCAACAGAAGTAGATAAAGTATGAATTTGACATAATCCCAAAAAAAAAAAAAAAAAAACAACTATTGAGTCAAATCATGGATTAGCTAACCATTTGAATTAGGTACACATCAAACCATATAACTGTTCTTCAAAGAAGAGCCTTTGGATTTTGAGGGATTTAATTAAGTTGTTGGCTTCTTGACGTTGTCCTGACGAGGTTCCCATGATGCAGAGATTCTTCATGCATCGTCATTAACTCTTCTGCAACCTAATCAATGTTTTCATTTGCAGATTCCATTAAATCAGTTACACTTAATTGAAACGACCAGTGAAATTAAAGCTTCTTTTTTTTATTTTTGGGGTTCAGGGCTATGATGATCATGGGAAAAACTTGAGATTTTACCTCTTCAATACTGCCATCTTCAATCTCAGTGTTGAATGAAAGTAACAATCTTTCATGCAGCAAACTCTCCAAATCCTCCAAATTGACAGAATCTGTATCGAAATTAATTAGATACATTCAAGAATGCCAAAAACAGGGGTTTTATACCTCTGTTTTCCATTGAAAGAAAATAGAAACACAAAAAATGAAGGGATTGAAGATAAATATGTATACTTTTAGGTTGAGAAAACCAGGATTCAATTTCGGACACAAGAAGTTGAGATTTGTAGAAAGAATCGTCACCACCCCATTCATTTTGGACAGCCATTTGTAGAGCAAACCATCTTGATAACAGCAGTGAGATTCCTTCATGAAGAGTTACTGAAGAAGGGAGAGATTCATGGTTTTTCACATGAACAAAGGGTGCTTGAGCTTCCATTAATATCGACACAGGTCCATCTCTACTTCTTCTTGAAGTATCCATGAGAACTGTTAATATCAGATATTAAGGTTATTCAAGCTCCCTTCTCCTCTTCCTTCTTTTTTTTTTTTTTTTTTTTTGTTTTTCTTGAAGGAAGAAGAAGTTAACAAAGCTTTGAACAAAGGCCTGAGTTTTTTATTAGCTTTTTTTTTTGTGTGTGTTTTAAGGTCAAATGTGTGGCGCGAAAATGGGATCGGTTGAGACTGTGAGACAAACTCGGGAAAGGTTTTCTACATTTTTACCAATTTTTGGTAGAAAAGGAATCCAATATTTTTGGGAAAAAGATAAAATAATGATAAGGATAAATGAAGTATGATGAATACACATGAAAATATGAGAAAAGAAGATTCATTTGATCATTTTATTTCCTTAAGTTTGAAAATAATAGATGGTATGTTTGGTTTGTGTTGAGATTGTAATTTCAATGTTTTTATTGTTCGATAATAAGACGCTTTTCTGTTTGTTTGGTTTTTTGGATGGTTTTTTTCAGATTATTTTAATAATAACTGTTCCATTCTAACATATCTTTTTACATTTCCAATACACTTTTTTACATTTGCAATACAAAAACACCTAAAAACACACACTAAAAAAACAAAACAAACATAAACTTTGCCTTTAAAATTTTCCCATTCATTGAATTTTCATGATTTACAAGTTATACTTTTTCATTTAAAAAAAAAAAGAAAAGAAAAGAAAACTAGCCTATGCCTTCGAAGGTCAACAAAAAATCAATGGGTAAAAAATATAACACGGAATTTAGTAAGTTGTTATGTCGGCTCGGTATGTCTAAAATGAATTTTTGCGTCTACAAGAGTCGAAAAAGGTCCAAAAAATTGGCATATTACAGTTCATTTTCCATTTCTTGGAGTATGGAATGGAATTTTTGTTAAGGTTATTCGTCGACTTTCCAAGTCCACTTGACAGACTCGACCAAAAAGTCGACGGCTCCAAAAATTATTCTTTATATCATTTTCACCATTTTTCTCACGTTATTGTTGTTTGTAACCATTGAAACTCAATCCATTTTTTTGTCTTATTTTCTCCAATTTTTTGCATGTTATTGTTGTTTACAATTGATTTATTTGAGTTTTTGCCCTTAAACTTTTCAAATGCTATATCGTTTATCGATTTGAGAATTACCGAATTTATTTTACCTTATTAACATTTCTTCAATCACAAAGAGATAGCGGGCAAAGTACGGGCTTTCAGGCTTCAACCCAGCCCAACAAGCACAACTAAGATACTCCGCGAAGGACCAAAATTAGAAAGTACGGGAAAAGATAATATAAACCAAAAAACTCGAGAACCGACGAACTACAAAGAGATTGAACAGAGGAATCAGAGAATTCAGAAATGGCCGCTGTTGCTGGAATATCCCTCAATCACGTTTCCCGAGAATCATCGGATGTTAAACGCTTGGCAAAATTCTACACAGAGGTTAGTAGTAATTAGTTCTCTGTCTCCTTAAACCTACGACTTTATCATCATGCATCAAATGTTTTCCATGTCATATAGTTCTAATAAATTGAAAGTTTTTAGTTTGATTGGAATGAGCAATTGAATTGATTTGAGATGATGGGTTGTTGCAGGTATTCGGATTTGAGCAAGTGGAAAGTCCGAAATTCGGTTTTGAAGTAATATGGTTGAAGCTGCCCGGGAACCCGTCTTTGTTCCTCCATCTAATTGAGAGGGATCCTTCTACAAAGCTTCCTGAAGGTCCATGGAGTGCTTCTTCACCCGTGGCTGATCCTAAGAATCTGCCCAGAGGTCACCATGTTTGCTTCTCTGTCCCCAATTTCGACGCTTTTATTGAAACCCTTAAGGTAAAAATGCCACCAATCTTTTTTGGCTTCTTGTGGATTTCTCTTCTAGCTTATTTCATTGATTTGATTTCAGTTAATGATCATATTTGCTTTGAGATTGAGGAAAGTTTGTTTCTTGATTTTGGGTATTTGCTATTTTTGAGCTTTGTAATTTTGTTCTGTCCTTTCAATTAGGTTGCTGATCATGTATGGTGATTGGTTAAAATGAAGGCCTTATGCTTCTTTTTTGTTATACTTATTGACCTTCGAAGGAAAAGATCCTTGTTTATATTGCCTGGCCCTTTTAACTGTCTAGTCTGTTGCAGAAGTTGCAAACTGATAATAACTGTATTTTGCTCTATGCGTTGTCCCTTTTCACTGGTAGTAAATTTTGTTTTGGAATATCATCTGCCCTTTTATTGCTTGCTTGGTTTTGAGTTTTTCAACTATCTCAATTTTTTGTTTAGCTATTGGCAATTTGGCATTTGGATTTTTTTCCCTCGAGTGTAAATGCATTTTGGGTATCGTTTCAGTTCCAGATCTTGCAATTTAATCACAGTTCAACGCATCATATCCTTATTTTTTATCAGGGGAACTCATCTGCCGTTGCTTCTTGCTCTGCAGATCATTGTTTCCTCATGGTTGTTAGACTAGTACTAATTTAAAACTGAGATTTGACATTTGATGTCTTAAGCTCTCGCTTCCATTTTTTCTTTAGTTTTGTTCTTGTGTGATGCCTTATCAACTAGTATTAGAATATCTGTGAACATCATTGGTTAAAAGTGGAAAATTTCCTTCCCGCCGGGGGCGGAGCCAAGCCCCTACCCTTAGGTGGGGCAAAACTACTACATATAAATATTACTGGGGCAAAACAATATTTATTTTGAAGTTTAAGGGTAAATTGTTAATTTTAGTAATACATTAAGGGTATTTAAAAAATTTTCAGCTCGGGCAATAGCGCCAGCTGGGCTCAATGTGGCTCCGCCACTGTTTCCCGCTGAAGCTGAACTAATGACTTTCCGTTTGTTAACGATGCAGGAGAAGGGAATCCAAATGCATCAGACGACTCAACCAGATGGGAAAACCAAGCAAGCGTTCTTCTTTGATCCAGATGGTGAGATTGACTTCCTGTTCATCCTTCTTTCTGAAGTGGAGGAACTAGGGTCACTTGTAAATCTTCGTAGAGTTTTGAGTATATGAATTTATGTACAGATCATGGCTTTTTTCAATCTAACATGTAGTACGTGTGCAATATTCTGCAGGTAATGGCTTAGAGGTTTCTGGCCGAAGCGCATAATGATCCATCCCTGGAGCCTCTACCTAATGTTGCCGTTGTTTTCATCTGTCTAGTGTCTAGTTTTGTACTAGGTTGTAAGATATGTCCTAATGTACAATAATCACTTGGAGAACATAGTGTCAATCATGAAAACAGCCAAAAGCTCGTGTGTCTATTGTACTAGTATACTTCAGACCAGGTTCTGAGGTTCACATGTAGTTGGAAGCTTCCGGGTGTTTTGCCTAATACATGAATTTACTTCGTTCTAATTTGAATTAGATCGAAATGTGGATTTAGACGTCGGATGCGTGATATACGAAACAAAGGTCGTGCCTTTTCGCTTAAAAAAACCGCGACGTTTATCATTTTGGTTAGCATATTGTCTGCACAATCCCAGTAATTGAATTCAGTGGTGAATCAATTAGAAACTCCAGAAAGAATAGTCGTAATGGTGGGATTAAATTTTACCAGGACATAAAGACCAGGAGAAGGAATTTTGATGGTCTTTCTGGTACAAGATTAAATACCAGGATAAATTGGAAGGCAATTATTTATTTATATCAAGAAATCAATAAAATCTTCAATATTGGCGTTTATCTATACTACAAAAATACAAACCGGTTGTGCAACACATAACAAAGAATAGACTAAAAAATACAAACCAGTCGTGCAACGCATAACAAAGAATAAACTAATAAGAATATAAATTAGTCTGCAACGCATAACAAAGACTAATAAGAAAAAGAAAAAATCACCTATTCGTTTTCATTCAAGTTAAAATTACATTAAATTCAATTGCTGTCTTATAAATCGAACCGGAACCAATATAATTGTTAAGTTTGCTTGCTTTGCAAAATCTCTTTTCTTCCTCGGAAAAATGATTTCTTTGCAATCTCAAAAACTGTATCTCAAAGTTCAAACCAGGATGATAAAAACAAAGTGCCTTTTTTTTGTTGATCTTTTTGGATTCACCGTTTTTTTTTTTTTTTTTTCTTCTCTATTCAAATTGCTGGAATTGGAATTGCCATTGTCATACTTCCAGGTGTATACCATATGTTTGACGAGAAAATCCCAAGTTGCCATCTGTGTTCACCATTGCCACGAGTCTCACAGAGGTTAACTCTGCCATTATGCCACCCTTTTCAATTTCAAAAATTGTCTAATTTTTTTCCTCTTTCACAGACTTCTCTGGAATAAAAACTCCCGTCTTTGTTTGCATGAAATATTGTACAACGTAACATCCTGCAAAAACTTAAAAACAAAAAACCCTGAGCAAAGGTTACGAGCTTATAGTGTTTTACTCTGTTCCTGCTATTAAATTTAAGATGAGCCAAGAACAACCAAGAAGGGATCAGGAACCGATCAAGTACGGAGACGTTTTTCAAGTCTCCGGCGAGCTTGCGGAAAAGCCAATTGCACCACAGGATGCTTCAATGATGCAAACAGCCGAATCCAGAGTCCTCGGACACACACAAAAAGGCGGTCCGGCCGCCGCCATGCAATCCGCCGCCACAATCAACGAAAGGGCCGGCCTTGTCAGTCACGATGACGTCACCGATTTCGCCGGCGAACGTGGTGTCAGTGTCACCGAGACTGACCTCCCCGGAACCCGTATAATCACGGAATCAGTCGCCGGCCAGGTCCTCAAAATTAATCGTCTCTGTTTTATCTTTTTCTCTGAAAGTCCTCTGTTTTATCAATCCTCTGTTTTCAGGTTGTAGGCCAAATCGTGCAACCGACTCCGGTTGCGAATCAGAGTTCTGCAGGATCTGGAATTGGGTACCCGGATATACAAACGGGTTATGCCGCCAGTGCTGCCGGAATAACCATTGGACAAGCTTTGGAGGCAGCGGCACAAACAGCCGGAGACAAGCCGGTGGAACAGAGTGATGCTGCTGCAATACAAGCTGCGGAAGTTAGAGCCACCGGCACGAACGTCGTCGCGCCCGGCGGGATTGCTGCCACCGCACAAGCCGCAGCTTCCTATAATGAGTCACAGCCATTATTAAAGGACGAGGACAAAGTGAAAATCGGCCATGTTTTGACTGTAAGAAATCAAACTAATTAAACTTGTTTTTTTCATATTTCCTGCCCCTTGTGTCCCCAAATTATTATTATTATTGGCCAGTTTGATTTTCATTTTTAGTTGAAATTAGTGTTCGATTTGATTTTTTTTAGTACAAATAACTAAAAGTGTAAATTCAAATTGGATAATAATTTTACATGGGAAAGAAAAAATCTATTATTTTCCAAACTGAAAAATAATTTTGGGACGGAGAGAGTAGTTTGAAAAGGTATCGAGGTATTTTCATTTCTTTTCTTTTGAGGGTTGAATTTGATAAATTTAGGGGGCGACTGAAAAGTTGGCGTCGGATAAGGTGGCGACAAGGGAAGATGCCGAAGGCGTTGTTGGAGCTGAGCTGAGGAATAATCCTGAATTGGCCACTCATCCTGGAGGAGTTGCGGCTTCTGTGGCCGCTGCAGCGAGGCTTAATGAAAGGCAAACTTCTTGATGTGAGACTTTTGACTGTTTAATCTGATGGTTTTTTAAAGTTCGGATTTTGGCTTTGTCTAGTTGTTGAATCAAAGCTGGATATTAATGTAGTTTTTTTTGAAGGGTTTGTCTTTCTTGTTGGTAGAATAATAATGCTTTTATGTCAAATTCGGATTCAAAAGAAGTTGCAATATTTGAGACGGAATGAATAAGCAAGCATGCAGTAAAACAAAGCTATGTGGATACAACTAAATATAATGAAATCTTACAATGATAATTTGTAGCTACTATGATTTTTATTTTTATTTTTTTTTTGTCAGGTAGGTTAGAAATAAGATTAGGAAGAAGATCAACAAAAGGGGGATGGGGATACGTACAAGTACAACTACATTCTGTATAGTATAGTGAATACCATTATTAGTCTTTTTTTAAAAAAAATAAAAAATCAAATATGTGCCTAATATAAAATATACACTTTTTTCGAATCTGTACTGTTTAGCGACATGCATGTCTACGAGATTGTTGTCCTTACTCTCCTCCTGAAGGTTCTCTTACAGGAAAACGGTTGGAATTTGGTGGTTGCTCAAGAATATATCACTTTATCCATATTCTCATATTAAAAAGAACAAAAAATTTATCAGCTTCCTAATTTGTGTTGTTAAGAGGCTAATGCAATAATTTTTTTTGTTTTTTTGTTTTTTTGGAATCTGATGGCTCTTCTAATGTTGTTAAACAATAATATCATATACTACTGTCCTTAACTAAACCCTTGATGCCAGTTGATAAATGAATTAATCATTGCTTAATCGAAATTAGTGAACACATATGTAGCAAATAATTAATTGCAAATATAACCCCATATTATCATCGATTGAATATTGACTTGACTTCTTTCGTTAAAATGATACAGTATCAATTTCTCAGATTATTATACAGCATCGACTACTGTCGACATTACGACCAAAAAGTTTGCTCTAGTACTATGTACTTTATCATCAACTTATTAACCACTCCCTCACATCAAAATTAAGAAAATATTAAATAATGTAATTAAAATACAAAAATTTTTTTATTTATTTTTTATATAATTTATTACAAATTAATATAAATTCATTATAAATATTATTTCATTCTTAATGAAAGAATAATATTGGTAAAAAGTGGTTAAATATACTTCGATTGTGAAAATGATATATATTTACAAAAATTCATTAAACTTTAAAACGAATGGAGGGAGTAATAAAAAGTCTATCCTAAACTTGATTCTCTAAAACCAATATTTTCTCTATGTATCAATGTTTTGCATATATAGATTCATTGGGGTTGTACCCACCTAACCAATTGTTATTAAGTGTAACAATTTTCTTTTCTGGTATAAATTAGATTAGAATTTTATATGTACCGGCATAAATAACAAAAAGTATCTTAAAAGATGTAAACTAAATAGCGGACCTCCCAGCTTGTGAGTATAAATTCATTTGCTTTGTACCATCTCTCTCTGTTTCACTCAGAACACTCCACATTTTTCACACAGTCACACACACACTCTCAACAACAGCAGCACCAAAAACCATTGGGAAAAATGGCCAATATTTTCAGAAAAAATTTGTACCTCTGTTTCTCCAAGATCAAATGTCTTCCCACAAATCTATCACCTCCATTAACAATTGATGACGACGAAGAAGATGATTACACTCTGTTTCCTTCCAATCCAAGCTGTTCTGTCAACACTTCATCATTTTTCCTCAAGAATTTCAACTCCCTTTACAGTAACAATGACTTAATCACCTCTGACTCAAACTCAAACTCAAACTCAAAGTCCCTCACTTCATCGGACTTGCTGTCTTCTTCTTCGTCATCGGATGAATATTCCGATGACAATTACATGACTGACATCATCCCTGATTTCTCCTCTGTTTTCGCTTCAGAAAGATTCTTCTTTTCCACTCCGGGCAACTCAAACTCAATTGTTGAGTCACCAAAGAGTCTGCCGGCACCGGAGCTTACATCAACGGAAGTGGTCTCCGGTGGTGTTGCAATTCAGACTTACTCGCCGGACCCTTTTGCGGATTTCAGGAAATCGATGCAAGAAATGGTGGAAGCCCACGGGAAAGCTGATTGGGAATTTATGCATGAGCTTCTTTCTTGTTATCTCAACCTGAATCCTAAACATACCCACAAGTTCATTATTGGGGCTTTTACCGACCTGATTGTGTCGTTAATGTCAGCCACAACCGCCGCCGCCGCCGCCGCCGGCAGCTGCCTGAGCAACGTCAGAGATAATAGCGACGGCGGCGACCAACAGAATTGTTCCACATCACAACCACTTGTGTAATAAAACTGTAAAGATGTAACCTTTTCTGGTTCTTATTTTAGTGTATTCTTTTTAGCTCTGTTTTTACTTGTGAGCAAAACTTTTTTTTAGCTCTGTCAAAAAAGCCTTAGAGTAAGATTTTAGCTCCAATTTTGATTGGTGGTGGTATAAACTATAAAGTTTTTAGGCTTTTTATTTTACCTTTTTCCTTTTTTCCAACGGTAAACTAATTTTGCCAATTCGTCCTATTTTGTTACAGTGGCCTCAAGGACAAGGTAGTTTTTTTTAACCTCGTTATGGCAGTAATAACTTTTGAGCTCCTACTCAGGCGTCGAAATAGGTTTCTTCTTGATATCCTTTACTTTAATTACTCTTGTCGTCCCAAAAAATAGAGTAACGTTTCTAACTCCGTCTAACAATTAAAGAATTGTTTACTATTTGGAGGATGATAACTAGTTTTTAGTTTTGTTATCTTAGTTGAAATACATTGAGAGTAAATTTTGGTGAAGCCACGATCTTACCAGAGCGTGATAAGTTAATTAGTGTGAAACAATTCGTCGCAAAATTAACCCGCACCACCGTGTACTTTTAAGGTTCGGATGGATTTTGAGTTTTGTCTTATCTAATTTTAGCTTTGAATTAACATTTGATCTCCTTGTGTTTGATGACAACAGAATGTGCTAGTTGTAAGAGGACAAATTTTGGTAGAAATCCAAGGCAAGCGTGAGAATTTGATTTCTCGAGGGGAGTAATTTCTCAAACGTTTTATCTTCATGTAAAACAGTAAAGGAATGTCTTTTCTCGTTAGGTGTAAAGTAAAAGTTGTAGGTGTTGAATCTTCTGGGAATTAGCATATGTTGGAATTAATATGGTGTCCTTGGTATGATCAATCATTTGGTAATTGAGTACAAAATTATTATCGAAGATGGAGGGGACAATGCTGCCAATGAAAGTTTCCTTTTAGGTTAGTTGTCCTTAATTTTGCTACCTAGACCAGGCAAATTTCCTTGGTTTTCCACATGTTTGGTAAAGGTCAATTTGCATTTTGCTCCACACAAAGAAGATTGTCCCTAAATAAAGGGCACTAAGATGGGATATAAAACCAGCTAGAGTTCTAGATTATGTGGCAAAAAATGACAAAGGGTTCTGCTCATTGTATTCATTCCTTGTTCAAAAAAAAAAAAAAAAAAACAAAAAGTTCGTTTTATCGAAAATTTACTAGAATTCTAAGTTATGAGGCAAAATTATTGGTGGTTGCAGTTAAAGGACAAAACTTTTTTCTTATGTTACTCTTTGTAATCCAAAAAATAATCCACCTTATTACATTGTTTGATTCAACAAATTGATTATATTTTTTGAGACAGAAAAAATATAAAATATCAATGGCAGCGTTCTAGTGAATTTTTATTATTATTAGTATGATGCACGTCATTGTCTGAATAACAATCCTTTATTTATTACCACAAGAATCTCCCCTCCATGGGTGGGAAATCTTTCCATTCAATCTACTTTTGTAGGCTTTGTTACATGTAATGTACAAACAAAAAGTGCCATTACTTCTAGGTAATTTTAGTAACCTGCCTTCATTTGACTCGAAATTTATAACCTCAAAAGGACCCAAGGGAGACCATTTTGACAAAAACTTGGCAAAATATATCAAAATCATTGTTCTTTCTATTGTAATTAGAACATAGTACAATAGGTAAGACATTTATTAGGGAAAGAAGAAGCTATTACTCTAAATTGATAAAATTCGAACATGTGCAAATAAGGCAAATTTCAAGGAAAAGGTTAGAATGGTAGCTAGGGTGGTATCGGAATGGGTCTAAGGCAACTTCCAATAACCGAATATACCAATTTTGTCATTTTTTTTTTTAAAAAAACCTGTATATTAATTAAGAAATACCTGAGTTATTACGTCGCATTCTATGAAATACTAAATTATGTAATTTTACAATATCTTATCTACTCACTTTAGTCACTAAACATGACTGAAATAAGGAAATGCTAGTAACGAAATTTTGTCATGTTAGTCGTCTCTCTTAGCAAACGTAATCCTAACAAACAAATAGTTTGAGTAGCTTTTGCATGTGGCTGCAGGACAAATTCAACTGTCAATTTTGTCAGTCACTAGCTAGCTAGTTTGCAATAATATATTACTAGTACTACTTTAGTGTAAATAAAGGGATATTAAATTAAGAATAGTGATAGGTACGTGGAAAAAATGACAAGAAAAATTGAAAATGAATGATGTGTCAACATTTAAACTATGTCATAACCTCAATTTTGTTTGGAAAGGTTTAATAATGAATGAGTGAGATCATTTACTTGTAATTTTTCATTTTCAATTTTTCTTTATACCTATCATTATTCTTAAATTAATATGGTCTCACGAATTGAATGCTGTAAAATTCAAGGAATGAAATCTTAATAGAAAGTCTCAGCGGAAGTGGACAAGTACATGCATTTAATCAATCATTTGATATTGTTTAAAGCCTTAAATGCAAGAACCAGAAATGTTGCGCAAAATTTGGCGTGAAAAAGGGGTGCTCTATATCAAGTGTTTCATTGCATACGTATCTAAAATTCTAAATAGAATCATAACAAAAGGTGGAAGAATAATTTCAATATTCATCCTTTCTCTTTATTACAAGATCATTCTCTTGTTTGCTTTGTTATTTTAACACAATAAATAAGACGATCATTTTAGGTTTGAGATACACAGAATATAAAATTCAGAAAGTCCGTATATGCTAAGCTTTGATTGTCCTCGTTCAATGCATTGTGAATTATCAAATAAATCACCAAGATTGTGATTTATGTTCTCTTTTGACGATTATTTAAATTTGAAGTTTAGGTTGAAAGATAAACTAATTGATTTGGGTTGAGGCACCAAATTATGGGACTATAATAGTAGTATAGTGTTTTTCCCATGTTTATGTGTTGCACATACTTTTTCGACCTAAAAAAAAAAAAAAAAAAAACAAAAAACGGGTGCATATCCCATACATAATGCAGACCAAAACCACAGTTTTAGGGACTGTACTCTATATTTGCGCACCTTTAAAGATCCATTAGGGAGTAACTTTTTAGGAATTTAGTAATAGGAGACAAGTAAAGAGGATCCAATAAAGATTTCAACCACTATTTATTCTCCAGTTAACAATTTCCAAAACAGTTGGTTGCTTGAGTAAAATAGTTTTTTTTTTTTTTTTTAACTACAAACATATAATATACTCCATTCATTCCAAAATAAGTGTCATCCTATAACTTGCACACAGTTTGAGAAATACTTAAATAGAATAATATAATTACTTGAATATTTTCAACCGACTGATTATTAAAACAATGCCCACCAATAGTAGTATTTCTTTTGTAGGTGATTTTGGAAATTTTGGACAAGAAGTGCATAGAAAAGTAAGAACGACACTTATTTTAATATTTCTCTATTTTGCTGAAACGATACTTATTTTGGAACGGAAGGAGTAGTAAATTACTTTTTTAAGACGGGTAGAATGCCCTATACTATTTAATTGTGAGTAAATTGTTACTTATATATTTTTAGGGAAAAGAGCTTAATCTTATTAAAACTGGACAAACTTGACTTGGCATTTTGTGCTATGTGTATTACTTTTCAAATATACACACGGCCAAAAAAAAAAAAAAAAATAGCATGCTTGTTTGCCTTTTTTGTACCAATGAAATAGTTGTATTAATAGACCGATCGATGGAGTTAAATCCTGGTTGATATAGATGAGGACAATCTAGGAACTGTGTATCGAATTTGTTGTCATGTTTGTTAAATTAAAATAATATTAGAAAAAAACAGAATACATATTTCTTCTAACTCTTTTTTTTTAAAAAAAGCTTTCGATCAGTTCCTTTTGATGTATATACTTATTGTTTAGTCTGCAATTAATCAAAGGATTAGAAAGAGCTTTGATAAATATTTCTGGTGAAAATGGGTGACCAAAATAAAATTGTTTGTCCTTTATGGTTCGAATTGGCGTGCAAAGGGGCAAAAAGATATCCTTGTGAAAATGATTGTAGCTTAATTAATTTCTTTGCATTTTGCTGACTTTGTTGGCTGCATCATGCAGATTCATGTTTAAGAAACGTTTTTCACTGTACGTTGCTTTCGAATTTCGTCGAGAATGTAAAAATATGTGTCGAGGCTATAGTTAAAATGTATCTCTATGTTGGTAATTGGACACCCGTTCATGAAATTTTCATTTTAGCGGGAAAAATAAAGGGTTAACAAAACTCTTGCAAAACACATGGTGGTTAGTTCTGTACATGAGAAAGATGCATCACCAGTCCTCGATCACAGATCCAAGACAAGTCTTGTTCGATTGAGATTTTTTTTTTCGACTTGCGGAATTAAGCACATAAGCACTAGCCTTAAAGATATCTTTTGTAACATTTCGTGTAACATTAGTTAAATAATTGATACGTGTTTAAATAATACACGATTAATGTCATAATTAAATGATAAGTGAACTATGTTTAGCAAGTAATTAAACACCTGCCGATCATTTAACTAGTATCAAGGATTACACAAAAGTATTACAGAAAATCTTTTGCCACTGGTGCTATGTCTTGTGAAGGTTGACCTCCTCATTTCAGGTTGCTCCTCAAATTAATTAAACTTCAATTCAACCCGGCAATTGGTCAAGCCCTACAAAACTAGAAGTATAAGTTTTTTTTTTCCCTCCTTTTTTTTTATAGATGTAAAAGAATACTCCCTCCATTCACAAATAATTATCGTTGGAGTAAAAATCAAATATTCTAAAATAGATGTCGTTCTTACAAATTGAGACATGTTTTTATTAATTTTTTTTAATATTACTTTTACATTATAAATTATAGTGATGTTTAATGTAGAATTATAGTAAAACTAAATTTTATTAGGACACAAGATGATTATTGTCTTCTTAAACTTTATGACATATCTCCTGCGATATCTATTTGTGAATGGAGGGAGTACCATGCAAATTATTGAAAAATTTTTGTGCATCGAGGATCTCGCCCAATAGTAGTAGTAGCAGTACTTGTTAAAGGTAATAATAACTTGTACGATTGAGCCACATCTTGGACCAAAATTTGATGACTGACAATCATCAAACATTATGATTGAATTTTAGTTGGTAATAATTATTGCAAAGTTCCAGGACAAAACGATACTGTTTCATAATTTTTCTTGCAGAGCTGGAAAATTGTCTAAGCTCTGTCATTTCAATCACCTCATATTCTCAAACGTCAAAATCTTCCAATATCATACGGTTAAACAGTCATGCCCACTGGCCTAGTTGTGTGTGTGTTTTTTTTTTCCTTTAACAAGTTTAGTTATGTAGATTTTCGAGTTAGAATGCATATTACAAATAATTTTACTCCATACGTCCTAAAATTATTGTCCTGTTTAGATTTTTACTTTTACTGTAATTTGTACTAAAAATAAAAATTTACACTGGACAATAATTTTAAGATGAAAAGAGTATATCTTATGGATCTCTGACTAAATCGTTCAAAATATATTGAATTACAATAATAACAAAACCGTCATAAAATTTTACTTTTAATATATTGTCATATAACACTATTTTGGATGGTGTACTTTTTTAGAGTACAATGTATTGTTACTCGTTTTTTTGGCAGCTCTCATTTCATTGGAATCTTGGGGTTCTTTGTCATCTTTTTTCTACTTATGATTAAAAGTGTTTTTGTTTGAATCTGAATTCAGGATATATTCCGTTAGGTCAATCCTTTTACTCCATTGGCATATATATTTATGTAAGCACTCCCCAAATGAACTTTCTGCTTGAATAGTTAGCGATAGCAGGGAAAAGATTAGACAGCTACATATGCTGAATTTCAGAATTCGGAATCTCACATGTGTTTTATAATCTGGAGATTGTAATGTACTTGTAGACAATTTAGTTTGGAAATTGTTGGTTGCATTTGTTTCTTGTGATTCTAAACAGATGCAATCAGAATCACTCTACAAGTACTGGAAAAGTGAATGATTCGTATCTAAGGATATATATTTATGTCTTTCCGTTACAAAATAAGAATCATATTATTCCGCAGATAGTAACAAAAATGAGTGGAGTTATTTCTCGAGATTATGACGGGTCGATTTTAATAAATATTTATGAAATACGTTTATGTGCTCCAAGTGTCTTTTTATTGTTTGAGACTTCGAGTCACTTGTCACTAAATAATTTTACGATAATTTTACTCTCTCTATTCGCATTCTTTTGGAAATCAAGGTTTATGTCATATAGATAACTCAAGGATACCAATTTTGGATGTATACAATGAGGTATGAATGGACTTGTTTGTCTCCTCGTGTCTTGGCTTTCTATGGGGAGAATTCATTATATTTGCTTTATTCTCATATATATTTCCGAGTGTTAAGGGACATCCTTCAACCAAAAAGATGAAAGAAAATTCAAGATCGTACGTTAAGGACAAAAGAAAAAGAAAAATAAGGATTTTTTTTTATTAACTTAGAGAATGCTATATTTTCGTCCCAATATTAGAGTCGTGTTTATTGCATTATTTCAACAAAAGGGGCTTCTACTTAAAGATGGAGAAAGTATATGGATTAGAACCAATGTTACTGGAGATTAAGAGAAGAAGAAAGAGGGTCAAGAAATTTATAATTAGAATCCCCATTTCAAATTCAGTAGTTTTTGAGTTTAATTGTCAGGGTTTAGCTGATGTAGTTGAAATCTATATATACAGTAAACTAAAGTGAGCATCAGCTTCCACCTATAATTATTGAAACTTGTACATTTTTAAGGTGTACTTAAATACACTTCATGTTGCTTATTATTTTACTACTAGATTATTTTCTTTCTTAGTGTTAAATTATTTCACAAAGATTATGACAAGCTCGCAAAGGCACAATCCAAGGTCACAATGACAACAAAAACGAGGTTAATCAATGGACTGTTAGGATGCTTTCAAAAATCCACCGCAATGAGGTTGATGCATATATAATCGAGAGATTTCATTTCTTACTCATTCTGTCTCAAATATAGTGAAATATTTTTTTAAGACCGACGGAGTATTTCAGATATTCGGCAACCGATGTTATTTTTTTAGAGTATGTTTGTTTTGTTTTTTTTAGTGTGTGTTTTTAAGTTTTTTTGTATTGGATATGTAAAAAAGTGTATTGAAAATATAAAAAAGATATGCTGGGACGAGACAGTTATTAATATATTAATTTGAAAAAACCATCGAAAAAATGAAACAAACAAAGTCTTAATTTTTTTTATTTTATTTTTTTAAAAAATGGACGTGATAAAAATATGGGTCAATCGAATACGAACTACAGTTTTGGGCTTCGACCCAAACGGAGCCCGTAACGAGCTAATCACACACAATCTGGGAAAAAAGGAAAAACTGGAACCCAATGTTTTCTATGAGTCGACCAAATTCCACTGTTTCACCCCCAGAAATGGCTCTTCCGCTCTCAAAAATCTCCCTATCCCCCTATGCTTCTTACCAAAATTCACCAAAACATCCCCATTCAAACACCATTTTCCCAATCAAAATCCAACCCAATTTCAAAAAGTCGATAAATCATCCCAAACTTACAACAAGAGCAAGAAAATCCAACTCCAGATATCACATAATCACCACCAAAGCAACCCAAGAAAGCACAGAAAGTAATACTACTTCTGAAGCAGAAACGCAGAATGAAGAAAGCGTCCCGGAAGGTGAAGTGAGTAAAAAGGTTGATGAAGCATCCCAATTGGGTGCTGAGATTAAGGGGGCCATGAAAGAAAGGGCTGAGAAAGAGCAAGATTTGTCATTGAATGGTGTGGCGGAGGAAATTCGAGAAATTGAGTGGCCTGCTTTCGATAAGGTTCTGGGCACAACTTGGGTTGTTTTGGGAATCATTGCTGGGTCCAGCGTCGTTTTGCTCACTGTTAATGCCGTTTTAGCTGAGCTTTCCGACCGTGTTTTTGCTGGAAGGGGCGTCCAAGATTTCTTCAGCTGAGGAAAAAAAGCATGGAAGGGATAAGAGTTTAATGGTTCTGAAAATTTTTTGTTCTATAGGAAAGTGGCTTTCTTTTCTTATTGTATTTTCCTTTCCCTTGTAGGCTAATACCTTTGCCGTTGTTAATCTGCTCAATTTTGAGGATGTAAATCATTCCTGATATCCAAGGATATCAGCAGTAAGTTATATTTTCTTTGTTTGTTGGATGAGAGAAAATACAGAAATTTCTGCAGTTTATTGCCTCCTCTATCCTGGTTTCCTGTAATAAACCCCTAATTGTTTTTGCTATGAGGAAGATAGCAAAGGGTCCCGCAATACCCAACGGCAAATCAAAAATTAGAAAAAGAGGAAAGATCTCAACTTTCAGCATCTTTGCAGGCACTGCAAAATGGAAATAACCAAGTCAAGCAATCTTATCCAAGTTAAATTAAAAAGTACAAACTTTCAAATGACCTACGACATAACGGCGAAAAACTAAAGTAGATGAGGCATCAAATACTGATATGATAAAAGTTAACAATGATACAGCAGTCGAAGTATTCTAGGGACAACTCTATTCTTCTGTACCAGCAGGACCAACAAGGACACCTTGAGCAGAGCCTTCCTTTTTGCTATTTTCATCTTTCATTTCATCTGTTTTCCGGATTCTGATTTTGTATTTGGCCTCAAAGTCAGAAATTTCTTTCTTCTTCTTTTCCAATGCCTCGTTAAGCCGTGCTATCACCTCTTGAAGCCCTTCCCTATTACGTTGAACAGCAGGCAAGACTTCTTTGACAGTTCTCTCCACAAGTACACCACCAATCATCCGGTAGCACCGCCTTGATGGATCAAGAGGTTGAATGGCATTAATTACCAATGAGTGCTCACTAACTTCCATTTCCAATTCATTAATTTTTGAGTATATCTGGGTGATTTCAGTCCTCAACGCGGCATAATGGTTGGCAACAGCTTGTTCATTCCCTGGTTCAACTTCAGCTCTACCAGCCATGGTACTGACAGAAGGAAAATACTTACAATTCATCAATTGCACACAATTTCAATTCTACATAACGTACTTGTAAGATAATAACACAAATAATGATGCTAATATTGTACTCCACAAAGGACATTCTAGATATCAAAAGGGTTAACCAAAGACGCATTACATTTCTTAATTTATAGGTAGATCCACAATTAACAGTAATGAGCAAATTTCAATTACTCTGCAGCCTTAAATGCCACGACACAGTCCTTGAGAAAGGAGAGGGAACCTTCCTCTCCCTCAACCCCCCCAATCCCCCAACAGTAAAGAACCCCTCTATTCTGTTCTTGTGGATAGGCAAGAGTTAGGTCCTATAGTTCCTGGTAATGTTGGGATAAGAATTGCGGAACACATTCCATGAATAAACATTCAAACTTAGCATTTCAACAAGAGGTGATAAGCAAAGCAACAACCACGTGACTTCTATTTACAGAATATATTAGTTGACTCTATTCAGCACCTAGTGTAATAAGCTTACAATTAGACTGTCCAAGAAAAGAGAGCTTCATCAGTACCAAATAATAATTCAGCCTCCAAGAAGTTTCAAGAAACCTTAACATAAGGAAATATCAAGTACGATGCTCACGAGATACAGATCTAAAGCTGCAAGAAGAATATACTGTTGGTTACACATTCTAAATGAATTGCATACAAGAACAAGATTTTGAGATTATGTCTTTCCAAAACTCAGGCTACCAAAGACCTTCTAACCGCAAACAAAGGCCAATTTCACCTTCTAGGATTCTTGTTCAAGCATGTTGTAATACGGCATGGAAGAAACAAATTGTACTCCCTCAAGTTCTAAAAAGCAAAAAAGAATCAAGGAAACCCCTAACTTATGCAGTACCTTCTATTCAAAATAATTATGAGACTCTTAAGTCTTAATTAGATAGATCAATACTCCACTAATTACTCAGAAAAACCTAAGAGGTTGCTTCCCTATTAAAGTTTCGTTCTTCACAGAATTCAAGCAGAATAAAAACCTAAATAAAATGGCCCCTTCAACCGATCCTTCAAAAGAACAATTGAAATTCCAAATAAATGTTAGAACCCAAGATTTAGATTTCAGACATAAGTAGGTTTATATCGCTTCCGAATGCCCTAGGATTAAAAAAAAAAAAAAAATTGAACCAAGGCTCAACAATAACCAAATCAGTTCAAGAATAACTTAGAATGCAAACCTTATTACGAGCAATTTAGCAGGCAGATGAAAGAGAAACAGAAAATAACTGAAAAGAAGAAGATTATTCACCTTGTTAGAATAGAGGGGTTCGAATAATTTAGAGCTCTCCTTTGCTGCGGCGGAGTAAGGTGGAAGCTGGGCGGCAATAGTCGGAGGTCGAACAGAACTGATTTCTCGCGTTTGTTCTCACAGGAATAAAAGAAGGCAAAAGAAACTAAAAGACATAATTGCCCACGAATTTATACACGATCTTTTCTTTCCTAATTATTTCCATTTTCTTCTAATTTTTCTTTATATTACTCCATTCGACATTCCATAAAAATAATTCATATTGTGTTGTGAAACGGAGAGTATAACTAATGAGAAAGTGGAAATATAATTTATAATTCTGACCTTAAAATGTGATGCAAATTTTTCCTTAAAATATATCCTCAAGTTAATGAACGAATTGATGTGGTTACTAAAAGAAAGAGTTTAGTTGCCTAAGGTATACAGATGAGACTACATCATTTTTATTCAGATAATATGATTGAGTAGCGTGACATTTCTTTGGCATTTGTTTTCATTATATTTGTTAATGTATGAACTAAATTTCGAAGTGATAAATAATACTCCCTCTATTACTTAAGATTTTGGGACGGAGGGGTGCTACTTTATGGCCTTCTATTACTTAAGATTAAAGAGTTAGAAAGTAAAAATTCAAACTGAATAATAATTTTGGGGCGGAAAGATGCTGCTTTATAGCCTTCTATTACTTGAGATTAAAGAGCTAGCAGCAAGCACCTTTTTAAGCACTGAAGATTTACTCTTCTAATAATCCACTCTTTCTGTAAGTTTTTTTGTTTTGTGAAATCAATTATTTAAATGGAGAGGAAGGAGTACTGTTTTGCTAGATGGAGAGATTATGATAATGAAAATGTATAGGGAAATATTTAAACGCTTCTAAAATGTGAATCAACATTCGGTGAGCAGTGAGCTCAATTGGAGTTTCAAACTAAAAAATGTAAAATTATTCAGAGTAAAAACACCAAAATGTACAGGACCGCATTAAATTAATCTCAGGTACTCAGACAACAACAAATTTATTGGAAATTATCAGGGAAAACACAGCAGAGAAATCCAATGCATTCATATATCTTCCAGATGCTCAGCTTTTCTCCCATAATGCTTGTTTTAGTGTATGATGTGTATCAGAAGTCATGAATATCTCAAGGCTCAAACGTCATGCTGTCTGCCTCCTTTTTGATTGAATCGAACAGAACAGTCGACAAGTACCGCTCCCCAAAGCTAGGGAAAACCACCTGTCCACAAGTTCAAAAGCATGGTCATTCTCAATAGCTAAAAGTACAATGTTGAAATCTTGACAGATCCCGAAGAACTATAATTAGTATTTACAAAACATGTGTACTAAAACATCTGCAGGGTGTTAAGAATTTTATGACCACCACGGGATTGTTCAACCATTCTGGCCAGCTTAATACAAACCAGATTTACCATTTTCAAATATCTTTTTAGTTTCCAACAAGAATCAATCTCTTATGAATCCTGGCATTTTAATCTCATAATAGCGGCTAGCATCCGTATTAGGGTCATCAGAAGAGCATGAATGATGCCTAGTACATCCACAAATTTCACATTGTGAAAATTATGATTTACAGCCAAGGACAATAGGAAAAGGTAAAATAAGACAAGTAAAGTCATTGGTTTATTAAGAAACAAACAACCATTCCCCTTCATTCTATTGAAGAATGAAGAGAAAACAGTCAATGAAAAGACAGATAGCATGGTCTTAATGATCTCTTGTAACCATCCAGGTGAATGTGAAACATTTAAGTTCCCTTCCTCAGAGGGTTATAGCTCAGTTTTAACCTTTTTCAGGATCAGTACAGAACAGATATTTCAGACATTTGTTCTGGATCTAGGATTTCAGATCAAACTAAAGACTTACAACAAAGAGTTTGCCAGCATTTTCAGGACGCTTTGCAACCTTGATTGCGGCAAGAGCAGCAGCACCAGAGGATATTCCCACCTATGACAGAATTTACAAAACTCATATATACCACACAGCAGAATAAGCAGTTAAAAACACACACACACACTCTTAAAGGTAGGTGTAAGCAGTATTGAAAGATGAACTTACGAGCAATCCTTCTTTCACAGCAAGAAGCTTAGCCATTTCAATGGCTTCTTCACTAGAGACCTACAATATTCATACATATGATGTAAACTACAAACATCTTACAAAAACTGAATAATTACACTTCAAGATTTGAAAGTAAACCACTCAATATATGCAACAACTACTTCGGACGAACCATCATTCCTAGATAAACAAAATACTGACCAAAATAAAAACAGTTGCCCAGAAAAGAAGGGAAAAAAGTACAACACTAACCTGAACAACTTCGTCTACTATACTAGTATCCAAAACTCCAGGAACAAAACCAGCACCTATCCCCTGAATCTTATGTGGACCTACACATGGATTATTAACACATCAGAGGATATAAAACGGTGACAACAAAGCGGAACATCCTGACAATCACTGTTCCTCAGAAAACATGCAGCGCTAAGCGCTTGCCTCTTTTGTACAAAAATATCTCACTTAAAATAGAATGCCATATGGCTTACCAGGCTTTCCTCCAGTTAGAACAGGACTTTCAACAGGTTCGACTCCATATAGCTAAAACACACAGGAAAAACAAAGGAAACAGGGAGCAATCAGTTGTTGAGAGTTCAAAAAGGAACCATTAAAACAAAGATCTGCCCTCTCCATTCAAACCCGAAAGGTCTAGCTCACCTTTACATTAGGATTCTGCTCTTTCAGGAATTTACCAGCTCCCGTGATTGTACCACCGGTACCAATTCCAGAAATAAGACCGTCAATTTTCCCATCAGTGCCTTTCCAAATCTCAGGTCCAGTAGTTTCATAGTGAATCTATACCCCAATTAAGGTAACAGTTATGTACGAACTACGAAGAAGACAAGCAGTGCCAAGTATACATGATCGTTAATCATCATACCTTTGGGTTAGCAGGGTTCTCAAATTGCTGGAGGATGTAGGAATTGGGAATCTTTTGCCTAATTTCCTCAGCCTTCTGAACAGCACCTTTCATTCCCTTGGCGGGGTCGGTGAGAACCAACTCAGCCCCAAAGGCAAGAAGAATAGTTCTTCTCTCAAGACTCATTGAAGCAGGCATGGTAATGATAAGCTTATATCCCTTAGCTGCAGCCATAAATGCCAACCCTATACCCGTGTTTCCACTTGTAGGTTCAATCAAGACACTCTACAGTACATGAAACAAAAAGGAAAATATTTTCATGTGTAGTCAGAATTCTGTTCGAGAGCTATATCAACAAAATAATCAGAAGCATCATATCTAAAAGAAGAAATTACAATCTTTGAGTGGCCTACAAAATCCATGAATAACATACCTCCCCAGGCTTAATAAGTCCTTTTGCCTCAGCATCAGCAATCATACTGTAACCAATCCTGAACATTGAATAAGCATTAAAGGGTATATCAGTAACAGGTTTAGCATAGGTTCAATCACGAAACAGAATTACTGGGATTCAAAGCAATACCTATCCTTCACACTAGAGCATGGCTCCATCATCTCCAGCTTGGCAGCGACCCGGCCAACACATCCCTCCACAACATTGTTCAGATACACCAATGGGGTTTTGCCGATCAACTGCAAATCAATATCGCAACCAAATAAGCATCAAAATAGAACCTTTATTTCGACCCTTTTCTCGAAACTAACCAAATTCAAAAGGTGATCAACACATGAAGTCAGTCATACTTACTTCAGTAACATCCTTAGCAATCCCAGTCTTTTCCACCGCCATATTTTTGCAGAAAAAATTTCCAGACCTGCAAGCCAACGATGATAAAACTGAACAACCTTTATAATATCATATCCCACCGAAAGGGACAGCAAAAAATAACATCATAACAACATGGAAATCTTTATTTTAATCCTTATACATATGTCCATTAACTAAGCTGACAATTATCCAGTTTCACCAACTACAACAGCTTACCTAAACTTTAATTCTAACAAAAAACAAACTGATAAAGCGTAGAATTCATGCAAATGGCCCCTCAAAACTCAAAAAGGCAGCGAAACGAACAGTTCCTCGTACCCCAAAAAGCAAAAAAAAAAAAGCTTTTTCTGCAAAATAACCATCAAACTAAGAGTCTAAGAGAAGGGATTACTGATTAAGCTATGGAAACCAAATTAACGGATAAAAAATGATCAAGAACAGAAGAGGATTAGGAAGCTTGATTACCCTTTCTCGACAGCTGGGTTGACTTTAGGGACCAAAATCAAGATCGAATTGCCTCGTCGAAGCTGAATTAGTAGTATTTTAGTAGAGCCTTTTTTTCAAGGAATAGATAAACAGCAAAATCAGACTTGAAGAAGAGGGATTTATTTATAATAATAAAAAAATTATTATACGGTGACGTCATATCGTTGATTACGAAACATAATCATGGATTATCCCGAGGTGATTTGTTGGTTGTTTTACTAACTCTTTTTTCCTTTTTGAATTTTGACAGGTCAAACAATGAACATGGCCTGATTTTGGGCCTCTATTCAGAAATATGAAAATAACTAATGAACTCTTAGGCCCATTTTACTTACAGGGGCAATTCTATCTTGAATGAAGACAATCTGGATATTTTTTAATTTTTTTTCCCTCCATTAATAGTTGAGTCGTTGATAATAATATGTGGTAGATGATGTTCTTTGCTTGACTTATATTCAGTCTTTATATCTAAAAGCCTTTAAATCCGTGCTTCTTGCTCAATCATCGGATGTTATGTACTCACTCTGTTCCAAAATTATTATCCAATTTGAGATTTTATTTTTTGTACAATTTGAACTAAAAATGAAAACTAAAACTGGACAATAATTATAGGACGAAGGAAGTATGTCTTCGAACAATTTTGTTTGTAAGATTTGAATATGATCTGTACGTCTCTTGCTAAATCATTAACTGTTTCAAACATTTCTATCTGTAAATATAAGACGAATCTTGACCGTTATTGAACTTATAACTCAATCAATTGAAGAGAGTCATAGAACTCAAAATTGCTTGAATTCCCTTCATTCATTTTTCTTTTTTCCCTGTTAGAAAATCCTGTTCTGTTGAATGCAATTAAGACAATCCATTAAACAAAAACCGTCGTAAGCATTTGGCATTTCTTACATTGATGGTTACTATGATTAAGTCAAGTCAATGATATTTTTCTTTATATTATTGTACATTTATAACAATGACAATTTGGCATGATTCCCATGAATGTGTCCATCCATCAGATCCAAGAAAGTGACAGCAGATTCATGGTTGGCTGATACAAGGCACCAAAGAGATAAAATAAAAGAATTCATGCAGAACGAATTCATATGGATATCTGAATACATTTAATTATTTATCATCTACATGGATATTTAAAATATTTTCCAAGGGACAGCAAAGAGATTTTTTTGTTTTTTTCTTCATATTTGTAGGGTGTCCACCGTCGACAACAGTGACTAATCCTCTCGCTGAATTGTAGACACCTCGATAAGTAGGACAGCTGACCAAAATATTTAAGGTTGCTCCATACCCATAGCGAGGTTCGACTCCTCGACTTATGATTAAGGGTGTCTTTCACTCCACCACAACCACTTTGGTTACAGCAAAGAGATTTTCACCGTCTTTTCAAAAATAAAGTTTTGTTTGTTGAGCCATTTCCTGTGTAATGATCCAATATTAGTGAAAAAAAATAACAGGCCCATAAATTTAGGTCCAACAACAGGTTAATCATTAAAGCCCAGTTAGTCCAAATAGTATCTAAAGAACCTTATCTTGTTGCACACCATACATCTCACTTGCAGTAGGAAAAAGAAGGCGTCCAGGATTTCCTGCAAACCAAAATCAAAAGGAATGGCAACTCTACAATTCACATCTCCTTCCTTCAACCTAATCAAACCATTAACAAAGCAAACCAATCTCCCAGCATTGGAGTTGAAGAAACCCTGGTCGAATACGTCGTCGAACCGGCATTTTCGTCGTGTTACCCGGTCTTACAAAGTGTCAATTGAGCATGAAGGGAAGATAACTGAGCTAGAGGTTGAACCTGATGAGACAATTCTATCCAAGGCACTGGACTCCGGAATGTCTGTGCCTCATGACTGTAAGCTTGGAGTGTGCATGACTTGCCCTGCTCAGCTCCTCAGTGGACAAGTTGATCAGAGTGAAGGGATGCTCAGTGATGATGTTGTGGAGCGGGGATTTGCTTTACTCTGTGCAGCTTATCCTAGATCAGATTGCAAAATTCGGACTATACCTGAGGAAGAGTTGCTTGCAATGCAGCTAGCAACTGCCAATGACTAAAGCTGAAATGTAAAATCATCTGTTCAGTTGTTGAGTCATGAGTGTTAGTTTAGCTTGAGGATTTTGTACCGGTACAATACAATGCACACAGAGAAGGGCAGAGAAGGATATCTTTGTGGCAACTATCTCCTTTCAAATTACTCATGAAGATATGTTATATTTCTGTTTGTAGTAATTGATCACAAATTCTTGGCATAAGTATCTAATTCATCTGAAATGCAAATTAAATGCTTCTCAGTAGTCTCAAAGGACTTCCAGGATGCATGGTGATTTTCTTAAGGATTCCTCAAGATTCTTTTGAATTGACCTTCCTCTCTCTCTCTCTCAGTTACATTAATACTTCTTCAGCATGTCTTGTAAAGTTGAACAATTTACCTATGGCATTATGTAACTCAAGTAGTTCAGCTCAACGTTGTTTCCATAAAGAACTCCGGAAACTGGTCAGTTTTACACTTGATTACGGGCATACAATCTTTCGGGGCAAAATTTTTTCAAGCAAAGAACTTCAAAATCGTAGTTACCTCCCTATGAGCTCTTTTGACCTTGGTTATTATCTTAGATCAACCAAAATATAGTTTCAGAAACAATGTAGCTTGTATTAGTAGATGACAATCGACAAGTCTACATTAGCTTGTATTAGCAATAATACATATTGATCCTCGCCACAAAGTTCACATTCTTTCAAACTGACTTCAGCAAGAAGAATTGCTTCTACAAGCTAGGACATACAACAGAAGAGCCGCGTGTATTCCAATTGCAAAATAATACTATAAAAACTTATCATTGACTGTCAAATTTAGAGAATAGATCATATTTGCTTACCAGGTCTGCAGTCTCATTCTAACTATGATTTAGGTGGGAAGGAACCGCCTTTCCTCACTTTCCTTTGCTTAAGTTTGACTTTCACAGCAACACCATGATCAATAATGGACTGAAGAACAATCTGCAGCTTTCCTTCCAATTTGTCTCCTTTCCTAGGAGTGTAGACCACATTATGAATATCATCTTCCAAAGCCCTTTGAGCCAGCACTTCCCCAACAGCAACACAAGTACTCCTACTCTTAGTCGAACCTAAATCAAACTTCATGTCCTTAGAAATAGAATGTGCAACAGCAACAACCTTGCTAGTGGCTCTATGAATAATGCTGGCACGCACAGAACCTTTTGACACATATAAATCCAAGCAAAATGGTTCATGATATGGGGCAGTGAGCTGATTAAACGTATGAGTCCTCACCTTTTTCAACGTAAAACCTTCCATTTCATGAAAACCTGGAATTGAATAATTGTGATTATTATCAACCTCATGAAATCTTTCCTCCAAGAGGCCATAGTTAGAATTCAGCTTCTGTTGCCTGCTTACTCTTGATTCATCTTTCGTCTTCATCTCTTTCCCAGCTCCAGTAGCCACACCGTGGCTCTTCATTTCATTCTTCTTTGAGTTTTCCTTCTGATCACTCTTGTTTTTTGACGATTTTTTCCTATGGAAATCAAATTTACACTCTTCGTACTCCCTGGAATCCTTATCAAGCTTATAGTACAAAATACCCCGAATCCTCATATCCTCAATCTCGTCAAAATCAGGAGTCTCATTATCAGGAGGCGCATAACTAGCCGCCTCAATGTCACCGTACCCTTCCCCCTTATCTTCACAATTCAAAGCCTTCCTTCTCAAATCCACCTCTGTGTTACTAACTTTCCAAGCCTCAGCTAAACCAGAAGAAAATTGCCATGAATCATTGTCTACTAACTCAATCTTCAAATCCTTCAGGTCATGTCCACTATCCTCTTTGAACAAGGGCGAAAGCTGAAGCCTGTCACTGTAATTACCAAAAGAGTCTCCCTTTTGACTACCAAACGATGGTAAATGCTCTGGATCATCTTCTTTTGTCCACGAAGCTCTAGAAGAAAATCCACTACGCATCGCATGATGGAAATTTGATAAGCTTAAGGTGGCGACCCTTCTAAATGTCAACATCAGCGAGAAAAAAATCCCAGAGGCAACAAGGTTGTAATGGATTCAGATGGGCAGAAGGTGAATGTTTTCCTTATTCGTCTCTCTTAAGAATACCATCGAACAGCTTGTGTTCAAACTTCAAGAAGCGCCAACTCAGAAGTTTCTTTAATAAACCTGCTAACCAGAGTTTCATTAATCAGAGTCGTACTTAAGGATCTGGTCAATCATAAAAACAGATGAGCCCATTGGCCCTCTTATCACTTTGTGAATGAAAATAGATTTTGGAATGAGAAATGGGAATTAGTTGGGGCTCAGTGCTGCTTAGAGCTGACAATCAGGAAATTATATGTGGGAAGGTATTTTTGTATGAGTTTAAGCCTTGAAGGTGATACTTTGACGCCGTTCTATAATTTAAGGATAGAAAGAATATTTGTTGGGACGAAGGTAATATCATTTCTTTTGTCAAAAAAAATGCACTACATTTGTCACGAACCTAGAAAAACTTTAAAACCTTCAATTAGTCGATCTAGAGACATTTTTATATCATATCACATATAATAATTTCAGGTTGTCTCTTGAGAATCAGTTTCCCATTATTATAACTTTATGGCCAAAACTATAGGCATTTGCCATATAGATAAGAATTAAGGGAAAATTCCTGTAAAGGGCGCTATAAATTTTGAATTTATTAAATAGGGTGTAAAATTTTTAAAATTCCTTTAAGGGGCGTAATAATATTTTTATTCATTAAGTATTTTATTGGTGACAATTGTACCCTTTATTTAATTAAAACAGGTAAACAACTATACCCTTTATTTAATGAAGAACAATAAAATCTATACCCTTAACAAATAAAAATAGTAACTTAGAAGTCATGTTTTTCGGTTTGCAAACCCAAATAAAAAAAAAATCATGACCAAAATAGGATCAAAGTTTGTAATTAATATAATTCAATCAAAATCTCTAAATAAAATGAAAAACCTTAAATTTTAAATTGTATTGTTATTGACTTAAAATCTCTAAAAGGAAAAAAATAATTTGACACGAAATTGTTGTTTCAAAAAGCAAAAAACTTCCTTATGAAAATAAAATAGCTTAGGCAACTACAGATTGAACATTGACGGAAGGGAAAAAATAAAAACTCTGATCATCAAAACGATGAAGCAAAGAGAAAAAAATCATTTAGCATAATGAAGATTTGGCTAAAAGAAAATTCCATGGAAGATTATGTAATTGGAAAGAGAAAACTTTCCTTTTCAATAAAGTAAAAGAAAGTATAAATATAATTAATAGCTATATTAAGTGGAGGGTGTATTTGTCACACACTAAATATTTAATGGATAAAGTCAATGTTATGCCCTTGAGAGGAATTCTAAAAATTTTTCATCCTCTTTAGGAATTTTCAAATATACAACGCCCTTAATAAGAATTTTCCCAAGAATTCATTACTCCAAAAGTACTAAAAAGATGTCATTTATATTCACTCAGAACTTAAAAAAAAATAAAAATCCGTTGCACTTTAGTACGAAATAGTGAGCTTTTATTTTTTTTCGATTCTCCGCTTGTCTTCCGAGAAAAAGGGTGGTGATCAGCAGTGGTGGACGGTGGAGTTGACCAAGAGTATAATCGGCAAATAAAAAAACAAACCACACTTCCCAAACACGTGCGAGTCACGTGGTTGCCGCCAAAAAAAAAGAAGTGGCAAATTCAAAATTCAAAAAAATTTGAATTTGCCGCTTTGAGCCGCCGCTTCAATGGAAGCATTAATGAGCGGCGCCACCGTAAACCACCACTGTGAGTCAACGCCGGTCAAAAGCCAAACCGCCGCCGATCCATCGCCGGCCGGTGGATATTCCGGTATATCGTCGGCCGGTTACCGGAATATTTTAAGCCCGGCGACGACCAAATCTTGGGCCAACTATTATTTTAGGCCCAATAAAAAACGGGCCAAAATTTTGTGCCATTTACAGGGATAATGACATATCCATATGCCTTCTCATACATCTCCCTTGAGTAACACTTATCCACATAGCTTTTAACTTTATCTCCATTCTCTACTATGGCAGCTATGCCGTGAGAGCATGGCGATCCATTCAACTGTCATTTCCTACAAGCACATGTCTTTTCCTTAAGGTTTACCACAAACTGATCACAGCTATCAATAGTTCTCACTTCAAACAGCGGACCACCACAATGGATTACTTTACATCTAGCAGCTTCTCCAGCATCATCCTGCAACTTTTTCTTTATCTTTGGACCTAGAATAAAATTATTTCATGCCAGCCACTCCCTTTTTTGTTGTGCCCTTGAAGTTAGGTATACCCGAAGCCACTCAAGCATTCCAATGATGGGATATTCCCTGCCAGACAATATTGCTCTATTGAAACCGACACTCACATTGTTAGTAACGCAGTCACACCTAGTTGCCGTAGGGAAATGCGACATGCACCAATGAACAACATCCTCATTTTGTAGCCATGCCCATGCACCTTCATCAAACTCTTTCAACGTAGCCATAAGCTCATCATGCTCTTCCACATAACTTGATTTTGCAATTTCAAAAAGTTTCTGTTTCAAGACAAGCCCTGAATGATGCCCCTTGAAATTCGCCACAAGTGATGCACACAAAATCTGTGTGAAACTCTATCTGGTTTTGATTTCACAGCTGGTATCAAACATTGCAAAAAATAATATAATAACAATACAATCAAGATTTCAAAGTTAGAATATGTATACATATTAAAAGATAGAAAACAAAAATTTAAAACTGCAAATAAGGGGAAAGAAAAAAGAAAATTTACTTTCTGCCTGTCAGACATGATTACCCATTCAGGAGTGTTGGCAATTTGTAAATTTTTAATCAAGTAGTTCAAGAACCACTCCCATGAATCCTTACACTCAATCTCTACAACCGCATAAGCAACTGGAAACATGTTGCTGTTTGCATCGAATCCAACAGCTGAGAGTAAAATGCCCCCCACAACTATTTTCAGAAATGTTTCATCAAGACCAATAATGTTCCCACACCCTTCTTTGAACCTCTCTTGCATGCTTCATAGCACAAATTCATCAATTCAAACGTAGTCCCAGGATTAGCCTTCTTCGTTGCTTCAATGTAACCTTTTAACTGGACATACTTCTCTTCAATTTTCCCTCTTAACTTCTCCAATGCCTTTATCTTGGTCCTATATGCTTGAGTCCTAAATATGGTAATTCTCTTCTCATTAAGAACCCTAAATTGCACAATGCTCACATTCATTGAAGGGTCATTTGCAAAGTCAGCAACAAACCAATCAGAAACTATGTTGGAGTTACAATTCTTGTTCTTCTCCCATATCCTACCACAAGTGTGCTTGTTATTCATAGTCTTTACCTCAAATGTGTCTACATCTGACAACTTCACTCCATATACTTCCCAGTTGCAGCCAGGTAAACAAATTCCCCTCACCTCCAATTTAGCATTTTTCTGAAACCTAATAGCCCTTCTATCAACAAGAGTATGCATTCTGATGGCCTTCAAAAGTATCCACTTAGTCCCAAATCTTCGGTTAATATCAAATGTTGGGTTGGCCATCTCTTTCGCAGGATTAAACTCTTTATATTTCTTCACTTCTTCATGAAAGTCCTCATCATCCAAACAACCCCTTTCATGAAATTCTTCACAGGAAGCATAGACAGATTCAGAGGCCGCATCATCACCACCATCATAGTTTGCATGGCGCACAAATTCAGTTTTCTTCAAAGTCCCCCAACAAGAACCACTCATCGAGTGATTGGCTAACTTCCGAACCCTTTCATCATCAGAATCAGAACTGTAATCACTTTCAGGTTCATAGTCTTCATCATCAGTATCATCATCACCTTCATCTAAATACGCAGGCTTTCTCGGTTTAGGTTTAGCCTCTCCAAATAATGGATCATACTCAAGTTTTCGTATCCTATAAATGACCACATGATACTTCATTTCACCAGACAGTAAACCAAGCATATATTTCAGGTCTTCATCAATGTTTTATCTCCTAAAATCAGAATATTCAGCTACAATAGGGTCTCTAAAAATCAGCTTATGAGGACTACGAACCCTACACGTTCCAGAAATGAATAACACTCTTCCAAACAAAGTTGGTCAGTGGCCACTTCATCAAAGTAATCAACATCTACCTTTAAATATGTCAGTTCACCTTTCCTGTTGGTCACAAACCCCCCACTATGGAACAATTTGACAATCACAAGGTTAGACCCTTCACCTGAAAAAGATATCAAAAAGTGTATCACTTTATGAAAGAAATCAATTAAAAACTAACAAACTGTTCTGGAATTATCAACAAATTAACAATAATTAACTAATTCCATGCTAAAATGTCTCCCCAGCACTACAAATTTGTCACGAACGTTGTAAGAAAGTGAAGAACACTAAGTATACAAACAGACAAGTGAAGAACACAAAGTATACAAACAGACAAGAAAATAACGAATGAATCGAGAATGAATCCGAACCCTAGCCTACTCCACCATTAAAAAAAAGAAGCCCACCTCAACAAAGGTTTTTAAAAAATCCATTTCACAAACTTAAACTATAAATAAATCAATGCAAAATCCATATATAACAATTTCTAGAGTTTATCGTAATCTGATACTTCTGAAATTTCATCTGGGGATCGAACATAATTCTCGCCCCTCCACATCTTGATCGATGAAATGACCCCGAATGATGTCCTTACACCTTCGATGTTAAAATCGATGAGACCATTTGTATTTTCCGGCAACAATTCTGATTGCCTCTCAGATTTGAAACAAACCCGAAACCCTAATGGATGTAAATCCCCAAAACAAATCCACTAAATCCCTTTAATACTACCACATTTGGTAAAGATTTCAACAAAAACAACGAATTTAGCTTTCTAAACCCCCTTGTTCTTTCGAATTTCACAAATCCTAATCCCCATTTCTAGAACTCACGCTTTCTCTCTCCCCGTTTTGTATCTCCCCGAATTGCTTTCTGTTAGGTTTTAAAATGTAAATGTATTTACTGTAATGGGATCGGGTTGGGCCTTAACTTAACAAACTTTTATTTTTTTAATTAATTTTAATTGGGGTTGGGCTAAATAAAAAGTTTGGCCCATTATTTATTGAGCTTAAAATAATAGTTGGCCTAAGATTTGGTTGTTACCGGGATCGATGGCGATCCGGCTTTTGACCGGCGTTGACTCGCGGTGGTTTACGGTGGCGCCGCTCATTGATGCCGCCCGTTGAAGCGGCGGCTCAAGGCGGCAAATGCAAATTTTTTTGAATTTTGATCTTGCCGCTTCTTTTTCTTGGCGGCAATCACCTGATTTGCATGTATGTGGAAAGTTTGGTTTGTTTTTTTGATTTGACGATTATACCGTTGATCAGCTTCACCGTTCACCGTTCTAATCACCACCCTTTTCCTCGAAAAACAAATGGAGAATCAAAAAAAAAATTAAAACTCACTATTTCGTATTAAAGTGTAACAATTTTTTCTTTTTAGTTCTGAATGAATATAGATGGCATCTTTTTAGTACTTTTGGAGTAATTAATTCTATAGATAAAAGGAAGTAACATTCTATAAGATTAACCATCAAGGCATTAAACACCTAACAGTTGTTTCCACCCTTACGTTATGCCTCATTTTTAGTAATTACTTTTCACAAAACACCTAATAGTGGAAGTTTCATCAACATCAGAAGTACAGGTTCTGCACTTGACAAACACAAGTCACAGACGGGAAAGTAAGAATTAAGGATTGACACACAGATAAAGCTACGATTAACGTTAGTGATTACTGATTACAAACCACCTTAAAAAGACATTCTTTTGCATTGGGTCATGATATCAGTTGTCAACCGTATCAGATGGCCAGTCATGTCGATCAGTAGTAAGGTTGTTGGTAAACTGGACTAGCTGGTGCCATCCCATTGCCGTAGGCTCCATATGCCGGGTAAGTCAGGGGGGCTCCTGGATATGCCTCGGGTGAGTATGCGTACGGAGGACTTCTGCTTCCATGTCCATAGATGGCGGGTGGGGAGGGATATGTTGGCATACCAGCAGGGTACTGGGTGTATGGGGGAGACCTGACATATGCTGGAGCTGCAGGGAATGATGAAACGTAGGCATTTGTCAAACGACCTGCCTTGGCTGGGGGCATTGGGCCTCCAGTGCTGGCACGTGTTCGTTTATTAGCAGGAACAACAACAGGCTTCCTCTTCTCTGCCTTGGTTTTCTCCAGTTGTTCAAGCCGCTTCTTGAGGCTCTCCGGTGGGAACTCCTCCTCGAGTTTGTACTCTTCAATGCATTTAATGACAGCTCGCAATGCCGATTGCTCTTTCTTTGATGCCAGATGCTACACAAGTCATCAAAAAAACAAAAACAAAAAATTCTGTTAGGTAGAGACACAAAAGAAGAAGATTAGTGATATGCGTGTGAAAAAAATTAGTAAAGATGAATAATCACTCGGGTCTCAGAAGAAATGACAGCCCTATTATTAAACATCAACTCCAACATGGGTATGATCCAAAGGAGAGAAGAAAAGAACAGAAAGATACTCGAAAGCAGGAAGGTAAGTTGTTTGATCATGCCAAAGAAGTACAAAATAAAGATTTGTTGAACCCAGTACTGATCAAGAAGCAAAAAACGGAAGAATACCGCAGCTCGCCCAGAATTGTTTGGATCCTCCAGAATTGAAGTGGCTACCTTCTTTGCATCCTTGAGGAAAGCTTTTAAAAGGGGAACAGGTGGGTACTTGTCCACAAGACCAACTTCAAAGGTGAAATGTACAGCATCAACCTGCTGTCCTCGGCTAATCAGCTCTTCAATCATATCTGGCAATATGCAAGCAACGAATGTTAAGAATCTAACAGGGTACAAACAGCAGATGGATATAAGATGACATCAAATATCATAGACATAAAAAGCTTATCACCACACTGTCAAGATATACAACATAGAGCAGGTAAGATCAGAATGGATTATCTTGCTAAACAGGAATAAAAGGACAAGCTAGTTAAGGTGAAAGGAGGTCAGGATAATAGATCAGCTTACTATGAGATGGTTTGTAATTTAATGAAAGCATACATTGTTTTGTCATCTAGTTAAGAATGCAAGCATGAGCAGAGAAGGATCCAAACATGTTTCTGGAGCTTTGTTGGAAAGTCATTTAGTCCAATTTATAACTGGAAATCACATTCACAGTTTATAAGACTTGCGACTACGATTATCATTTCTTAACCTTCAAAAAAGAGAAAAGAATATTTATTTATATGTCCTAATGAATCCCAAGGCTGCCTATTAGTTAATTAAGTACTTGCACCAACAGACAACCAAAGAAATCTTGCTGAAATATGAAATGTACTTGATTTTGAAAGCAGCAACCATACTAAATGACCTGAAAACAATTCATCACTAAATGTTTATACTCAGCTACCTTAGGACTGATTTGATAGAGAGCAAGTTATAGTCGCATAACTATGAAGGTCCAAGTCATCTTCATTAAAGTCATCCCTAAACCAGCTTACTCCTTCTGTGAGATTATAAACAAAGCCCATACACAAATAATGAGGTGAAGTTTAGCTAGTACAATTAATTTCTGTACATAAGTTCATTCCATTTCTACCTTGATCAGTATCCTCGCATGATTACATATTACTCTTGAAGCAAACCATACAATTAATTCTAAGTAACCGAGATTATTATGCCTTTCATTGTCTTATCATACCCTCTACATAGAGAGCTTATTAATTTCTTCTTTCAACGGAGCAAAATTCTGAAAATGGAAACGTTAACTTCATAAATGTTAGCAGAACGGTTTGAAAAAAAAAATAAAAAAAATCAACAGCTTTGATCCAAAAACAAGCACAAAACAACAGCAGAGAAGCACAAGCAAACACAAAAGGGATGTACCAGGCATTTTGTCACCAAGACCAAGAGAAACAGCAAGTTTAGGCATCTGTTTCCTCCAAGCAGAAGCCACAACGAGCTTCCTATACAGCTCCAAATCATCTTCCTTAACGATCCCAAAAGTCACCAAATGCTGCAGAAACGTATGGACATCCGGAGTCTTCACATTCTCAATCCCACCTCTCTCCTCCAAACTCCTCTTCCATATCTCCGCAATCTCCTCAGCTCTCTCCTTAATTTTCGGAGTCACCAGCATCCTCTTCTTCCCCAGCACAGGATCCACCATCACCGGAATCAATGACTCCAACAACAACACACAAGCCCACCCAAGGTCATTCCCGAAAAGGTTTCCACCACCGTTATTCTCAGCACACTTCCTAATATCCACCGGAAACACCTCAGAAATCGCCTCCAGCACAAACTTGGGAGGATCAACACATTCTCCTAAAGCTTTAGGAATCTCCTGCCTCAATAACTCCAATTCCTTCTTCCTTACCACAACAAATCCCCAGAAATTCTTAAAATCCATCCTAATACAGTACGACTTCAACCTCACAAGCACACCAACCGAATCATCCACCTCACCATCTCGGTTTTCCCCATTTTCCTTCGAGGCGGCGGCGAAAATCGCTTCTTTCTTCGTCTTCTCAACTTTCTTCAGCGCCATGGAGAGAGTGGTCTCCAGAGTGGACTCCCGCTGGGAAAGCTCATCCATGAAGAGCTTGGTCTCGTTGTCTAGGGTTTCGAATTTGGCCTTCAAGGCGGCGGATTTCTTCTCGAGGTCCTGTTCAAGGGAAGTGAAGTGATCGGAAAGCTCCTTCCAGAGTAGAGTACAGCTGGTCATCAGAGAAGTCTGGCGCTGGAAGTCATCGAAACTCGGCGGCGGTTCCGGGTGAACCAACTCGCCGGGATCGGCGATTGAACCCATTGGCGGTGGTGGGTTTGGTAAGGAAGAAAACAGGGGAAATTGGAGGAAAAAAAAAAGCCCTAAATAAGGGAATATTTTCTGTGAGGTAAGAAAAAATGGAGCAAGGGAAAAAAAGGTAAAGCGAAGTTTGAAGTGATGGGTACTGGAACAGTGACACTGACGTGGATGTTTCAGTGCGAGACACGTGTGATCTTGTCTGCGGGAAAAAGGCAACTTGCGCGGTTGCTGCTATTGTGCGCTGCGTGCGCAGATGGTGTTTCCCGCTTTAATTTTACGAAGTTGAATATAAAATGTAAGAGAGATTAACCGGAAAACTCAATTGAAATTGATAGAAATGGGTTTTTCTGTGTGTATTTTAAACATTATCATAAAAAATTGTATTAAAAATATTTTTTAAAAAAATGCTAAAATAAAGAATATATTACTAAAAAATTATGAAAAAACCTAGAAAATTAAACTGACAACATTTCTAAGCAAATTTTGTCCTCTTTTCCAAGTTTTCAACTTAAATTACAGTAAGATCACTTTTATTGACATAATTACGTACTTTCCGTCTCAAAATGATTATTCTGTTTGAATTTTTAATTTTAATATACTTTATTGCAGAAATGAAGATTTCAGTTAGACAATCATTTCGAGAAAGAAAAAAATACATTTTCAGATCATCTCTTGGATGAAAATTATACAGATATTTTATATTCCCTTTGTTTCAAAAAAAACTCACATTGAATTTGAATTTTATATTAGAAATAGTACAAATATCAAAATTTAATGTGAACTAGATGTTTGGCCCGCCCTTCTACTTTAATTTTGTGTTAATAGATAAATGAATTCTTGATTTGGAAAAATAAAATAACTACACATTTGATTTTTTTCTCTTTTTTAGCCAAAAATAAAAATAAAAATTAAAAAATTATCTTCTAAAGGAGAAAAATATTGAAAAGTACAACGATACAGAAATCATACAAAAAAGTGGAGTGATAAAAGGAATAAGTTTATGGAAAAATTTAAATGCTATTTTAATTTGATTGATAAATGATAAATGTTAGGAGTTAAAATTATGTAACTATTTTTGTCAAGTAGCTTTTGTTTCTCCGGATAAGAAATTTTTTTTTCTTTTAAAAAGGGATTATACGTGGAAGAATGGTTAATGCAATATGGTGCATTTGGAGCGAAAAATTTTTAATAAAAATTTGTCACATCAACATCCTGTATCCTGCTTTAATAGGGTAAAGGAGATAAGGCTAATAAAAAGAGGATTATGGTAACTTCAGCAGGAAAAAATGACATTCGTTTGCTTGCTTGACTGATTGATTCTTTGAAAGAATCATAGCCATAGAATCTCTTGTTATGGCAAGGATACAACTGGGATCGTTTGATTCGTCTGGATTTGATTTCTTTCTTGATTGCGACGTCACTAAAAATAAACAAAAATATGAAATTGGTGCTTCCCAAAGGAATCTTTGATGAATAAGTTGATATGTACATTATAATATTGTTTTTGTGAGGTGTTGTTGTCCCACGAGCGTCAAAATGAGAATATCCATAATCATAAAAAATTAAAAACTATTCTTAAATAAAAAGAATAGTGTTCTTTTCTCTATAGAAAAATAATTTAATTTGTTAAATTAAAATAATAATTTTATAAAAGTGAACTGTGAACTAAAAATGTACGAGTCAAAAGAAAATCCTCTGTACCATCATATAGGTTAACAAAAATTTATATCAGAGGACATCCTTAGGTCATAATATTTGTCACTGTTAGGCTCTTGCTTATATTTAGTTGTAAATATATGTTTAAATTGGAGTCCTCCCCCGAAAAGAAAAAAAGATTTCGTTATTATAAAGTTTCTGTTCGACAGACAAACATTTTTTTTTTTTTTGGATAAAATGAACAGTTTAGTTATAACAACAACAAATGAATATTCATAACTAAACTAATGGAGAGACTATAACTCTTCAATAAATAGTACCAATTTTGTTTGGAACCACAACTGCATTATCAATAACTAGTATTGATTGTAACAAATGCCGTCTATGCTATAGTTTGATACACAACATCAGTTATTATATCAAAATCACTCCGTCCCATAATTATTGTCCAGTTTGAGTTTTCATTTTTAATTCAAATGATACTAAAAGTTAAATCTCAAAGTGGACAATAATTTTGGAATAAAGAGAGTATATATTAATAAATTTCGTGTGTCAACTTTTTTTAATATATTTTTAATACATTTTTGTTATATTTTAATAAAAATACTATTTTTATGTAAAAGAATAATCCGCATTAAGTTTTGATATTTGTATTTGTGTCTAACAATAGTTCTATTTTCAAGGACGTGAGTCGATTAATAAATTAACGGGGGCAGTTAAAACTTGTTTGTTGTTTGTCTATAAAGTGAGGAGAAGATGATGCATGAAATGAGGTGAGCAAAACAAGGGGAATGTTTTTGACATTTTTGTATGAAATGAGTAGTTTATACTAGCTTAATTAAAAATCAAGAAAAATGCTACAACTAGGTTAGGCAGGAAGATAGAACATAGAAGGAGACTTTCCCAGAAACCGAAGTTAACAAATTCTAAATAAAAAAATAAAGCAAAAGGTTTTAGGGACTGGAAAAAGCCGGAAAAAAAAAGTGGTAGGGTTTGGTGGTGGGGATGATGGTGGTGGTGGTGGTGGCCCCCGCCCCCCCTCCCCTAAAAACCCTTCAATGACCACCACCACCGCAACCACATGGTTGTAGTCAGAAAAAGTAAAGACATTGCCGGCTTCATGAACCCTTTTTACTTGCTACTTGTTTTGTGTAATTGCTTTCCTCTTACTATTCTGTTTGAAGACTCTACAATAGCTAATGGTGTAACCAAGGGGTTGGGTTTACCCTCGAGCGAAAAAAAAAAGTAAGGATTGTGTCTTATACGTTCATCTCAGAGATTGACAATTTAATTATTGCTTATTAAAAATATAAACCTTAGATTATGTGTCTAACAAAATATCTCATCGACCAAAATAGTCTGATGCTCTTTAATTAAAGTCTCGAGTTCAAGTCTTGATAGATGAACCAAGGACGAACAACATAGTTTGATCCAAGAAAAATATTATCTATGATATGATCATATATAGACAACTAGAAGTGTCATGTCAAAAAGATTCAAAATAGTTACTACAAAATTTTCCTTGTAACCAAAATCCATTAACAAGATTTTACGCATCTTTTTTTCCCATCATAACCTAATTAGATTCTTACTTTTCCAACTTGAATAGGACATACATAATAAGCAATAACTCAATTCAACTGTCCCTTACCAAAGAAAATCGTAAAAGATATTGGTGAAAATTGTGCAAAAGTCCTCCATTTTGGGACCCCAAAGAACAGTGATGATGACCTCAAATAGGGGACCTTAAAATGAATATGATATTTTTGTGTAGGTTAAAACCTAAAAAACAAACACTTGGACCAAACAAAGTTTTTTTTTTTTTTTTCATATTTGCAGGATGTCCACTATCGTTAGTGACTAATCTCCATCGCGGAATTGTAAGCACTTTGATGGGTGGGATAGTTGGCCAAAGTATTTAAGATTGTTCCATGCCCATGACGAGGTTTGAACCTCAACTTATAATTAAGGGTGGAAGAGTCCCTTCCACTTCACCGCAACCAATTTGGTTACTTGGACCAAACAAAGTTACTAAAATAGAATTCCTTAGGAGACACGATTTAATCCTTAAAAACTGTCAAAGAGATAAGGTATATTTTTGTGCTGGCAAAGAAATAATGTATATGGAATGAACAAAGAGGTCAGGCATGCGCATGTGAGAGAGTTTCTGTAGCTAAAAACCCTTGAAAAAGGCTGCACCTTCTTCTCCAGTCATCAAGTTTGCTTTGCATCTCTGTTATTAAAGCTTTGCCTACTATTACTACTTTAGTTCAGAAAAAGAGTGGTGGTGTTACTAATTACAGCCACATTTTGATTTTCTTTTTGGTCTTTCATAACTTTCATTCCCACATGATGTCAGAACAAGTTGAACAGATGATAGAAGACCAAGAATCATTAACATTTACAAAGCTCTAGCATCTTCTGATCCCTTAGGCACGGGATCTCACCTAAGCATTTGTTTTTCTGTTTTGTTTTATCACAGTTATAATTACATGCTGCAAAACCAGAAACAGCCTCTTTGCAAAAAGCAAGGGTAAAGCTGTGTACAAAAACCGAGTTAGCCAGGAATATGATATGAATCATATGTTCCTAGTTCCTATTCTAATCCAAGTTAGCAAAAGAATTACAAGTAACCACCAACGAACTAGAGGTATCTATGTTTTTCTTTAACCTCTATTCTATCTTTAACCTCTATTCCACGAGTATGCGCATGCAAAGGGAATGAAACTTCCAAGTTCCAACCTTTCATTTTTTACGGTACAATAGGAATCTGATCAAATCAGAGACAGAAAACAAACACATATGCAAAGCTATTATAACTTAAAGAGCACTCTTTTCCCTGAACCAAGATCAACGTGCAACAGCCAGTTCAACCTACTGGCCATCTTTAATCCTGGTTAACAATAAATCACCTTCATTTTTCTCCCCCAATGTTCAAATTCTCTTATATTGATAAGAATAGGTTCACACTTAAACGGCGCTAAGATCACGTACTGTTGCTACGTCTTTCTGATCAGTAGCAGCCCTCAGTTCAATGTAATCATTCTAATGATCTAATGTATTAATTGTTGCATGAGTGCTACAAGTACAAGCTACAAAGTATAAGCACTTCTAGAACTCAAAACTAGATTTATTAACACAATAACAGCACTAAAAGTCAATTGCAGCACAGGGAAAAAGAAATTGTAAAAATCACCACTTCATTGCTGAGACGCAATTCACCGTCATTCCCATCAATCTAAAAAATAAGGTTTTAAATCTCAATATTAAAGCACAATGACCTATGATTATCCTAGCAAACCAAATCCGTAAATAACAGTGCATGTGGAGTGGGTTAAAGTATTGGCGTGACAGCTGTATCTAATGTGCCCAACCCAAAGATTGAGAGTCGAACTTTGCTAGCAATGCAAATGCAACACCTTCTCCCCTTAACTCAAGCACCATAAGGCTTGCTTAAAAAAGAGGGACCGAAAAATAAAGAAAACAAAAGAAAAAAACTGCAGACTGTACAATTCTACTATCCAATCTCACCAATTTGATTGGATGCAAACCTTACATAGATCCTATGCACGGTCCCAATCCTAAACATTGGATGCTCCCATTTCCATTTGTTTTGCATTGTTTCTGATAAGAGACAAAGGTAGTGCAAAGCAAGGAGGTCACTGTCATAGTGTCAAGACATAACACGAACAGCAGAAAATTCAGCACTGAGAAGCACTTTCAGTAGTGGAGATCAACACAACAGATTCCATCTACAAAATCCAAGTCCAGAGCTATTGAAAAGCCTATAAGCAACTAGATGACACGATTTAACAAATGAAAATCCAAGAAAAAGTTAATAGAAAACAGATCTCATCCATTGATTAAAAAAATGAGAAAACAATCCCATTACAAAGGATCAAACTCATGCTTCATTGCCAAGAAGAAGCTCAAAATTCATAAACAAGAATCATTGATCTAAATCAACCAGGTCCTATGAGTTTTGAAGCACTACTTGGGAAGCTCCGATTCCTTTCTACTATGAATCACGACTTTCTTCCTAGTTTCAAAATCAACCCTGTCTAAATCAGAAACTGTCGCCATATACCCATAAAAGATTCTCTTTTTTTCTTTAGTCTTCTCATCTACCTTAACAAGGTTTGGATTATTATCATCTTCCTTGCTTAAATTCAGGGACTCCACACGGGCCCAACCGTTTCGCCCATGGTTCTCTCTTTCAAAATACTCAGCCAGTTGCAGTGCTTCCATCAATCCTGACTGATTACTACCAAACTTTATAAGAGTAATGCCCAGATGGCCATCTTTTGAATACATAGACTTTGACTTGCCACCATGAAATCCAAGATCTGAAAACAACATTCACGGAAGTTGCAGTATTAAATACTGAAAAAACCCCTAAAAAATGGTAAAGCAGACAGAAATTCTCTCTACATGTATGTGGCTAAGCCTTAGAACATTTCTGACACCAATGGTTATAATCCATTTATGTTGCAAGCTCCAAAGAAAATACACCCAAAACTGTTTGGAAAAATAATTATTTGCTGCCATTAGGCGCAAGATCATAACAGTGCAATTTGTTTCCAGTTTAACTAATCCGCCAACAAAGTGACAGAATAATGGGGGAGAGGTTTAGATTGATTAATAACTGAACAGAACGACATCAACTTAACACTGAGCCACATTCGATGCGGAAGTTTTTAAGAGTGAACTCAATCATCTCTGATTTCCTCTTTTGCAGGCCCAAACCTATTTATTACTCCCTGTCCCAAAAAAATAAGTCCACATTGAGTTTTGAAATTTGAACTAGAATGTGGGCTATTTTTTTAAGGACAGAGGTACTATTATTATTACACAAGGATTATTCCTGGTAAGTAGTCCAGTTTGTTCACCAATTCATCTCATTTGTACCATAACAGAGACTGCAAATTAAAAAAAATCTCCATAGAACCCTACAAACTAAAAAGATGTTCACCCCGAAAAGAAGAGGATCATATTAGCTGAAAAGTGGCTGAATTCGAAGAAGCAGACTCAAATTACTGAGCAACAAAAAATACAAGTGAAGAAGAATAGGTGCAATATACCCACCTCTAAGGAAATTATCCATTGCCCTGTTACCTAAACCCTCCATCCGACCTTCCCTACCTTTTCCGGTGATTGTATTATGAATTATCACCAAAGGCGGCCACATAATAAGATCATCCAAGTTTCCTACTGCTTCTTCAGCAGACAGGAATTGATAAGCCTTTGAGTTATCAGGAGGGATCCTATAATTCCACCCCATCAGTATGCACAAAGCCTTGTGTAATCCCAAGTGTTCCACAGCCAAGTTAGGGGCATCTGAACTGTATACGTGCATAATGAGACCATGCATATCTGTAAAGTCTTTCGAAGACCTGTATTTTTCAAACGCCCATATTTCAGATGTTCCGTAATTTCGGCTGATAAACACTGGAAGAATAGAATGACATATATGCTCACACCTAAACTCATTAATATCAACAAGACTACAACAATTTGAAGGTGACTATACACAACAAGATAAATAAACAAGAAAAGACTCGTCAGGGGACGCAAAAAGTACTACTCTATCTTGTCCAAAACTGAACAAAAGCAATGATGCTATTTCGAAGATCAATAGCATCATTAGTTTACTACGCTCAGTCAAAGAAAATAGTATTGTCTACTTATCTCAAGAGCAATAAGCCGATGCCTGCGTGATAAAAACTTCTATCACATTAACAATGTGCCACTTGGGATAAGTCTGTGACATAGGAGTCAATTTTTCATAAAAGCAACAGGCGTTCCTAATATTGAGTAGATACATAAGAAACAGAGAATAGCAATCAGCATAGGTGGAAGTCAATATTTCGCCAAGTTTTCAGGACAATTGAGTCAACACATGATTGCTTTACTAACAGCAAGCATCCTGCAAGCAAGTAGCACAATGAGATGCCACAATTTCTAAATACATCACGTCCTAATGCCCAACTCCTGTGAGTTATTGCAACATTAATATCAAAAATCATTTCCTAGTAAAACCTTGAAGCACAGTTGCATTCTTTGCAGTAAGACATCAAACAGGACAGTGCTCAATCCATGGCGACAAATGCAGGAAAATCAAAATAAGGCAAAAGATACTAGAAGTATTTCCAAAAATACCCCCAGTCCCATAACTAACCCTATTGTAGCAATGCTACTCCAGTCTCCTAATTAGCCCTATTCTAGAGGGCCACCTTACAGAGAGACGCACATATTAATGTAGCAGAAGACAATAAAGGAACCTAAAATATTGACATTGCAATTTCCCTAAGGCGCAACATGAATCTTAAAAGAGATCGACGAAGAAGTTTTGACTAAATCGAAGGCAGAAGCGATTGACTGCTTCAAGATCTACCAATGCAAGTGACCGCATTTGGAAAGGCCAAATATCAGAAACTAGAGGCTCCTATCCGATTGCAATGATCCAATCCAAATTGAAGCTTTCCTTAATTTTCCTAGTTGATATCCAGTGGCAAGTACATCAAGCCACACAATAAGAAAGAATAACTCGTGTATCAAAGATGACAAAATAAAAAAAAAATTAAAAAAAAGGGGGGCAACGCAAATTTACTAAAAAAAGAACAGGATATGGGTGCGCAGGTCACAATATTAATAGCTCATACAAAGCCGCACACCTCAGTGATATGATATGAAACCCCAAAAGAGAACTTAGATAAGAAGCACTCCTTTGAGAAATACTAAATTTTAACATTACAATTCCACCAACTACTTCTACATACGAAATTTCTTTCTCCAATTATCTTGTGTTTTATTCAAAATGAATCCCAGTCAAACAGAAACCCCAATAAGGAAGAGAACTTGGGCTCAAAATCGGCAACCGATAGATTGAAAGCCCAATAAAGAAAAGAGCTTGGCCTCAGAATGGGCAACCGATATATAGCAAACTTCAACTATAAGAAGATAAGAAGCGCCTAAAGATTCCATAAATAGCATAGCCAGCAATTAAGAGAATCTTACAGGAACTATCACTAAAGAGAGAGTCGAGGACTGAGCCTTAAAAATAACTTTAAAGAGAAAGACTAGTACTTTACGTAACTCTAAAGAGAAAGAGTACTGTGAGCTGCAAACATTTAAACTGGTGCCTCAACCCTAATCGACATCATACGTTTCTATCATAAATTCTCCAAATATCTAAGTGATAAAAGGCTGATCCTTAGTGTTAGTATAGGTGAATAACGAATGATGGTAGGATATTAGACTTCTGATTTCACTTAGGAGTGCCTTGTATAGCACACTAACCCCTAAGAACATATCAACTTGTCAATGAACGACATGCAATTGGAAAAACAGAAAGTTTCTGTTACTAATTATGTCATTAACATGAAGGGAATTAATAGATACTAGAATAACATTAAGGGAAACAACAGCTATACAGAATACAGTCGTCGATACACGTATTCAGATCAGTTAAAGTACAGCAAATAACCAAATTTGGAGCAAAACAAGCAATAAGATATACTGGAATACGGAAAATCAAAAGCCATCCGACTAACAAACCTTCCACAAGCAACACACTGCAAAGACCCTTGCTTTCCGTTGGCCAAATATTTCTTCTTCTGAGTTGCATTCTCGAAAATTAACTTGACAAAATGCAAAAAGGCCTTCCTCAACGCATCCTGATCAACCTCATGATGTTTTGTTTTTCCCACACTCCCCTCACCAATCCTCATTGATTTGGCAGCCCTCACTTCCCCTCTTCTCCCTTCCCCATGAATTCCACTCGTCCCAGCCATTGCATTTGAATTGTCACTTCCATACTGCAAAAGCTGCAGCCTTTGCCTCTCAAACCCATCTCTCCCTTCCCTTTCCTCATCCCCAAACTTCCTCTTCAAAGAATTCCCTGCATTCCTAAAGTCTTGGTTCCTAAACCTCGTTAAACCATCAACCCTCTCTCCCAATTCATGCCGTAATTCAGGACCACGGAAATCCGGGCTGATTGGGAACTTCCTATCGAAACCAAACGCCGGACCCCGAAATTCAGTCCGAGGCGGGAACGGGATAAAATCTTCATAATCCGGAGGTAAAGCAAAATAAGATCGCACAGAACCGTCGGCGAGGACAATAGTCCGGCGGTCAAGCGAGTGAAAACCATATGTAGGTGGCGGAGGCGGGTCGGGGAAGGGAAAAGGGGGAAGCTTGGAGTGATTCGGATTCGGGTCTACTGGTCTAGGTCCTCTGAGAGATGGGTTTATCGGTGGTCTTGGAGATGGTTTATTGCCACTGAAATTATTTGGTTTGGGTTTTGGAGTTTGGGGCTTGGAATTATTAGGCGTGGATGTTGATTTGTTATGCACGGAATTGGAAGGCTTCCGATTAGACGGAGGCGTTGCTGCGGCGGCCGCGGTGGCGGAGGAGGAAGATTCCAACCGGGATTTATTGCGTTCGGAAGAAGAAGAATGGGAAGGAGGATTTGGTGGCTTATTCGAAGATGGTTGTTTTTGACCTTTTGTTTGGTTGCCTCCCGCCATTGCCCAAACCAGTAGGAAGCTTTGAGCTGGTCTCTGTTTAGCTTTACACTTTACTCTTCGAATATTTATAGACAAGACTATGAAAACATCGCTAATACTAAGAGAATTCAGTTTCAGATATGGGTTTTCCTCTTTAAGGATTGGGTTGACCTATCTATGATCTTGATATGCCGTTGACCTGTCTTCTTGAATAAATTTCTTGAGCACGTAGAAAAAGTTAGGGTGGTTCAATGGAAGTTGCGTAAATGTTGCAAACTATTGAAGAAGACGGAAAGACAAAGAACAGTTGTATAATATTCTAGCGATGGCTCGTTCTTTAGGTTAATGGAGATTACAGAGAACTGATCTTCAGTAATTTCTTCGATTCAAAATGATGGTTAACAGAGACGGTCTGAATTAGGGTTGTGTCGAGTTATGCATTTCACAGAGTTCATAAGATTTTTTGGAGCAAAAATGTCATAAAAATACAAATCGTGTAAATCGTTAACATCTCTGTGAATCATGTCATTTAGTTGAAAATTGACACCCCTAGTCTGAATATATGAAAAGCATTCATGGATGAAGAGCTCGGACAATTAACTGAAATCGATGCTAAATAGAATAAACCAGAGAATTCACTGATTCACTTTAAACTAAAATAGCAAAGAGATAAGAATCCAAAACTCAAATCTTTTTAAGACAAGAAATCTTGAGCCACAAAACTCCCTACTTCTTCTCCACATCGTTGTTTTAAACATACTGTTAATAAGCTAGGAACATTGGGTAAAAACAAAAACCAAGACTGGACAATAATGTCCTAGTACAATATGCCAATGCTTAACGCTTCTTGGAGACACCAACAGTCTTTCCCCTTCGTCCGGTAGTCTTGGTGTGCTGACCACGAACACGGAGACCCCAGTAATGTCGGAGACCACGGTGATTCCTGAGATTATGAAGTACAATCATCATCATTAAAAGAAAAGTAAAAGCAGTAGATGCAAAGAGCAGAAGGCATAGGGCATGAAGAAAATAGAATCCAGTCAATCTATTTACATTATTAGAGCAGTAAATGCTTAAACAAAGGATTTATCTATAGAATTGTACGAAATATATTACATCAAAACATTACAAGGTTACCACTTACCATAATTAGCATGACTTTGCATTTTCTTGAGGAATGAAAACTTGACATACAGTTAAGGTGTTAATCATGTTATAGAATAGTCTTTTTGCATTTTCTTGAGGAATGAAAACTTGACATACAGTTAAGGTGCTAATCATGTTATAGAATAGTCTTTTGACAATATAAACGGTCCAGGTATGTACCACATCCAGCAGTTACAAAAGTAAACATCAACTTCAGGGTCTCCTAACGAAGTTAAAGGTACAAAAAATGATAAACGACAATAATGCAAGAACAAAACGAACCTGATCTTCTTCAAACGCTCAAGGTCATCCCTCAGCTTCATGTCCAAAGCATTGGACACAACCTGAGAGTACTTGCCATCCTTGTAATCCTTCTGCCTGTTAAGGAACCAGTCTGGGATCTTAAACTGGCGAGGGTTGGCAACTATGGTCATCAACTGGTCAATTTCAGCAGCAGAAAGCTCACCAGCTCTGTCATTCAGCATTAGAACAAAACATTAGAGTACAACTCATCTTCAAAATCTCATCACACAGATTAAGAAACACAAACTGCATTAGTATTCCCTTCCCTTCCCTTCCTGTCCAAAACCCCTCCTCACAATATGAATTAAAAAAGAGAGCTGGTAAACCATGTCCACAGCAAAACTCGAATTTTGACAGATATAATATAAGCATTTCAATCCATTGCCAGCAAAACAAGGTAGTAAGGCATCAAAAGGGAAATACAAACACAACCATATCATTCCAATAGCATTTCTAAACGAACACGGCAAAGTCAACATCTATATTCACAGTTGTGACTAAATCCTGGAAACATTTACCTAAAGAAAAGCAGATTATTCTAGTAACCATAAAATCTAGTGACAATAACTGGGAACTAAAAATCAACCGCATGTATAACACTCACTAAAGGGAAACATAATCAAATAAACAAAAACCAAAAAGGGCCTAAGAGGCTGACCTTTTGTTCATGTCGACATCAGCCTTTTTGCAGACAATGTTAGCAAAACGGCGACCAATACCCTTGATCGAAGTCAAAGCAAACATCACCTTCTGTTTGCCATCGACGTTGGTGTTCTGAATACGCAGAATGTGCTGAAATTCTTCGTTCGCCACCAGAGCCTATGCCATCCGAACACAAAATCAATCCACCAAGAAGACGAAAAGTTAAACAATAAGAAAGGGTTTTTCATCAAGAACTTGGATCGAACGAATCCCATGAACTCACCATGATCGTTGATCTTTCTTTGAGCTTTTCCGCTTCGTTTGGCTCTTCTCCGTCTGCTGTGTTTTGCTGTGAGGCTGAAAATGGGGAGAGCTACGTTGGAGAGACAAAAAAGGGTTTTTACGTTTATATAAACCCTAATTTTGTTGGACATTAAACAGGCGCTAGCCCATTATGATATTTTGGGCCTAATCTTCTGGATGGGTCTCACTTTTTTTATTTTATGGCCCATAATAAAGTATTTATTTTTCTTCTTTTTTCTTTTTCTCTTTGGATAAAATGAATGGAAAAGGAGCACTACATATAAGCTGCAATTGCTCTTACGTTTGTTCTGAAGTTCAAGAAATCTGTCTGAAAGAGCTGAGGTTAGTCAGTGGATTCAATGGGTTTTTGTAGAATTTCAGTGTTCATGTTCTTAATAGTAAAAAAATTCATTAATTTTTGCTGCTGAAAAGAAATGGCCATCGATTCTTCATTCAAGCTTCAGTTTTTCTTTATGTGAAAATTTTAAGTTTTGGCATGTAAGAAATGGAAGAGAAAGACTAATGAATTGAACCCTCTTGTTTTCTTTTTCTTTGATTTACCATGAAGGGGTTGACTATGATTGTGATGGGATAGCATGAATCAAGAGATTGCTGCTGTGTGTCTTCCGCATTGGGAAATCAAGTTTGTTGAAGAGCAAAAATGGCTTCTTTCCTTTCAGTAAACATGTGCCTCCCTACCATTCAGCAGCATTCAACTCGGAGGAGTCAGGTTGTAGGTGAGAATATACAGTCTGTTATTGTCAAAATCGATTCGTGTAATGATTAATTGGAAGCCCAGAAATTAATTTAAGATATGCTGTTTGAAAATGTTTGGAGTTGCTCTTGCTTTCCTGTTTCCAATTCTCTGCATATCCCATAGTTATAATCTTTGAATAGAGTATTATTCTTAATCCTTATTGTCTTATTCTTAATCCTTATATTCAATTTCTGACTGTATGTATGTTCAGTAGTTTGTGGTTGTGCACCCCTCAAATTAACCACATTGTGCTCACACCTTTCTAATTTCGACATAACAGATCAAGCACAACCCAGGTGTTTTGATGTGTCAAGAGGAGCATCGTCGCGTCGCCTTGTTGTTTTAGGTTGTGGTGGAGCTTCATTGTTTTCATGTGTGATGATTAACTGTATTTTATCGCCATTAGTAGCTTTTGCTGGAGAGGAATCGAAAGCTGAGGAGGAGAAAGACGAGGGTTTGATTGGGGCATTGAAATCCTTGTTTGATCCTAATGAGAAAACAAAATCCGGTAAAGTGTTGCCGAAAGCATATTTGAACTCAGCAAGAGAGGTTGTGAAGACATTGCGAGAATCACTGAAAGAGGATCCCAAGGATATGGCTAAGTTCAGAAGAACTGCTGATGCAGCCAAGGAGTCAATTAAAGGCTATATAAATGATTGGAAAGGGCAAAAGACAGTAGTTAATGAGGTAAATTTCTTGTTCAAATTTGATTTAGGAGGAACTAGTGTACAAAACTGCTTGCATGTTAAAATCAAAAGCTAAATTAAGTAACGCTGTAAAGTTCTGTGGTCATACTGCCATATTTGTGCTGCATCCATGGTGTAAATATGTGATACAAAGGAGATCGTGGAGAGAAAATTCAACATTTTGAGGACTTCCGCTTGTTAGTTCTCTCAAGAAGACAACTGGCAAAAGATATGTTGAAACGCTTTTGTGAACATTTCTTGTATCATGTGTTGAGTTCTTAAATAGTGTGGTAAAGACATGAAGATAATGTCATGCATCGTACATTATGTATCACAAAGCTAGTCTTTTGTTGCCTGAGCTAATATTGTCGTGCTTGATAATCGCAGGAATCATATGTGATGCTTGAGAAAGCAATAAGATCCCTTGCCAACTTTTACTCTAGGGCAGGTCCTTCAGCCCCTTTACCAGAGGATATCAAGTCTGAAGTTCTTAGTGATTTAGACAAAGCGGAAGAGTTTCTGTAGAGTTAGGTTTCTGCTATGTATATGTTACTGGTTTTTGTTTTGACAAATGCGAAAACTGTAAAACATGTCTACATAACTCGGACATGGAAAAGAAATACTACATTTTTTTTACTGATTGTTTATAATCACTCAGAAATCTACTTGTTTGTGGTTGTTAAGGAAATATAATTTCCAGTTCTTTTGTTACACCCACTTCCATACAGACTAATATTTCCACAAGCTACTCCTTGAGACTGGTATGTTTTCAATCTCTAACTCGCTCGTTCCCCGGATGATGTAACTCAGAAAAGTATTCCTGTCCCTGGATATAAAAATTCTGCACTTTCGTGAAGGAAGAAGTATGAAGTTTTAATCACTAACCAGAGCCGAAGAATCCTTTTGCATGCAAGTGAAAAGACAAGAAACCTACAATGCAAATTTAAAGAGAACACACACAGTAGTTTCGACCAATGAACAGAGTTTGTAGTACAGAATGGTTGGTGTTACAAATCCTTAGTTCATAAAACTGGGTACCAAATACCAATACGTACAATCACTTTGCAGTGATTGACTCCAGAAAGTCAAAGTAGAAATGTGACAGAATTTGTTCTCACAGACATGCAGTACACCATCAGAATTGATTCATTCCAGGGGGCCAGTAGATGAGTGCATAAGCATCACCAACATATTTTGTGGTTAAAAAGAACATGTGATCATGCTTTTGCCGGGTGCTACAGAGCAATGCTCAAAGTATAGAAGCTGGGTCCAACATATTCGAGTTCCACCTTTCCATTATACAAGTCTCTAAGTCCGTGAGAGAACCCCTTTTGAGCTGCACATACAAAAGAGGAATGTTTTAGTTTGTAGCATACATCTCCCTTCTTAAATAAGTTGAGCTTCTCATTCTTCTTTAAACAACAGTAATTGCTCTTCACGTGCTAATTTCACCCATCTAAATTTACAGGCTGACTCAATTCTAACAAACCTCGGACGGCAGCATCCAGTGAGTAGTTTGGTAAGGTTCAGATATTGCCATCTACAATTCAATTGACATTCCTAACAACACAGTGGTTTCATATAATGACTCTGAAGCCCAGATACCAGTTCAATAAACAAAACCAGCATCTTTTCCTACCATTTTGTAGATAGTAAGCCAGGTAGCAGATGGCTAAACTAAATTAAGGAGCATCTGTAATTCTGATCAAGCACAAAAGAAAATACATCATCCTCTAACGAAATACCCAAGTTCTGTTCTTAAGTTTCTTAAACAAACTTGTAAAAAGAATAAAAATTTTATTTAATATAAACCTGCACAGATTTAGTACATAAGGAAGTAGTTCAGCAGTCAAACCTTGGAATACTTCCACGGCGACGTGAGTCATATTCTGTAGCTTGCCTGAGAGCTCTCGCGAAAGCCTTGAAGGTTGCCTCAATTATATGGTGAGAATTTTTTCCAGCAAGCTGTTTCAATGAAATTTAATGGGTTAAAGATACAAACTTTTGATAGAGAACTATGCTGGCATTGATTTCTATAACGTTACCACGAAGAGATTATCTAAACTAGGATCCACTGAAAGCTTTTGAACAATGCAGAAAGAATGCCAATCCGTTAGGATCTTGTGCGGTAAAAACTGAGAGTTTAAAAGGTGTAAAACTCATAATTACCTGTCGAATATGAAGTGTCATTCCAGAAGTGTTGACTAGTGATTGAAAGAAGTGCTCCACCAACTAGCGATCACAAATTCAATTTTGGATTAGAATGCCTCATAGCAAGTCACTTTAAAATAAAGACAATGCCACAATACGAGTTCTTATAAGAATATGATTTAGAGCAATAAGAACACCAGTAGAGTGGAACATAAAAATATCATATTCTACTTCTAGGATACTCTACACATCTTTTGCACCAAATTAAATACACACTACAGATTCAACAACTCCAACGTAAAATAAACCACCATGGAAGACAGATTGAGAGTATTTAAATCAGAACTATCAGCTTATAATGTTTGAGGGTACCTGAGTGTCATATGTCCCAACTCTCTCAGTAGGTATCTGAAGATCAAAACTGAGATGTGGTCGACCAGATAAGTCCTACATCGATTATAACATCATCAGTTTATATGTAACATGTAACATGTGAATGATTCATGAGAAAGTAAGTTCACAGGGATCTTAGTGTTAATCAACATCACTTCTGAAAAAACATCTTTTACAATAGACAAGGATACCATTATTTCAAGCCTGTTATATTTAGCCCCAGAAAAGAAAAATTAAATAAATAAAAAATCAACATGTAACTAGAACCATACCAGTACGACGTGTATACACGCCTCATCAAGAGGAGCTGAAAAGTCACCAAACCGATTGATTCCCTTTCTATCACCAAGAGCTTGCAACAGAGCCTGCATTAGAAAGTTTAAGGCTCTCATATCCGATTCCAATATTTTGAAGATGCAAGAGCACATTTTGCACACCACTCCAACATGATTATATGGAGTACTCGTATATAAAATTTGCAAATACAAAAAGGGTAAAGAACCAGCAGAGTACAGACTTCAAATAACCATTTCCAAAACAAGAGCAGGTAAAGAAACGTTCAAGCATGCACTCCAAATAAAGGTATACAACATTCGGACCAAAGTAAAAGAATTTTACTTAAGAGGCTTACAGTTCCAAGGGCAAGGGCAACATCTTCATTTGTGTGATGATCATCAATGTGATAGTCCCCAGTGGCTTTCACATGCACGTCAAACAGTCCATGTGAAGCTAATTGCTAACAAAGACAAGAAACCCATCATCAAAAGGAAATGAGATTGCTCGAAGAAAATTAACAACTATCTACTGAGTCAATTCTGGAGCCAGTTTAAGTGTGCACTTAACATTGAATCACAGGTAATAAATGTGTTTTTGGCGCCCCTGCTATAAGAGGACGAACGCGTACCAAGTAACCAACTGCAAACAAGTTCTAAATCTACAGGTATACAACCTCTACGACGATCCACAATCCAACAAAATTGAGAAATATTGATTTCCCCCACCTCAGATAAAAGAGAAACTCCAACTTTTGCCAAATTAAAGCAGTTAGTCTATGCATTACAACCAATATTTTTCCAAAACAATCTTCACATAACACCATTTCTCAGAAAACAACAGAAAGATGAAAATTTGAACTGCAGGAGGAGAGAAAGGCTCAAATTTTAATATGACAAGAAAGGAGAAACACTTACATCCAACATGTGATCAAGAAATGGAATCCCGGTACTGTTCTCAGCCACACCATTACCATCCAAGTTCACCTTCACAAAGACATTAGTCTCTTTTGTCACCCTCTTCACTTCCCCAACTCTATCTGAATTTAAAACCGTAAGAAAATGTAAAAAGCTATATCCAAAAGCAGGGAAGAATCCAAATGAAATAGCAAAGTAAAAGGAAAAAAAAAAGAGAAAATTGGCAAATACCCATTTCAGAGAAAGTTGTAGGGGATCCATTCTCAGTGGCCTGGGGAACTATCCTTTGCGGGTCCATTGAAAGGGGCTTAAAGGGTCGGCTTTTTTTTATGGGTTGATGAAGATTCCCGGCGAGAAGTGAAGACTTTTGGTTGCAGTAGGATATATGAGTCGATTTTGCGAGATGAATTCTTGCAAGATTGAGCTGTTGAAGATGAGAAGATGATGAAATTGTAGAGTCAGCGAAACAACGACGAGCAGGAACTGAAAGCTCCATCAGAAAAGTGTGTCGTAAAGGCGGCCGCAGGTGAGGAAAAAAAGTCAGAACTCAGAAGAGAAGTTTTTGAACTTTGAAGGCGTGATTCTTTCTGAGATATTATTGTTTATCTTTTAGTCCCTCAATTTGAAAGCATTTCCAGTAATGATCGTAAGAAAACAAATTTATGTGGTTGGTTTTGATGATGATTGATGAGTACCCAAAAAAATGAATGATCAGTCTGATCAAAGATTGAAAGATTGAATCTTTTTGGCATTTTGATCCTTTGTTTTATTAAAAAAAAAAACTAAAAATTATTGGACTCTCGAGTGAGAATTTAAACCAGTGGAAACTGGAAACAACAATTCCTCACGTTTAACATAATACTCCATCCGTTCCATAATTATTATCCAGTTTGGAGTTTCAGTTCTACTACAAATTAAACTAAAAAGAAAAACTCAAAGTGGACAATAATTTTGAGACAGAGGTAGTATGAGAATGGTATACAAGCTTTTACCAAATGGGGAATATGAAGGATAGAAATTTTCTGGAGCATTCAATAAGTTCATCCATAGGTTTTGGCTAACAACAAAGATTTAATCCGGGTAAATTCCAGATATGCCTATATACAACAAAACCAAATCTAAAGGAAGAATCACCAATGATTCAGTCGAATTGAACAAAATTTGTTGCCCAACCCCACAAAAAAGGAGGTCACAACTAAGGCAACTTTCTAAACAATTTTCATTATAATTTCTCATCATAGATCTATTGCAGCCAGAATACCTGAGGATGCTGCATATATAAACATCATTTTGCATCAGCTACTGCTAGAATCGTGAGATGTTACTTTCGAAGCACATTTGGCGAATGCTAAGTCCCTTGTGTATTGCACCCAGGTCTTTTACCGATGTAGAACGGTATTCCCACAGCAGCACCTGATTTGGCCGTCTCTGGTCGGACTTAGTGCGCCTCCAATGTAGATTGACACAAAAGCAAGGGTTAGATAGCCGTAAAACTGAAACTCATTGGTCACGACCTGTTACATTCGGCACCAAAGATACACTAAGAAGAATTTGGAGCCATGTCTGCTACTTTTTCAAGTTGAACAACAGTTTCAGTTCCGATTACTTCACTTCCGGTAGTTTTACTCTGATTGCTTAACTGAGGGCTCAAGTGACCAGAGGGTTCGGTATTAGCATCCAAAGTATCTTCAAGTTCTGCAGATTTTTTAGCCAGTGAATTGCTCAAAATCACTGCTGAATTATCTACAGATGTATGTTTACTTAAAGAATCGACTTCCTCATTCAAAGGGGCAATTTCTGCTCCGCAAGATCCTGATGCAATGGGAAGTCCATTTTCCATTGCTGCCCTGTTCTCAGAAGTCAGACTGGTCTTGGTCGGAGTGACTTCATGATCCACCCCACTTTCAAAATCAGAACCAATATCTAGCTTCCTCACTTCTTCTAATCCATTACCTGATGCAACTCCATTCACAGACTCGTGAGCATTTTCAGAATGACAGGCTTTCACATCAGTTCCAGTGTCATTATTTACATTACCAACTGTGGGTATTACTTCATCAAGATAAGCAGAATTGCAAGTCAGATCATTTGCAACTTTAGCATCACCAACAGTTTCAGCGGACACAGGCAAGTCTTTTCCAGCAGCAATTCCAACTGGCTTGTTCAAGTTGGAGTAGACCACTGTAGTTGAGTCCTCATCGTAGGAAGGCAAAATATCAGTCGCAGGATTCTGCTCAATACAAACTGTCTCAAAACCATTTGCAGTAACAGTTACTTCAACTGAACTAGGTCCACTTTCAGGAATACCATTGTTTGGAACACCATCAGGAACAACCCCATCACAATCTTCTGCAGAGGAATCCCTGCCATCATGAAGCGAGACTTCCTGAACAGGACTATGCTGTATCTTCGGAATCTCAACCAAAGTGCTATCTTGATCATTTTTGTTTAGCATTGAATTCTCATCAGCACGGCAGTCATTAGAAACACAAACAGGATCCTGATCAACACCAACGTCCTCAACAGTGTCCTTCGACATTTCACCCGGAACTTCAAGATTAGAACTGGGATTTGACACATCTATGTTCATTTTATGTGCATCATCAGTCAAATTATCAGCCGAAGAGAGGGTATCAGATTTGGCTGAAGAATCCAACGCAGAGCTTTCTATAGAAGAGCCAGGAGATCCCCCATTGTCTTTGATCAGTTCAGAATTGACAGGGGTATTCTCTCCAGAGAGTTGGGTGCCAGGTTTAAGAGCAGTATCGGGACCACTATCTTCAGTACTATCATTAGTAGTGGTTAAAGGAGAAGATGCATGAACACTAGCCTTATCCTCATAATTGCAGTCTGATTCAACCTTACAAGCATTTTCTTCCTTCTGCTCTATAGGTGATTCAGCTTCAGTTTTCTCTATTGGAGCCGGTGAGAGGCACAGATTATCTCTTGAATCAGAACCTTTTATAGCTACAGCAGAAAATATGAATCAATCAAAGCAGTAATATGAACACCAAGGAAAAGAACTACTTCTGACGTGTACAAAATAAAAGCAAAGCAGAGCAGTTACCATCATTGGGTTCTTGTTTAAGCAGTTGCTTCTGCAACAAATCCGTCCCAGGAAACACCAACATGTTCATCGATTTCATTCCTTTCTGATCTGACTGTTGAAGTTGTTTAAAACCAAAAACCGCAGTCCATGTGTGCATATGCTCAGAAATCGCAGGAATAACCAACTGTTCAACTTTGAGAGAGCATAGGACCTGCATAAGCATTGGGCAGAAGTACATGATGAGACTCTCAACAGTCGAAAGAATATATTAACAGAAAGTTGTAGAAACTTAAGACTCTCAATTATCTATGCTAGTATTCTTGCGGCAGGAAGCAGAATTGACAATCTCCATATAAGCAGATAACAATATACAGATTCTGAAAGGTAAATTCAAACTAGAGGACACAACATTGGCCGTCTGCCATCCTACCGTTTCAATAGCAGAAAGTAGACGACGACACATTCCTTGGCGCCTGTATATATTGCGAGTCCCAATAAAAGGCATCTCTGCTAATTGTGGCCCACGGATTCTGGATGAGGATGAACAGCAGAGTGGTATTAATTAACTTATCAAAGATCAAGATTCATACTTGACACAAAATGCAAGTGAAGAGACAGTTCCACAAAATGCAGTCCCATCACAAACAACTCTCCTCTTAACTAACAATCTTGATTTTTATGCTCATTACCTGATAGATGCCGCTGATATAAGTTCATCGCCCCTCTCCAAAACCATTGTAAAGAATCCACAAAAATTCAGCCGGCTAAAATTTGATCTACATAGGAAAAATGAACATAAGGTTGGTAGCGGAACACAAATTCCACCAATAGCTGCATCCAAGAACAGAAGTACACACTGACAAACACGCACTAAAATGAAATAAAATAGAACACTCCTTAAAATCTGGAAACACGCATAATGATACACAAAAAAGGTAAATAATACTGACAAAAAAAAAGCACGAATTTTTGAATCACGTGTGAAATTCTCTGCTCCTTATAATCCAGAAGCCAACAAAATATTGAACATTTGACAGATGCAATCACATTCCCGTACTAGTGCATGCCCAAACAAAAAGCAACAATACATTTTTCAAGAAATGATTGGGCCAGAAACAAAAATGAAACAGGTGAGGAATTTGGGATCAAATTCCTCATCATGCCGCATAGTCTTACTGGAAAAAAAAATCTAATAAGCAACAAATAGCTGCTTACCCACAATTGTAAAGCACGTTGTGAATCAAATTGACTTTACTCCTCCGGTCAATGATGGGTAAAAAGCACTCATCCATGACAGATAGTGCAACAGCTAACTTGGAATTGCTCTCCACTCTCTGAGGAAATCCCTTGCTTGATGCGTCACATTCCAAATCTGTTCTTTGTAACAAAGACCATGAAAAGCCTGCTTCAAGCTCATGTTTCACACCAAGAATCTTATGCAGACGATCATGCAACTGCAGAGAACAAGGAAATAAAATAAATATTGGCGTCTTTGAAGGACATTCCCAGAAATAAAAATCAGAATTACAAATAAGAAGGCAGTGGAAAGGTGCATCCATAATTAACAAAATGTCGTACCTCTTGGCACTTCTTCCCACAAAAAGAAACAGAAGGATCATTGCCATTCACATCTGAAGTAAGCATCCAACCACTACATGATTTGTGATCTAAAAGGACAGGTAACATCTTTTAAATTTTTTCTTTCAAGTGATACAATCAAAGCATACAAGAACGGAAGGGCAAATGAAAGAGTGGGCGATATACAAAAAAATAAGCAAATTAACAGCAGTTTAAAGGTAAATGATGATTACATTTTTTCTCACAACGGATGCACAAGGAAAGTTCACTCGCCGATGAGTCTTCAATAGTAGGGTTTCCACTTGTTCCGCAAAATTTACATGTACAATTTGGACAATGCCAATCACCCGGAGGAAGCACCTGCAGGAAGATGCAAATTTCTGAGTTAATCGAGGAGTTACACCCTGTGTTTTAGGGCAAGCAGCACACTCCAAACTGGTTTACTAAAGAATCTCCAATAAAGCAAGAAAATTATCTGATTTCCAGTTAATTTTTCAGTTGCTACTTTATTACTTCCAGCCGCACAATATATCAACTATTTGGGTTCCTAAAGTAGCTACAAAGAAGAGTTGTTTAAGGCAGGTCCTTCGATCTTCTTGGTGTCCGTTTAAAGAGACATTCACCTAAACCAAACTTACTCTTAAATAAGAAATCAGAAAAGTAAGAAAGTCTAGAGATAGCTGCAGATAAGATGTACGAATATTGACAATCACGACTTCTGAATCACCAAGGTCCCTATGGAAAGCTATCGCCTATCATGTGAACGCCCTTCGCAAGGTTACCTAATTTTATGAGTGTGTGTGGCAAAATTTAAATCAGATCATTACAGAGGTACAATGCATGTACAGCTAAAATATGGTTGCTCCAATGTTAACATCTATCCAAAAATCAATGGGCCTGACTAATGAGCACTAAGCAATTCCTCAAGTATTAGATAATTCATTTCTTGTCGAAGTCTTACCTGTATTCCTAAACAATTCAGATGGAAAGTAGAGGGACAACCATCACAGCAGATCAAATCCCCGCCATCACCACAGATACCACAAGTATCATCATCTGGGTCATCACCGTCAACATCAACTTCATGGAAATCACGGCGCACAGATTCCTCTTGCCTATTCCATGCATCAATTAGGCATTGCAGCAGAGAGGGCCCAGACTCTAAAAAGATGTTTTGAAATGGTTGACGCAATTTACTTCCAGCATGAAGCTCAAATTTTGACACTGTTAAGATCTTGCTGCAGCAACCACAGTGAATCCCGTCTTTTGTTATCCAACCTTCTAACTTCACTTGTGTTCTTCTACGATTCATGTACTGCACTTTCTCACTCAACTGAACTGTTCCCGAGTCAATCAGCCATGACAACAAAGTTCTTTTCCCAGTATAAGGGATATATCCATCGGATTCAGAATTCTGCCCTAGCTCAGAATTGCGAATCAACAGTGTACATCTACCAATTACTCTGCTTTTGCGTCCTTGGACAACACTAGAACTAGTTGTGGATGGTTTCTGAACATTATCTTGATCGGAATGGTCATTCAAATCATCCACTCTCTCATTTATTGATTCATGCAGCTTGCTTTTCTTTGGTTTGCCATTTTGCCTAATAAAAGAACTGAGCCGCTCATCATTCTGATCACTATCAGTGTCATCTGCAGATTCTTTCACTGAAGCCTTTTTTGATTTCTTCATTGCGGCAACATTTTTCCTCTTCCTTTTCATTTCTTCCTCAATTTTCTTTCGGGTTTGCCGGGTTAATTTGTTTATTAAATCATCAGACAAAGGAGCAAATGAAGAAGATAAATCAGGTTTACCTTCGTCATCCTCCCGCCATTGCTTTTGAAGCGCCTCATATGCCTTAATAATTGACCAATAGGCGGTTCCACTGGGAGAAATGTAAACAGCATCCAGGTAGTCTCTGTTTCTTCTAGGTCTATAATCAATCGTCCAGCCAGCTTTCATAAGCATTTCCCTTATCCTTTCGCGCAACTGTTGTTTTTCTGTGCTCCCAGCGCGTTGCTTAAGCTTTCCTTCACCACCTTTGAGTGGAGTAACATTGTCAGCCGGCGCAACAACCTTCTTTTCCTTGCCTTTAACAGGAGTGACATAGTCAGGGGTCGACAATCTCTTTGCTTCATGTTTCACTGCTTTCCTTGAACTACCAGCTTCTACACTAGGTGGTCCCAACTTAAGAGCTGTGTCAGCATCATCTGAATCGTAATCTCCGGCTTTGGAATTTTTATTAAGCAGAAGTTTCTGCATTGTCAGCTCATTCTTCTCTGAACCAGAATCTCCAGCTTTCTTGCTCTTGCCCAGGAACTGTTTTTGCACTTTCAGCTGACTATTGTCCCTCTCAGCAACCGCAATACGTTTTCCTGCTCTCCTAGAATCAGAGTAAAATGAAGCAGAAGCATCCTTCTTGATGACATCTTCAGACCTTGAACCCTTTCTGTGCTCATATTCTTGACGATCATAGTTTTTCCTGGAAGACAAATCCATCTTCTTTTTCTTATTCACCATAACTTTCAAAACTCCATTCTTACCCTGTAATCTAATTGGCTCAGTAGAATCATCTTGATACTTCATTTTCAACATTGAAATAGGCATATGTGTTTCATCTTCCTCAAAATCTGATCTTCTTTTACCACTACGATCAATAACTTTATTCCTGCCACTCATTCCGCCACCTGCACTATCAAAGTAAGCCTGCTTCCTCTTCTCAACCATAGCACTCCTGCTTGAACCACCTCCAAAGTCCCTTGAGCTTCCACTTAACATCTGGGAGTAATCATTCCTCAATCTTTTCACATCGAATTCGTCATACTCGTCAAATTCGTACAAATCGAAATTATTCAGTTTCAAACTACTCATAAACTCACCATTCCTCCTCAATTCTCTCTCTTCTTCACTTCTCCTTGAATACACAACAGGAGGACCATTGTGCACATGCTCATTCACTTTCCTTCGAACATGTTCCGAGGAATCATCACTTGACCCTGAGTCACTCATTTGCAACCTAGGCCTCTTCTTCCCCTGGTGCGAAGACCCAACAGCATTACCAGAAACATCACCTTTTTTCTTGATAATCAAACACCCAGATGAGCTCTTCTTCTTCAGGACACCACCTGATCTCACACCCTCCTCCATTTCATGCATTCAAAATCAAATAAACCTCAACACAAAAGGAACAAACCAATCAAGCTCGGGCAAAATTCACCTCAAATTCCCCGTCAAAAAACCCATCCCACGAGAAAACCCACGTCCATCCAAATCAAACAGAACCATTCACAGATCTGAAATGAAACAAGCAAAGATCAAAACTAGACACTGAAATTATCCGAAACTTGAAACAATTGACGCAAAAAAAAAGTCCCCTAAACCAAAATTGCGCGTAAACGACAAAAGAAATCAACAATGATCCATACCTCTTTTAAAGTCCCCGTGATTCCATCAACTGCGATCCACAGGGGAGGTAAAATCAGAAACCCAGAACGTTATTTCCCCAGCAACCCTTTATGAATCGGCAGATGGACAACACAGACAGAGAGAAAGAAAGAAAAGAAGAGAAAGGAAAAAAAAATGGCAAAGAACTCGAATTGTATTGGTTCTCTGGTTTCTGGGTTTTGTCAATATATAGTCCTGTACTACGTAGGAACTGTTTGCCAGACCTTGTAAATGAAATTAGTCCATTTGTATTATATTCTGCAAAAACGTATTTCCAGAAAACCAGCCCAAACCCAAAAAGTAAAAAAGAAAAGGAAAAAAAAAAGGAATCTTGAAATTGAAATTAACAATTTTTACTGTGCAATTGTCATTTGCTATTATAAAGATTTTCCCTTTTTCGGCTTTGCTTTTGTGGGTTAGTTAATACAGAAGCATCTTAAGCAGTTTAACTAATTTGTTGTTAATTTGAATCTGGCCATCTGGGCTTTCTGGGTTGGTCTCATCTGATCAGGGTTAGCTGGAAAATGCCAAATTTGTAAGCATGTTTATAGTGAAAGTTAAAAAAAACCTTGTGGATCTTTTGTTCTAGATGAAACACATTAATTCAAGGGTTCTTAACTTCTCATCGTTAATTCTGTAATTTTTAAGGTCTATGGTACATTTGTTTTGCTCAGAGTTTGATTAATGATGATGTATTCTTTCTGGGCTTGTGTTTTATTTTGGAATTTGGTGGTGTGACATAATCTATTATTGTTTGTGCTTTTTGGTGAAAGCAAATACAATGTTGGTGTAGAGGTTGACAAAATCAGAAAATCTGGAGCATCCTTCTATTTTTAAACACATAGAATATTGTGACATAGAAGTCTATGTGGCAAATTTCTCTATTTTAATCAGGAAAAAAGGGGAAAAAATGTGGAAATTAAAACCTGTGCCAAAAGACTTCCCACTTCGGTTGAGTAAAGAGAGCGTAGGGTCGTTTGCTCACAACCTAAACACAGTTTTCCAAAGGAATAGTTTAGAATCCATGACCAACTGACAAACTATACACAAAGCAACGACTAAAATCTGGTTCTCTATTAGTTTTGCTTTCAAAGCAACTGACGGCAAGGCTAATCTGTTTTGTAAAGCTGGACTAGATGAAATTATGAAAAAGGTAACAAGGACAAATCAATTTGACTTTGCAGTTATATGTTTAGGTTTTTCAGTTTCTATGTACAACCTTGTATGCGCTTGTGGGATGGAACTTTGAATCCTATATAGGAAAAAAAAAAAGATGGACTTATGGACAAAGGATCCAAAGTATTTGCTGTGTAATGAAGTTGATGACAGTTCTGCTTCTTATGTTCGTTGTGTAGATTTGCTGCTGTATTGAAGGACAACATTTAGGAATATGATGTAACAGAATAGTTCAAATTGTATTGATTTCCCCCAACTGAACATTGTAAAATGGCGGTTTAAATTTTGCAACATGGATTAATGAAACACATATTGAAAAACTACAACCAAAAGGCAACACAAGACTGAAGATATACTACTAGACTGCGAGAAAAACAGACAACATTGCCATTTGCCGCAAGGAAATGACCATTCTTTCTGAATATTATCGGTTTCTGTAGCACTTATACCACCATCTCAATTATCAGACCATCTTTCCCAAGATCCCATATTTCCATATTCTTTCATTACCCAAATGTCACAGTGGCTATACTACTCATCAAACATGTCCTCATGCCACAAATTTGCAGGAGTTTGTTGTGCTAAAGTTTCTAGTCCCAAAAAAAAAATCAGAGTAGAAGTTTCAGCCTTCAAATCAAACCCCAAGTACAGGACAACAGTCAGGCTTGATTCGAAGAATTAGACTTCTACTTCAACGCAACTGGACTCTAGTAATTAAACAGGTATTTAGAGAATATAATAGTGTAACTGACCACTTAGCAAAAGTAAGTCTTGGATTAGTTTATGGGTTACATATTTTGGCATATCTCACTAAAATGCTACAGAATAGTCTTACATTAGACAAAGCCGCAACTCTTTTTTCTAAGTAGGGACTGTGCAGGTGTAAATAAGCTGAATGCTTCCACCTTATATAAAAGAAATCAAACCCCAAGTTATAAACACATTCCTCCAAAGTTTCGAGTTGAGGGAATGACACCCCAGAAGCCCAACAACGAGCTTGAAACACAATTCTTACCACTTCATAATTTAGTCCTTGCAATTCACTACTAAACAACCAAGCAAGAAACTTTCTGCATAGAGATCTATGCTTTGCTGGGTAATGGTGACTCTAATCTGTCCAATTTTGAATTGAAGGGTTCTAAACAAATATGGGCTTAGTGTGAGACGTCCCATGTCCATACCAGAGCACCTAGTTAGTTAAAAATTAAGTTTAATTAAGTGTCATTTTAGTCCTGAAATTTAAAAATAATAAAAAATATTTTCCGGCTCTTTTTGACTAGATCATAGTCGGAATTTTCTAGTTGACCGAATTATGATATATCCAGATGAAATTGACACTCTTCAATACATCATGATAAAATTGAAGTCGGGTGAAAGATGAAAATTAATTTGACACTTTTTGCCCAATAATTTGCTCCAGTCGGCTCCAATTTCTCTGTGCAACTGGTGATTGAACGTGCGACTGAGTGACTCCAATTATAAATTATACGGGTTTTTCAGAAAATGGTTATGGGCCATAATATGAGCTTGTTCACTTGTTTTGAGTAGGAATTGGGCTAGTATTCTTTTTGTTTAATGTTTTTCTTCTAAACAAATTACACAGTTGATAAGTATTTTAACACGTGAAAACAACTTTGATCATCTATCTCATTGTTTTTTGGGTCAAATACGATGATCATATATAACAAAAAACCAAGCAGGTACCACATAATGTGGAGTTACTCAAAGATGACATTAAGAGGTTTGAAAGTAGACGACGATTGAGAGATCTAAAACTAGGAAAGAAAAAAGCTTCCATTGTACTGCTGAAAAGAAAAAATATCCACGACTATTTTTTTTTTTTACATTTCTTATGCCTATATTCTGTACATATATATAAGTGATACATAGCTGAAAAGACTAAATTATCCTCACAAATAAATAAATATAAAACTGAATCAATAAGAAACTAAACACATTTCTCTATATGCCCCCCTAAAGAGGGAGCTTGGGGTGAAGAACACAAGCCCATCTTGAGCAAAAACTATGAAAATGAAGGATAAGATAGTGACTTGATGAGTATATCTGCTAGCTGCAATTTGGAAGAGACATGAGTAGGGTTGAGAAAGCCAGATTTGTAATATTCCTGAACCACATGGTAATCAATTTCTATGTGTTTGGTTCGTTCATGGAAGACCGGATTAGCCACAATGTGAAGAGCGGCTTGATTGTCACTGTAGAAGGGAATAAGCAAGGACGGACAGATACCAAAATCAGCCAAAAGATAGGAAATCCATCTGAGTTCACAAGCTGCAGTGGGCATAGCCCTGTATTCCGCTTCAGTAGAAGAACTGGAGATGGTTGTTTGTTTCTTTGTCTTCCAAAAAACCAGAAAAGAGCCAAGGAACATACAGTAGCCTGTAAGAGATCTCCTACTGGGCTTACATGGCCCATAATCAGAGTCACAGTAACCAATAAGATCCAAAGAACTAAAACTAGAGAAAAAGATTCCTCTATCAATACAACCAGCTAAGATATTTTAGGACATGCAAAGCAGAATTCCAATGAGAATCATGAGGTTCATGCATGAACTGGCTAAGTTGTTGGACTGCATGACTAATGTCCGGCCGAGTAAAACCCAAATATAATAACCTTTCAACTAACCTGTGATATTTCTTTGGTTCTGGGAATAAAGGAGTTGTGTCACGATGAGGGAATTGAAAACACAGGTTCCTCAAACTCTTGAGAACTTCTTTCTAATGATCAAAACCCAATTTTACAGTGTTGTTAAGATAGTTAGAACAGATAATGGGACTGAATTTGTTAATCAATTCTGTCAAGCAATATTTTCTAAGTTAGAAATTTTGCATCAAAGTCGTGTCCCTATACACCTCAGCAAAATGGTATAGTAAAACGTAAACATGGGTATCTTCTTCAAACAGCTAGGGCACTTATGGTATAGTAAAACGTAAACATAGGTATCTACCATGGAAATTCTGGGGTGAGTCTATTTTGCAAGCCACACACATCATTAATAGAATTCCTTCTGCACTTCTTAAATGGAAATCTCCCTATGAAATTCTTCATTCAAGGAAATCAAATCTTTATCTCTCAGAGTATTTGGCTGTCTGGTATTTGCTACAAATATTTCACCTCAAAAGTACAAATTCTTTTCTAGAGCCATTAAGTCTATCTTTCTATAATTTTCGCCTGGGCAAAAGGGTTACAAGCTGTACAGCTTAACTGACAAGAAAGTCTTCATCTCTCGAGATGTTGTATTTTAAAACATATAAAATTTAAAATATTATAATAATATTTTAAATTAATAAATACTATTTAAATAATTTAAAATATGAATTTTTAATATTTTTAATGATTTTAATTTGATGGAAGGTCAAATTATGTGAAAGGACGAAAATACCCCTGACTCCGGCAAGTCAACGGCCGGTCAACATCGAGTTGGACGGAAATGTGGTCGAAACAGTAAAATGGGACTAAAAAAGTGTGAACATATAATGTTTGGGACTACGATATTTAAATGTTAATGTAAGGGACGTAAATTCAAGTAAGAGCAAATGTAAGAGACCATTTTAACATTTTACTCTTTTTTTAATGTACCTCTGTAGAAAATATCTAATGTCACCATAAATAACAATCAAGTACTACTTGATCAAACAACCGTTTATATTTTGTATTTAGTGATGATACACGAAAAATTTACAGAGGGTTTAAACAGAAAATAATGTAGGTGAATCTTAGCTAACTCCTTATTCTTAATGGAAAAACTATAAAAGTATTTTAATTGTAGACGATTATAATTCATTCCTAGTATATTTTTCCTTACAAGTTTTCTTTGCAAAAATCATTAATGTCCAAGCATTCAAAGAGCATTTTTCCTTAAAGTGGTATTAACTTAATTTGATATAGAGACAAGGATGCCACCTTCAAACTTTTGTCCTACTTAATATGGAATCAACATTTATACTGTACTAGTGAAGAATTATTGGAATAGGACAAGTACAGCCATAATACAATAAGTTGGATAAACTACATTAATCACCTTAGAAGTTTTTTTTTTTTTTTTAAAAAAAAGATATCGAAAATGAACTTATAGTTTAATAATAACTAGGGTACATTTACTTGTTAATTAAACTAAACAACTTTTGACACGTCATGTAACATCAAATATCACTTATTGAGGGAACTTTCTCCTACATTCTTTTTGTCTCAATGGAGATCTTTATGTTAGGGCATATTTTACAAGGAATCTTTCAGACAATCGAATGAATGATTGAACTAGTTTACTTGAACTCCTATAAATTGAAACTAAACAACGTAACAATCATATCATCACTTGAAACAAAAAGAAAAGAATAAACAGAAAGCTAAAAAAAAAGTATATGAATTTGACAGTAGAAATGTGGTTTGGGTTAATCCCACTTGTGGGATTGATATTATGGTTTTGGTACGATATTTGGTATGGTATTCCGGTGGCATTCCGGTGCATTTCAGATGGCACAAAGCTTCCTCCTGGTTACATGGGTATTCCATTTCTGGGAGAGATGTTAAACTTTCTTTGGTACTTCAAGTTTCTGAGACGCCCTGATGACTTCATTAATTCCAGAAAATACAAGTAAGATATCGATATAGTTTTTCGTTTCAAAAAAAATATTATATTTGAATTTGCAAACTTATTATAAATTACAGTAAAACTGATCAATCATTTTAGAATATAATAGGGATCGAGTAAATTTCGATTTTGTTGAATTATGTTCAATAGTATAATTTGGTTTTGGAGAAAGAGAGTGCATTGTTTACAAACTTCATACTTGTATAATTTCCATTTACACCCTAAATTTACGTGATAGCGAACAGTGTGATGCAAGACAAAAGAAAATCTCCCTTTGCTAATGATTTCCTTTTTTTTTTTTTTGTTAATTACATTTGCTTGGACGAGTTTCTACTTTTTGGGTTGATTTATAATCTTTTTGGGTTTGTCAAAAGATTCTAAGGCATCAGATTCATGCATGCAACGTATTGTAGGACAGTACGTGATCATAAAGACTTGTAAACTAACAAACAAACGAACGATCATGCACCATAATAATAAGTTATTTTAATTCTCTGTTGATGAAAAGTAGAGTTTAAATAAAATTGAGTTCATAAATACGAAGTTTAATTATCAAACATATTGATGTACCAAAATCATATTGTTGCTCACGCTTTTTCGCCATATTTTGATCTCATGATCTCAAAGAGTTTAATAAATAATACTAATGGAAACTCAATAAATAAATTAACAAAAAAATCTAACCTAGAAGTTTAACTATTTGAGTCGATTACAGCTTAATAAATTGTCTATGTTATTTTCTGCAATCACGAGGAAATTGATATTTAGTATTTACTCATGAATCTCAACAATGCACATTTCCCTTTTACAGGTACGGTGATGCAGAAATGTTCAGAACTCATCTACTCGGTAAACCATCAATTATAGCTTATTCACCAGAGCTGAATAATATGGTTTTCAATTCAGAAACTCTATTTGGTCAGAATTGGCCTTCAATTGAATTAATCGGACAAAACTCCCTCATAGCATCAGAAGGGCCAGCACATTCTAGGCTCAAAACTTTTGTGGCCCAAGCCATGAATAAGCCTTATGCTCTCCGACAAATAGCCCTCATGGTCCAGCCCAGAATAATCACAGCCCTCCATACATGGGCTGAAAAAGGTAGAGTGGTTGGATATGATGAGGCTAAAAAGGTAAATTAACCAATGCAATTTTTTTTTATTTTTTTTTCATTTTCAAATTAACCAATGCAATTATCATTGGTATTTCTGCTAGAATTGCTTAATACCCTAGGCATAGAGCATATGTGGTTGGACTTTTAGATTAGTTTTGAATTTTCTGGTTTTTGTTTCTGAGTTTGAAATATATCTGAGAATAGTTTAAAGAACATTTCGAATAAAATATATTCGACTATTATCAATCTCGAATGATGACGGTAGCGGTTGTGTGATAACAATCCTTAGTAATTGTGTGTTAGAATGGAAGGTGCTTTTAACAAACACATACTAGTATTTTCAATTCATTACGCTGTCGTCACTTGTGCCAAATTGGACCGCCATCAATGATCAAGTACTAACAGCAGAGATCGCGTGATAGCGGTTTTTACTGAAAATATGTTTAAACTTAAAAGGCGTATTTGACAAAACACACAACACAGACATAATTTTGATTTTGGATGCCCGAATTTAGGGGAAAAGAAAAATTAGAATATAACGTATATTGCTCTGTGTTTTCCAGTTGACACTTGAAAACATTGGCAAGTATTTTGCTCACCTGGAGCCCGGTCCAAAATTGGATATCCTTGATGAATTTTATGCAAAATTTGTCAAAGGAGTTCGAGCTAACCCCATCAAATTTCCTGGAACGACATATTACAAGGCTCTTCAGGTGAGAAACAAGTTCTTTAGTTTAATAAAATTTTTTTTTTTTAAAACAATGATAACGTCTAAAATTACTGTTGTGACTGATATTTACACAGAGCTCATAAGATCCTTCGTCAAAGTTCATGTGACATGATTAAATTTTGTCTAACAAAGCTCTTGTAAACCTAATCACACTAATTCATCATTTGCCATTTACTTACTTAGGATCGGAAGAAAGCCCTACAGATTTTCAAAGAAGAGTTGGATAGGAGGAAAAAAAACTCAAGTGCTGCAAATGAAAAATATGATTTGATGGAGGGTCTAATTCAATTTAGAGACAAAGATGGCACAAAGTTGAGTGATGATGAAGTCGTTGACAACATGCTAGCCCTAGTTGTTGGAGGGTTCGAATCCTCCGCTATTTCCATCACTTGGGCTTTGTATTATCTTGCCAAGTATCCCCACGTTCTCGAAAAAGTTCGGGTACTGTTTTCTGGTCTCATAATCACAGTTTTATTAAAATTTAATGAACTTTGAGAAGTGAATAATCAATAAAATTATTTTTTATTTGCCCAGAATGAGAATATGCTCAGCATGAAGAATCGGAAAGAAGATATGATCACATATGATGACATCCTAGAGTTACATTATACGAACAAGGTTTGTGGTTATGACATTAAGTCATTATATATATGATTGTTATTTTAAAATCCACTTTAGTTTTATTTTTCTTCTAAACATAAATATTAAGACAAAAAATTAATTCCATCGCCACCACCGAATCATTGCCGGACCATCACCCGTCACCACCATACTGCCGCCAAACAATATTATTGACGGTTCGGTGGCAGCAATCGGCGGCGGGTGGTGATCCAACTGTGATGGAAGTGGTGGAAATAAATAATATTATTTTATTTAAAAAAATTATTCAAACAATTTTTCTTGTTTTTACTCAAAGTACTTTTTTTAAAAAAATGCATTTCCAAAATTTAAAACGAAAACGAAAACAAAAACGTTGTGCATTTAGAATGTATCTATTTTAAAACGAAAGGTTTGTGCTTTACGTATATTAATTAAGTGCATGGTATTTTTCTAATTAACTGCGGATTGATTTTGAGTAAAATGCTTTAATCTCTTCTCACGATTTAAACTGCATATTCGAAACGAATAATGTAAAATATTGAGTCAGAGCATTATATATATAAATATATTTTCTTAATATTTACTTTATTCATTTTTTTTTCTTCCTGTTGCAGGCTACAAGATACCAAAAGGATGGAGAGTATTGTGTTGGCTTCGATATAATCATGTTAATCCAGAATATTTCGAAGATCCACTTACATTTAATCCTGATAGATGGGATGTAAGTTAATCTATATCGTATTTTAAATCGATCGTCCCACTTTAAGAGTCTATTTTGTTGTATTGTACTGTTATAATTTAACCAAGTAGAGTTTCGCCTATAATTTGCAGAATCGGCCACAACCTGGAACATATTTAGTGTTTGGAGGAGGTAAAAGGTTTTGCGCTGGAAACAAGCTCGCTCGAATTCAAGTTGCCATTTTCTTGCACTACTTGGTTCTGGGATATAGGTACTTTTTTTTTTTTTTTACCTCCCTTTTATTTTGTCGTCCCAAAAAAATAATTTACACTGTGTTTTCATATTTGTACTATTTTTAGTACCAATTTCAAAACTTAAAATAGACTATTTTTTTGGGACGGAAGGAGTACTACGGATTACAATCAAATATTTTTATTGCACATTTTGTTCAGATTGTTTGCCAAATTTCAGGTTGTCATTGAAACACTCTCAGTTCCAAATAATAATTTTGTGATGGGTGAAGAAAGTATATTTTCTCAAAAATTATAGGTTTTTTTTTTAAAATTTTATAATTTTTATTATTATTTATTTGTAAATTTAGGTGGGATCTGATCAATAAGGACGCAGATTTTGGTTTTCTCCCAAATCCGAAGCCTGAAGATGGAGTTGAGATTGCCATCAGCAAACTGGAAACCGAGTAATAAGAATGCTGTTTACAATCAAATAACAGTTAAATAATCCCAGTTAATTTGTCTTGATTTGTCACTTGTTTGCTTCGTGTGTTCTTGCTGGAAGAAATTAATATGTATCGTCATTTATAAAGCGATGGAAATTGCAGATATCAATTTTATTTTCCTTTTAAGATTTCAAATGTTGTAGTATTTCTGTCGACAAAAGGTCATGTTGATGTTGATTTCCTCTTGTTCTACTTGTTTTTGGTTTGAACAATGGTTTTCCCTTTTTTGTGTGGACATATCTTGAATCATTTTGTACTGCTATTACATACTCCCTCCGTCCCAGAAAAATAATCCAGTTTAATAAAAAATTTTGTTGCGAAAAAAATTGTACCTTTAAATACTGAAATATTTTTGTGAGACGGATGGAATATTAATTTCAATTCTTATAACATGCACCAAGTACATTTTATGTAATACACTTCAAGATTAGACGAATACGAATGGAATGTATCGTCCAGTAATAGTATTCTCTTCTCAAGAAGAAACTCTATCCCTTTTACTCTATTAAAGCAGAAAACAGGATACTGATGTGGCAATTTTGTATTAAAATATTTTGGCTCCAAATGCACCATATTGCATAAACTATTCTGCCACGTGTCACCCCCTTTTAAAAACAAAAAATATATTTACAATATTAACGAAGAGATTAGATGGCCATGTTCATTTAAATTTTGAATTTGACAGTGAATAGAACTTTCTTTCTCCACTTATTTAGGACTTTCGAAAAAATTAATTTTCGGTCAATCAATTATCTTCATCAAAAACTAAATTCATTCTTAATCAGTTTTGATTATTTATATATCAATTTATTAGGTGGAAGGACGCCCCCGGGCATTTGTCCGGGACAAGCATCTAGTTTTCATTATAATAGTTTAAATACCTTCAAGCCACTAAAAGATGTTGATGGCAAAAAAAAAAAAAAAAACCTCTAAAACGGCGGGTTTTTTTACCTTTGCCTTGAATTTTTCGGTGGATATCACTATGCAATTGACTGGATTCAATCTCTTGTACACCTCTTTGTTCACTTTATTCGCAAAAATGGTATGGTGGCACAAAATAAACAAATAAAAAATTTAAAACCAAGCATATATATATATATATACATATTATATATATAATATGTTCGATTCTTCTTCTATCAAATTCTGGAAGACAAATTTGAAAAGATGCTTCAACTTCTTTTTCTGTAGTGACAATGCATGCCAAGAACAAAACGATGCAACCCCACTTTAATTTAGAAGTAAAATCAAGACACTAAATGTAATGAATTGAGTTGGGGGTGGTAGTTAAAGCATCCATATTCAGTGATTGTACTTAGTTTTGGGACACCTTTTTATAGTTCTTTCATTATCCGATGCTGTTGCTATCTGGTGCTGAATTCTGCAAAGGAAGGTAGATTTGAGCAATCATGAATGTTGATCTCAAAGTTAGAAAGGATGCTTATCTACCTTTCCTATATTATCACAGATGTCAACTTTCAAGCCTTCTTAATGGATCATAGAAAAGTTTTTAGGAAAATTTTAAAAGTACATTTGATGATCACATTACTATTGTGGGTTGGACATGGGAAAAGCAAAATGCTTGACAATCACATATTTCAGGGAATCCATTCATTTTAGAAGTTGTAAAATAAAACTCATTATTCTGTTGTATGGATGATGATCAGATAGTATTTTATGTGTGCGGATAACAATCAGATCGTGTTTTGTGTTTTCATGTCGAATAATAAGTAGAGTTTCTAACATAGTTCCTGAAAAATAGGCTTAATGTGTTTGTACGTTTTAATTTTGTGGTAGTTCGTATTACCTCAGAATAAATAGGCCAAATTTGTTTCACTACTATAAACGCGTCATTTGTTAACGTTTCATGTCACGACACAAAATTTTCAGTTCTCTTAGGGAGGGAAAATGGAGAAAAAAGAAAATGCTACTATTGAAGATATTATTATGAGCACCTTAGCTTGGTCCATATAGAAGAATCAAACCATTCTTCTTGAATTGTGGGAGGCAAGTTGGCTGCTGACTCTGGACCACTTTCTAAATTAGCACTGCTGAAATTAATCAACCCCAGAAATTATTCAGAGGCCAGTTCTAGCACTAGCCTCTGTGCTGAGTTGATCCTTCCTTATTGCAAAGGGGCAAAAATTTAGAGATTGAGTTTGTGCCTTTTGGAATTACAGATTACAGAGCAACTTGCTTGAAATCTGAAGACTTTATGTTAGGGTGGCTGTCTTTTTTGCAGGACCATTGTCTACCAAAGTCTCAAATGAAATATGCACATTGACTACTCATTATACTTGCAAGACTGATGACTATTAAAATGGGACGGAGAGAATAATCCGAGAGAGATAATTTATTATCCCCTTCTTCAAGGGAGTAAAGAAAAGTTAACTATGTATTGGAATGTTAAACTGATAATGTACATTGCCCTATCTGTGGAAGTTATACTTTCTCATGACCTTTTTGTCCGATTACCAAGCTAATCTCTGGCTAGTTACTTAGACATCAATTGCATCAACAGGAAGAGAAGTTGCCCGGTGAATGGCGTGTGGAAGCAAAGATCCTCTATAGTAACTATTGGCTGTGACCATATGCTCAGGACTACAACTATTGTAGGTCATCTGGTTTGCGCTTTTCTTCTCTTTTTCAACCGGCGAATGCAGGGCAAAATGCTTCTCAAAAACAAGCGACGGATGTCTGGCTTCATCAAGCCGGTTACTTTGTGGTGTCGAATCATGCTTTCTGTTTTCTTCTTGGTTGTCGACCAAAATTGAAGGTTTTGATACCACGCCAACTTCAAGTTCTCTCAGTTGCATCTGATATCTAGCCTTCAGCCATCTTAGCTCCTGTCTTATCTCATTCTCAAAGTCATCCATTGCTGATCGACTTGAAGAACTAATTACTCCAGGGGAATCTGTTTTCTTGGGAGCCCTGCACCTTCCCTCAACATGAATCTTTTCGCTTGTATTATCACCTTTTAAAGTTGATTGGCCTAATTGATCAACTTCTTCATTACATTCATTGTTTGTGGTAGAATGTTGTGAGGTTACATCGGGTACTTCATGTTGCGCCCATATGTCAGTATAATGCAGAACACCAGATTGACTTGATGCTTGAGGAGCATTTTCTGTGACACATTGTTCAGACCCTTCAAACTGATAAGTAATCTCTTCAAACCTGCCATGTACCTCACCAGTTTTATGCCTAGAACAAAGAACCTGTACATTCTTGGCACCAGGTCCATTTGAGGATAGATAATTCAGGAGAGAACCATTTGAAGCACAACTTTGACAACACCCGTTATTTGCAGCATTGGGATCCTCTTGAGTGAAAATCCCCCTCTCCCATCCGGGTACTAAGTTTGCTATCTCTCCATCGATCATTTCTGCTATCTTAGAGACGTCTTGGTCATTAAGATCCAGCTCAGAGATCATTTCCATTGCGACGCTTATAGCCGTGTCAGTTTCTATGTCGAAAGGGAAGTAAATATTCCTTACACGGCCTGAAATCAACAACAAAAAACTTCAATCTTCATTTCAGAATAACTGTAAACATAAATCTATTCAAAGTGGAAAGAAAATGAAAATCCACCTTCTTTGTCAGCGATTCTGAGTCTTAGAAAGATACCATCATCTTCTCTCCTTCTCCCTTTGATTGATATATCAACTGTTTCTGAGAGTTCATCATCGCAACTGGTGAATAAATCAATCCCATTCGTACCATAGTCAATTTGATAACAATCAAAGTCATCTCCATGATTTTGATCAAGGTAACATGAGTAGCCATTGATAACTGGACTACTACAATGATTTACTTGCAACATTGGTTGTTGCAGAAAAGGGCTGACTTGATAATAATCTTTGTAGTAATCTACCGATCCAAAATCATCTACATAATCATCAGTTTGAAGAAAGGGGTCATCAAGAAGCTCTCTAGCTGATAACCTGTCCGCCACTGTTGCTAAACACTTCTCAACAAATCGACGCACCTCAGGATCGGTTACTTTGTAGAGAGCATCTGGTTTTTGACCCTTCAATAAAAAATGCAGATACAACATGAGAATTTTGAGTTGCAATGCCTGTTTCAGAAGCAGCAGATTCAAAAAATTAGACTAATGAATTCTTACAGAGACCACTTTCTTGTAGATTTGAGCAGGATGTGTGCATTCACTATATGGATATTCAAAAGTAACCATCTCCAAAACGCACATTCCAAATGCATAAATGTCAACTAATTCATTGTATTCTTCTGCATAGACTTCAGGAGCCATGAACTCGGGTGTTCCTACGCAACACAAATAATCCCAGAACTCATTTACCACTGCATGTACACAAATGGAATAACATTTACAGAATTTATCTTAACTAATCACCAGAGTCAATCAAAAGGTACAGTTTCCGAACTCACCTACACAACGAGCAGCGTGCGATTTGCGAAGAAATGCAGCAAGGCCAAGATCACCAATTTTCACTTGGCCCTGGTTGCCATTGACAAAAATGTTGTCACACTTGAGATCTCTATGGATGACAGGAGGGTCATGGCTGTGAAGATAAAGAAGGCCTTTCAAAATTTGCCTGCACCAATGCTTTACAGCTCTGATGTTAACTTTTTTATGTTTCAGACGATACCTATCAGGAAATCCAACAAAACGGATATAATTCCATATAAGAACATCAAAATTTGTGCGACATGGCAGAATTGAAGTCAAGAAACGGATAAGAAACATGAGTTATGCTTTAGTACTTACTGCCTTAGCGTGCCAGATGTAAACATCTCAGTCACAAAGTTTATATTCCTATTGGCAGTGTCTACCCAAGAGGCATAAAACTTCATGATATTCTTGTGTTTCAACGTTTTGAGCAAATGAATTTCACAGTATAATCTCTCAAGATCATCAGGATTCTGCAAAAAATCAGTGAGCTTCACCTGGTTCCAAGCAACTTCAATGCCTTCATACTCATCAAATGCTCTATAACTGCAACAAAACCAGAAAGAACCCAAAACAAAGAGACCAAATTTAATCCCAGAAATGCCCAAAAGAAACAAGATTATATATCTTCAAACTGTCTGATTCAAATAGCAGAAAGATGAAGTTTTTTTGCAGAAATGGAACTCAAGAAGAAGATGCATACACTGTCTTTGAAGCTCCCTTGCCAAGAATCTCATCATACTGAAATTACAAAAACAACATAGAGATTTATTTATTCAGCTAAAGTATTTGAAAACAACTGTAGACTGCATATAGTCAAACTACATGAACTGAATTATTTCACAGAAATGAAGCACAAAAAAAGGGCCATACCCTTCCATATCTTCCGGTAGGATCAACTTCAACAAAACCAGAATGATCAAAATGATCAAATTCAGGGTCAACCACACCATTCATTACTACAACTATCTATAGTTAAGACTTGTTCAGATTAATTGCAGAGAGATTCTTGGAACACTATTATCTCCTATTAACTGACACTATCTTGTTGCCTCCTTGGTATTGGAGAAAAGCGGTGGAAAGTAGGGGGGATATATTACCTGGAAAACAGTCCTACTATAAAAAGAAATCTGAGGGGAAGGAATATATTGTGGTGGAAAAAATAAGAAAAAAAAACCCCCAAGATTTCAAGCTTAAAATTAGTAAGAAAAAGTTTTTTTTTTTTTTTTTGGGGTTTTTGGTGAAAGGGCAATAAAACCAGAAGAGAACAGAAGAAGAGGCCCTTTGGGTTAGTTCATTAAAAAGGGACAACCTTTTCTCACCAACTCATAGACAACTAGGCAAAGATGGAAGAAAGATTTCTCAATCCTGTGGACTAACTTTGCCTTTCTTCTTTCTTCTTCTTCTTCTCTCTCACATTCATCTGGGCATATCATGACAAAAACACACTTCCTTTTCTCCTTTGTTTTTGTGTTCTTTTTTCCCTCCCTATCTTATCAGTCATTCACGAGCTGTAAAACCACTTAAATTAGTATTCTCTTTCCCTCTTTACACTTGTATATATTTTGTGTGATAGGGAATTGGGAAGAGCCACACAGAAAAAGGGAACAATCAAACAAATGGGAAAATTGCAAAAAAAAAAAAAATCCAGATTTTGAAAATGAAAAAAAAAATCGAAAAAAATTGAAACTTTTAAAAGGGACAAGGCCTGCAACAGCTTGCAGAAAGAAAAAAACAGGGGACCAACCCAAGATTAAATTAATTCATTCATAAAAAAAATGTCTGAATTATGAGTGTGTGTCACTGTGTGACTGTGTGTGTTTATGTGTACCCAAGTGGGGGAATCTGAGGATTAGTACAGATTGTCGTACGTACATAGGAACTCGGGATGAATGAGAAAAAAAATTTAAGGAAATTTGTCTGAGTGAAATGAAAAAATTTTTTCTTGGGAAAGCTCTCTGATTGGATATTTTTATGGTTGTTCTTCGTCTTGACAGCCAACCAGAAACCCACAAAACCCACGAGCTGGTTCATAATTCATATTCATCATCATCCATTTTTCTTACAAGATTTTCACCAAACAGAGTCTTAAAAAATATCCTAGATTTTCATCTAGATCAGAGTATCAGATGTTTGTTTGTCGCTTTCATTTTTTTTCCCTTACTCTTTTACTACTTATTATTAACTGGATTACTCCGTACTAAAAAAATTACGTGAACCCGTGAATGAAATCAACACGCTAACTTGCTGTATTTAACCAAAATGTCTTTAATTGAAGTGTGTCAAAAGAAACCCTTAATTGATGTTGTTGCTTGAGTTAGGTTATCAGTGGCTTAATGAATGTGGTGGGAAATTGTCAATGTTTGAGCTTTTCATCTAATAAATCTTCCAAAACAGACTTATAAGTTGGTCAAAATATAACTATTCTGAGTTATCTCCAATTTCTGTCATTTTATTTTAATTTCTTTTTGGGCAGTAAGGAGAGTGTATTCAATTATTCATAGCTATGAAGTTACAATTTTACATAAGATTGTTACCAACAAAATGTCTAGTGCTTGTTTAGACGTCAGTTTCGTTTTCATTTTTAACTTGAATGTGAAAAGTATTTTAAGTGGAAAACATAATGGGAGATCAAAAAATTGTTTGGATGGTATCTTTAGTAAAAAGTTATTTTTTTATTCAAATATCAAGTACAAAAAATATCACTAAACAATTGAAAAACGTCAATTTTAGTCACTTTGAAAAAAAAGAGTTTAAAAAATAATCACTAAACAATGGATAAAAAAATGTGCAAAGTTTTAGATTTAGTCACTGAACTAATTTTTAGTTCCAAAAATGGTCACTGAACTAACTTTTAGTTCCAAAAATGGGCACTGAACTAATTTTTAGTTCCAAAAATGGTCACTACACTAAAAAAATGTTTCAAGTTTGCTTTTAAAATATAAAACAGAAAGTTGTTTGGACGGTTGTTTATTTTGCATTTGGTTTTAAGCTTAAGAAGTAAAATGAATTGAAAATGCAAAATGAGTTGACGGAGGACAAGCCCTAGTCTCTAGTGGCTAGAAATCCAGTTAGGTACGCTAGATGTAATTAACGGATTTCTCCAACCAACGAAACTAAGTACTCAATTGTAAAATTAATTAACATTTCTATAGACTCTTTTTAAAAAAACAATTTTATGTAATAGTATCACTCAAACCATAAGACAGATTTCTTTTAGAGCAAAGTTTCATACAGGGGATAAGGGTTCGATTCTTACTTAGACATCTAATTAGAAAAACAAAAAATCTCTCTTCTTGAAAATTGCCCACAGTTACGCACTCTAAACTTGTAGTAGGACTTTGAAATATATACCCTGTAAACGTCAGAAAAAAATGAATTCAACGGCATTATTCATGCTGGAATGAATGGTACATTTCTCTATTCACACTACCAAATACCTAGGAAAAATAAAATAAAAGATGATGGGGAAAAATGGTCAAAGAGTACCCAAAGAGTCTTCGTTGGGTTTAATAATAAATTACTAAAGTACATAGCTAATCAATTCGTCCGTCACAATTAAAGGGATTTCATTCAAACTTCAACATATTGTTTCATTCTTTTTTTCTTCAAGGAGATCAATCAGCATCAATGAGAGCTTCGATGAAGGAAATCTTCTTTTCTTTTCTTTTTTTTTTTTTGGGGTTGAGGTCAGCAAAAAATGAGACTGTACTTAGTCAAGGTATGAACCATGCGTCATCAGATAATTTATATGTTTGGTTCATTTTTTTAGTGTGTGTTTTTAGGTATTTTTTGTATTGGGAATGTAAAAAAGTGTATTGAAAATCTAAAAAGGTATGATGGGATGAGACAGTTATTATTTAAATATTTTGAAAATACCATAAAAAAACCTACTCCCTCCATTCACAAATAGATGTCGTTGGAGGAAAAACCAAATATTCTAAAATAAACGTCATTCTCGCAAATCGAAGCATATTTTGTCAACTTTTTCCAATATACCCTTACTTACATTGGAAATTATAGTGATGTTTAATGTAGAATTGTATTAGAACTAAATTTTATTGGGACTACAATTGAATTAAGAATAAATGAGGGTATTATATTATTTTAACAAGATAATTATTGAATCCTTAAAATTTGTGAAATTTCTCCAGCAACATTTATTTGTGAATGGAGAGAGTAACAAACAAAGCTTTAATATTGAGACCTACTACCATATATCCATGTGAAATACATAAAATAAATTTTCTTCGTCTCGAAAAAATTACTATAATTTGTCAAATTACTTTCCTTGATTTTAAATATCTGATTTTTTTTTTGTTTTGTTTTTGGTGTGAGTAAGAGAGTAAATTATGTAATACCAATATTGTGGAATTGGCTGATTTCAACGATGGTATGGTGTACATCTCACCGACTTTAGAGTTGGAAACATCTCTTTCCTTATAGTAGGGATTTACCACCAAAAGAGTGTCTCATTCAAGATCAATGCCACACAAAAATCATTTTCAATATAAAATATATATTTAGCAGTTCAATGACTCAAATAAGAATTCGGTTAGCTTAAAAAATATTTAAAAAACTGACAAGGAAAATGTCCATTTTATTGAACTGCGAATAATAATCTATTTTGTTCATCATAAATTAATGTCAATTAGTTTTTCTTATATATATATATATATATATATATATATAAAAAGAAGGAAACGTGATCATAGAATATTACAATATTATATGGATGAACAACGCTAATTATATCGTGTTTCAATCACATTCTTTAATATACGCGTCTTCGGCTACTGTTTTTAATAGAATACAATAATTGATTTACTACTCTAGAAATTGCAACCTCGATGCTGTTGAAGAATAACTTACATCTCCAACAACATAATCGCTACACGAAGAATTTGTTTTGCCAGAAATATTTCTAAAAATATTCTGAGATGTCTAAAATAATCTCTTGATGTGTACGTAACAAATATTGTAGATTCTGAAGAAGCACAAGAAAATTCGCAAGTGTGCCAAGTTGCCATTACATATATTCTGTAACTCGTCTATGCATTGACAAAAAACTTGATATTTTGCAGAATAGATTATAGATATATTATCTTGGGAATAACAAGAACAAGATCAAGGGGCCCCTTGTTTTCTTTCATTGTAGTCGAAAATAGAAATTAAAAGAAAAGGAAAAATGATAATATGATGATCAACGTTACTATGTATTTGTTTTTTTAATGATACCCGAATTAATTAAGAAAAAGTACCTATATTATTACATCGCGTCCTACTATAAACTAAATTATGTTCTTGGATGTGCGACAATAAGAATAAAATGAGGGTCATTTTAATCTAAGTAAATTTAATTAAATTCAATTAGGTTAAACATTTGTATGGTGATTTTTAGGTAATAAAAAAGATCACCATGAATCTCTAAAGTAGATTTATTTATAGATTATTGATGTAGTAAGATCTTATATTAACCTACAAGTGGATTCAATCTACGAAGCAACACGAATGGCGGGTGTTACGTAATAGTTGTACGTACTACATTGTACTTGAAGCCAAACCTACCACAATGAACAATCATCAGCTAGTCAAAAAAATTAGTAATAAAAAAAATAAAGTAGACGAATCAAACTGTCCATCTAGATGGTTTGCATGAGATTTAGATTTTTTTAAAAAGCTTGGTCAATTTCTTTATCAATTTATCGGTGGATTTAAAATGATTTGTGAGTTATCGTATTGAATTCCACTATAGAAAGTGGAAGCTTAAAAGTTATATTTGAAGATACCCATTCAAGCTTAGTGCTAAATTTATTTAATTACACTTTTAAATATGGCTGCTAGCTACGTCCCAAAATAAGGGTCTTATATGTTGAATTAAACAATGCATCAAATGAAAGGAAACAATTTAAGAAAAAATGAGTTAGTTTGTTGTATAATTTTAGTTCAATCTGACGTAAATAAATTTTACTTTTTATATTGGGAAGAAGGGAATATGAATCAAAACTGATTGGAATAAGCTATGTGACTTTTTAGGGTTGGTTACCTTTCACATAAACATTTAACTACTAAACCAGCAAAAAGACAATATATTGGAAGTAGATTTTGATCTCCTTCTTTCCTTTAAGGGTGTGTTTTTTGGTGGTAGGGAGTTGAACTGGGTTGGCCGAGATGAGATATTTTGTTGGTGGTTTTCTGTACAAATCAATAACGACGTTCTTACAACGTACGTGCAGGAAAAAAACAGAAGTGATCCTACCAGTTTTATGAAAAAGGAGAAAATTAATTTGCCAACAATAAATTTGTTTTAATCATGATAATGGTTAGAAGGGAGTCGGGTTTTCACATTTTTTTTATAAAAAAAATTTGGGTTGAAAATGAATGTGTTAGGTTTGTATATCTTTTCTGATTCAATTGGGTGCAAAGTGGTAGGTATATGTCGTTTCTTTTTTTCTTGAAAAATACAGGTATATACACAAGTAGGGATTCTGATCCTCATGGAGAAAATGGAGAATGGTAGTTGATGGAGGGAGTGACCGTATAAAATAAACTCGTGGTTGGAGTACGACTCGATTGATATCTCTTATCCGCTCAATTTCTAATAATACAGAGACATTTAAGACATTTTTTTTAAAAAAAAAAGTTTGGATGGTCTAGTAAGAATCAAACTTTCGACCTCCTGATAATAACCATCTCCCATCATGATCTGCTAATCACCTGCCCAACCATCTCGCTTCTTGTTACCTTGTAGTAGTAGTAATTAACTCCACTAATTGCATTTTATTCGTGAAAATGTTGAAATTACATAAACATTAATCACAAAACGCACGTTGAAACTGGTGAAATCAAAAGGCATTCAAAAACATATGTGATGATTTGGAGCAAAACAAGTCCAGAAGATCTATAATGTACATCAAAATAAATAAATAAAAAAAATTACTTAGTAAAACTATATCAGGTGAAGAATAGTAAATTTCCAGTGATAAATATAATCGGAATCCAAGAGGTCACAAATTCAAATCACATTTAACTATAAAATACAATAATTCCTTGAATGTCCTTGTTTGTGTTTTGTAGAAATTGAGGAAACCGTACATACGCATCAAAAACGTACAGCACGGCCAAGTACTTCGGCTGCAGGTAAAATTTTTGAAGAATTGTGCCAACAATTAACCATAATTCATTAATATGTAATGTCACACCTAAGAACACACCAAAAACTGGCTTCGGTTGTACGGCAAAAAAAAAATTTAATTAACGTACGACAAAACATGAGCTATGAATAAGCATCAAGTTGAGTTGACCTTTGTTTTTTTGAGTCTTTCCAGAAAAAAAAAATATTGATAAAAGTATGACGGATAATAATCCATCCATAGTTATAAATTGACTGAGATGGCATTGGATTCCAAATGTTAGGATAAGAAGACAGAAGGTAGCATTGTTGTTAAGCCTAACGTGCGCATAATTTTGGGGAGATTAGCGAAAACTCATCATATTCATATGGACTTGTCCCCTTAGATTATCGTAGGTCTTGCACGAAACAAAAACTATTTGTTTGATGGAGACAATGTCACATGATGGATCATCTTTCAACTGTTTTTGTCACATGATGATTGGTCCGTATAGTAGCGTGTTCATTGGCTAACAATAATGAGTAATTTCGGGTTAAAATTATAAATATTTTGATGAGTGAAATAAGAGGTTAAAAGACATAAAATTGATATCGATATTTTGGTGTACGAGTTTCCTCAACTAATATACATAGTCTCTAACACTAATTTTTTGACACTCTCATTTTGATGCGAACTATATAGACAATTCAACTTTGTAATTTAAAAAGGAAGAAAGAAAAAACTAAAAAATGGATGCAAATATCAGTTTCTTAATTTGCTTTCAAGAAAAAAAAAACATTCCCACATATTTGAAATTTCTTAAGTATATCCCCCAACAAGAACTGGCAACTATTTTCGCATGCCTTAATTATACAGTTGTCAGGAATTCCGACATAGGAGATTAATAAACTGATGAAGTTCCAATATAGAATCCAACAACGTCAATGAAGAAGTTCAAGATGATGAAGTTATAGATCCATGGACATGATATATGTATGTGCATGAGTCATAACAATAATTAATGCACAAAGTGATACGATTAATCATTCTTCCAATATGTGTTCGAACTTATAATGCATACGTGCTAGTTTGAACATGCAAAAGTGGAGATGTAAAACTTCAAAGCCGCCCATACAGACGTTGTTGATAGACGTTATCTTTTTCGATTTGATCGATCAGTTGACTTGAAAAATCATTGTCGTTGACTTCTACATTACTATTCTCTCCGTCTCACAAAAATAATCCACATTAAGTTTTGAATTGTATATTGTTTTTAGTTCAAATTTGAAAACTCAATGTGGACTATTTTTGTAGGACGGAGGTAGTATTTGTTTTTGTGGCTGTTGATTGAAGTCACCTACTACCATGCATGATTATATATTCTTCCATTCTCCCCCATGATCATATACCATAATCATGCAAAAAAGGGGAGAGAATGTTGTTTGCTCTTTATGTTTTGGGTCGGTGATTTCATTCGATTTTCGTTTTACCATCTTGAATTAACAATTTCGGCTATTGCATGCCTACCGGAAAAGATCGTTTATGCAAATTGATTATACTTTCTCCACATCTTATATTTACGGCGTACTTTATTTGATTGACATGATTTAACAAAGGTGTATTATTTTAGCACCAAAAATTTTACCAAATGGCCACAAGTTGTCGTTTTAACGCTAAAATTAGTTTAAATTTATATTTCAAACTCCCTATGTCCTAAAATTATTGTACACTTTGAGTTTTTATTTTTAGTTTAATTTGTACTAAAATTGAAAAACTAAACTGGAAAATAATTATGAGAACTTAAGATCTGATGGAGTACACTTTTATCCCTCAAAAACTAATACTAGAATCTATTTTCGGAAGAAAAATAAAAACACCAAAGAGTACACATTTTTTCCACTACCCAAAAAGTTATCAATGGGTTTGGGCTTCTATTCTGGATAGATAGCTATCAAAGTGGATTGGGCTTTTTCTGGAAAAAGAAAACCCCTCCCCCCTTGCCCGAGTTGAGTTGCACGCACTAATCTGTTTCTCTTGTGGCTTATCTTAGATTGCAAAAATACAATCTATCTCAGGGATGTTATGTAATTAAACCTATGGCTTCATTCTTTTGTTTAATGCCATCTTAAAAGGAATTTAAAAAGACATCAGCATGGAACAGCCTGATTTTTGTTGGTCCTTGTCTCATTAATCTTTGTGTCTACAATTAAGCAAGTTGTGGACCATGAAAAAGAAAACTTATGTTGGTTTTTTCTTTTTGAATACTACTGTTTTAAAAAATTATTCCTCCTTCCGTTTCAAAATTAATCTCAAGTTGAATTTTTTTTTTTATTTTAATACGAATTAAACTAAAAATGACAAATCTAAACTGTTCAGTAGTTTCGAGACGGAAAGAGTAGTATTATTAGCATTCATTTATAAAATTAAAAAACCATCTAACTTCTGAAAGTAAAAACAACGTGAATCACGCCACATTGGATAGGTACACCAACCAAACCCCAAATAATTCAGTTCATTTATGATTTCTTTTTTCTCATTATCACATGTACGTTAGCATCTGCGTTCTCTATTCCGGCTCGAAAAAATAAAATTATCTCGCCAAGTTCATTTACAACCTTTGTAATTCTCGTAATCACCTTATGAATATCTTTGAAATTTTGTTGTAAAAATTTCGTAATGAGGTCACTAAGTTCATAGCACTTATCTTATTCATTATTGATTATTGCATTATTCTGAGACTTTCTTGATGTAAATTGCAAGTTATTAGGCATGGATACACAATGTAGTATTACGTTATTAAAAGAACAACGTCACTTATCATTTATTCCTGTTGTAATCGGTTATGGTTTTTTTTAGTAATAGGTCAAGAAATTCATTCGTTTTTTTAGTGTATGTTTTTGGTGTTTTTTGTATTAAGAATGTAAAAAGGTGTATTGAAAATATAAAAAGTTATGTTGAGAGACAGTTATTAATATTTTAATTTAAAAAAAGCATAAAAAAATGAAACAAATAACGCCTCAGCGCCACTAGTCTTGCACAATATTACAGACTTTTCCTCAAAAAAGTTCATAGATTGTTAGAACTTAGAACAAAAAAGACATTTCCCCTTCGGAACGATATTTTGTTTCAAATGACTTTGGCATCACGCTCATTTTTTTATACGATATTTTGTTTCACTGTAAATGGAAAATGAATAAAAAAAAATTTAAGAAAACGATAAACCAAAACAATTGAGCTCCCCTTATTTTATTTTCCCATATACCCTCTTTCGTCCTAAAAAATTACTTATAAACAAAAAAATAAAATACAATGAAGTGTACCTTTGTATACTTGATGGCATGGGCATGGTCTGAAGACTGAAATAAAATATTTATTGGGAGAGTTTTACCTTCCATAAAAAATTTAGTCGACACAACTTAATTAATTAAAGTAATAGTTGGAATCTAACATAATTAAAAAAATCAATAAAGTGTATTTTTTTTGGAAGGGTAAATTATTTTTTTTTTGAGATAACTTGTTTCTATAAAATTCAACAACTAATCTCATTGTAGCATTTGTAATTTTGTACATTGAACGATTGAAGCCAACCTAATAAAGAAAAGAGGACATTTTATGCAGAAGCTACAAATGATGAGATGGCCCCACTGGTCAACGGCGTTGACGGTGCCTGAGATTTTCCCCGGTGGCATATTCCAAATCCCAATAAAACAAATTATTCCCGGCGACCGAGCTTGTGCAGCGTCAGCTAAACGCAGTCGTATCGCGTCATTTCCCACTAAATTCGCCTTGTGGACCCCATCCCAATTCCCACTTACTAGTTCTTCTTCTCCTCCTCTCAGTTTCCGCTGCTCGTCTTCCACTGATAGTGCCGTTTACGACATAAGCTTCGGAAATTGGTTGAGTATGGCGGATACTAACTCCGTTGGTTTCTCCGGCGATCGGCCGACGGTGATGGTGACGAACGACGACGGCATCGACGCTCCTGGATTGCGCGCTCTAGTTAACGTCCTCATCGCCTCCAATCGCTTCAACGTCATCGTTTGCGCTCCCGATTCGTAATTAACCTCTCTCTCCTTAAAACTTTTCCGAATGAATTTGTTCAATTCTCCGTTTGCATTGATCGTAAATTTGCCTTAAAAATTGTTTGAATTTTGTAACAGTGAGAAGTCAGCCGTTAGTCATAGCATTACATGGCGGAATCCTGTTTCTGTTAAGCGAGTGGAGATTAATGGCGCTACCGCCTACGCTGTTAGTGGTCAGTTCTTTTCTTTGTCGTTTAGGGGGAATATTCACCTGAAAAACGTGAACCAAACAGTGTCATTTCAATTTTTGTTTGTAATTTGTTTTGCAGGAACTCCTGCTGATTGCACTTCTTTAGGAATCTCTCAAGCTCTGTTCCCTTCGTTGCCTGATCTTGTAATTTGCTCTTGTTCATTAACTATGTAGCTCTTAGGTTTGCTGTGAAATATGTGCCCTTCAAATGGTATGTAACTTAGGTCCCTTTTTGCAGGTTATCAGTGGCATAAATATGGGTAGCAATTGTGGTTATCACGTGTGAGTGTATTCATCCTCACCATTCTTTTGGATCATTTACAAGTGTTGTCCTGTTTTACTGCATCTGTTATGGGATTTTATGCTTTTGGATTAGATTGCATAAACCAAAATGATGCTCTAGTCCTGAAAGGAAATGACTGTTTTTGAAAAATTTGTTACATTTGAGATTTGATTAATGATCTGGTTAAAACTTGGGAGAGTTACAAACATTCCAATGATGATTACCATTCTCTTATGGAAATGGATTAATTTTGAACAAAAATGCTACTTTCCATTTCTTTGCATATGCATGTCTCCTAGGCAATTATTTGGTAGATAGCTTACAGACTTCTCTGCTTAATCTTGACGCGCAGCAGGACTAAATAGAACAGCACACGACATTTGATCTGTTATACAATGACCTGGTGTAATCCGATTTTTGTTTGATGAAATCCAAATGCACAAAAGGAAGCAGTGGTTATTAAACTCTAGAAAATTCTTTTCTTAAATAGATCTCTGCCGTTTCTTTCTTTCCATGCCTTTTTCTTAGCGTACCAAGTGATGTTCTGACCAATCTTTTGTTGGCATTTCAGGGTTTACTCAGGTACTGTGGGTGGTGCTCGAGAGGCTTTCTTTAATGGTGTACCTGGTGTCTCTTTATCATATGATTGGTATGTATGTGAATCCCTTTATCCGTCTTTTGCTTTAAACGCCAAACAGATGGAAATTTCTGTGAATTACATCTTACAAAACTGGTGGTAATGGACAAAGTATAACTCTTTGATCACTGTAGACAAGTTAATACCTCAACAATATTTATAAGCCTTTGATAACTGTAGACAAGTTAATACCTCAACAATATCTATAAGCTTTACTATTTTCTTCTTGTCGTGTGAAGGAAGTAATAAGTTTAACCAATTATTTGGAAAATAAAATTGTACTTCAGAATGTTCATGTGAATGTGCTTTTATTTCATTCTTTTCTTTTTCTTTTTTCAATCTCTTTCTTTCAAAAGCTTGCAGTTCTGTTCTCATTTAGTTTCTCGTGACTTAATGGAGTGCTTAGGGTTGGTGGGAAGAGCAATGTTAATGACTTCACACTGGCTGCGGAGGCTAGCTTGCCAATTCTTAGTGCTATAGTTACTGAAATCAAGAACGGCAGCTATCCCTTGAATTGCTTTTTGAATATAGACGTGCCAACAGACATCATTAATCACAAAGTAAGTTTTAGAGTACTCTGACTCATCCAGTATATAGCCTGTTTTTTCTCTTCGTTTAAGCTTTGCACTCTTTTTTTCGGTAAATGTGTGGTAGCTTTGAACAACCTTGGGCGTAACTAGATCATTCATTTGTCCGAGATGATTTTCAAACTCATCATATTGTTTGGATGATAACCTACTTTTGTTTTGAATCCCACTGTAGGGTTATCGTTTAACAAGGCAAGGAAAAAGTATTGTCCAAATGGGCTGGAGACGAGTTATTTCTGATGCTCAAGATGAGAAAATGGCATCTACGATGACGATGGAGAAGTCTTCAGATGCGTCTCCAGATGCTTCTAATCTGCCACAGGGACAATTTATTTTCAGAAGAGAAGTATGATCTGTTTCCCTTCTAGCTAGCTCCTCTTTCTATTGCAGAGTGCCTTTCTTCTTGGTGACATGTTTCTCAGTTACTTTCCCAGATGTTTGAATAAGTTAATTTTGCAAGGGCAAAGATCTTTCTTAAATGAGTTGGATAAAAAATGAAATTTGCCTTTGAAAAGAGATAACATATGCATCAGTTGCTGAATTGTGTTGGATTCCTTACCTTTTTCTCTATGCTTCATATGTTACCTCCTCTTGGCTTGTCAATATGGGGTTATCTGGTACAATAACATACTGTGTTAATTATTAGGTGAAAGGAAAACAGGTGGATAACAGCGATTCAGACTATTACAACCTGCAAGAAGGATATGTATGTATACCATTTTTAGTTCTTTTGAACCAGATGCTGCATGCAGATATGAAGGTCCACTAAATAGCTGCCTATATTTGCAGATTACTGTCACTCCTCTTGGTGCCTTATCTCCTCCAGATGTAGATGGTTATTCATACTTCAGAGAATGGCTCCCATTAGTAGGTGAACGTTCATCATCTGCCTTGTAATGCTGTGACTTCCTTCCTCCTTTGCGCTGTTCACTCTTCCCTTTCCATATTATTGGTGGCTGTATAACCTCACCGTTAAATCTACTGAACTATGGAATATCTGAAATGAACTGTGCTTCCCCCCAATCATATGGTTAGCGATTTTGTTTTTCGCCTAGTTGGTTCTGTGCAACGGGATGAAGGCATTGACGCTGAGCTAGATGGAAATTGGATCTCTTAATACATCCGAAGTTCTTTAAGGTTATGGTGGATGAATGTATCTGCAATAATTCATTCCTTGGTCAGAATAATCATGGTTTGCGGCACTAATATTCATTGGAAAAACTACTACGCATTGATTGATTGAATTTTGCATTGTATTCTAGGGTTTTCAAGATGTAGTATGAAGATTACATGTACAGTTTCTCTATCAATGCTTGGCATACAAGATGAATACTTACAATTTCCAAATTTCAATTTTCAATGATATACATAGTTCGTTCACACTAATTGTCATGTCATGTTTTGTTGTATTATTTGGTAATCTTAAAAGTCCAGGCCTTACTGACCTAATAGACAAACCTACCATTTTTATTATGATGAAGAATTGAAGATTAGTAAGGTGATAACATTAAACTAAGTTTGCCCTGAGGTAGGGATTAGGGTAAGGGATTCTTGTAATGACATACTTAAAGTTGCGGTGATTAAGGTATTCGCACAGTCGCACTATCGGTGTCTTAGGTATAATTAAATTTGTCAAATAATTCCTCGTGAGTTGGTATAACTAATCAATCAGAATATACTCCCTCCATCCCATAATTATTATCCAATTTGAGTTTTCATTTTAGTTCAAATTGTACTAAATTAGTTCAAATTGTATTAAAAGTGAAATCTCAAACTGAACAATAATTTTGGGACAGGGTTTATAATAACATGGTTGTTGATTGGTTGGAATATTAACTACCATTAATTATAATTTAATGATGATTAGATTGTCATTAGAGCATACATAATGCTTTTATATTATTAGAGATAGTAATGTAATTACCAAATCATCATTTTGCATTATTACACTTTGTTCTAATTTTTCCACATTGATTTTCTTATATTATAAAAGTATAATAAAATTAAACAAGGGCAACCTCCATTAGTTACATTGTACATAACTCGTAAAATTAAATCTTGTATGGTGTAAGAATTTTAAGGCCGTTCAATATTATTATACTTTATACAATAATAAAGTGTGTAATTTGTTGATAGTTAATTCATTATTTATCACCACGGAGATCGCAGTTACTCTAAAACCTATGAATCTAATTAATTAAAAGGTAGTCTTGTATTTTTTTCCCCCAATGAATAGAGGGAGCATTTTAACAATTTCTTAAGACATATTTGAGAGAATATATTAGAAAATACTACATAGGATTCTATCATATGTGTTAACTTAAAGAAATGTTAAATTTTCTCCTTCTTTTAGTACAATGAAAGAGGCCGAAAGCTAAGAACTAAAAATTACAACGCTATATAAATAAGACTCACCAATTACATTATGCTCCAACCACTGCGAAGTCCCCACCAATGAATGAGTAATACGTTCAAAGCCGTCAGGACTCAAAGACGCAATATTAACCAAATAATCTGCTACAAAGTTAGTTTCTCGGAAGATATGTTCCAGTCTTACATCCTAATTTCGTTTGAGAAGATCACGAATACCCCAAATGTTAAATTTTCTCTTTCTAGTTTCATTCTCAATGTCATATAAAAAATGTAATAAATGGATTTGTAACTACTGAATCTTCTTAGACAGTTTATAACAAGCCCGCGAGCATCATCAACGAGATTACAAATACTATAAACGGCATACCATATTCTTAATCAGTAGACTAAACATACTGAGAGAACATTACAATAAAAAAATACCCTATCCTCTTATTAGATGATCAATCAATCAACGGAAGGAAATTTTTGGATTAATCCCTTTATTGATAACAAAAAGAAGAACAAGAATACGATTAAATTAAGGTGAAATTTCCCCATACTTTCATAGTAGAAAGAGGGGGAAGGCTTGGAGATTTTTTTAGAGGAGAGAGGAGAGGAGGGAGGTTAGGAAGATTAATAATTGGTTAATGACGCTTCATAAAATATATTTTATTCCAAAAGATAAGATAAATAATAAACTAAACAATTGTTGGTGGGCTAAATCTATCTAGTTTTAATATAAAAGGGGATGACAAATTTTGACACGGTTAACGCCCAGTTGCCTATCACCGTAGTCGACGTGGCAATGAACAATTCGACCTACCCAATTTTTTGTCGCTTTCTCCCTAATTAGCTCCCCTCCATTCCTTCTGGTTGCCGGTTTCATCGTTCCTCTGCTCAAAACCAAAATGAACAGAAGGATTTGTTGTAATCATCAAAGTAAACAGTCTTTTGGGTTCCTCTCCTCTTCCCCTCCTCTCTTCTTTCTTCTTTCTGATTCCGTTCCTTGCTGTTTTTAAGTTTGATCTGGACACCGCCGTACTAGGAGCGTTGATTTCCAGTGGGTTCACAAATTATTAGGCTGCCCCAAGTTGGTTGAGCAAAAAAAATTGAAGAAACCTTAGGTGAAAGCAAGTGAATAAACTCTTTGGAGGCCAAAATTCTTCCCCGCGCCTCAATTTCTCTGGTTGTTGAACCACTCGTTTTGGTTTGCCCATCACGATTCCTTCTGGTTTAATTTTTTTTTTTTTCCGGTAATCCTCAAATGTGGCAGTGGAATCTGTGTGGCGGTGGACAACGGGAGTGGAAGAACTGAAAATTCTTAGTAGATGAAGTCATAATTGATAATGATGATTTTGGTTGAATCATTGTTTTCTTGAGTGGATGTGCATTTGCAAATGCTTGTAATATGTTTGATGATATGCATGTTTGAGATGAATTCTATTGTAGTATCACTGTTAACAAAACTAGATCCATCCACGTTGATTTTCTCTCTTGAAGTGGCTACAAGTATCAATTGGAGAGCAATTCACGTTCTTAAATTGCAAAAACGAGTTTTTAAGCTACTTAGTTTATCACACTTTAAATCCCAAAACTTGCTGGGTGCTGATTCTTTGTTTGAACAAGAGAAGAGTGTTTTACCATGTATAATTGGTATTATTAGAGGTCGTTTGTAGAAGCTGTTTACAAATTAGGATTCCAACTCAATTTTCAAGGTCATTTGGAAATAACTTAACATAGATTGTTGTTGTTCCTCCCGGTAAATTATCACCAAACACCTCTCCTCGTGCGGTGCACCTTCACTGGTAATTCACACAAAACGAACCACAAGTCGTCTTCTTCCTTACAACAATCTGCCCTTTTTTTTCTTTTTTTTTTTTTTTAATTTCTCTCCGCCTCATCAAGATATCAGCAGGTTTTTGGGCCCTTTTTTTTTTTTTGGTCATTCATAAAATTTATTCTGGATTATTGCTTCTCAAAGTAGCTACAGTAATTTGTTATGGCCAACTTGTCGATGGCTTTTTGTCAACGTTTCCTGAAGCTTTGTCTGATAGCAAATTCCGAGCTTTTGCGGGGTTTAGTAAGGAATCATTTCCCGCCAGATTTATCTATAATAAGTTGAGGAGTTCCTCCTCCTTCTCTTCTTCTTCTTCTCCTTTCAGTTTGCACAGTTCTTCCGGTGATTGTCTCAGTTTTTATCAAAACTTTGCCAGTTCGCGTAGTAGTAATAATAATAATAATAATAATAATAATAATAATAATAATAATAATAATAATAATAATAATAATAATAATCCATCTGGTCCTTATTACGGTACATTTTGATTGTCCTAAATTTCATTTATTATGTCATTCCAATCGAAAATAAAACTTTAAGAATATTTTACAACTTCCGTCCTAGAAAAATAGTCCAATTTGAAAAACTAAAATATAAAAATAGTATGACTTAATCTTTCAAATTAAAAAATTAATATGAGAAATTGAATAAAGTTTCATGACTATTTATCAATTTAATAACAAATTTTAAGTTATATTAATTTTATAAGTCTAATTTTAAGATTTGCATTTCTAAAAATGAATTATTTTCTTGGGATAGAGGTAGTAGAATAATTGGGAGAACACAATAAATGTAAAAATACATTTTATAGGACAAATCAGTTTGTCTTATACTCCCTCCGATCCTTAATATAAGGCATTTTGATTTTGTCTTAGGTTTCACCTATTACGCATTTATAATTGACGAAAAAATATTTAAAAAATATATTTTTACACTCGTTGTATTCTCTTGATTGTTATAAAATATTGTTAAGATTTTTTTTCTTAATTAAAAATATTTACTAGGTTAAAACTAGCACAAATCAAAATGCGTTAAAGCCCGGAGGAGTAATAAGAACCAGAGGAGTAATAAACTAGATAATTGCTGGTGGGCTAAATAACTCACACGGAAACACCCTAACAACCATTGACATTTATCATATGCAGAAATATAATAATTCAGTGTCAGTTAAAGAAATCTATGAGTAGTGTCAATCAAACAATTATTAAAAGTTTATTAATAGTTTAGGTTAATGACGCTTTGCAAAACGTCAAATTTAAGATAAATAAGATAAATAATACTACTAGCTAGCCAGTTAATAACTAAACAACTGCCGGCAGGCTAAACAATTCACACCTGAATTTTGTCAATTCACAAAATCTATTTATAATCGTAAGCATTGTAGATATTGCTTCTCAAAATATCTCTGTTTTTTTGTTTTCTTCCCCTGCTTTCAAAATTAAGTTGAAAAACCTCTTATTCTCTTTCGCCTCTATTACCTTGCCAAATGGCTTTGTCAACTCTCCCTGAGCTTGGTCCTGGTAACATATTCCGATCTTCTGCAGGGTTTATTACGGCCTCATTTCCCGCCAGATTTGTGAATCAAAAGTTGTGGGCCTCTTCTTCTTCTTCTTTCAGTTTGCGCAGTTCTTCCGGTTTCGCAAGTCCGGTAAAGATGGCGGATACTAATTGTAATAATAATAATAATAACATTATGGTTGGTTACTCCGGCGATCATCGGCCGAAAGTGTTGGTGACGAACGACGACGGCATTGATGCGCCGGGATTACGCGCTCTGGTTAATGTCCTCGTCGCCTCCAATCGCTTCCACGTCATCGTTATCGCTCCTGATTCGTATGCTCCTTAATTTTCTCCTTAATCATGATTATAATTAATTCATTCAAAAAAGATGTGGAATTCATCGTAAATTTGTTGATTAAAACTATTCCAAACTTTGTATGACAGTGAGAAGTCAGTTGTTAGTCATTGCATTACATGGGGGAAGCCTATTGCTGTTAAGCATGTGGAAATTAATGGCACCATTGCCGCCTATGCTGTTACCGGTCAGTTTTTAGTTTATATACTCCTTTCGTCCCATAATTATTATCCAATTTGGATTTTTATTTTTAGTTCAAATTGTACTCACTACAATAAAAATGAGCTATTAATACCTTTATGGTGGGACAATTTTCCTAAAATGTGTCTTATTATATGTGTATTAGGACATTTGCTAAAAAGTGTCTTATTGAAAATGAAAAAGTGTATTCATGTTATGAAACACTATCATAAGTGTACTATTTGGGGTTGCTTGTGAACTATTACCTTACTTAATGGGTCGCTTTAAAGCGTGTTAATGAGTGACAATCTAATAATACACTTTCAAATGTTTTATGACTTATTGTGACTCGATTATAGGAAACACTATTTGTAGTGTCCCACGCAATTTGAGTCACACGTGTCCTATTACACCACTTATTAAGACACAAAAAGTGTCTAAACTACTCATTTTTTGTTGTAGTGACTAAAAGTGAAATTTCAAAATAGACAATAATTTTGGGAGAGAACAAGTACATATCAATGAATTCCATGGTTTCTGGTGGGAAAAACAATCACCTGAGGAACCAAAACAGATTCATTAGGCTTTTATTTATCTATTTATTTTGCAGGAACTCCAACTGATTGCACTTCTTTGGGAATCTCGAGAACCCTCTTCCATTCTGTGCCCGATCTTGTAATTTTATTAACGCTTTATTCTTTCCATTCTTTTCGTTTGGAAATAATTATTCAGTTCTGATTTTTATTTTTATTCAAGTTATATAAAAAATTAAAGTCTTAAATTGAATGATAATTTTAAGAAAAAAGATAGTATTACTGATTTCTAGAAATCGTACACGTGATACTCTTGCTAAATGCATGTATGCAACTCGAGCTTCTAATTTCTTGTGACGGAGGAGGATTGTTTGGGGACTTTTTTTTTTTTTTTAAAAAAAAAAATATTACGTTTTTGTTTCACTAACTTAGGTCTCTCTTTTTGGCAGGTTATCAGTGGGATAAATAAGGGAAGCAATTGTGGTTATCATGTGTGAGTATATCTAATGCCTTTTTGTATCCTTTTGAATACCGTCCTCTGAAGTAAATCTAGTTTGAGATTTTATAATTTTAGAATTAGAATTATAATTTTATAGAATCGAAAATGAGATAGTGAGATCATAATTTAATTTTAATTTCTTTGTTTAGTAGATCTAAAGAATTTATAAGAAATTAGGTTGTAATACCAATTTTTGTGTTTGGATACTTGATAATTCAATTAAAATTAATTTTCTATTGTCTAACTAATACAATTTTTACCTTTTCTTTTAGAAAAGAACATTTTTTTGTTTCATTTATTATATCAATTTGGTAATAAGGATTAATAGTAGGAAACTTAAAATTCTCACTCAAGACATAAACAAGTAACATGTAAAATGTCTTCATTTCTCTCCTTTTTATTATTATTATTTTTTAATTTTCAATTTTTGGAATTTTTTAATATTTTATAGATGAAAATTTTTATATTTAATATAAAGAAAGTTTTTGCATATTAGTATTTATTTATATATAGATTTACATTAATTTGTATATGCTAAGAATTACTTTATTTACCTTGCTATAACATAGTAAAAAAACTTTAACCCAGATTTATATTATTATTTATTAATTTTGTTTAATAATTTCGTGTATAGTTACATTGATATTTTTTTTTGGTCAAAAACTAAGATTTAATTTAATTCTAATGGATAGTCTCGTTGATAATTATCTAATTGGTATATATCATATTTGTCAATTTACAATAATAAATAAAAATGTATGCTAGTTGGACAAAAAAATCAAACAAATCCAATAAAAAAGAAGCCAGCGGTGGGTTAGGGGATTTTTTTTTTTTTTTTTTTAAAGCTGTAAAGTAGCATAACCCAGTGAAGGAAAGCCAAAAAAAAAAGAGAGAGAGAGAGAGAGAAGGAATTTTTTTTTATATATAAAAAAACCAGCACTAAAAGAAAAGGAAAAACTATTTATAGAAAGGGAAGCGACCCGTTTTTTGTTATAAAATGGATCAACCTGGACACAGCAAAGGCATATTTTCTTTCTTTAAAAAAAAATAAAATCGATGATATCAGAATTGTAATTATTTAATTCCACTTAAAGAATTGAAATCATGAAATTGAGTCTGATATGAAATTGAAATTCCAATTCTATATATATATATATATATTCACACTTTTATCTAACAAAACAAAGGAATTGAAATTAAAACTTTCCAGTTCCAATTCTATAGTTCAATCCAAACAGAGCTCTTTTACAGGACATTTGATCTCTGCATCCCAGTTGATTGAATTAGCATAGTAACAACTGTCTTAGCCTCCTATATTGTGTCCAAAAATAAGGGGAAAAAACTTACAAAGTAAAAATTACTGATGGCCATTCCCTTTTTGTTAAAATGAATCTAATTTATTAAACAAAGAAGGTATTTGCAATTTTTTGCATATGCTTTTTCCGAAGTAGCTAGTTGTTTTTTTTTTTTTAATTTTTATTTTAATTATCGGATAGATGCAAACTTCTACCGTGATCTCTTTTTCATCAATGATCAATCTTGTGTTGTTCAAATTCAGGGTTTACTCAGGTACAGTTGGTGGTGCTCGTGAGGCTTTCTTTAATAATGTGCCGGCTGTCTCCTTATCATATGATTGGTATGCATGCGAATCCTTTTTTTTTTTTTTTTTTTCTCAGCTGCCCGTTGATTGTAATTGGCAAAAGATTATGGATTTCTTCTGTAACTAGCTCGCGCCTTATAAAACTGCGATGAGAGTCTTCTTTATGTACCAATTTAATTCAACAAACGAAGCTTGTTTTTGTTAAGAGACATTGGGAGCATGTTCGTGTGTGTTTGAATTACTCTTACACAAGTTTAGACCTCAAATAATACTCTCTTCAGCCCTTATTAGAAGGCATTTTGGATTGTAGTAAGTTTTTACCTAGTATGTTGTTTTGATTGGAAAAAAAAAAACTTAAAAGAATATTTTTATATTTCACTGTGTTCTCATAATTATTAGAAAATATTTTTAAGGTTTTTTTACGATTAGAAAAACATGTTAGGTAAAATTTAAGACAAATCAATATATCTTATACTGATAAGGACCGAAAAAAGTACTTTATATCTAGGTTATCATTTTTTTATGCTTTGTCAAGGACCCAAGTACTCGCTTAGTTCTAGAAAAATACTCTTCATTGAATTTTGAAATTTGTACTAAAAATAATTTAATATCTTAATACTCGACGTGGACTATTTTTATATGGTAACGTGTATTTTTCTTTAACTAAACATTTGGCAAATTAATTAGGTACTTTAGAATATCCATTGATATTCTTGTGAATTAATGTGAGTGCTCAGGATAGCAGGGAAGAGCAATGTGAATGACTTCACGCTGGCTGCAGAAGCTTGCTTCCCAATTCTTAACGCGATTGTTGCTGGAATCATGAATGGCAATCATCCATCAAATTGCTTCTTGAATATAGACGTGCCCCACGGACGTTATTAATCATAAAGTAAGTTTTATCATTCAAATTTTTCTTTTTTTCTTTTTTTTTTGGTGGTGATTTTGGGAACTCATCGCATAGTGTGAATGATAACCTTAGCTTTTATATTTTGTAATCATTTGTACATAGGGTTATCATCTGACCAAGCAAGGGAAAGGTGTTTATAAACTTGGTTGGAGAGAGGTTAATTCTGATGCCGATCAAGTTGAGAAAATGACATCGACAATGTCGATGGAGAAGCATCCAGATGCATCTTCTTCTTCTTCTTCTTCTGGCGCAGGCGCAGATGCTTCTCGTTTGCAGAAAGGACAACTTAATTTCATGAGAGAGGTATGATTTGTTGGTCTTTTTCTTCATTGTTCTTCCATGCTTCAAAATGCTAACTGCTTTAGTTTGACAAACATGACTATTATTTTAAAATGCAGGCCTGGCGTATCATAGTATATCTTAGATTTAAATCATTAGCTTTTGCTGTGTTCATTTTCTTGTAGGTGAAAGGAGGACAAGTGGACAATAACAGTGATTCAGACTATTGCAACCTGCAAAAAGGATATGTATGTATACCACTCTTATAGTTTCTCTAGTATAGATTAAAACTTTTGAACTTGAAGCCGCGGATATGAACATTTTCCGGGCTAATAACTCTGCATTATCGTATATCTTTGCGACTCGCCTGTAGATTACTGTCACTCCTCTCGGCGCTTTATCGCCTCCAGATGCAGATGACTATTCATACTTCAAAGAATGGCTTCCTACGGTAGGCATTCACTCATCGTCGGCCTTGTAAAGTTGTGAGTTCCTTCCACACCTTTTTGTGTTCATCACTTTTCCATTTTCAACTTAATGGTGGTTCTATATATATACCCACTGTGTTAGAATGTACTCCTCCCGTCCTAATTGTAAGACACAAATTTAGACTAACTTTAGTTTTATTTTGTGCCTTGACCACTAACCTGAAATTATAATTAGCTATTTTGTTTTCTTTACCCCAAAACATTATAATTAGCTATATTTTGTTCTCTTTTTCGCTCAGGTTATTCTATACAACAAGATGAGGACATTCATGCGTGCTGAGTTCGTCCCTAAAATAATATTCACTCCGTCCCATAATTATTGTCCAGTTTGAATTTTTATTTCTAGTTCAAATTGTATTAAAAATGAAATCTCAATCTGGACAATAATTTTGGAACAGAGGGAGTATGAGTTTGGGCACAAATAATTTTACAAAAAACTTCATATTGCTTCATTGAATTTGAGCTTCTTGTATTCTATCCTATTCTTTCAACATATGAGATGTATGTGAGTGCAGGACTACGGTTTGCTGCCTTCTTCTTCTGCCTTGAAAATCTATTGCCACGTTTAACTCTTCAAAATGAACTATTGAAGTTAGGAACTACTGAAGTTATGAAAGCCTCAAATTACAAATGTAATAAAATGAAATTATAACTCTTGAGTTTTCTTGAACATTTCATAACCAGCCCCCAAGTATCATTAATGACATAATGAACATTGCAAACGGTATAACCTACCTTCAAGACTTCAACTAGTAGACTAAACATAATGGGAGAACACTACAAACACAAAGTATCCTACTCTCTCAATCGATCAATTAATCTATTGAAGGAAACTTTTGGAATTAATTCCCTTTATTAATAATGAAAAAGAAGAACAAGAATACAATAAAATTAAGGTAAAACTATTTCTCCAATACTTTCATGGTAGAAAGATAGGGGAAGACTTGGAGAATTTATATATTTATTTATTTTTCAGGGTATGAGGAGTAAGGAGAGGAGCGCCCACTGTATTAGGAAGATTAATAATAGGTTATGAAGATTTATAAAATATTTTATCCCAAAAGATAAGATAAATAATTAATAACTAAACAATTGCTGGTGGGCTAAATAATTCACATTAAACCAACCACAATTCGTCTTCTTCCTTGCAAGAATCAGCATTTTTTTTTTAATTTCTCTCCGCCTCATGAAGATATCAGCAGGTTCTCGGGCATTCTCTTTTTTTTTTTGGTCAGTTAATGAAATTTATTCTAGATTATTACTTGTCAAAGTAGCTCCTTTAATTTGTTATGGCCTGATAGCATATTAAGAATTTTTGGAGTTCCTTTTCTTCTTGTTCTTTCAGTTTGCAGAGTTGATTGTCTCATCGACGACAGAAACTTCGCAAGTTCGCTGAATATGGCGGATATTAATTGTAATAATAATAATAACAACTGTAATAATAAATAGGAAAATGATATGTATAGGGAAAAAAATTGTGAGTGATGTGGAGTATTCTTGGCTCCTAATTTTTTGTCACTTTCTCGTTAAAATTTTTTCATCCCCTAAACATTACATCTTTACTCCTAATTAATAACTACACATATTTAGTAAGGATGGTGTATTTGTATTTTCACTAGTTACTATTTCATTTCACTATAATTTGTCACTATCTCTATCATTGCTCTATAAATAGTTAAATAAAAAACTGTTGGCGGTCTAAATAATTTAAATGGAAACACCTAACAACCATTCAAATTTATCATATGGCAAATAATAAAAATTCCGTGACAGTGAAAGAAATCTATGAGTATTTCCAATCAAACAATTTTTTTTCTCAGCTGCCTGTTGATTGTAATTGGCAAAAAGTTATGGATTTCTTCTATAACTTACATCTTATAAAACATGTCCCTTCGTCCCAAAAATGAAAGACTCTTTTTTGTATTTAGTTGAATAAACGAAACTCGTTTTTGTAATGACACGGTGGAAGCATATGTGTATGTGTATTTTACTTATTCTTACACAAGTTCAGACCTCAAAAATACTTGTTTGTGGTGTTGATCATTTCTTGTCATGCTTTGTCTAGGACTTAAGTGTTCTGTCGGTTTCGGAAAATAAATCCACATTGAGTTTTGATTTTGAAAATTATACTAAAAACAGTATAAATTTTAAAATTTTATATGGACTATTTTTGTAGGATAGAGAGAGCGTTTTCTTTTAACTAAACATGTGGCACATTAAATAAGTGCTTTAGAATATCCATTGATATTCTTGTGAATTAATGTGAGTGCTCAGGATAGCAGGGAAGAGCAATGTCAATGACTTCAAGCTGGCTGCAGAGGCGTGCTTCCCAGTTCTTAACGCGATCGTTGTTGGAATCATGAATGGTACTCATCCCTCAAATTGCTTCTTGAATATAGACGGCCCAACAGACGTTAGTAATCACAAAGTAAGTTTGATCATTCTTAATTTTTGTTGTTTTTAAGGCGATTTTGGGAACTAATCACATTGTGTAAATGGTAACCTTAGCTTTAATTTTTTGTATCCTTGTTATATAGAGTTATCATCTAACCAAGCAAGGGAAAGGTGTTTATCAATTTGGCGGGAGACGCGTCATTTCTGATGCCGATCTAGTTTAGAAAATGACATCGACAATGTCAATGGAGAAGCATTCAGATGTATCTTCTTCTTCTTCTTCTTCTTCCGGTGCACATGCTTCTCACTTGCAACAAGGACAACTTAGTTTCATAAGAGAGGTATGATCTGTTTCTATTTCAAAACTGCTGTCTCCGTTTGTCCTTGTTTGTCTTTTTCTTCATTGTTCTTGCATGCTTCAAAGTTGCTTCTTTTGCGCAGTAACTGTTTTAGTTCGACAAACATGAATCTTATTTAAGGGCACGGGTCTGGCGTACCATCGTATCTCAGATTCCATCTTCTTTAGGGAGTTGCACTTTGGACAACTAAATATTAGTAACTTTTGATGTGTTCATTTTCTTGTAGGTGAAAGGACAGGTGGATAATAATAGTGATTCAGACTACTGCAACCTGCAAAAAGGATATGTATGCATTGCACTTTCATAAATTCTCTCTAGATTATAATTTCTCAACCTGAAGCCGCAAATATGAACATTTTCCGAACTAATAACTATACATTTTCCGGATAGTCTATGTATACTTTCCCCCAAAACAATATAGTTGGCTATTTCGTTTTCTTTGTCGCTCAGGTTATTCTATACAAAAAGATGTGGCATTCATGCATGCTGAGTTTGTCACAAGAATCATATGAGTTGGGGCACAAATAAGTTTTACAAAATATTTCATATTGCTTTGTTGGATTTGAGCTTGTTGTATTCTATCCTTTTATTTCAATATATGAGATGTATGAGAGTGCAGGACTATGGCTTACTGCCTTCGTCTTCTGCCTTGATAATCTATTGCCACGTTTAACTCTTGAAAATAAACAATTGAAGTCAAGAATTCGAGTCCAACAAGTAGGAACCTATCTTAACCTAAAACCGTTTCAAGATTATCTTACTTATTAGGTGTTCTTTATTACTCCCAGATACTACGTGGGACAAATTAACCTACTCATAATCTTAAAAATCTCTCTCGTCATTAGTAACTCACTACATTAAAACCAGCTCTGATACTTCTAATCATGAATTCCGGCTCGAGAAATCAGACCCGGAGAATTCCAATATCGAATTCAATAAGTAAATAGGAATTCGCCTCAACCTAAAACTCATGGTAATAGGTTTTGAAATCTTATTTATTAATTCCTCTTTATTACTCTCAGATATCGATATGAGACAGATTAATCTACTCTCGAACTTGACAATTAATTAAACATATATATTTTTCTCACAAGTCTAATTAATCAGGCATTTCGAAAGAAACTGTTTGGGTTGATGAAGCATTAAAAAAGGTTTAATCACCGACAGAGAGTTCCATTTTTTAATTTTTACTGAAAATAATGGACACGTTTGTATAACTCATTTTCCAATATTATAATTAGCTCATAACGATAACAAGAATACAAATATTATTCTTTTTCAAGATTTTGAAAACGATATAATCACGACCTTGAATTCTTTGGGTTTAAATCATTATTTGCAATATCTTTAGAATGTCGCAAATTGCCAGTTAAACTGTCAAGTAGTGGACGTGTAGGCCAAAAAAAACACTCACTCGATTCCGCAACAAAAATTGGAAGGTGACATAGCTGTTGCATTTTTATTATCCTTTCCATCTCAAAATAAGATACTCTCTGTATTTCAAAATCATTGTCAAGTTTATAATTTTATTTTTAGTACAATTTGTACTAAAAATTAAAAATCTAAACTAGATAATTATTTCAAGACAGAGAAATTACTTATTTGTTGAATTATTATATACAATAATAATTACTCTTATTTTGTGACAGTCTGAGTACCACTTTGCAAACTACCAGTATTCTGATATGGAAAAACTAATATACTTGTAAATTAAAAACGTCAACCACTAAATTAAAGGGAATACTGGCATTAAAATCTTTAAGCGTCTAATATATAGGTAATCTGTTATGTAAATTAAAACCATTAATCTCTCAGGAGCTAGAACACTCTTTCAAAGATGGCAAACATCAAAATGTGCAGAACAAAAGGGATGAAAACCCTCGAGGGAAAAAAAAAAAAACCATTCAGCCGGCGGAAAATATTAAATTAAATATTTACAAGAAGGTATACAAATATCTCCAAATTTCCGGTTTATGATTTGGTGTCGCATTTTGGTGGAGGAGGAGGCGGCAGCAAAGCCGGCGGATGTGATTCGACGAGTATAGACCAAAGAACATGTACATCTTCATATTGGCATGACTTCACATCTTCATACAAGATGTATATCCCTCTTCCTATACACAATGAATGACATCAATTTGAATCCAACAAGAATAACATAGTAAAGATAAACAACATATATTTGTTCTGTCTCATAATAAGAGTCTTATTTCTAAAACTTGAACAATTCAGGGAACGTAATTATTATTCCTGATAAAAAAAAAGTAATAAGCGGAGTAGTTGTGTATCTAAAGAAGTTAATGAGATGCATAAAACATTCCTTACATTTTAACCTTCTTTTGAAATGTGAAAACAAACACATACACACACACACACACAATCTTTATTTTATTTTCGAAATGTGAAAACACACACACAAAATGCTACATTAATGAGATTAAGTGGACTTAGACTTAAGAGACATACCCTTTTTATGAGCAGAATGAAGTCGAATCCAGAGCTTCTTCAATGGAGAAAAGAGGGATTGAAGCCACCCCATTTGGAGAAGAAGGGGGTGTGGCTCATGGTTGGTGTGAAGCAAATAAGAAGAGATCCACAAAGGCCAAAGAGAGAGAAATTTTTTTTGGGCTATAGTTTGCTTAGACAAGAGGTGAAGTTTATGTCACTATTCTTCAATAGAGAAACAATTTTACCATTCCCTTGTAACCCAATCATGCATTTCACATTTTCATTTTTTTTCTTCTTGGTAAGATATCCCTGTCACATCTATTTTTTCTTCTCTATTAATAATGAATCCATATCTCCAATATGTATATTTTTTTCAATATATACAAAAACAATGATTTAATTCATTCAAATTAGTGACTGTTGCGAAATATATAAGAATCGAAAAAAAAAGGTATAATAAATTGTGTGTGCGTGTGTGTGTGTCCTTTCTTTTATATGCTCAGATCAGTTATTAAATCAGTTCATTAATTATATTATCTCTATCAATTGATATGAGTACAAAGTTTTTGCACACCCCCACTTTGATGACTTATATCACAAGCTTTTGCGTGTACTTTTTAATTATATATATATATATATATATATATATTTTGCCATGGCCATTTTTTAAGTTTTGGAAAGACAAATAAAGAAATTGGATTTGGTGGGGTTTCATATACCTTTCTGAGATCCCTCGTGTGTTCTAAGAAAACATTCTTCTCGCGGGAGAGTATGTTCTAAGTATAAGTGGACGATTGGTCCATTTGTTGGTTTAATCGGGTTTCTCTTGTTACTCAGTCCTTTTTTTTTAGAGTATTTTCGAATTTGACCTTTTCTATTCTTAGTTTAGGTCGCATTATTTGTTCTTAGCGTATTACATTTGTTTCTTAGACCGTCGTCGAAAAAAATGGTTCTTACATATTTTAATTTATGATGTTATTAATTGTGCAAGTTTAGAACATAATAATGTTGTCGCACGCACTATTCTGTATTACCCAGAAAAAAAAAAAATAGATAGGCATATGAAGCTCTCTAGATGCCCTAAACTTGCACAATAATTTGATTGAAAATAACAAAAGATGTATATATAAACACAAAAATTCCTTAACATTGAATGACAGAAATAAAACCTACAAGAAGTTACGTTTGACCAAAATAATCAACTAGCTTCTTCCACAATATCCAAAAAAAATTTGCAAATGTTGCTACTAACTTAACGCTTGAAGAAAATTAAGAAAATATTCCTTAAGATGAATTATGTTTGAGAGCAACATATGAAAGAATGATAACACCCATAAAAAAATTTGACCAATAATATATAATCAATTAGCTCCAAAAATAAAATGCAAAACTATTGCTAATATTCAGTCTTGTTTTCTTCAGTTTGGGATCGTATTTTGCTTTTCTCCCAGCGTTTATAGGTAGGTTCATTTTAACTTTAGAAGTCTCTCCTTCTTCCTTTTAGGGCTTTCTACTCCTCTTCTGGATTTGGGACAACTCCAGCTTTGTGACAAATCCATTCGCCATATTTTCATTGGCGATGAGCCCTTAATTTCTCCAAAGGAAAGGGCTGAATTGTCTTCTCCAGCTTCATGGAAAAACAAGAAGTAATCTGACTGGAATTTCCCATCAATAATTCCAGCCCACCAACCACCATGCTCATACGCTTTGGCCGTCTCATATGGACTGAAGGCCTGAAGCCGATCATCGGAACACGAGGCAGCCGAGGGCTCCCTCCGCCCCGATCCATCTTCACTCAACAAGGTCGCGTACTTCACTTTGTATTTTGAGGAGCCTCTTCTGAGTTGAATGTGGCTCTATAAAAAGAATTTTCGAAAACTTTCATTCAGGATCGAAACCTCTACCTCTGGCAAACTTGGAATTCCATGATTTGTTGATTTTGCTAGTAAATTCACATGAACAAATATTAAAAATAAATTGGTGTATATATAATTTTGAGACACGATATTCAATTGCAATCTTAACAGATTTAAACGAGATAGAGAGTGATATAACTGGTGGTCGATATTTTTATTTCCTATGTATACTATATAAGGTCGGATCCAATGTGTATACACAAAGAACTATTTTTCAGTCAAAATCAAAAAAATTAATGGTCCTGGTTTGTGATCCATGGAATTATATTATTATTATTATTATTATTAGGAATTTCTAAAACCTTATTGTTTCAATATGTGCACGAACCTCGAACGCAATTAAATCTGAATAAAGCATCAAAGGAGGCTGTTGTAACGAAGTACTTGTACATTATTATATTGGTACTTCCACCTATTGTTAACTGCATCCATAAAGAAGAAAAGGTTTTAATTGTTTAGGGAATGTGTGAAATGGTTATCTAGAAGTTCTTAAATTACGAAAAAAAATGAAAATTAATACCAATACTGGAAAAAAATCAACAGAAAGAAAACAAAATGTCACAATTCAGCTCAATCTACGTATAATCAATTGATAATCCACGAAAGCAGCACGAACGAATAATAATTAAAAAAAAAATGAACTAAAGTTTTCTTTTACGGGAATTTGGATTTAGGAATTGGAGTCGGAAACGGAGAAAGAGGGTTTTCTACACCGGAAAACGGTGGACGGTGGCGAGAAATTAAAGAGGAAAAAAAAAAAAAAAACGCGGCGGACTACGAGAAGGGTTTTATATATAAGTGAGATTGGATCATTGGAAGCTTCATTTCATTAACACGATGAATTTGTACTCGTCACAAAAAAGAATAAAGATTTCTAATTTCGGATTTCTTTTTTCTTTTTTATTTTTTTAAAGCCTTTACTTTTCAAAAGTTTTTGCATTAGACAAAAAATCAACTAATTTTTTTCTCCTTAAGATTTAATTGAAAACCCATAATTTTTGTTTGTTTCTTATTTTGCTAACCCGTAAGAAAAATGGAAGGCTGTAATTTTTTTTTTCCCTGAAAATATATAATCATCTCTACTATACATACACCCGACTAATTTTTAAGTCGTATGGCGTCAGTATTATGTTTAAGAACGCTAAACATTATACTCCCTCCGTCTCATAATTATTGTCCAGTTTGAATTTTTATTTTTAGTTCAAATTGTACTAAAAGTGAAATCTCAAACTGGACAATAATTTTGGGACAGAGGGAGTATATCAATTTTATCATTCAAACTTCAAAGTATCACAAATCATATGTCGAAATTAACTTTATTTATCATCGTGCATTTAACGTTCATAACGCTTTTTTTTTCATTTTTATGTAAATATGTGTCCAGAGGCTGAGTGTTGTGAGAGTTGAAAACAAAAGGCACACAAATAATTGTGACGACACAAAACCCCCATCATCAGTCCCTAATATTATTCTCTGATTAAAGTCATTCGAAAGTGCTACCGAATCATATGTAGATGCACAAAACTTGCACGATATTCTCACTTAAAAATTTCTTTCAAAGTTTTAAAGTATTTTGATATACTCACGATATGCAGTTTACGATGAGGAAATTTTTGGAACAATTTATTCATTTTGCTGCTCACTTTGCTCATCAAACCCAACCAAAAAAGTTTGACAAACAAGATAAGTTCAAGGAGTCCAAAAACGTTAGAGGTTGGTGTTGGCATCTTCCTTCCTAGCCCAGTACTCCTCAAACCCGATATATAAAACCATCGAGCTTATATATTGAGTATGAAACTTTCCCATCATCGATGTGGGATTGGATTCATTTGGCAACAAAGAAATCACCCTCTCTTTTTTTCTTTTTCTTTTTTCTTTTGATAAACACGATTCCATATTAATTTATAAAGAGGGATTACAAGTCGGCCAACTCTAGAGTTGCCTTTGCCTTATCATGAGCATCTTCAACCACATTTCTACTCGCTTTGGATACACTATTCTACCTGATAATAGCGACAAAAACAAGATAACATCCTTAGCTATGTTATTGATTTTGATGGGGGAATTAGGAAGCTCAGTAATTGACATTTTATTATTAACCCAAAAGTTTGGCTGCCTATTTTAATCCTTCCAAAACATGCCCTGAGTTGGAGTAGAAAGATTGTGAACCAGATACATTCAGATTTCCATCTTTGTTTGCTCTGAAAGCTCCATCCACTCCAATGAATAAATCCCATGAAGTAAAACTTTGCTGAAAATGTCTGTCTCCTCATCCTCTGCCCATATTAGAGTCTTCAAGGGATGTTGTTCTGCTCCATTCCAAATTTTTGTCATTTCTTGCTGTCCACATATAGCCCAAATTATGAAGAAACTTATCCTTATAATAGTACTATTCCCCTGTTTTGTCATCATCAGCTTGAGATTTGATCCTTCTTCTCTTGGAAACTCTGGAGGTTGTTCCTTCTTGTTTGTTTTTCACCTCTTCTGGATTTGAAACAATTCCTGCCTTGTGACAAATCCACTTATCATCCCTCCATTCGTGATGAACCCGGAACTTGTCAAACGGATACGGCTTCTCTTCTCCGGTTGCGGGGTGAAACAGGAAGTATTCCGACTGGAATTTCCCGTAAATAATTCCGCCCCACCAGCCATCGTGCTCGTAAACATCAGCGGCTTCATACAGGCTGAAGCCGATCACCGGAACTTGAGGCGGCAACGGGCGGAGCTGATCGGCATTCACAACCTCTTCCATAGGTCCCGACTCATCACCATTCAGCAGCGTCTTGTACCTCACTTGATATTTCGACGACCCTTTTTCTTTCGAGATGATCGTGGCTTCGTAATAGGAATTCTCGAAGCCTTCATCCTGGATTGAAACCTCCACTTCTTCCCCAATTTTGAATTTCATAGTTGCGTTTGCTGGTACTACAGAAAAAATAAATAAATAAAGACAAATGTCATTCAAATTGATGATGAATATGCAATCCATAATATTGAGATAACAATTTAGCACTGATACTAGTTTAAAGACCCAAAATCCACCCTCATCCCAAAACACGAAATCTGCCCGGCAAATGCCCGGTAATCTGATCTGCAAATTCATGACTAAAGGGATGTCTCAAACTAAAGGGTAGCTCAATTTCGAGTTATTATTTTAGTCTAAGACAAAACAACTAGTAGGAAAGTTGACAGCTCCTTTTTGTTCACTGATGTGTTGGAACTTCAAAGTAATATATTCTACCTAAATATGTATTAAAAGAAAAATGGGATTAACATAAATCAAAACGGATAAATTTACTTACAGATTTGGAAGCAAAACTATAGTGGGGACTTCTTTTTCTTTATTTTATACTTGACGATCTGCTTTTTCCTTGGTCAAATCTCTCTTCACCGACGCCACCGGAACTTGGTGGCTGCCGGTGATGTCAAAGGTGGGGGTGGCAATGATACCGAGAAGTAAAGGGGTAAACTCTACTACTTCGTCGGCAAGGTTGGTGGAGGGTGATCGTATGGGGCAGACGAAAATCAAGAGTAAGCTGGAAATAATGAAGAAAGAGGAAGTGGTAAGTAAACCTGAAGACAATAATTTCAAATCCACATTCCCTCTTAAAAAAATTCATTCTCTCCCGCGTAATGTCAAAATGTGTTTTTCCCTCCAAATGAATCTACGTTTTCCCTCCAACATTTCTTTTCCTTCTTATAATATTCTGGGTTTTCTAAAAGTGATATCTAATCCTACTTCAAGTGATAAAAAAATGATTGGATGACATGAAACCATAGTTGATAAAAAAAATGATATACTCCTTCTGTCCCAAAATTATTGTTCAGTTTGAGATTTCACTTTTAGTACAATTTGAACTAGAAATGAAAACTCAAACTGGACAATAATTATGGGACAAAGGAAGTAGTCTGTATATTTTATTAACGGAATTTAATTACTTGGCTCTAGGTCTAACTTAATTTTTCTCAAAGTCTAATAATCTTATTATTTTGTTTTTCTTTTAGCATCAAATTCTATAATGTAGATTATAAAACTAGTTTAGTAGGTAATTATGGACGTCTCAACAATCAAAATCTAGTTTTCTTGCAACTGGTATAATTAGATTTATAATTTACGCTATAATGATGTTTGATCGTGATCTCTTTTCCTTTTTTTTTTTTTTTTGATAAAAACCATAGGGATCTCTAATAGTAATACTTGATCGGAGATTCGCAATCTGTAAATAGTAATGAAACAAAATACTCCTTTTTCCAAAACACAATTGAAATAAAATACAACTATTTAACTTTAAAATAGAACCTCCATTACTACGGCCCACTTAAGATTGCAATTTAAAGGGCTTACTGTCCAATTACAATTTACACAAGCCTCGATTTTAATTTGCTCAAAAAAAAAAAAAGAAAAAGAAAAAGAAAGAAAGACAGAAAGAAGGGCATTCCCAATTTCACAGGATCGGGTATGAGGAAAAAACAGAATCAAAATGGCAGCTCGACTTAATCCACATTCAACAGGTAAATTAATGCACGAAGGCAGCACGACAAATCACATAACTGAACCAATTTTTTATTTTCGCTAAACAAATCGAAATCAGTTTAAGGACGGAACGGAGATCGAGAATGAGGGGAACCGGAAGTCGGCAACAGGGGAACGGAATTTTACCTTCACGGTGACCAGGTCGCGCGGGATCCGAGCAGAATCTGGAAATGGCGGCGGACGGCGGCGGCATAACAGAGAGGAAGAGGGAAGTCGCCGGAGGGTTTTATCCTTTTATATATAAAAAAAGAAAGTCAGTCTAAAAATTTCTGCAGAGAGACATTATATTGCTGATAATCAGACAGCATTTCACCAAGAGAAGAACACATTAGAGAAAAAGACAAAAGGGATGATATTAGAGAACACATTAGATTACTACGGATTTGGGCCAGTTGACTTGTTGACTGGACGTTAGTATTTTTTTTTAAATTTTTTTGTCGTTTTATTTTTGTATAAGGAACAAAAAAAAAAAAAAACTTTTATTCTCGAATAAATTATTACGGAAAAAAGTAGTCTAATAGTAAGTTCTCAATGGAATTACCAACGATTTTTTATATATTTATTGAATCTATAATTATATTTTGATTTTGGAGACAAGATTACTTATGTACAGCATATCTTTTGAATTTTCTTTTGAAACAGAGCAACCAAGGGAAGATGTTATTAATTAATTTTATAGAAATCAGTTGAGAAAAAAAAAAACTGTGGAGAAGATGTGATAATCGAAATTAAAAAAATGATAATAACAAGGCAAAAAAATAAATGAGTAGATAAAGCACTAAAAACAATATTATGAGTTGCAAGAGAACTTGTAATACTCCATTCATCTCATTTCAATAATTTATTTTGTCACATTATACTAATTATACAATGTAAATTATTAAGGGTGAATGAAGAAAGCGTGATGTAAGAATATACAATTTGTAATTTTTATAAGAATTAAAATATTGGCAGTATTTCTAATACATGTAAGCTCTTAATCATCATAGTGGTTATCCAGAATTATTACAAGTACTAGTATTTATTTATTTCCGTCGACTTAAACTTCGACGAGTAAGTCGACGCTCATTAAACTGATAAATAATCCAAGGGCTGAAATTCAAGCATCAAATAGATCCAACGGTGGAAGTAATTGAATCTTTTTCCTCTTCTCAGACGAATTTGAACAGTCTTCACTATGAACTTGAACTTCTAACCGCGTAAATCTTCGATCGAATTCCAGCGGTTTCCACTGGGTTTTCTTTGCCTTTCCAAAATCCCGAGAATTGATTATTATATGTAAAACTACTTCGTTTAGCCCCAAAATTTTTCGCCGGCGTTAGAATCAAACTCTAATCATCATCAATGTACTGCAATTTCCAAAAGCAAGCGATCGAGTATGGAGTTCAGGCCGTACAGGAAGACAACGCCGGAAATTATGCCAAGGCGTTTGATCTCTACACGAAGGCGCTTCAGTATTTTAAAGCTCAATTGAAATACGAGAAATCCTAAGGTGAGGGAGGCCGTTACTGAGAAGTTCGTTGAGTTTTTGCGCCGTGCGGAGGAGATTCAGGCGGTGTTGAAAGACGGCGTCGGCGGCGGTGATTCGAGACAAGGTACGAATCAGAATGAGGCAACGGCAGCGAAGCTGGAGGTGAAACCCAAGGATGGTGGCGCTGGACGCTGGTGGCAAGGGAGATGATCAAGAGCAGTCGAAACTGAGGGCTGGATTGAATTCTGCTATAATTAGTGAAAAACCTAATGTGCATTGGAACGATGTGGCTGGACTGGAAAGTGCGAAGCAGGCTTTGCAGGAGGCTGTGATCTTGCCGATTATGTTTCCACAGTTCTTCACAGGTTCGTAAATTACATATTCCCGCATTGAATTTTGTGAAGTTTGGGTGCTGAATTTGTGTATTTTGTATCATATTTTGTATTATGATTGATGAACTTTAGAATTAGATTGAGCTAAAACTTAAGGTATCACAATTAGTGGATTGTTCTAAGAAGTAGAGAGTTTACAGAGGGGCAAGGTAGAGATCCTACAAATGGTAGTTGTTTAAACAGACATATCTTGTCCCTCAAAGAGAACAGGGTTGGAAAGACTAATCTTTAACCGGAATCCTTTCTTAGTCCATTTGTATTTGCTGTAGAGTAGGTACGAAAGTTAATGTCTCTGTACATATTATGCACAGGGACTAATAATCATTTGGACTAGTACACTTATCCATAGCCACTTTCTTTCTGAAACTTTTAAATGAATGAATTTATTGTTATAGTTTGTTAAACTTCAGTTCTCGGCAGTATGCTAAGCTGAAAATTTCTCTTGAATATTTTGTTTGGACATGTTATTTCTTGGATCATGAAAAGATTTGGTTCTGAATTGATCCTTATAGGTGATATTTTCATTGTTTTACTTGCTTCTTGGAAATGTTGTTTTTTTTACGTTCTTTGTTTGATCTTAAATGTTTTGGTAATCTAGGTAAGAGGCAACCATGGAGGGCTTTTCTTTTATATGGTCCACCTGGGACAGGGAAGTCCTATTTAGCCAAGGCAGTTGCAACAGAAGCGAACTCAACGTTTTTCAGGTACAAAAAAAAAAGTGATACTGCTATATTCTTTTTTAGTTACAGTAGGAAGCAATATTGATTGTGTAATAGTGTTATTTCCAGTGTTGGTTCATAGACTTATGTTCAAGAAACCTATTGTTTCTAGTTATAAATTCTGCAAGTTCCAACTGTGGTATTTTCTTTTGTAGTATTTCATCCTCATACCTTGTATCGAAGTGGATGGGAGAGAGTGAAAAGCTTGTTGCCAATCTTTTCCAGATGGCCCGAGAAAGTGCTCCTTCCATCATGTTTGTGGATGAAATTGATTCCTTGTGTGGTCAGCGTGGAGAAGGAAATGAGAGCGAGGCGTCAAGACGTATTAAAACAGAGCTGCTAGTGCAGATGCAGGTACTTGCTCAATGCTTGTAATAAGGTTGACAATTTAGTGTAAGAATATGTTATGGATGATACTTTGTGCCAAAGGTTTGTTGGTAAAATGCTGTTAACCTCATTATCCTTCCCAGGGAGTCGGACACAATGATCAAAATGTTCTTGTTTTGGCAGCGACAAATACTCCTCATGCTCTTGATCAGGTACATCATGATATGATTTTTTATTTATTTATTTTGGGTTGAAATTATTATCGTGATGCTTCTTTGAAGGCTGATTTGCGGTCATTGTTTTTATTTATTAAACATTGTTTATGATCTTATACTACAAGACTCGAACATCCAGTAGAAACTTAAGTTCCCCTCCCTCCTCTTTCCCTTTTGTCCATGAACACCATGGGAAAAGACTTTGTACTACTTCTCGAGTTGGGTCTAATGTAAAGTTGTAATTTTGAAGTTTAAAGGCATTGTATGCTATTGTTGTTTAACTAGTCATTGTCTCTTTTTAGGCTATTAGGCGAAGGTTCGATAAGCGGATTTACATTCCTCTACCAGATCAGAAGGCACAACAACATATGTTCAAGGTAAGGATTTTTCTACCTTCTTCTGAAGAATAATGCCAAGTAGCTTTTCTTTCCTGAATATCTAATGGTGGCTGTTAATTTAACTTTGGTTACTTGCAGATTCATTTAGGAGACACATCACACAATTTGATGGAGAGCGACTTTGAAAGTTTGGCTTATAAAACAGAAGGGTTTTCAGGTTCTGATATTTCTGTTTGTGTAAGTTTTCTCTGTTAAGTGTGCCAATTTGTCAAGTGATGTCCAAAAGAATATAGATTAAACTATTCTCTGGTTTGCTTCTCTTTCAAAAACCTTCTTGCACAATTTCCCCCATTTGTGAAATGTATGCTTAAAGACATTTTTTCCGTTAGGTCAAGGATGTCCTCTTCGAACCAGTACGAAAGACTCAAGATGCTATGTTCTTTGTTAATACTTCTAGTGGTTTGTGGATGCCATGTGGACCTCAGCAATCAGGAGCTGTCCAGACTAGTATTCAGGAGCTTGCTGCTAAAGGACTTGCCTCAAAGGTGAGAACTATGGTTATGATCGAATAGTAGTATCAGGTTTTAAGGTTGCTTTGTTTCTATATACATGTGCTATGCAGAGTGATTGAACTACTAGCTAACCTTCATTTTGATCAATATGATTGCAGATAACTCTTCCCCCGATATCTAAAATGGACGTCTACAAGGTTTTGGCAAGGCAGAAGCCAACAGTGAGCAAATCTGATCTCCAGCTGCATGAGAGATTCACCCAGGATTTGGAGAGGATGGTTGAAATTTGGTTTGGATAGGAAAGACAAGTTATTTTTCTTTGTTTGGCATTTGTGTGTATATACTTTGTGCTTGTCTGTAAATATTTACATGACTTAGTGATTTGAGGCATTTATTGAACACCTCTTTTTCTCTTTTGAGTTTTAGAATAGGCATGTCTTCTTCGATGAGATAATGGATAGTCGAGATGAATTTGAAGCCTTTGCCATGATGTTTAAGGCCAAAATGGCTGTATTATTTAAAGAGAACGCTATGCGCCAATTTACTACTAATCAACATTAAAAAAGATTTTAAAAAATGAGAACTCTTTTTGAGAGAGAAAAGAACAGTTTACCAAGCTAACTGTTATTCATTTATTTAATGAATTATACATGTCAACACTTGTACAATTATACCTATTGTAATCTATACCAAAGTACACCATTTGAAGTGCAATATGTAACATCCTGATCACCTAGTAAAGAATGAATTTTCTATTGCTGGGATTGGGAATTGTTTTTATGACCGCAAAATTGAATAATGTGTCCCCTCAAGCTACATTCTTCCACTTGAGATGCATATACTCCAAGCAAAGAATCTCCACAGTCATGGAGTTGAGCTGTTTCTGCGCTTGTAACCCTCGCCAGTTCACACGTCAAACTTTCCACTTCTTCAGCCTGTATGCAAAAGAAGGCCAGATTACATTATGTGGTGATGTGTGTTACAAGAAAAGCTTTGAGAACTCGGAAAAGAATTAGACATCCACTGAGCTAGTTACTCACCTTAGACCTGTAGCTCTCGATGTTAGAAACAATCGATTCAGACAACTTTTCAGCAGATTCCAAGATCTCCCCTAGTTCTGTTACATTAACCTGCAGTACACCAATTTGCAGCAACAAAGGGTTATGACATGACTTCAGATAAAAGAATACAAGCACTAGTTTTTTCATGCATCGGTTCATGAGAGAATAATTCACTAACCTTCACTCCACCGCTGACTGGTAGTCTGAGTGATAAATTTTGTAAAGCTTCTATCACACCAAGCAAAGAACTCGAATAATCTTCTTCCATCGCAGACCATTCGTCGAGATAAGGCATCTAAGATTGAAAAGAAACAGTTTGATAAACCACATTGTCCGATATATACAAACATAATGATGAAGATGATCTATGCTTAATATACATACATATAAAGATAGAGTTATCTAATTATTATCATTATTCCAGTTGGTCTAATTGTGTTGAATTGATATATGGTAAAATTTAATGGGTAGATGAGTAATAAATACCTGAGATTCAGCAATTGAGGATGAAGTATGTAGCCTCTGCAACATTTGGAGTTCAAGGCGCTTTTTCATCACTGAATCACGCATATCTGATATTTTTATTCCAAGAGCGTATAGTTGTCTCTGTTTAACAACATCAGCATTAACAGTTAGTGAATCATGTAACATTATCAAAGATTGCCGCACTGTGCTGTTAAACTCAAAGGGACTCGAGCAAACCTACCTCAGCTTCCTTTTTCTGAGACAACATTGAGACGTCAGCCCTTGCATTTGCAAACCGCCATTGCAAATAATGATTATAAAGCAACTTGAAAGAATGAACATCATCCTGTTGATTGAAAAGCAGTTTCCTTGGTTTTTTCATGGCATCTGGTGCTCCCAGTCTTGCCTTATTTTCTGGATGTGGAGGCAGTTGGTAACAGTTTCCAGTCTGATTATTCCTTGCAACAGGTGAGGAGGTTTTGTTTGGAGTTGATGATGACGTGACTGTTGAAGCATCACAGTCAGTTCCTTTAAGAGAAATCCAGGAGGATGAATTTTGACTATTACTTAAAGAACGAGAGTGAGGAGAGGCTCTGTTGTTGGGCAGTACATGTTCAACCTCTGACATGGAACGTCGCAACCGATTCCCTTGAGGATGAGGAGTACCACCAATGGAAGTAGTTGTACATAGATGATTACGGTCGATAATGGATTTTGAGATTTTATCTTGAACAAGCAATGAAGACGTCTCATGAGCCTGAGCCTGAGGTGGAACAGCGACATCAGAGGATTTAGTGGCATCTATTAACAGCTTTGCTGCTGGTGTTGATGTGGCTGAAGGAGCTTGACGGGGATGCAGCGTTTGTCTGTATCTTGATGCAACAATTTTATCTCTATTTGCTGCAGTAGTTGTGGGGATGCTGCTGATAGGCGTATCAGGTCTTGAAATGGCGCGACTGTTGCTACAGCTATTACTCCTAGGGAGATGTTGCAGCTCTGATTTGGCTTCTGACCTGACATCATTCTCTTTGTCAACAGGACAAGGCGGTTTCCCACGCTGTTGCTGTTGTGGTTTTTTAAGTGGTACTGATTTATGGTTCTGGATATGGTGAAATGGAGTAGCATTGGTGGTAGTGCTGTCTAAGCTCTTAGCAGTCTCTATGAAGTTTCTACAGGCAACATCAACTTCTACTTCCTGTCGTTGTCTCTTCTCCACAGATTTCGACCTCGGGGGTTCTGATGCTGCTGGTTTCGGAGTAGGGGCAACTTGGACCAGAGGAGACATAAACCTGGAGCTGATTTCCCTTACTCTTGACCTTCCCCTACGTAGTGGGGGCGATGGCGGAACTGCACCCTCCGCCTCCTGCATATTAGTGCTTTGCTTCTGCGAAAGCAAACAAGGATACATATCCGATCACATAGTTTCCTCTCATCAAAGAAAACTTTAGAAATGATTCACTGGAAGCAACCAAACAAAGCAAAACTGGACTGAACTTTTTAAGTCATTCCCAATGCACAACAGTCTCATATTTGTAAATGAATGACCAACCACATTCAGCTAACACCCAAAGCTTCTTATAAAAACAAAAATCCTTTTAATCTAATCTTTCTGCTTTCAGTAAGTGCCTCTAAATTGCTACCCTATCAGCAGATTTAGTAAACAAGAGCTTCCATGGGGTATCATTCAAGAACTGTACTGATATTCAAGTAAATCCCCAAGACGAATTATAACTTCAAAGTTCAGTACAAGAATGCTGACGATGGATATAAACACAGCATCAGACCTAAAGGCTAAAGCTACAATGAATTAAAGGTAGAAAATGCAGCTACAAATCAAGCTCATAGCAGCAAACTCCTGAATCTATACAAAAAAAAAAAAAAAAAAACCATGGAAAAGCTCAGCAAACACTCATCAGATTCAGCATTCACCTAAAATGAACCTTTTCCTCCCAGTTATTTAAGCTTAAAAATCTCAATTTAAGTTATTTACAATCCAAAAGTGAAACTAAAAAATTTATGTTTCCATTATCCAATTGTGAAAACTAGAGCACTTTTTATTGAAGCTACAAGCTTAAAGGTAACTTAAATACAACAATAATTCCAGTTTTCTGAAGTAAAGAGAACTCAATGAATCTAACGATTTCATCAAACTTAGCCTAGATGCAAAATTCGTCAAGATTTTCACCAAATTATTCCTAATTACACCAATTCATTCTCCAAAATCCACCACACCCACACACACACACACACGCACGCACACGCATCATTTTTCATCTTTATCTCAAATTAAAAAACTAAATAGCACGAAAGATGTAAGAAAATGAAAATTCATCGTACCTCTCAGAAAATTAGACGGTGAATGCGAAGTCGATGGACAGAAACACCGTCCGATTGTTGAGGATTGAAAGCTTTGAAGCGTCACTGACTAATCAAACAGCAAGAACTTCTCCCTTGGCAAAGCGTAAGAGAGCGCAAATATACAAATTTTGCCTGGGTTTTTCAGCAAATGGAAGAAAGAAACTAGCCGTTGCAGGTTTTGATCTTTTTCTGTCGGGATTTTTTTATTGGTTTGTTCAACTGGTGGAAATGGAGCTGGGTCGGATCTCAACGGAAACGTCAAACGTGTGAACTTTTTCAAATGTTAATTAAACAGTTAAAGTGGTTCATGAGAACTGCGCTTGTGTAATAACGTGGAGTCTTTTGACTGTAATGGGCTTAAGTTGGTACCGTTTCACTTTGGGCTTGAGCCTGGTGAACTACCCTCGGCCCTAAATCACATCTTTCGCCTTGAAGGCGGTCAAATGGAAAATATTAGCCCAGCAAAGCTAAAATGATCACTTACCATTTGTATAATTGTTTTGATTTACAAGAAGGAATTCATTCATTCTTTAACTATATGTTGAATATTTGAATCCCGTCCCTTTTCAAAAAAAAAAAAAAAAAAAAAAGAGGAATCCCGTCATTAGCACCCTTAAATTCCTTAAACAATTGTCTCATCTAAAGTGTTTACAACTTAGCGATTGGATTGTTGATTGTCCCACTTATCGAAATATCAAGATGTTTAACCAACGAGGATATTAGTCACATGTCTAAGCACATCGAGATACTTATAACTCCAAATTACCTTTCCAAAAAAAAAAAAACAAAAAGTTGCGGAGGACTAATGGTGTGAACCAAGCTACAATTGATGATCAAACCTTAGAGACTGCTTAAATTGTTTATTCAAATTATGTCTGAGCACTTTAGTGCGTTAAATATTTCTTCTTTTTTTTTAAAGTACTTGAACTATTACTGCTATGTTTCATTTGAATAGTTTACTTTATTGAATTGTTTTAGTTCAAGTGGATTAACTAAATTGGGACAAATACTAATACAATGTTTTTTTAAAAAATTATTATAAGAAATCAAATCATTCAATCCAAATCTGATTTATAATAAACGGGATGATTCAAAACAAAATTTTATTATAACTAGACTTCATCGTATAACTTTCATATATAATGCACTATCTGTAACAGTAATCTACAAGCCATATATCCATAGTTTGCAACATATTCGATCCATAGGTCAAATTCTTGAACAATTGGCGTAAGTTTACATGTTTTCTAGGAATCGAGTCTTACCCTGGTGGTTAGGGCGTTGTACCTTTAATCGCAAGATTGAGGATTCGATTTCTACCGTGGACATGGAAAACAGACAGTTGAAGGAGGAAGCAGATATATGACCAGCATCCAGCTGAAGCAGACATGAGACCTGTCATCACCGGGCACGGAGGATCGGACAGTCCGAGCAAGAGGCGCATGCGAGTAGAGTTCCCCCTAGTAGTATTACTTTCTTTCCCAATAAATTCTATCACCATTATAATAGCTTAAGTATTTCTAAAGCACCAATAGGTGCGGCCTAAAAAACATGTGGGTGCGGCCTAAAAAAAAACATGTTTTCTATCTCAAATATAAAATTACTCTGAATAATCATTGAGGACAAATTTCAATTGTTCTTGGCAATCCATAGTTCCTTACAAGGCCAAGTTCTCACTTCGTAGTACTACTTACTGATGATCAGGGCCTCCATGCATGCAAAATGCAGCAGACTTTTATGCGACAAGAGAACATGGGAGAGGCATTCAGTTTAATGTTTTACTTGATTACATGACCACTAATAAAGTTGTTCATAATGTTGCATTATGCCCGAAATCCATCCAATCCAACATATACTCTCTTTTTTTCCCCTTGTTCATTTAAATTACTGATATTGACCGGTGTCTAACGTTAAAGATTTCCCAATTTTTCATATATGATTTAAGGAAAAATTACATATAGCATGAGCAAAGTCTTCAAATTAACAGGAAAGCATTCAAGGAAAAATTTTAACTACTCCTTTTGTCTTAAAATAATTGTCTGTTAAGATAATGAGTATGAAAATTTTTTTAAAACAAAAGAATATCATTTTGCAAAGGAAAATACATTTTATTATTATTATTATTATTATTATTATTATTATTATTATTATTATTTCATTTAAGACCGTACCATGACGACTTTCTTCGCAGTGAAACTTTTCAAGACTTACCAAGATGGGTCCTTTTGACTTTTAGCAATCACAGGCAATATGGGTCCTAAGACATGTGAAAACTGAATCGACCGCCCAAAAAAATATTACTAACATTAGGTATATACACAGAGATTTAGAAACTTGTGAATAAACGGACAATTTTCGAAATTCTATCACATAAATCGCTACATTATAAAAATTTTACCGAACATAAGACTGAAAACAACGGCATGCAAGCATCACCATTGTGCTTCCGACCAAAAAGCACTTCATGGCCTTTTTAATTTTTGTTATTGAGGTTGTCACACACACACACACACACACACATATATATATATATATATATATATTTAACCGAATGGATAATTATCAAAGTTACTACCTTTCCGGGCATGCCCTACTGAAGAAAAATTAAAAAAAAAAAAAAGTAAAGCCAACTTGAATTTGCTAAAGTGTGATCTCCAGTTGCCACTGGCCATTATTCAGTCCCGTTTACTTTACACAACGTTATAAAAAAAACACACACACACTCACCTTATTTCAAACCTTTTGGAGTTTGGACTAATATATAAAATAGGCCAAATTGTTGCTAAAGTTTAAAGCAAATAAAAATGAAAATATATAAAAATTAGTGCTGACAATCATGTCATATTTATATAGTTTCTTTCAAACGCTAACTGCTTTTATTTTTTTGGTTCTTGTTAATGTTGTTTCCTTTTGAGATGATGTTCGCAATGCCTAGATAGTTTCACTGGACAAAATTAATCTCACGTCACTCCCTTGATCAAGTTAGGAAAAAAAAAAAAAAAAGAGACAAATTTAGCTACCTTACTAATCTGGCTTTATTTTCTTGTTTGATGATGAGATCGAACTCCAAGTTTCGTTAAGAAATCCCAAAACTACTGTGTATTCCATTTCAAGGATCAAAGAAAACTAATAATTATTTGTCGTTCTTAAATGTATCGTATCACTTACTGAATCAATTCATTAAACAGATTCACAATATAAGATATATATATCGTTACTTGTAAGTCCACCAATAGATAAAGTCGTTATTAATGGGAAAAAAATATATATCTTAGTACTACTCCCATTTGGATTCAAAATGGTATGATTAAATATGGATGTGGGGGGATGAAATTATTAACAAATCTCTCGAGTGTGTGTGTGTGTGAGTGTGTGTGTGGAATTGTGGGGCGAAAACTATATACAGAAGGGTAACCCAAAAGAGTTCAAAATTTGAAACCATTTCGCCATGCAAAAATATTAAGGGTAGGTGAAGTGGATTGGTTCTTTTTAACTTTAGGATATACTCGAACATGTGACAGGGGGAGACATTAGATTGTAGTAAGATAAAAGTCCTAAAAATCAAATCATCAGTATTAAAGTCATCATCTCCATACCTAACTAGCTAACCTCACACATGCATGGTTGGCTAATGTTAAAAAAAATAAAAAAAACAACTACAACGTTACTAATACCAAGGAAAGAACTTGAAAAGAGAGGTTCTAAGGTGGACTTACTTCGTAGATTATTTTTCTTTAAAAAGGGAATTGGAGAGAATCTAGCTCATATTTGAAAGAGGACAAATGAAAGAAATATTTGGCCTGCCATTTGGGGATTACTATTTGGCTACATCTTACCAAAGTACTACTACTGGTTTTCCACATTCTTATCTAACGAAAGTCCAAGTTTCCTTTCGATTAAACAAAGGGTTCACTTACTCGAACTCATCACTCATAGAGTAACCACCGACTCGAACTCTTCTCTTTTCGTGTGCATATTTTAGTTAAGTAGCGCGTTATATTACACATGAAAAACTCTCTACCAAGTCAGTAACTATGCCATTCTCAAAAAAAAAAAACAAAAAAATTATGTTTGAATCATTTTTTTAGTGTGTGTTATTAGGTGTTTTTCTTATTAAGAATATAAAAATATGTATTAAAAATATAACACGATATGATTCTGAAAAAAACCTAATGAAAAACAAACCAAACAGAGTACTGCAATCAGAATAATTATCTCGAGAGAAAGTGAATGGAACATTTTTAAAAAAATTGCATGAAAGTATCATCATGTAATAATAACAGTAAAAATCGAAATATAACCAGAGATAACTTGTAACCAGAGTAAAAATCGAAATATAACAAGAGAAATACAATCAGAAATATTATTACTGAGTACATAATGATAACTGTAATTAGAGATCTAAAAATATAACCAGAGATAACTTGATAAATTGAGATGCTAACAAATATAATAGACATTTAAAATCGAAATGAGTATGTATTTCTCAATAAACAAGCGCGTGTAAGAGAAGTGATTATGTTGAGCGATTAAGCACCAGTAAGCAAAGACAGAAACCAACTTTGCATAGAAAAATATTGTTTGTGCGAGATGAAATTTGACTTTAGCATTTCGAAGTTTAGCAAGCGGTTAATTACTTCAAGACGAAAAGAAAAAGCTTCATCGTTTCCTTTAAGTAGCCAGCCCCAACCTGTACAACGATACTATAATATTGTTCCATCTTTTTTTTTTTAATTTATTATTTATTAAGTAATTACAAATGGAAAAAAAAAGTAAAGTTAAAAAAAAGAAAATGTCATCATTTACTATATCATGCCAGATAGGGATGGCAGAACACTATGTCTGAACACGTGGAGAATGTTGGGACTGTATACATCATAGTTGACGAAGTCCAGACCGTGTAAAACAGTAAAAAAATATATTGGAAAAACAGTCTTCGCCGTAACAAGTACGAAGTTAGACCAGGAAAAAAAAAACACAATTATAATGCCTTTTTACTACACTGTTGTTACTAATATTTATGATGGAACTTTTTGACTAAGTGATAAGATGGGATTAATTAAATTGGATCGAAACGTTTTCTTGTGTTTTGGAATATTGTCTCCTAAAAACACTGGATTTTTATCCTTATTCTTCTGAAACTATTAGGAAAACCCACATTTTTTTCAACGTACATATGAAACTATAAAGGGTTCTTCATGTTTAGAGTCAACATGACATGGGTACGTGCTCGAGAAATCCAATGTAGGAAAATGATAAAAATGCAAAAGAAAATCTTGACGGTAGGGAACTATTTGGAGGGATTTTCATGCATATGCTTAAAGGAAATAAGAGAAATCATTATTCAGATGAATGTGAGCTATATGTTAACTACGTCGTATATGGAATATAATAAAGATCGTGTTTTAACCAAATGTGACTGTGTTTAATAACTAGTTGAAATGTTAAACTTGTTAATGTTGAAAGTAACATTGTTCGGTTGGATTGGAGTTCTCCAATCATGTTTGATTGTGATGATAAAAGAATGGATCACACCAAAGAGGCAAATGTATGATAAATTGTGAAAAAAAAATAAAAAAATTAGTGACACAAATGAGGCATGAGTTAAAATTATGCATTTGATAGATAAATTTTTAGCCGAGGATAATCACGTTTAAAACTCATTTCAAGGTTTCGGTTTTATTCTCAAAATATTTTACCACTAAAGTTTGATCTTTTTTATCCACCCTTTTGATCATTTTGTTGTTAATTAGTTATTATGTTCTAACTCCAATAATCACATATCATGAACACGTCGTAGACCAAAACTAGTCAAGTCATTGTTATTCTCTCGACTATCCATAGTCTAAAACGTGCATCATTCTTGAATCATGATCATCGAACTTATTTTGGTTTTTTATTTTTTTTTTTGAACTTATTTTGGTTTTGAAATGAAATCACCAATGTGGGCAAATCAAGTTATCAACGTGAGAAGCAAAATCGAAACTTTTGAATATTGGGGACCAAATCATACATTGAAATAAAGTTTGAAAGGAAATTGACGGGGAGAATTTCATTCTTTGCAAATACAAACTTTCAAAAAAGGGGGAGGGGGGGTAAAAAAATACATTTATATATATGTAATAAAAGGTGTCGTCACTTGACAAAGACAAGCCTTAGGGACAAATCGACCATGACATATCCTAAAAATATAATATGGTAAAAAACCAGCGACAAGAAGTAGCACGTACGCTGGTTAATTTTCTGAAATGCTTACAACATATATACAAAAATCGATAACTTTTCATTTGATGGCAACAGTTTTACCAAAATAATTTTTCCCTCCTACCTCAAAACAATCTTCCTTATAAATAAACAACAAAAATGGAGGGCGTCACAATAACGTACCAAATTCATGTAAAGCCACATTACATTCGATCTGGTCAGAATCTAAAAAGTACATGATGCCATGCTGACCCCCCCCAAAAAAAAAGCAAAAAAAATAATTTTTCACTATATATCTATATTAATCAGTTCACGGGTTCTTGACCTTTTTTTCTTTTGTTTGGATTGGTTACAAACAAAATAATATACAAAGAAAAGAAAATCAATTTGACAACTCTTTTTGTTTGTTAGTTTTTTTTTTCCCCTGTTGTTAGTGGTAGTACTTTTTTAACAAGACATACTACTATAGTTGATAGATATTGACTGACATCTAAACAGAGAGAAGAGAGAATAAAAATGACTCCATACATGTGCATTTTTACTTGGCTAGAATACGATTGATAATCACTACAGAAAGAGGAGTTGCGAGATACATTTCAAGAGGTTCAATCTTGCTACAAATTATATATGTTGAAGAAAAGTAATAGTTGTGGTAGATAACATGAGTGTATATATTTTGCAAATGATCAATAAAGAATATGCACACCACCAAAATACAATAAGAAAATGAAAATTAAGCGCAATAGAAGTGCGTAATTGGGGTCAAAAAGACAAACTTTAGGTTTAGATTAATCCGTGAATCCATAATTATAAAGATTACATTTTTGATGTTTTAATATGCTCTATAGGTTATTCAAAGCCTATCAGGCTGTATTATATTGTGGAGTAAGGTTGTCAAGACTAGACTGTAAAATGGTGTTAATATACGTGTCTTGATAAAGATTTTATAAATATATAACAACGAAGACATTCAGTGATTTTAAATGTTTGTCGCTATATATATTAGCTTTACTCGACGAATGTTTAAATGTTTTATCAATAGACTGTTTCAGTAATGTAAGATTCGACAAGAAAAAAAACACTATTTAGGTCAAATAAAGTTTCCCAAAAATAAGCCCAAGACATGACAATGCATCCCATAACCCAAAAGGATGTGCATTATCATCATCATTCATTCATCACAACAGATAACTTATTTTTTAAATTGGAAAGAAAAAAGTAACAAGTTTATATTAGCAAGTGAAATTTTAGTGTAAAAAAGAAGAAAGAATATGCAAACCACCAAAATACGACAAGCAAATTAATGAAATGTGCAACAGAAGTACGTAATTGGGGGCAAATTAGTGAAATGACTCCATACCGTGTGCATTGTTACTTGGTAAGAATAAGATTGATGATCACTACAGAAAGAGACTTGCGAGATACATTTCAAGAGGTTCAATCTTGCTGCTAATTATATATGTTGACGAAGGAAAGTCATAGTTGTAGTAGATAACATGAGGGTATATATTTTGCAAATGATCAATAAAGAATATGCAAACCACCAAAATACGATAAGCAAATGAAATTAAGCGCAACATAAGTGCGTAATTGGGGACAAAAAGACAAGCTTTAGGTTATTTAGAATCTATGAAACTATAATTATAAAGATTACATCTTTGATGTTTTAATTATGCTCTATAGTTATTCAGAGCCTATCATGCTGAATTATATTGTGGATTAAGGTTGTCAAGACTAGACTGTAAAATGGTGTTTTTTTTTTTTGGTTGCAATAAAGGAGGCTTAAGCCTTACATCTCGGTAGATATACTTCGCGGATATGCTATTTCTATTATATCATGTTGAAGCCATAGTTTGACACTCGTTGATGGAGTTTTAAGCCGCTGTAAGCTGCTTAGTCCTTGTATTGCCAGAGATGGTAGATAGTGTGCAACAAAGTTGGCCTTCCTAAACTCATGTCGGAGATTAACTTTCCGATCCCAATCTAAAATGGTGTTAATATACGTGTCGTGTTCGATAAAGATATCATATATAACAACTAGACATTCAGTGATTTTAAATATTTGTCGCTACATATATTAGCTTTGCTCGACGAATGTTTAACTATTTTATCAGTAAACCGTTTCAATGACATAAGATTCGACAATAATAAAAAAATACCATTTAGTTCAAATAAAGTTTCCCAAAAATAAGCCCAAAACAGGACAATGCATCCCGTAACCCAGAAGGAATGTGCATTATCATCATCATTCATTCATCAGAACAGCTAAAAAACTAATTTTTCTTTTTTAAATAGGAAAGGGAAAAGTAACAAGTTTATGTTAGCAAGTGAAATTCTAGTGTAAAAAAAAGAAAGAATATGCAAACCACCAAAATACAATAAGCAAATTAATGAAATGTGCAACAGAAGTGCGTAATTGGGGACCAAAAAAAAAAAAAAACTTTTGGTTTTTTAGAATCCGTGAAACTATAACTATAAAGATTCCATCTTCGATATTTTAATTATGCTCTATAGGTGATTCCAAGTCTATCACACTCGGAAATAGTTTGGAGCAAGGTCATCAAGACTTGACTATAATATGGTACTGATAAACGTGTCATGCTCGATAAAGATTTTATAAATGATAACTAAAATATTCACATATTTTAAATGTTTGTCGCTAAATATACTAGTCTTATTCAACGAATATTCAAATACGCTATTAATAGACCGTTTCAGTAATATAAGATCCGACAAAAAAAAATACCGTTTAATTCAAAAAAAAAAAAAAGTTTCCCGAAAATAAGCCCAAAAAACTACAAATGCATCCCATAACCAAAAAGGAATGTGCATGATCATTATCATCATTCATAACAACAGATAACTAGTTTTTAAATTGGAAGGGGAAAAAAAAAGTAACAAGTTTATGACTTTATGTTAGCAAGTAAAATTCTAGTGTTAAAAAAGATAAAAAGGTAGTAGGACTCTGGCCCAACGTTTTCCGTTAGAAATCACTTTGTGGCCGTCACTCATCATGTTCCCACTATTACAATAAAACTGTTGACCTGTGAGTTCTCCCCCACATTTAACGGCTTCCGTCATCCCTATATATAAATACTTCCTCCCTCTTCCATTCATTTTGATTTTATCAAACACCCTCGTTTTCCCTCTCTTCCTTCTTACAACACTCTCTCTTTCTCTTCAATTTTATGAAACTCCCCATTTTTTCTCTCTCACACACTCACACACTAAAGTGTTAGCGTGAAGTTGAAGACTGGAATCTCTATCTTGGTCTTTTTCCTTTTTATTATTTTGTGGGCTAAGCTTGCTTGAAATAGTTAGAAATGGGAAAGAAAGATCAGAATCAGAAAGACAGAGAAAGAGTTCAAGCTGTTCTTCAGCTTCTCAAGAAACAATCTCCTCTTACTGTTAAACAGGTAAATATATATATATATATATAGTAAATCATTTCATTCATAATTCTTTTTGAGTTTTACTTTACTGTAGAATATTGTATGGAGAATTTCAAATTCTGTAATTTTATTTATTTATTATTATTTATTTTTTTGGCAGGAGAAGTTCTGTAATAATGCTTGTGTTGAAAGGTTCTTGAAAGCGAAAGGAGATAATGTGAAGAGAGCAGCTAAACAGCTTAGGAATTGTCTTACTTGGAGAGAGACTTTGGGCACTGGTATTTTTTCTTTTTTTTGTTGTTTAATTAATCTCGCTCTCCTTCATGCAAGTTTCACTGTGTGTGTGCGTGTTTATTTTCGAAACTTTTTTTTTCCCTTCCTCTTTTTTTTTTTGGGTGGGTTTGATTATATTGGTCTATCTTTGAAAAAAAAGATTTAGTAGAGTAGAAACAAGAATGCATAGAATTCATGTCAAAATATATTTTGGTGTAGGCACAGCTTTTAATTTCTAATCTTTGTCTTCTTTTTACAAATTCTAGTCTTTTTGTTTTTTTCCACTTAAGAGAATCTTTGCTTTTTTTGGTTTTTCCCTTTGTATTTTTGTGGGTTTTTTTGAACTATAGATTTGCCAGCCAACCGCGAAATTTACTCAAAAAATGAGTAAGAATAAAGCTATATATTATCCAAAAAAAAAAAAGAAAAGAAGTAAAACTATTATATATGGTGAAATTTTAATTATGGTGTTTTTATTTGAATGATTATTTTGCAGACAATTTGATAGCGGATGAGTTTTTTTGCAGACAATTTGATAGCGGATGAGTTTTCTGCTGAGCTAGCTGAAGGCATAGCTTATGTTGCTGGGCAAGATGATGAATCAAGACCTGTTATGGTATCATTGCAAAAACTTTCCTTTGTTATTTTTCCGTAGGATCAATCTTGCTTTCTTTTTCCTTCTATATAATTATTATTTCTCTTTAGTCTTTTCTTTGAACTTTTCGTTTTTTTTTTTTTACGTACAGATTCTTCGGGTCAAGCAAGATTACCAGAAACTACACTCCCAAAAATTGTAAGTACATATAAAAAGTATTCCATTCGTCTCGAATATAGTAATATACAGTTTTCAGCATATTATACTGTTTTTGTTCAACAAACGTTAATCTTGTTTTAATTATATTTTGATAGGTTTACTCGCTTGCTTGTGTTTACAATGGAGGTGGCAATCCAAACCATGGCAAAAAATGTTGAACAATTCGTCCTTTTGTTTGATGCTAGTAAGTTTTTTTTTTTTTTTTCTGAACTTCAATCTTTTTTTATCTTTAAGTCTTTTTTTTTTCTTTGTGGGATTTGAGAGATTTGATATCCTCGATTGAATTAATATTTGAAAAAAGCTCGGATTTACAACTATTAGCTAGCTTATAACTTTTACCTTTTGTTCTTGGATTTTGAAATACGGAGGCAAAAAATCATCATTTCTGTTTTTCTTAATATTCTCAAAAACTTTAAAACCAATTCCTTACACAACAAATCAGAATTGGGATGAAGAATCTTTTCTCACAGTTTGAGGCAAATCCCAGAGGAAAAAGCAATTAATTGTAATTCCAATTCCATTCCATTTGCTCCCCCCAATTCAGAGAGAGTTTCAGACACTTTTAATGCCGCTTTTAATTTCCAATGTCACGCCTAATTACTTTTAATTAAAACTCCCCTAATTCCAACAAAGTTGACGGTGGCACTGTGCCCCCAGCGTGTCGGAATATAGGCAAATAGTAACTTTTCTTGCCGGAATCTGGCCCGGAGTGCACCTTGTTGTGTCACCGTCATAGGTGTATCCCATAAGGAGTAATGCAAAAGTGAACAGAACTTCACTTTTTTAAAACTGTGTCAGAATTATTATATCTCAGAGAGAAAAATGAAAAATCAAAGGTTCAAGAGAGAAAGAATGTGAAAAGAATATGGTTTGAATTTTGTTTCTCGTGTAGTCTTTTTAGACTTTTATGTAATATTTCTTTAAAAGGGTTGAAGATTAAGGTAATAATTTATAAATGAATGTTTTTTTTTTCTACAGGCTTTTTCAGGTCAGCATCAGCTTTTATGAACATATTACTGGCAACACTGAAGATCATAGGAGATTATTATCCAGGCCGCCTTCATAAAGCTTTTGTTATTGACCCTCCTTCTCTTTTCTCATATCTTTGGAAGGTAATATAGAGTATTACTCAACTTTAATTTCTTATCTCGATTCCAAATAAGTATCATATTTTATTGTATAATTTTAGTACAATAATTGCTACTATTATATGGGACCAAAATAGGTTAAACTCTAAAGTAAGTCACGTTAGGTTGTTTTAGTTTGAAGACCATTAGGAAAAAGTTAGACGAACAAATGATAGTGTTAGATCAATCTATTCACTTGTTGATAATGCTTAGCTTTTAGTAGGTACTATTAAATTACACTTCACCTTTTCCTTTTTTTTTTTTCCAAGGTTTGTTACCTAAAAAGCTGAAAATAATCAAGAAATCTACTGTAGTTCTCTTATTATAGCCACGATCTTTAATTCGAATAAAATCCACTATAAGTACTTTAGATTGAACGAAATTATCATAATCATGTTCAGTAGAGTAAATAAAAAATGATAGAAATAGTGAATATATAAGTCACAAAATATTGGTGAGAAATGTATCTTACTTCGTGTTTGATTGATTTTTTTTCTTTGGAAAAAAACTTTATTTATAGGGTGTAAAGCCATTTCTTGAGCTATCACCATTAACAACGGTGGTTTCATCTCTGGATTTCGAAGAACCATTGGAGTATAACAACTTCAAATCATATCCTAGGGCTTCTTCCCTCCGATTTGATCCATCCACAATACCATCCTCAACGGCCAAGATCGGTTCATGTTCATCCTCAAGGTTTTCCTTCACAGTTTCTCATCATTTTGACTCGGTCAAACCCTGGTACCTCACGTTGACCGACACGTCAGCGTCCAAAGTCGGCCCCACCGCCCCGTCAGCAGCTTTACTGGGCCCCGCACTCATCTCGCCCTTGAATGCAAGATCCTTCTCATTTGCATCCCCGGCTGCGAGGACACCACCAAACACCTTTGGAGCAGTCAAGAAAGGGTTCTTCCCATCAACACCAATGCCGCAAAAAACACAAAAATTTGATCTTTCAACCATAAATCATCCAAGGACACCAAAGCCCTCGTTCCTCCAATCACCTGCATTGTTCTTCAGGAGTCGGGATTGCCATGTTAGCAGGGCGGACAAGTGCCGCGACTCATTTGTCCCGTTTCTCAAATTTTATCGTAGGCCATACGATGAGATGACTTATAGGTCGAAAATGCGACCCCCGCTAGGTGGACTCATCTCCATCGTCGCTCCCCACATCCGAAGGAGACACATGTCGGTCTCTCAACGGTTTTGATCTTCGAACAACGAGTACATATAGCATCATCAATTATCAAATTGTATTAGTAGTAACAAAATTAAGTCATTTCCATTACTAATAATCCATTTGATTTGTTTACTTTTGTAGAGTTACGTTGATCCATGCATTGATTTTTGTTGGAAAAAAAGAAATGTAGGTAACGTGCAAAGTGGGTTATGAAATATCGTGCAATATGTCTCATTTAGTGCAATGTGGGTGTCACTAAGGTCTACTTCACTTAGGGTCATGCGCTTCTAAATAAACATTTTTGCATGGGGAAGAAGAAGGCGTGGTCGAAACGGAGAACATTTCCACATTGGAAATCATTGCTTCTCCTCTAAAAAAGTCAACATCCCTTTCGAAAACATTAAACTCTAAATCCATTTTCTTTTTCTTCGTTCCATTTTGGTTACGAGATGAGAATCTCTGGGGTTCTTTTTACATTGTTTGTACTATAACATATTGTTTAACTAGTTTGGGACGAAAAAAATTTCTAAATAGAGATAAAATAATTGGGACTTTTTTGTTGGATTGTTATTGACATTTTGTGGTGTAGTGATATGGTCAAATTTTCATATTTCCGCTGTGTTAATTGGGAGGCCTGTCAACGATGGCAGAGGGTGTAAGACGGGAATATGCGTCTTTGTGCTATTGTTGTATGCGAAAAAACTCAATGAAAAAAAAAGAAAGTCAAAAATGAGATGCTTTCACGGAGCTGACAAAAAGATATTCTTTTAATTAAGTGTTACTTTGGTGATGATAGAAGGGAGATTGAGATGGTTGGGAGGTGTGAAATTGTCTTGGAAATTGAGACATGATGCACATTCAAACAAAAGTATGAAATACTACCATAATGTAATATCTTGCTATGGATTTTAGTATTTGTCCTCCTGCTATCAAGGTTTTTCGATGATGGTTGAACTTGACTACATAAGTTTTAGAATATTAGCTAGCTAGCTAATTACCTCTCTCTTTTATTTTTTTTTTCTTCTTTTGTACATAATCTTATTTAATTTCAATGGCTTGGAACAATATTTATATTATCTTCTAACGTGAGTCTAACATTCGTAGATCCACCATTAAGTGATCGGTCTTGCCTAAATTTATTTTCGGAATTCATAGAACATACTATATTATCAAAGTAATTAGGTAGGATAAAAGTGTAGTGAAGGACTACTATGATTAAACTCTCTATTGTATCCTAAACAAAAGTTGGCCAAGTTGATGATGCGTAATAAGTGAGATTTTACTTTTAATACAATTTGAACTGAAAATGTAATATTTAAACGGGACAATAATTTCAGGATGAAAGTAATATATTTTAACGTTTAGGTATGCCAGGTTGAAGTTGGTCGCGAAAAAATTCAAAAGAGAAGGGCTCTTGTATTAGATAAACTCAAAGTAAGTTAACTAACCCAAAGAAATTAGCAAATGGTTTTTTTTTTTTTTTTTTTTGAAATAGCTTGAGCGCTACCAGGAAGAAAAAAATCAAATGTCCAAATATTTCTGCAGTAATTGTGGTAAAGACATGCAGTAAAACGGGAGACTATATTCTAGCAGGGGTACACTATATTCTAGCCTGGCTAAAATGCAAGAAATAGAATTGTAGTAAAGCGGGAGACTTCATTAGTTTGTTTAAGTATGGCTTATACTACAAATTGAAGTATGTTGTACAATATTTATATTAATCGGGACTGTAATTAGAGAAATAATTATAAAATCAATCAAGTCTGAAGGTTGAATAATTTGTAATTCGCATAAGTACTACTACTAATTTGTCTGTAAGCTGTTGTTTGTTTGATATTGACAAAATCGCAAAAGCCTACTATATCCTGGTACACTGACACTATGTATGTTCACTCTATTCTTACGTAGAGTTTTCGCTGATTCGATCATTCAACTCAAGTACGAATTAAGGTCTTTTTTCACGAATGGAAGTACCTTCTTTTTGGCATATGAAGAATCAAAATTTCAGGATGGGTTGGCTGACGAATAATTTTGAAAATCCTTTGCATATTTTCTGCAAAAATACTCATTCCAGTCACTTGAGAAACTCAGAGCTCTGACCTCATTGATCCCTTCTGTTTGTTTCCATATGCATTGGACATTATTCAAAAAAGTTCTTTGTTGCTTATGAGATATCTGTAGTTTCTTGAAAGTTTGAAGTCAAGTTTCCTAGTTAAAAAGTAGAGTTTGATTCAACCCAAATGCAAATATGGATTCCATTCAGTAATTTCAGTTCTTTTGATGAAATATATTCGGCAAATGTATATGATGGGCCTTCTAAATGAATTTGTTAGATTCAGCTCACGTGATTTTGTAGACTTAACTAGGAAACCTTTTACCAAAAAAATTTCACTTGGAAGTAAATTTTATGCATGCTTGTAAAGTTGATTTTGTACTTGATTATCGTACAGTGGTTTGAAGATTAAGATATATCGAACAAGAGTTGCTGAGATGTTTTAATATCAACTTAGCCATTTTGCCTTTTATTTGTAGCACCCAAAAAATAATGTGTACAACTTTGATTGTTTTGTGCATATTGGTTTCGAATTGTCAAAATTGATTTGAATGAGGATGCAAGAAACAAGAATACAGGATATGGGTCAAATCTTGTTTCAATTAAACTTGAATCATAGAGCATCGAGCATTGATCAAACTCCATGGACTTAACTAACATTAACGGTTTTAAAAAAAAAATTGAAATGATATTTAACAGTTAATTCAAATAATCTCTCTTTATCTATATGAACTACCGAAGTTCTCATGATTGTAGGCGTCACTGTGGACAATCACTTTGAAAACTCTATTTGTTTTTTTTTCAAAAGCGATAATCATTTTATAAAATAAAATCAAATGTAATCAACCATAAGAGTTGAGAATACAACAATTTACAATTGAGCTAAAATAGTCTACCATTCACGTTATACCTAATTATAGAACAAAAGTTAAACTCAATTCTGTGTACAGAGCTAGGCTAAGCTAATTTGGTAAGACTGAACCAACATCACTGCATATAGGAAAGACATAACACAAGAAGAAATACAAAGAGAACCAACATTCTAACAAATGAACTTCAATTATAATCTAATATAAGACTAAAACTGCAGATCTGGCTTTAAAACTCAGATCTATATTGTCTAGAAGTCTCTGATCTAAAGTCTTCCATTCATTTGTTACCATTTAAACTATATGTTCATCATTGCCTTCTTTAATGAGCCATAGATCTCCTTCGTCATCTTCAGATCTGTTGAAAACTATCACACCGCGCACAAAAGAAAAAAATATTCCTAAAAGGGAAACCGAAAGTCTCAAAATGAGACATCCGGACTTCCATGAAGGAAGAGCAAAACCCACCAATAATGGGGGAACTAAAACTTCCACAAAGGAAGAGCATACCAAATAGTAAAAAAAGAAAGAAAATTAAAATTTATGAGATCCCCTATCCACCATTAATGGAGGATAGGGGAGAAGGGAGAGAAAAATTTGAGAGAATTTTTTCTTATAGAGAGAAGGAAAAAAGTTAGAGAGATAAAACCTCTCTCTGTTCTTTCTACTTTGAAAACTCTATATAGAAGACAACAATTGGAGATTCTGGATTCGAAATTCTCCTTCATTGGAAATTAGATATAACCCGAAATATCATGAGCTTTCCATTTTATTTTATTTTTGTAATATCATGAGTATTCTTTTTTTTTTGTGTGTGTATGTTGGAATGGTGTCATTTATAAAAATAATTGACTTAAAAATTACAAAGAATAGACTATAAATAAAGATAGATACAATGGATAAATATTATGTTCATAAGGAGCAATATCAACATCAATTATACAAGATCATGGTTTCTTATCCTTACTAATATTACCAAAAATTATATCATCAGATGTTTAATTACACTGGATTTCTTAAGTTGAATCGGTAAATAATTTGAAACAACAACATTTATAAAATATTCCCAACTTCTTCAGGACCTGGGGGTCAAGATATTTACAAAGTTATCCCAGTATATTAACACATAATGACAATTTAAGTATTCCATATATCCCAAAATTAATGTGTAACTAGATTTTCACTTTTAGTTCAATTTATACTAAAGATCGAAAATTTAAACTATTCAATTTATAAACCATTAAGATGTACAAAATCGTACAACTGGGTAATAGGTATGAGGATAGAAGCACTTCTACTTGAAATACAACAAATCTCAAAAAGACAAGAAAATAACACATTGATTTAAGTGGGAAATGGAGGCATTGGGAGGCGATACCTAGACAGGCCACTTGTTTCTGTAGTAGGGATGATGATTCCAATCATTCCATATCAAGGACAATCACTTGAAATTATTAACGAAGTTCAATTTCATTTGATAATGTAGTTTAATACTGAATTCCTAAAATGGATAATATAAATGAAGTTTTAGTTTTAGTATCTAACTCTATAAATAGTTTTTTTTTTTTTTGGTAAGATTAGAGGTTTACTAAACCTCTAGTGACAAACTATTATCATCTACAATGTTTTTAAAAAAAAAGAAGAAAAAAGAGTAGCGGATGCATGGGAGAAATTCAAATCTCTCTTATCCTTTTGGAAAGCAAGTTTTGACAACTCTTCTGCCTCAATTCTTTATAAATGTTTTCGATAAACTTTAAACCCCAAATTTAATTATAATTTTTTTTTTTACATTTACATCTAACATAAATAGTATTATTGAAATACAATGTCTCGACTCTAGAGTACGTGCTCAAGTTCAAATTTCATTAAATTTATATAACAAAAACAACAATGCCGATATAATTAGAGATTTTGATTACTTTATATACTTATAAGCTTTGGTAGATTTTGTTACACTTGTGTCAATTTTATAATTAAAAAATTACAAAACATGAAGTTATCCCTTTAATATTATTTTTTTATCTTCACAATTTATCTTCTTCATCACAAATTTTAATGATTAATTTTTCCCCTTTTAATGTTAGTTTTTTGATCTTCTCAACTTATTTTCTCTATCACTTTCAATTTTAGTCTTTTAATATTAATATTAATATTATTATTATTATTATTATTATTATTATTATTATTTCCAATTTTAAGTTTATGGGCTTTTACAATATATTTTTTGTTTCACTTCCTTCACATAACTTCATATAAATATCGTTTGCGTTTCTTCTGAAGAAATATTTTTGATGTCACTCTTTCAATGTCGCCTTCAACTAGTGATATCAGACAATACCTCGGTGATATTTAGAATAAAATTTTTTAAAAAAACTAAAGATAAAGTCACCTTTTGATTTCAATGTAAATCGTGTTTAGAGTTAGAATTACATGGTCTTTCTCTTTAATTTTTTTACTTTATACAAAATTATTAGAAGTCATTGAAGGTTCAACATGAGTAACAACAAAGTTCTACGAACTTAATAAGTACTTGAAGTTCAAAATAGTTGAAACTAGCTTTCTAAACTCTTAAAGATTAGAAATATAAGTGATGAGAGCAACACCAAGATGGGGTAAGATTCTCCCCCAAACAGGGAGAAAATCAAAAGTGTGAAACATTATGAATAAACACGCCATAATAAGTATGGCTAAGGAGAGAAGTTTCATCATAAATCTGGCCGATTTTTGACTTCCTAGATCCATACAGTATTCCGTCCACATCCATAACACGCTGCCTAAAACCGTCCTAGTGGACCCCTAACAAAAAATAACTGGTGAGATCACGTTCATTTTATTTCCCGTCACAAGAAAACTCATGATGACGAGAATGTCATTACCTGAGTTTATATTCAGACAGGTATACATGGCTATTGTGGTAGGTGTGCTCACATGACAGTCGGCTTGAGATGGATTAGAATTAACATTATGTAATAATAGATTTTAATTTTCGAGATCAATGTCCTGCAATAGGGGAGGTACAACCTCATTCTTCTTCAAACCCGACGGAAATTGATTGACATCATCTCTAGTCTACTTGACGGAATCACGAATCTTGAGTTTGCTATCATCATTTCCATCGTCGTGTGCCAAATGACCATGTCTAACTCCGCCGCGTGCCATTTTCTGACAGCGACGAGAGCGATTAGAATTCCCTTCGAAATCATCCTCTCCATTCTAGAAATTTTTGTCAATGAAATTGCTTTGAGGGATTTTTCAACCACAACTTGCTAAAGTAAAAAAAAAACGATATAATCAAATTTTAAAACAGTCTTTAAAGGAGGAACTACTCCATTACATGGTGTCTGTATCTTCTTTGTTTCTTTTTTCCCCCTTTTGAGGACGGACTACTTCATTTCTTAAAACTTTTTATGTTTTCCCTTTTGATCAAAATTGGAAGTTGATTATTTTTTTTGGAGGGAATAAATGAAAATATTGATATATTATTGATGGATGACCTTATGTTGAATTTCTTTTTTTTTTTCCAAAAAGGAAAAGAAAAGAAAGAGTAACCCAAATATTGGATGAACTGGCTTACATCTCGTGCTTTGTACGGAAATTAATAATTTTATATCATTTTCATAATTATAAAAATATAAAAGAAAAATTCAATAACTTAAATTATCATATTTTCGTAAAATGAAATTAAACTCTATAATTAAAATACCCCATGAATAAAGATACAAGTACAATAAGATGATGTAGTTTATTATTAACCGAAAATGTTGAGATTGTGTTTTGAAACTATATGCTTAAATAATTCAAAGATTATAAAAAATACCAAATAAATCGATAAACTATGTACAAAGATTGCATATTCATTCGTCTTGTAAAACAATATCTTTTGGATGATAACATGCTCTTGTTGATCTTGTACAATTATAAAATTTTATTGATAAAAGGAATTAGTTTGTAACATTAGAGTCACTACAGTTGATTATGAAGAGAATATTTTGTTTAATTTTTTTGCGTAATGTTAGCTCGTACAATTTTAATTTTTTTTTGTATACCATAAATAGCGTTTTTTTTTTTTTTGCATAAAAATGTCACACCTTTTCTCTTCCTATATTGTACGAGTGTCACAAGGTTTAAAATTTGGCAATGACATAATAAATAAAATTTGAGAACTTTTGGCCAAAGAGTGAATTTTAACTAGGGATATGGATATTACTATTTGTGAAATTTAAAATTTATGCGTGATTAAGGGGTAAAATTTCGTACATTCAAAAATATGATTTTTTGTTTAGCCAAAAAGGTAGATTTTATGGAGGGGTATGGATATTATATCCGTAACATTAATAGAAATTATTATGTGCATTCAGTTTTTAAGGGGTTGAAATGAGTATGTATATTGAAGAAGAAGTGAAACATTAATTTAGTGAAATTAGGAAGAATTGTTGCTAGAATTTCATTAGTTTAAGGGACTGTTAGTTCTTTTTTTTTAATTTCCAAAAATAGTAGTATTTATTTTTGGCGGAAAAATAACGCACAAGAGTGCGACACATCAACAAAAATTATCACTTGGACAGGTATTTTAATAGGATACTAGATGCTTGCCCCGGACGAATACCCGGGGTGTCACCTCTATTTTAAAATTGATTAAATAAAAAATACGAATCATTCTTAAAAGAATAAAAAAAATTAGAAGAATAAAAAATCGATTGAAAGGACAGAAAGTGAGCTATTACACATAAATCTATGCGCAGATTTACAACATTAATTTATAATAGTTAACTTATGCCCGGGTTTACATAAATTATAAACCAATATCTACAACAGAAGAATAAAAAAAATCATCCTTAAAAAATCAAATTTTTTCATGACAGCTTATTTTTTCTCTGTTGTAGAAAGATATGGATTACTAATTGATGTCAGATTTTAAGTAATTGATTTAAAGACTCGGGTGTGAGAGAGGAGCGGAATGGAAGAGATTCTTTAAAATTGGGGATTGGGAAGACATTACTGGTGTTTCACTTGATTTAAAGGGGATTTTCTAGTATTTGATTTTATCAACTAAATATTGTTGTTTTAAAGGATTATATGTAATTATAATTAAGTTATTTTTATGTAGCTATAATTAAGGGATTTATGTACTTATCTATTGTATCTTTTTTTCTGATTAGTTAGAATGCCACGTGTCAAAAGTGATTTTGTACTGGAAATGGTTTTTGGCGGGAAGATTTTCATTGTGGTGCTGACACATGTCCTTTTTGTTTACTACTTTAATTAAGTACTATAGATATAGAATGTAGATAGATTGATCAATAGTCCAATTCCTAACATTTTGTTACCGCCATAGGCCTATGGGCTCTTTAGCCCATTATTTATGGTCAAAATGACTTGTTATTTACGGACCAACAAGTTGATATTTCCCCACCTGTTGTCGACTTGTCGTAACTCGTAATGCAATCCCGAACCGGGATGGGTTTTGGGAAAAGCTATAAATATAGCAGAAATTAAATCAAAGAAAGATTATTATTGTGGAAACTGTTTCAGAAAATCAATCCAGAAAATTGAAGCCAAAACCTAGGATTTAATCCAATATGTACAACGGAATAGGCCTTCAGACGTCGAGGGGATCGGGCACAACCGGACATATTCAGACCAACAAGTTCTCCGTGAAGCCAAAACCGAACAGAGCGGCGGCGGCGGCGGATCCCTCGCCGTCGATCATCGATCATGTAACTGCCCGGGAACCCAATAAAGAAATCCTCGAGCACGATCGCCAACGCCAGATTGAGCTGAAACTCCTTATTCTCGAGGAGAAACTTGTTGATCATGGATACTCTGAGAGCCAAGTTGCTGAAATGTTACGGGATGCTCGAATAAAGCTGGAGGCGGCTGCTTCTACTGCCGGCGAAGAAGAGGCTAGTGCTGCTTCGGTTATGGCTTCCAAGTAGTTAGTGTTTTCGTTTTAATTTTTAAGTCTCTGTATGTTGATATGGTACCCCTGTTTGAATCTTTTGAGTTTTGAATAGAGGAATTATTATTAGCCAATAGCCATGAAAATGGGGTGAATCTGGTTGGGCCTTAATTGATTAATGTATGTAATTTTTAGTTTGATTATATCTGAATGTGAATTGGTCATTGGTGCTATTACTTTCACCCAGATTTTTGCGATTTGTTCATGCCTTCATGGTTTAAATTGACAATGATTAAAATGTTAGCTTTTTCTGCGTCTGATTAAAGGTTCAAAATGGTTAGATTTTAGTTCTGAGAGATTGCTGTTGAAATCTCTCGTTTAATTGTTCATTCTCTCAATGATAGGAAGCCATAAACAATCAGAGAATACTTGTATGTTTTAACTTCTTGTCAGCTCATACTCCTAATTGGTCTAATTTGGTACATACAGAGATTCATACTGCAGTGGTTTGAAATGGAAGGAAGTCAATTACCAGGTATGCTAAAGAGGTCTAGTTTCTCGTCTCTGATGACTAATCATAACTGGATTTGAACCAATAAATGCTGCTAGAATGATAAAAGGAGACTTCACTATGTTATTGCCACATCCTAAATTGTGTCAATTTAGAGTTATTTTGAAAGCCAATAGAGAGCTCTTTTAGTCTTGAATGACAATTGTTATGCCGTAAACCTACTAGCAAGAGACAGATTGTCATTTTGGCTGAGAGAGAGTCATTGTCAAAAGAATCTCTCAATCTCCTACTTATTGTAAAATTTCATGTGTTATCATAGTTGGCGGAGTGATTCGCCTTTTATTTGTTTGGCTGGTGTTAATATGGTTTCCTTGTGTTTGGTTGTGCATAACATTGAGACAAACTCCTGCAGTTTCAAACTGTTGATATAACTCTGCATAACGCATTTTTGTTGGTTTCATTAGTGTTTGGATTATGTATCTTGGATATCAAAAGGTTTATTAGCTGCAATCGATTCAGGCTTCGACCATCTATCATCTTTACCAAATCTTGATCATATTGATGATCCCGGTGTTTCACATACAAAGACAGCTAGCAGCAGTTGCTTGAAAGGAACATCAGGTGGCAACCTTAAAGACTGTTCTTTGTGTGGGTTCTGAATCATAATAATGAAAACGATGGAGGATGAGTCAAATGACAGTAAACACTCACCACTTTATACTATATTCTATTTCACTTTCTTAGTACACTTTGTGTCAACATACAAGTTTTGAAGACTATAATCAACAAAAATTACAAGCAAACTGGAAAAAGGACAATGGAAAGACCAATACAAAATGTAAAAGATGGGTGTATAGTAATTATGTAAAATTCTGTACTTTGAGTTCCACTTTGATTCTTCTCTCTGTGAAGTGTGAACTACTCTACAATTACATCTCATCATCATCATCCGGTGGGGGAGCATTGATAAGCAGGCCTAGAAAGCTGTCGGCCGGCACTAGCAGGGCATGCCGTCAGCCCCACAAAAGGGGGTGGTGGTACCATGCAATTATAAGATAAGCACAATGACGCCGAGTCCGGCAGCTTCAAATCCGACCACGAAATGTTGGGAAACTCCGACAAGTAATTGTGCTGCAAATACAGCGTTTTAGTCCTTCCACTGACCACGTTTTCGATGTACTCTCTGGGCACTTCCCCTGTAAACCTGTTGTTATTCAGCAACAGGGTCTCCACTCCGCCGAACAGGTTCCCCGCCGGCAGCCCTCCGGTCAGCATGTTGTGGCTCAGGTCGACTGTGGACCCCACGCCGTATGATGATGACGGTGACGCCATACTCGTGCTGCTTCTTTGTTGGACCCCACCTGAGAAATTATTCCGTTGGAGGAGAATTGATGACAGTGTCGGGGAGGAGCGGAAGAGTGATTCCGGGATGGGCCCACTGAAGCGGTTCACGCTTAAGTCGAGGTACACTAACTCTGATAGCGATTCTAGCCCGTTGAGCGGGCCCCACAGGGAATTACCGGACGCCGACAAATACCGGAGTGACGGCGGCATCTCCTCTGGCAACGTTCCCGAGAACCCGTTTGCTTTCAGGTCCAGGTGGAGCAGATTTGTCGGCAGACTCGCCGGGATCTGTCCGGTCAGCCGGTTTGAGGATAAAACCAGAACCCTGAGCTCAACCATGTTGGAAATGCTCGGCAGGATTGAACCGGAGAGCTGATTGTTGCTCAAATCCAGAGTGTGGAGGTTTTGTAAGGCGAAAATCGATGCCGGAATTGGCCCGGTTAACCGATTGTTGGTGAGGGAAATGACCCGGAGGTTTCTGAGCGAACCCAATTGGAAAGGGATGTTGCCGGTGACAATGCCGGGGTTAAGAACCAGCTGATTGAGCTCGGTGAGACTCGAAATGGCGGAAGAGAGTGTTCCGGCCAGGCCGCGGGAGTCCGATAAGCCGGTACCCAGAATCAGGGAAGTGACACGCCGGGGAATGAGCGTTAACGGGGAGGAACAGGTAATGCCGGCGAATGTGGAGCAAGGATCTTGAGAGGAAAAATCCCAGCTTTCGAAGAACCTGGCGGCAGAGCCGGGCCGAATTATAACATCCCTGAGGCTGTTTTTGATTTGTTGCAATGCGAGAAGATCATTTTGGCTGAGAACTTGCTGGTCTAATTGGTCCTGGATTTGGATTGCTTGTGCTTGGATTATTATTAGTCTTCTTGGACTGTGGAAGAAGAAGAAAACAAACACAAGGAACAAAAGATGACAGCATTTTCTTTTGGGCATTTTCCTTTGTTTCTTCTTTCTCCTCTTCTGTGGCTCTCTCTCTGTTTTCTTCTGCTCTGCTTCCTCAAATCAACCACACTTTGTGATTATGAAGATGAAGAGACTGATGGATGGGATGGGATGGGGGCATTTATTTTAAAATTAGAAAAATGACGTTAACTTCGTCGTATTCTCACGTGGGGAAGTTCCTTTGATCTGTCCTACGTGGGGAGCTACGTACGACTCCTGGTAAGCACACGTGAGAGAATTTGGACAGTTTACAGTTTACAGTTAACTTTGGTCGTCGTATTTTCTGTCTAGTTTTTGTATTTTATCTTTCTTTTGTGTTTGTTATTTCTCTGGTTTGGAGTTTGGAGATCGATAGAGCTGGCTTGGGGGCCCTGAGAAGTGGACTTGGTGGTTGAACTTGAGAGCATAGAAGAAGAGGGAAGTGACTTGTAATTGACTTCTCATAATGTTTCTTTCCATTTTCCCCAGCTTTTTGTACTTTTGGTGGGTCAGGATTATAAATCAGGAAGTCATGTTCAACATCGTGTTAATCTTGTTTTTATGTTACATGGTTTAGCCTTGGTCGACAAGGACTAATTTAGTTGTTTGGAGATGTAAGTAGTTCAATGTGTGAAAAGCTTTTGACGTATAAATGCCTGTTCATGTTCAAATTTAAATATACTTGACGTGTTAGTTCGGATGAATGAGACCATCATCACTCAATGAATCTCGCTAAGTTGAAAATAAAGAAAATGTCGACAGTGATAACATAAACTCGATGAATTACAATGCCCCTAATCTCGATCTCTTAAGTTTTTTTAAAAAATTATTTTTCCCCTTTGTTGTGCATATAACATTGTACATTCGCCACCAAAAAAGTGATTAATCGCTTCACTGAAGGTGTTTTGATAATTTTCAAAAAAAGAAAAAGAAGGTGTTTTGATAGACTGGAGGACAATTGACAAATTGATTTAAAGCGGTTCTATAATCCTATACTTAAATCTATCCTTAAAAGCCTATCTTATGGTTTCTCTCTTGGGCCTATTCTTCTTTATAGCTATATTGTACAGCTCCGAAGCCCAAACAAAAAGTTCATGGGTTTGTGGCAATCTGTGTGCCATTAACAGCATTCCCTGCATTGTCAGCAAGGCCTTTTTGTCTTTGGATTGAACTACCAGTAGTAATGAATGAGTTTTCTCGTCCATAACTTTCTTATTTCTTCTATAGTGGGACCAACGGGAAATTTGCATTTTGAATAAAAGTTTAGGAATTAATAAATAACTTATTCAGTGTAACTGTAGTTAATTTATGTATTATTTAGATTTGATTATTTGGACGTGATTAGTTATCGAAAAACATAAGGACAAACCATATGCTGCGATAATTTCTCAGTAGCTTAAGTCACGACTATAAAAAGTGAGTTTATCCGAACAAGTCCATACAACAATAAAAATTAAGAGAGAATTGATCCTAATGTTGGAGACCATTTTAAGGAGTATTTCACCGCGGTACATTTGAAGGCATTTTCGGTAAATGAATACTACAACGGTAGAACCAATGTATTTATTGTTTCCTCGGTAAATGAATGCTATAACGGTAAATATATTGCAGAAAGCAGAAACAAGGAATAATATTTGTCAGTCACAAAAGAATCTTTCGTACAGCCCAACAGAATAATTAAAACTAGACTAGGAAGAAGATCAAACTGATGAGATGTAAATTCGCAATTATAATCAATTAGTTTAAACTTGCAGAATAAGTAGATTATGTGTCACAACAAGACAGCAAGACAGAAGCTTCTTACTGATTCTAGTAATTATTTTTTAATTAATTATATATGCTTCTATTATACGTCTTCCCAGCAAATTTAATTGCAATGATTTGCCAGCCCCCCAAAAAAGGGAAGAAATCTCAGTAGGCGTCACATGCACAAATTAGTAAGGGCAGAACCAATATGGGGAGGAAAAAAAAACAATAATTGTTGATGGAAATAAATTAAATTACTTCACATTTTTTTCCTGAATTAAAATGCATGCCCACACCTAAATACTATAAGTTAATTATCTGTCTTTGATGATTAATTTTTATGGTTAAAAAAAAAAAAAGAGGGCTAAAGAGGTGGGTGCCGTGAAAATAAACTTTTTTGTTATGAAGAAAGAGACATAAAGTCTAATGGTAAAATATTACATTTCGAGGATATGACATCCCATTACATCATGAATTAGCAAATTCCACAACAACTAAATCAATTTTGTCTTACCAGTAAGTCTGCCCCAATTAGTTTATCAACGCCAAATAATTTACCGTTCACTATAATTTGCAAGTTATTATAATGAATGTAAGTTAATTTACTTCTGGTAAGAACTCTTATGAACGTATGGAGTTACTTGATAATGTCTAGAGTTAGGATATGCAGGGGCGAATTTACAGTGGTTTATTTTTAACTCTAATTTGCAAGTTAGATGTTAAGTGTGGATTTATTTATCTCGGGAAAAATTTATGATATTACAAGAGAAAAAAAAAATGTTTCAATTTAAGTGCATCGATTTTCCCCCTTGTTTTGTATTTGAGAAAAAGGGGACAAACTCAAATACGCGATGATATAAAAATACAGAGATTGGAGTTTACAGATATGCACCCAATTTGTTTATACATAATAAAAAAAAAAAAAGAGTGGTAGTGGGAAAGGGAGGGAAAACAAAAGTTATGAAAAAAGCAAACAGCTTTAACTGCAGAACAGCTCTCAATTTCCCAACTTTTTTTGGTTGGCATGTGAATGAAAAATAGTGAAAAATACATCATGATCATGACCACCCACCCCCCAAGATTTCAGATTTCTTATTCTCCAACTCCGATATTCTTCTTCTGTTGTAGTTGTAGTCTTGTAGATGTCCATTCTCCTGGGCAGGTTTTTGTCTCATACACAGACCACTTTTTGACCCTTTGGAACACAGAAAAATGTTTGGGGATTTTTAGTTAATTGTTTACATCATATGTAGGAGTATCATTATCAATATGATTAGTACTTTATCGTCTCAAAATAATTATTCTGTTTAAACTAATATATTGCGATCAGGCAAAAACTTTTAGTTAATTGTTTTTTTTAATATAATGATAAAAAGAAGCATTTTGACGTCAGTGGAATGTCAATATGAGAACTGCCCCGTACTTACTCAAGACTTAAGGGAAAAAGAGGTAAAGACTTTGGATCCAACTTTTGGAAAAGTTGAGAGCTAAGGGATTATGATAATTGGGGCAATACATTTCTCATAATTTTGTTGCCCGCACGCATTGCCTTGTGTTACACCTACGCAAATTCAATCTCCATTTTTATTTTTATTTTTTATATAAACACAAGAAAACAGTTATTATGGGGTTCTGTTAGTTGCAATTGCAAGTTTTCAATATATTACAATTTCAACTTTTGTCTCTTTGAAGCAATTTACTTTGACCACTCTCTACTCTCAAGAAGTTCTTGTGAAATTTTGGGACCCTTAAAATGTAGTTACATTGTATTGCACATTGACTAAACTTTTAACGAAATTTTGTACTCCCTCCGTTCTAAAATAAATGTCGTCCTACACTTTGCACATAATTTTTGAAACTCTTAAATAAAGTAATAAAATTACTTGAATTTCCTCAACCAACCCCATTATAAAATTGTCCACTAATAGCATCAACTCTTTTGAGGGTAATTTTGGAAACTTTTGACAAAAAGTGCATTGAAATATGAGAACAACACTTATTTTGAAATTTCTCTATTTTACTAAAACGACACTTATTTTGGAATGGAGGAAGTATTTTAAATACTCCTTCTCGTGTAATAGGCTGAACAATCACTTATAATTGTAAATGTACTCATTTCATGCTTCATAATAAAGGTCCGACTAGTTAATTTTGAAGAAAAGTCTAAAAAATGACACTTATTTTAAAATAAACGGAGTAATAGTAACATTAGAACCTCCAAAGTAAGATCTAACAAGAGACGCGTTAGTTAGTTCATCCTCTTAATTTATTACTATTGTTTCAACTAAACAAACTTATTTTGAGGTTTAGGTTTTAGGAACATAAATTGATCCCTGAATTAAGTGCTAAAAAGAAAGAAGACAACAATAATATAGCCTAGCTAGTAGCTTCTATATATGATAATGGACAGCACAATTATGCTTTTTTTTTATTTTTTATTTTGTATATGAAATCTGAAGTCTTGTCCTAACCAAAGCCTAAATTAGTTCATGATAACAGATATGGTTATCAGGGATTTGCTTGTTTAAATCCAACAAGACATGACAGCAGCTTATTTTGGTTGCCTACACAAAACATTAGTCCCAAGTGTTTGGCACATGATTCATGCAAAAATGCATTATCAGATCTTGTGGATAAGAAATTGTCTTCAGTTCAGGTTTCTCTTGACCATACTCTGTTTGAGTCAAAAGCTTATTTACCATTAGCATTTACAATAATAGTTGCAGTCCGTGACGTGACCTCAATGCATTAGTGCAATACCATTTACTTCTTCCTTCCCCAATTATTGTTGAGTTTAAATTTTTTATTTTTAATTCAATCTGTACTAAAATAAAAAATTTAAAATAGATAATAATTCTAAGATGGAAAGAGTAGATTTTAAGAATAAATATAAGAGAATTGTTTATAAACTGTTAATATATTCTATCAGTAAAAATCGTACTCGTGAATTTTCTTATCAAAATTTTAATTGATTTTACGATATGGAAAAAGAATTAGTTGCTGTGTCTATCTATTTTTGGTAAAAATTGAACTAGTGAATTTTCTTATGGAGATCCTAATTGATCTTATGATATTGGGAAAAATTTACTTTCAGAGTTCATCTTAATCAGACTTTGATTGATATATATATATATATATATATATATATATATAGAGTAATTTCTAGGAAGTTTTCCAGTCATCAAATGTTGTGACAAACTGTCATATTATTATTGCTGTAATTAATTTGACAGTTTTCGTCTATCCTGAGTTTCCTTTTAATGCCTCTATGTATCAACCCAGTAGGAAAATAAAAGAATTTGGCCCCAAGTAAAAAAATAGATAAATAAAAAATCAACACAAATATGCTTTTTCCAACATAGGATTCACAAATTACGCTGCTTTTTGTAAGCATGCGATCTCTTTATAATCTTTTCCTTCCATATTCTCAATTATTTTCTCGGGGGATTATTAACTGGAGTTTCAGTAATTCACCAATGGAATATACATAGCTAAAATGACAAAAAAAAAAAAGAAGAAAAACTAAAAATTGATTTGGCCCCTCCTTCCATATTCCCACAATCCGCAATATTAGCCCCTCCTTCCTCCCCTAATCTAGTTTTCCCACTTGTCCTTTCCTTAAACACAGTCTGATTCCTTTGTACTTATAAACCATGTTTCACTTCTTCCCCTTCTTCTTCTCTTCCTCCTCATTACATTGGAATTATTACTGCTCCCAAATCTTGAATATGCCAACTTCTGAAGTTTGGTTCTTTTGTTTCACTATCAACTGAGTTGGTTTTTCTCATCCAAATTTTAGCCCTTTTTCTATTTTTACCAGTAAAGATCAAATTTTTATTTGCCGCTGGTGGTAGTTGTGGTGTGTAAATTGTTGGGATTTCTTTGGATGTTCTGAAAAGGATTGAAACAGAAAAGAAGATGAGGGATTTCCCATCTTGTTTCAGTGAGAATGGTGTTCAAGTTGCGGATGCTTCTGGCAAGAGTTTAGGTATAAGTAGATCCTCTCCTCAGAATTTGGTTACTTGCATTCATCAGTGTAAATTGCTTGGTAGAACTTGCCATGTTACTATTGTTTGGAGTAGGAACTTGATGGGTCATTGTCTTAGTGTAGAGATTGATGATTTGTTTCATCGTTGCCTCTGTAAAGTTGATGTGAGGCCTTCTTTATTCTCAAAAAGAAAAGGGTCCAAGTGTTTTGAGGTTTATTCGAGTAGAATTGACTTGTACTGGGACCTTTCTGCAGCAACATTTGGATCTGGGCCAGAGCCTTTGGAGGGTTATTATATTGCTGTTGTGTGCAGAGGGGAGATTGTTTTGTTTGTTGGGGATCTGAAGAAAGAAGCTCTGAAGAAGACTAATGCAATCCCTTCAAATTCGAGTCCATTCTTTGTTTCAAAAAGGGAGCATCTTTTTGGCAAGAGGGTTTATGGTACTAAAGCTCAATTCTGGGATAATGGTCAAATTCATGAACTCAAAATTGAGTGTGATACTCATGACATTGATGATCCTTCCCTTATGATACATATTGATCGTAAACCGGTGATGCAAGTGAATCATATACATTGGAAATTCAGGGGAAATTTCACCATCTTGGTGGATGGTCTTCCTGTGGAAGTCTTATGGGATGTTTATAATTGGTTTTTTGGAAGTGCTGGCTATGGAAATGCAGTTTTTGTGTTTTGGAGTTGTCAATCAGCAGAGAAGTTGTGGAGAAGTCCTAACTGGGATGATGAGTATTATGTGCATTCTTTGCTTTCATCTGCAGGTTATGGTGAATCTAAGAAACAAACAGGTCCTGATTTTTCATTGGTTTTGTATGCGTGGAAGAACGAATAGAGAGAGTAGAAACCGTAGATTCTTTCTTTGAACTCTGTTAACAGCATCACTAGTTCAAGAAATTTTGAAAGTTTTGATGATGGAGTAGAAGAAGCCATGAATTCTGTTTCTTTAAGCCTATCTGGTTAATTTTTATACTGAATTTCATTGCTTGGAAGATATTTAGTATGAAGGATTATTTTCTTTTTCAACATATTTTGCTAGCTAGTGGTAGATTTGTTTTTGATCATTCTTTCCATTCAATTTGAACCAGCTGCTCTGAAACATATTGAATGCCCTGCTTGAATCACAAATTTTGTGCCATTTTTCTTTTTTCTTTCTTTTTCTGATTACCACAATATTGGTCTGCAACATTGATGAACTAACAATCAAAATACACATTTTCTTTACCATTGCTTCCGTGCCAAAAATTTGCAGAATGTCAATCTCAGACAATGCTCACCACATGCCATATGGATCAATGAAAAGTTTGCTTCTGTGCTTACAATTACAGGTCACATTTAGCAAGAATAACACTGTTACACAGTTTGACCCTATTCAGGATAATATAGGTTAGGTACTTAGGTTACCTAACTGTCTTGTGATCTTTAAGCTGCAAATGTTGTCAGAAATGCTCTTGTATAGGTTTTAAATTGTATATTCTAGCTTCATCTTCTTTGAGCATTCTCTTTTCATCCAGTATTTCTCTTCATCCATAACACCCTTTTTTAACGGGTGTACTATACACTGGTGTTTGAATTATTTTCCCGACTAATCCAAATTCAAACCAGATAGATTACTTCCTGTAAGCAAAACTTTCCCAACAAGATAAGGAGGCACTAAAAACAGCCGAAGCATAGAATAGAAGATTAAAAAAAGAGATGCTTGAAGAAATCTAATAATAGGTCTGAAGAAGAAGTTATGCGGATTTCAAGGATTCTGACAAATATTCGCAACGTTAAATGCCAGTTTTGGTGATGCATCATATTCATAGGTGGTCCGTGGCCTAGAACAGAAATAGTTAAATACAATAGCTCTGCATTATTGACTCATCATATCCACCTATGGCTACTCAGTACTCTGTTGCTGCTGATGTGTGAGCTTGAATACCAGAATAAATAGTCCAGTTCCTGCTGCGGGTTTTCCTCGCTTATGTCCCCGGGATACTGCATTGCACAACTACTAAACTTCAGATTTTGATTTTTTTTTATTTTTTTATTTTTTAGAAACGAATAGTTGTTCGAGCAACCTGCTACCGGCACAAATCAACCCAATCCAATTACAGTGCTTTGTGACACATTGCTCATTTAAGTTTTCGCAAACTTGGAAAGGATGTATTTACCACAACAATCATAATCATACCACATCTGAATCAGAGACGAGTTGATGAAAAAGTGTGACTCAACATGATGTTTCTCTCTTCACGGTTTCTGTTTCTGTGTGCAGGAAAATGTAATTCAAGTGTTCAACTTCATACTTCTCATGAATGTGGTCAAAGATCGATCAAGTTTTAACTAAGAGTTGAAGTGCTTTTGTTTTTGGCCTATTATAGCGTGCGCCCTCAATATGAGAAAAAGGAAGTTCACAAATCTGTGAGGTGAAATTATTATCTATTTTAAATTTTCACTTTTAAAACAAATTGAATAAAAAATTAGAATTCAGACAATAATTTTAGAATACAGTGAGAGAGAGAGAGAGTATTTAGAATCGTGGTTCGCGAATCTTTTTGAAAAAAAAAGTGCAAGGGCATAAGAGAAAAAAAAAAATTACTTGTATCCAAATTGAATTTTCTCTTAATATGTCTTTATTGGACAAACTATATTAATATAATCATAATCATTGAAATTAGTTTTAAGGAATAAACTTAATGGAGCATTATTTTATTATTAGTGTTGGTTTTGGTGCAAATTGGTTCCTTTTCCAGTTTTACTTTGGCCGACTAACTTTCCCTATAAATAGTGGTTATACGGCCAAAATTTGGCTTTCTTTGTGCCTAAAAGGAAAAAAAATAACAATAAAACAATCGGGACGTACCCAAATTTCTTTTCTTTCACAACACAAAATTTTCAGGTTTTGTTGGAGAATTTGTCTTCTTCCGGCGGACCATCGGTGATCTTGAAGGCTTTTTTTTTTTTCCGAATGTTAATCAATTTTCAACAATTACATGATGAAATTCCGCGCCTCAGGTGTGACATTAGGGTTTCTTTTTGTCTTTTAATTATATTAATTTGTTCTTCTTCTTTTCTTTTTTTTTTTGGTTTTTTCACATATATTTTGATTCGGTGGAACTAAACTTTATAGTTTTTTTAGTTAAAAACCCACATTTGTTGTTGGGAGTACTTAAAGCATGCAAATCATGGCGGCCAGGAGACGCGGGGATTTCAGGGGATATTATGGTGGTAAATTTGTAAAGGGTGATCAAGATTACTATAGGGGGCGAGGGCAAAGGTCTCGTGAGCGAGACCAGAACCCTCGAGATAGGTTTAGACTTAGGCAGAAAAAGGAGGATGTTAAGGTTTCAGGTTCAAGAGAGCCAGGGGAAATATCTAGTGCAAGTGACAATGGAGGAGGTGAAATTGACTCTGAATCACTCAAGAAGATTGAGAATGGAAAGCGCAAATTTAAGTTTTCTCCAATTTTATGGTGGGATAGAGATGGAGGTGATGAGAGAATAACTCGAATAGTTAAGTCTAGGAGGACTAATCCTCCTCCTGCTGAATCTAACATTTTGCCTGATTCGACCAAACCTGATGGTCGCATAAATAGTTCAGTCATTCAAGATTATGCAGTTCAGGATTCCGAAAGGCAGCCTCTGGTTAAGAGAGTTGATGAGGCAATAGATGTACCTTCTCAATCTACAACAGTGCTGCCTCAATTGGAGCCTGAGGTCGAGGAAGAGAAAAAGGCCCTACATGATGATGATATGTCAACTAAGAGGAAATTAAGAGCTTCCCGATGGGCTAATAAGGCAGAATTGTTAGGTGATGAGGAGATGAATAACCTGAAGAAGAAGAAGAATGAGGAGGAGGAGTTGGAACCTGGAGAGTTGAGGAGAGAAGGTTCTCATGATGATGTTTCGAAGGTAGATGAGGATTGGCGGTCCTATGTTTCAGGCTTTAGTAGCCACTCAGACAATGAATCTGACAAAGAAGATGTAAGTCCTCCGAGGACTCTGAACATGCGCCAGGGTTGTAGAAGTTTTGACGAATTTCACGGACCGAAAAAGATTGGTGAAGGTACTTATGGTACGGTTTATAAAGCTAAGGATACGATAACAGGAGACATAGTTGCGCTTAAGGAGGTCAAGATCCTAAATGAAAGAGAAGGATTCCCTATTACGGCTTTGAGGGAAATAAATGTTCTTCTCTCGCTTCATCATTCTTCCATTGTAGATGTCAAAGAAGTAGTTGTAGATGACAAAAGTGACAAGGTCTACATCGTCATGGAGTACATTAAACACGACCTGAAAGCGGTCATGGAAAATGCCAATCAACAGCCTTTTAGTGAAAGTGAGGTTAAGCGTCTTATGCGTCAGCTTCTTAAAGGTGTTAAGTATCTTCATCAGAACTGGATTTTGCACCGCGACCTGAAGCCAGCAAATATATTGATAAAAGAGAATCGTCGCAAAGTGAAGATTTGTGACTTTGGGTTAGCACGCGGGTATGGAAGCCCTTCGAAACCATACACTCAGACGGTGGTTACTCTGCTGTACAGAGCGCCTGAGCTGCTTCTGGGAGCTAAGGAGTATTCCACAGCAATCGACATGTGGTCCTTAGGTTGTATCATGGCCGAGCTATTAATTAGGAAACCACTTTTCGGGGGGAAACATGAAAAGAATCAAAAGAATGAAGATCGAAAGAATCAAAAGAATGAAGATGAAAAGAATCAAATTAAGCTACTTGACAGTATATTTGAAATTCTCGGGACACCATCTGAGGAGATTTGGCCAGGTCTATCAAATCTACCGGATGCCAAAAAGTTTACAATGGCGAAGAAGAAGGGCAGTGGGTTGCGTGCAGTGTTCGCAGAGATGTATTTCACGGGTTCACCGGTAACATTATCAGATGAAGGATTTGAGTTGTTGAACAAGCTTTTGACGTATGATCCTAAGCAGAGAATAACTGCTGAGGATGCTCTTAAGCTTAATTGGTTTCGTAAATTTCCTCCACTTGAACCAAAAGAAGATATGCCTACTTTTCCAACAGCAGAACATGCTCAGGACAGACACTTGAAAAGGGTCCAGAACAGCCCAGATCCTTTGGAAGAAAAGCGCAGAAAAGTATTAAAGTTGTTTGGTTAAGGCACTTTCTGATGAAAGTAGAGTATAATTTTCTGTCTAAGCTTTCAATCCAATATGTTGGGAAGCTCTGATGTTAAGAAATTTCCTTGTTTGACACTGCAATCATTGAAGAAATGACAGGAAGTACATTTTTTTTTATTGTTTTTTAAAAGAAATTTTCATTTGAGTTAGTAAAAGATTCTTATTGTAGTAATCTAACACATTACTAGAGGACAAGGTTATTATCATGAACTCAATTGAATCAAGAATGGTCTAGTTCCATCTTATACATTCAATCAAGTTGTAAACAACATTACTTGATTTGCTCTTCATTCTCTTCCTTACTCAACCTAAGTTCATATCAAACTTGCCGACGTATATCGTTCACTCACCTCAGCTTTGGCCATGCAGTATTTGATGAAGCTCATATGGGATCAATGAATTGAATCTCTGCTGGATGGTTTGGAGGGCATGATCAGCATCATCTTTGGATAGGGTCCTGAACAAGCTCTGATTGCCACCCGAATAGGGAGGATCGAATTACCGGAGCTCTTTAAAGTTCAACCATGGCTTCAACCACACCTTAGCTTCATAGAGCTTTTTATTTCCAGCCTCAATGAGACAAACTTCTTTCTGTCCTCTGAGACAAGCTTGAATTTTTTTGTTTTTCTTTGGCTTAAGAAAAGCTTGGTTCAGTCATCTAATATCCATCGATTTAATATGTGCCTCATAGTGTTATGTATATCGGAGTTGCTTGGAAGAAAAATAAGCCAATTTAAACCAGTTTGAAATTGGTGCTTTTGAAGTTCAAGTTTGCTGTTTTCCAAATTTTCAAGCATCACACTTTCCTTTTCAATCTCTGATAAATGACTTTTTCATGGCACTTGTGTTATTCACTAAGTACGCTTAACTTTAATCAATTTAAGCCAGAGCAAAATGCCAAGCAAGAAAAAAGCCAAACGAAACTAATACTCCCTTCGACCAGAAAAATTGTTCACTTCGTTTTACAGGTTTAGTTCAACAAAGTAGACTATTTTTTTTTTTAAGATAAAAGGAAGTAAAATACTTTTTCTCAATTAAAAAACCAGCAAAGGAAAGAAAACAACTAGCATTGCTTGTATGTATATGGTTATACTAAACTATCAAGTCCAGTGCTCAACAATATCATGCCCTAGTACACAATTGCCATCAAACCACCGTGGCAACTATTCACATAACCTCAGCTCCTACCATTCCTTGTGATGATTTTGCCTTTGCAGTGGGATCGAATAAAGTTTCAACATGTTTAAAATAGATATCACCATACATGTCACCAGTTAGCTCGAGCCTCGGAGCTTTTCTGAAGATCCCTTCTTTAATATCCCAATAAGAACAATAGGTTCTTTTCTGCATCTTGTCCCTCAATTGAACAAGGTTCTCCCTGTCATTGATTGCACAACCCACAACGTGTTCCAACACTTCAGATTTGTCAGATTCTTGATGCACAAATTCTGGCCAAGTCGGTACAATGATCTTTTCCCGGTCTTCACTTTGATCAGGACTAGTGACCAATCTCCAAATCTCAGTGCCTTTACTTCTATTCTTCTTCATTTTCATCAAAGCAACGCATTCTCTGACCTCAATCATAACCCGCTTTTCTTCCTTGATAAGTTCCAATTCTTCCGGAAGTTGTACAAACCTAAATGTTTCTTCACCAACCGAGAAAATCATGACAGCATCATAACCAGGAAATCTAAACAAGATGTAAATCTCATTCTTAAAGTAAAGAGACGGGTTATTTGGGTACAGAAAGACAGTCATTCCTTCAGTCTTGGCTTCATCTGGGACATGGTGAGTAATGTCTCTCCATGAGCCACTATAATCATCATCAGATCCTAAATTAATAACTTGCATTTGAAATTTTCCTTCAAGATGCACCTTTTCTCCAAGATACTTTTCACACATTGAATCAGCGACACAAACACTTAATACCTTGTATTTTTCAGTAAAGGTATCATAACCAAGATAGTAAGCATTCTCAAACTCAACTTCATTGGTCTTCCAACCAACCGGAAAATCCATTGTGTTGATGGAAAAACACGGGTTCGGGAGATTACACTCTTCCCCATTGGTGGCCGGATCCTCACAAAATTGTATTAATCCTTCTATACCTTCCACATTGAAACAATCAGGCATAGGCTCCTCACAACCATATTCATTACCATAGCCCCCATCTTCAAAATGGCCGCCTTTTGGATGCAGAACGATCAGTTTATTCCCTCCATCATCATCAACTTTGAGCACCTTATATCCTCCTCCATCTTCTTGTAAGAAATCTTGTAGGTATTGGTCTTCTTCCATCCACGGTGGTGGCTTGACTCTGCGTTGCTGGTGGACAAGGTGAGTGATGTCTCTCCATGAATTATTCTCATTATCGCCATTTCCTACCACATTAATAACTTGGATTTGAAATTGGGTTTCCCAATCCACAATCCCTTCCTTATCATGATGAAAGTATCTCTTCAGAGTCCACAGAACAAACACTTAATAGCTTGTATTGATTAGTACCGGAATCATAACATAAGTAGCAAGAATTCTCGAATTCAACTATATTCGTACCACGACGAAGGGGGAGAACCATTGTGCTGCTCCTCAAATACTGAGTGGGAAGATCGAACTTCTTCTGGGTAGTCGGATTCCACGCAGTATTCCGGCAGCAAATTAAGCCTTCGACCCCTTCCAGATTCAAACACCTCGGCTGATAAAACTCATCAAAACGCTTAACCGTCGGAGGCCGGATGGACATCTTGTTCCCTTCTTCGTCAATCAGTAGGAAATATACGAAAAACAAGTCAGTCTTCTTCCATTCTCGGCGGTCCGACCAAAAACTTCACTCCACCACGGCGGTGATATGACCGGAGACAGTGGCTGACCACAAAATGAGGGTCGGTTATCATGGAGAGCCACTTCTTGGAAACACAACTGAATCTCGATAAGGATTGGACCGGAAGCTCTTTAAGTATGAGAAAGATTATGTCATCTGGGAGATGATCAGGGATTTCGTCATCGGCCGCTGATGATCTCATCTTCTTCTTTCTTGTACGCAAAAATATCGGTTGGTTTTTGAAAGTCTAGATATAAACAGTACAAAGCACCTTCGAGTGCCAAATCACAAAGGGAATTAGATACGAATTAGGGGAATTACTACTTAATCATGTAACCATTTTCAGGATAGGATTTGCATTTTTATTTGGCTGTGGAAATAATGATGCAATGAGTTATAATATTAAAAAGCAGCATCGTTCTGAAGAAAAGACACAAGATGGAAAAACCAAAATAACAGAATGGAAACTCTTCAACTTATGAGCATAATTCCATTACCAGACAAACTTTGGATTACAGAGCAGAAAACCCACAAGCTAAGGATGCATTTATTCTATTTGTATTTACTACAGGAAGACAAGCAGTTAGAAAGGGTAAATGTTTGTTTTGTACATTAAGGCCAAGAAGAAATAAACCTAGAAGAACATTTTCAACTCACTGATCACTGCTGTATTTTTCTCTGTAGTGTCACTAGATCTTTGCTAGTTCCATAATTCTTCTCCAGAGCTTCAGCACACCAGCCATGGCCATCGTCAACAGTCGGCATCCTAACTTCCATGAAAGGACCAGCAGGTTGCTGCGCCCCTGGCATGACTATACCAGCAAAAACTCTCAGAACATTTGAAGCATCGATATCCATACAAACAGTTATCTCAGGAACACCCTTTGGAGCAGGAGGTATCCCAGTGATCTTGAAATATCCAAGAAGATGGTTCATCTCGGCCACTTTTTCATCACCCTCATAGACAATGATCAATGCCTCGGTTTGGTTATCATGAACAGTTGTGAAGAACACTTCCCGCCTTGTTGGAATTGCAGTGTTCTGATGGACAACGGGAATAAAACTAATCCCATCAGCTCGAATACCAATGCTCAGAGGAGTTGCTTGGATGGTTAGCAGGTCTAAACTCCCAGAAGGATCATTTATTCCAGAAGCAACTGCTCCTTCTAGTGCCGCTCCACGGACTGCAGCCTCCATTGGGTTCATTCCTGGATATATATCCTTCTTGCAGATACTTGTCACTATGCTCCTTATCTTTGGAATATATGAGCAACCACCAACGAGAATGACATCATCTAAATCTTCTAACTCCACTTTTGCATCATGCAGGCACCTCCAAACGAGGGACTCACATTTTTCAAATACTTTCAGATTCACCAACTCAAACTCATTCCTGTCTAAAATCTTGCATATTTTTGTCCCATTGCCCAGGTCGACATCTATTTGAACACTTTCCTGGAAGGAAAGCTTGTGAATCGCATCCTGGGTGGCAACTCGAAGCAGCCCAAATGTCCTGATTTCTTCAATTCCATGGCTTGAAAAGAGATTGTCCATGTCAGGCACTAGGTGATGCATCATGTTTTGAAGAATATCCTCTCCACCAATGGTAGCTCCTGCTAATGCCTTGATCTGTGAAACTCCCCCTGCAGTGGCAGTTACAGCTACATCGCAATAACCTGCACCCATGTTGAATATAAGGGCATTCTTTTCATTACCACCTCCTGTACTCTCTTGTGAAATTTGTTGCTGCTGTTGTGCGTAAAGAAGAGCAACAGCAGTGGGTTCGGGCATCAATCTAAGAACATGGAGCCCAGCCATTGCACAAGCCCGCTCAATCCGGCTGAGTTGAAATCGACTGAATGAAACTGGAATTGTGAGAACAACATTTGTAACAGGACGTTTGAGATGCACTTCCGCCAAGGCCCTTAATTCAACCAAGAAAATCGCAAGAACTTCTTCCGGGGTAGTGGACCTCCACATGTTATTCACCAATGCTGCAATAAACGGCCTAACCCCAATGTTTAGGGACTGAACCAGAAACGGAAGGTTTTTACTGGCATGAACAACTGGATCAGTGTCCAACCGGCCAACTAAACGTTTCATGTTGAAAATTGTGGCGCCTGTCAGCATTTCATATTCATGAGCCAATTGATTACTCACTCCACCTGAGGGAGTCTCGTTTTTGAAGGTTACAAATGATCTCAATAGCTTCTGATTCCTGGTATTTCTTATGAGCTCCAACTGAGAACCATTCCAGAAAGCAACACTACATTGAGAAGTACCAAGGTCTATGCCAATGGCAACATCCTTGATCGGAAACGAGGACTTTTCCTCCCCACTTGTTTCACTATCAGATGCTACAAAATATGCCGGTTCAGCAGCCATTCCTGCAAATAAACAATTCAACAAAAGAACAGATTTTTCTGATAGCGTCAAATATATAACTACGCTATACAATGACAAATAAGAGACATTGTTTATCTTGCAAACAGATCAGACTTGGAAGTACAACAAAAGCATAAACTGGTTTATATCAAACACCTTTCCCTTGTTCTGCTACTATTCTTACAGCACATGCCCTGATCACAACTCAACTGGAATTCAAATTCAGAGAAAAAACACGCAAAAGAGAGCGATTTATAAACGAAGGAAAAAAGAATTCAACGGGCAAGGGATCACAGGCTAAACAGAAAATGCAAAACTACACATAAAAGAGCACCAATTACTAAATACACATCAAAATTCAACTATGCCAGAAAATTCACGAGGGCAAACAAATCAAACCAAACCCATTACATTAAGCCATTCACCATTTGCATTAATGGGTAAAAATCAAAACTTTAACAACCAAACAGACTTCATAAGGAAAAATAAATTAAGCCAAAATGCAGAACCAAATGCGAAAAATAGGGAGCAAGAGAGACAGCTTACTGGGTTGCAATAGAAAGCGATGGAGAGTGATAACGAAATTGATAACACCAAAGAGAAGCAAAAGTATGGCGAATGTATATATTTCAGTAAGGAAATCGAAAAGGGTTGTAGACTGTAGTAATCTTATTAGTTACCGGTGGTTTCTAGTGCTTTCAAGTTTCGACCAAATGAAGGTGCTTCACACTTCTAGAGCTTCCCAGACTTCGATTTCATTTTATTTTTTAAAAATTTCTTTTCCTTTTCTTGAAATGATGATAATCTTTTGGTGACATCGACAACCTTGTTTAAGGAAAGATGTCGAAATCTCACTGGGAAGCTGTTTTTTTCCTTTACAAAGGTTTCAGTTTGGACTTTGGATGCTTCTAGTAAAAAACCAACTGTTCTTCAATTAATTGATTTTTTTTTTTTTTGGGAAAAAAATTCTATTCTCCTAGAGGCAATATTAAGTAAATTTTTTTTAGAAAAATAATTCTTTCCCCTCCAACTAATTGTTTTTTTTAAAGAAAAATCAATCCCCAGACGGCAAAATTAAGTACCAGTATTTATTTTAATCGATCGAAACTCTTTTGTTGATACGATAATTAAGTACCAGTATCTACTTTTGAACGATGCGATTAAATTTTTCCACCTTTCTTAGTCGTTTTGTCTCAGTCGGGAAAAAGAAAAAAAAAAAATCATCAACGTCTATATATTTTTGATTCTCCATTGATACTATTATTATTATTATTATTTTAAGATCTCTATTTATTATTAAGAGAGAAGCCAAATAGAGATAATGAAAGTTGATTTTTAAGGTGACACCTAAGAAAAAATTATAAGTGTGCCCTTTTAATTTATTCTCACAAAAAGAAAAAACTTACTACAATTGTCTGAAAATCCTCTAAACTAAACTTAAATCCAGCAGGCAGAAATATAAACGGAATTTACTGCACCTAATTATGAGAAAATGAGGGAACAAAAATCATTATAGTATAATCTTTAGAGTCCTCTTTAATAGTTTCTATACTGATAATTATTATATCATTGTATTTTTTCTATAAAATACTTTCATCTTGAATGACATTCAATATTTTTATTTATTATGACGGCTATCTTATTTAGTTTTGGTCGTATAATCACTCTGGTTCTTATTATAAAGTATGTTAATTTGTTTTAAATTTTATCTAATATATTCTTTTATTCAAAAATAAAACCTTAAATATAGTCATATTTATCATGTTCTCCCAATTATTGTGAAATATTTTTAAAATTTTATTTTCTATTGGAAGAACATACTAAGTATTCATAATGTCTTATAATGAGGACTAAATGGAGTAATATGTATATTTATTGCATTCTTAAACTTTCCCTTACAATCTATAAAATATTATCATTCCATAGCATGTGCAATATTTTTATTAATCGCAACATCTTATTTATTTTTAATCATATAGTATTTATTATTATAAACCAAAAACTTCAACTGTGCACAACATATTTAAAATTTAAATGTTATTTCGTAAATGTGTATGAATGAACTCCACATATCGTGCGAGTTTAACATCTAGTTCTTACTATTAGTTTTCATTGTTAGATGAGTAAGTATCAGTGATGAATTAGGGAAAGGAGATCGTTGTGAGAAGTGATTACGGCTTTTTATTATTTTTATTTTTGTATTTTTGGATAGATGATTGAGAAATATAAGAAAACTCGAGATGCCGTCCTCAATCACTTTCAAGAAAATGAGAACAATAATGTCCAAAAGATCGCAATCAACATAGTACAACAATGCTCATTTTCATGATATCGTCTTTACTATATAATGATATTCGTCTTCAACATTCATTCATCGTTCATCTAATTTAAAATATTTGTTTTGTTTTTTTAATGTGTATTTTTAGTCAATCTAATGCCGTGGTCCTGTTCCTAGTTGGCTGCAATGAGAATTGAGAGCAACTGCATATCCAGGAAGCCACATTTTCCTTTCTCTTGTGACAAACATGTAGTTTAAGGATGAGAATATCTTGAATACAATAATAACATATATATATATATTACAGCATTTATGTCCAAATTCGGACAACCTTTTTTTTTTTTTTTTCCCCTAGTACTATAAATAGAAGCAATCTGATGCCAAAATTTAGAGCAGTGGCAATAATGAATTCAAGTCTCAGATTTATCCTTTTTTTCCTCTGCTATTTCTGTCTCATCTCCCTAATGTCCACCAATGCAATACATCTTTTGGATTCCCTCACTCCCTCTGAGCTCACACAAGTCAAAACTATAGTAAATCAGTCCATTTGTTCCACTGTTTCTTGCCATAATGATAATCTGAGCTTCCATTATGTGGGCTTACATGAACCAGATAAAGAAACTGTAGTTTCTTGGTTATCAAAACGAAAACCCATAAAAATCCCACCTCGTCAAGCATTTGTACTTGCTCGAATTAATCAGTCAAACCATGAAATCATCGTAGACTTAACAGATTCTAAAGTTATTTCCAACAAAGTGAACAATGGTCATGGCTATCCTTTATTGAATTTAGATGAACAGGATGCAGCAAATGTACTACCATTTAGTTATGCACCATTTTTAGCATCCCTTGAGAAAAGGGGTCTAAAGTTAGAAGACGTTGTGTGTGAATGTTTTACTATTGGATGGTTTGGAGAAAAAATATAGGAAGGATTGTTAAAGTAATGTGTTACTATTTGAATGGAACAGTGAATCTGTATATGAGACCTATTGAAGGAATAACAGTGACTGTTGATCTTGATGAAATGAAGATTGTTGGATATGTTGATCGGGTGGTTGTTCCGGTTCCTAAAGCCGAGGGGACGGATTACAGGGAGTAAAGCCGGAGAAACCATTGAACACAGGAATATTGCATGGTGGTCCAAATTTCAACTTGGATGGAAATGCTGTAAGGTATGTTGGTGCCTTGTAATAATCTGTATTTGGTAAGTAACCTTACAGATTGGTGATGATTTTGTTGTAATTTTGCAGATGGGCTGATTGGAAATTCCATGTAGGTTTCGACATGAGGGTTGGTCCGATCATATCATTAGCTTCAGTCTATGATCTCGAAAAGGATGAATATCGTAGTGTGCTGTAGAGAGGATACATTTCTGAGCTGTTTATTCCATACATGGACTTAACAGAAGAATGGTACTACAGAACATATTTTGACGCGGGCGACTTTGGATTCGGTTTACGCGCATCATCCCTTGTTCCATTGAAGGACTGTCCTGAAAATGCAGTGTTTCTTGATGGCTACTACAGTACAAAGGATGGGACACCTGCAAAAATTGCAAATGCATTGTGCATTTTCGAAAGATATGCTGGAGATGTTCTATGGCGCCACACTGAACCGCTATCCCTGGAGAAGTTGTAAGTTGATTTATGCAACATTAAGTTATTTCCTAATTGAATAGTCTCCTTAAAAGTTACTCAATTATGACAACTAAAGTGGATTATTCTGCAGTTTTCGGAGGTCAGACCGGATGTGAGCTTAGTGGTGAGAATGGTGTCAACAGTAGCAAACTATGACTACATGGTTGATTGACAGATTGGAATGACAGGAATGCTTTGAGTGAGGACAACGATGTATACGCATATGAACCAAATCAAAGAGGAAGTTTACGGCACATTATTAACAGAGAACACACTTGGAACCCATCATGATCATTTCCTGAATTTTCATTTTGATTTTGATGTAGATGGTCATGATAATTCCTTTGTTGAGTCAAAATTGCTAGCAAAATCCGCGTCAGATAAGCGATCGCCTAGAAAGAATTACTGGACTGTGGTACCTAAAACAGCTAAAACTGAGTCTGATGCAAGGATCCATCTTGGATCAGGTGCAGCTGAACTCTCAGTTGTGAATCCTAATAAGAAAACCAAGATAGGAAATCAGGTGGGATACCGGTTGCTACCCGGAACAGTGGCTAATAACATCATACCTGATGGTGATTACCCGGAATTTCGCTGTGGTTTCAATAAGTACAATGTGTGGGTTACAAGATATAATAAATCTGAGAAATGGGCTGGAGGAGTGTACACAGATCAGAGCCGAGGCGTCGACAACTTAGCTACATGGAGCCTCAGGTACATTTTATCTTCAAATCTCAAGTTCTAACAACTTGAAACAGCGCAAATTCGCCTGGGCGTGCGCCTCTATATCCTGCATTCAGGCTCTCTTGTTGATCTTTTTTGCAGGAATAGGGAGATTGAAAACAAAGACATTGTGGTGTGGTACACATTAGGCTTTCATCATGTACCATCTCAGGAAGATTTCCCAATCATGCCTACTGTAATCAGTGGATTTGAGATCAAGCCAACCAATTTCTTTGAGCACAATCCTACACTTGGACTAAAAATTCATGGATAATCTAGTGATTGAACTTCAGAGAATAATCACAGAAGCATCTGCTGCTGCTTCATTGGAATTTACATAAATAAGTGATAAGATTCTGTCTACGAAGCTAGACTTCATGTATTTATAATCACATATCGATTGAAAGTTTGGAGTAATCTTGTCTTGGCTACACTTTTTTTTTTTTTTTTTTTTAATTTCCGATTTTTGTCACTACTTTGGAGTAATTCTCATCAAATGAGAAGAAGTTATCAAAGATTATTTAGCCAACTAGAACACACGAATACACGATATTTTCACTCAGCTCGTGTTCCATAACATATGAAAGAGCCATTGCATAATTCTTTCAGTAAAAATCAGAAAGTGGAGAAAGAAATCAAATAATCTACTAATTAATCTTAACCCTCATTAAGCAAGAAAAGGGAACACAATTGAACTTCGTGTAGACGTCACATTGAGTTGTACATTGCCATCTTAACAAGAATCCTTCAACAATTCAACGTGGGCGTATTGGCACCATGGCTAATGGGGATTTTGCAACTAATTTATGAATTAGGGTATTCGTTGACAAGGAAAAAAAAAGGGAGATAGTGAAAGTTGTTGACTTATTGCTTTGATCCTCCCAGGGTAAGTACTTGGAGTAAAAAGTCAATACAGTGAATTAAAATTTGAAAAGCTCTCATCCAAATAGTAACAGTAGTACGAAGTGGTAATTCTGTTTTTAATAAGTTCAAAAATAAAATTATCTTTTTTAAAACCAAAATAAAAAAATAAAAATCCACCCCAGTCGATCCCACTTAAATGTGGATAAAACTCTCCCTTATAACCCCTGGTGGGAATTAAACCCTGGTTTATTACCAGAAAAGACAGCAACCTAACCACTAAATTGTCATTCAAAAGTAAAATTATCATTCCCTTAATTCATAGAATGATATTTGTATAAAATTACCATAATAAATGAAGGATGTGTTATGACATTACTTCTGCATATTGTATGGCTAGCCTTTATACAAGTTTATTTTTCTCTCGAATTCCATCCGTGCGTTTCTTACTCAATATTTCAAGTAAGTAATTAATAAAGAGGGCAACACTCTTGGATAATTTGTATTAAGGGTATAATCATTCAACAATGGAAATATAACTCTAACTCTTGAAATCAAATCTTTTTTTTTCCTTTCATTTGATTTTAATATATAAATTAAAATTTGTTTCCAAAGTGTATAAATGATAAAATTTTAATAGTAATATGAAAAAATATAAATATGTTGAAATTTACAAATAAAGATTAATATTTCCTATTTTTTATTAAGTGGTTTTAGTTTTTTCAATATAATGTTAATCTTATTAAAGTAAATAATTTTTTCTTTCACATGAATCAAAATTGTTTGAATTCTTTTTACAACACTTAAAGTAATATTATTTATTAAAAAAATAATATAGTAAAACTTTTAAAATTTAATAATATCAAAATTTATTATGTTTAATTTTTAATCAATAACTACTTCAGTATTCACATACTAATCACGCTTACGAAAAATAAATTAATAAACTTCTAAAGTAATTAAATTAATATTAATAAATTTCTTAATATGTAAAGTCATGTTTGTGTGGTTGAATTGATATACCCCTAATACATATTATTCGAAAGTAGTACCCTCTTTATTAATTAATTATTCTCCACCGCCCTTTATCTAAATGTTTCTTTTATAATGCTCAAAATATCTGACGAATCTGAAATAGTCAAGGTAGACTCTAGAGATCTAAAGAAAGAACTTGAGAATTTATCGCATGGTGAGTTTAAATTTAGAATTAAAAAAAAAGTAAATTAAATTGAGCCTAAATTTCATTCTATTTTTTTTTGTGACACCGGAAACCCCACCAGAGATGGGTAAACCCACGTCTACTGCAATAACTTGCAAACCATAATAGTGAGAGGTAAACCACCTTAGGCAATTTCGGGTGACAAGCTCGGGTACAAAATTGGGAATTTATGAGTAAGTTTGCCATAACAAGCCCTCTAGAGATGCCAATGGGCAAAACCCTCTATAAGTACTAATGGCAAGGTTAGAGCCACCCCTCACTCTTGTTGGAGTGAGAGTTTGAACTCATGATCTTCTCTTAAGAACAAGGGTTGTTTTACCACTGAACCAACACCTCATTCGCAATTTCATTCTGTTTTTTACTATTTATTTCTTTTGGCGTTTTGTTTCTAAATTAAAAAAGAAAGGAGAAAAAACAAGAAACATAATGAAGTTTAGGGTTATGTATTTATGGTTTAATGTGGGACCTACAAAGAAAAGAAATACAGATTTGTCACTTTTTTTAACCAAAAATAATTAGGACATTTAATAATGTCACACCGCTTTCTGTTATTTTTTCAAAAATAATTGAGTTAGTTAATCATGCTAATTAAGTTATCATTTTAGCCCTAAAGTTTAGAAATAAAAAAATCATAAATCGCTAGTTGGCTAAATCAATCGCCGGGGATTGCTAATTTGTAACCGACATGATGAAATTGGTCAAAATGTTAAACTTTAGAATGATATTGACACCTTAAAATAATTTGGGATGAAATTGATCAGAGGGTCAAAGTTTAGGATGAAATAGATATTTTCTCCTTCTTGCACAGTTTTTTAATTTATGTTGATGATATTCTTTTATTTTCTGAAAATCCAAAGTCGTATGAAACCGTTTTGAGACAGTTTATATCTATTATTCCAGTATATAATCATGCTTTTTGAAAAAAAATGGGTTTTATCCGTCAATTTTCCATAGGTTTCTTAGGCATGAAATAATCTCATGGGTCTTATCAATTCAGCCCCCACATCGCTCAAGAATTTCTCAAATTTTCTAAGAAAAATCTTTCCAGCAAAGAAATCAAACAATTTTAGGAATTATTAACTTTATTCGAGTTTTGCTCCTGATTGTTGCAGGTACACCAACCAGCTATCCAAGATACTCCGGAAGAGTGCACCACCCTTGAGCCCAGACCAGACAACTATTGCTCAGACTCTTAATTTTTATTTTTATTTTTGTAAAAGGCCACCTCCATTGAAGATTTCTCAACACAGGTCACTGGGTTCTACAGACAGATGTCAGTAATGAATTTATTGGAGAGCAGTCCATATTAAAGAGATAGATGGAAAGAAAAGTTATTGTGAACATTCCAACGGACAATCCAAGGACTCAAAAAAGTACTACAATGCAATTTACAAAGAAATTTAGGCTGTCAAATATAGAATTAAAAAAAAACTGAATTTCATCTTATCAAACATTATTTCAGTGCTCAGATGGACAATATGTTTTTCCAAAAAATTTTACAAGCCTTATTATTGTGAAACTCACGGTACACTGGTCCACACTCTTACAACTACAAATGAACAAGTGCACAAAGATCTATCTTCTGTAACCTAGAGATGCTCAAGAGCCTCAGAAAGAAGTTGTGTAGTGATAACAAGCTTTCATTCGCCATTCCTCTCAAAAACTTAAAATGCACATCTTATTTTGTTGTGAAAGGTGAAATAGACAATCATGAAGAAGTGTGGCCAAATGACACTCTAATGGTAAAGCAGTTGCCTCACTAGGACACACCGATGACATACTACCCAGAATTATAACCAGACTCACAAAACGATGGGAGTATGAACATAATCATGACATTACTTGCGATGGTTGTAGACTTCTTTGATCAAAACTATATGCTAAAACCTACTACTAGTATCATAGCACGTGAAGCCTAGGCTTCACGCGAACACAAGAGAAAAAATAATAATCATCATTACTTTGTAATTTTAGAGTCATAACTCATCAGACCTAGAATTGTGATTTATTTTTTTTTTGAGAAATAAAGATAAATTTATTACTTTGTTAGAAATCGTTTAGCAGCGATTGATAAAAGTAAGATAAAGCCATAAAAACACAACTTACAAACAGTCATAATACCATTGTTGTGTTTTGCTACATTGATAAACCTATACTGATCTACCCCATAAAATAATGGTTGTACCATGTACTAAATTTTTAATATGGTCAAGGATACAACACTAACCTTCGGTTGAAACCCCCGAATCGTAAACCTAATAATAATTAGATCTACTTTGACTGAATCTTCTTGGACCATGCTTGCCAAACCGACGAACACCTTTAATGAAGTCGTCGCCGTCGTATCTGCATACATCACCGACGAAACCACTGTCATATTAACAAACATCAATAAGGATGCTGCCGCCATACCTGCAAACATCGATAAAGATGTTGCCGTCATACTGCGTTTATTAAGACTAGATTAAAATTCAATAAAAAGACTAAAAGATATGAGTAGAATTATTTTTCCCATCCTTTCATGGGGGAAAGATTAATTTTCTTTTTTAGGGTTTGAGAGGGAGAGAGAGGGAGAGGAAGGCGGCCCGGTGACCTAGAGTTGTGATTTATCCGTCTATGTTTGTCTTTATTGTTAAGATTGTCTTTTCAAATTGTGACTTTGTCTCTTAACTTGCTGAGAAATGGTACTATTTAGTACTATTGAATCACGTTAAGAAAGTATAGAAATCTTCTCATCTCACTGCTAGTTGCCAAGTTAGGCAAGATTAGTGTCGCCATGTTAGGCAAGATTGATTTGTGTTAGCATGTTAGGTAAGATTGTCCACTTTGTTTTAATTTTTATTCGGGGTCCATGTTCTTTTACGAACCTATTTCTCCGTTAATCATATGAATGATTTAATAGTTAGTTCTCTAGAGCTTCGAATACCAACGTTGTTCTAATACCACATGCACAATTCTCTTGTGACAAACATTCAGTATAGGATGACAATATCTTGAATATAATAATAAGAATATATTACAGCATTTATGTCCAAATGAGGACAATACCTTTTCTCCCCGTACTATAAATAGAAGCAATCTGATACCTAAAGTTTAGAGCAGTTGCAATAATGCCTTCAAGTCTCAAATTTTCCCTCTTTTTTCAATGCATTTTCTGTATCATCTCCCTAATATCAACCAAATCAATACATCTTTTGGATTCCCTCACTCCCTCTGAGCTCAAACAAGTCAAAACTATAGTAAATCAGTCCATTTGTTCCACTATTTCTTGCCATAATGATAATCTGAGCTTCCATTATGTGGGCTTAAATGAACCAAATAAAGAAACTGTAGTTTCTTGGCTATCAAAACAAAAACCCACAAAATCTCCACCAAGACAAGCATTTGTACTTGCTCGAATTAATCAGTCAAACCATGAAATCATCGTAGACTTAACAGATTCTAAAGTTATTTCCAACAAAGTGAACGATGGTCATGGCTACCCATTATTGAATTTAGAAGAAAAGGATGCAGCAGTTTTACTACCATTTAGTTATGCACCATTTTTTGCATCCATTAAGAAAAGGGGTTTAAATTTAAAAGAAGTTGTGTGCCAATGTTTTACTATCGGATGGTTTGGAGCAAACAAAACAAGAAGGGTTGTTAAAGTAATGTGTTACTATTTGAATGGAACAGTGAGTCTGTATATGAGACCTATTGAAGGAATAACAGTGACTGTTGATCTTGATGAAATGAAGATTGTTGGATACCTTGATCGGGTGGTTGTTCCAGTTCCTAAAGCCGAGGGGACGGATTACAGGGAAGGGAAGCCGGAGAAACCATTAAATTCTTCATCTGTGAATAGCACAAGAATGATGCATGGCAGTCCAAATTTCGACATGGATGGAAATGTTATAAGGTATGCATAAGGTATACTCTATACTTGATAAGTACTCCCGCTGTCACAAAATTATTATCCAGTTTGAAAATTGTACTAGAAATGAAAATCTAAACTGGACAATAATTTTGGGAACGGAGTGAAGCTTACAGATTGATGATTATATGATCCATTGTAATTTTGCAGATGGGCTAATTGGAAATTTCATGTAGCATTCGACATGAGGGTAGGTCCAGTCATATCATTAGCTTCAATCTATGATCTTGAAAAGGATGAATATCGCAGAGTGCTGTATAGAGGATACATTTCTGAGCTATTCGTACCATACATGGACTTAACAGAGGAATGGTACTTCAAAACATATTTTGACGCGGGCGATTTTGGATTTGGTTTAAGCGCATCATCCCTTGTTCCATTGAAGGACTGTCCTAAAAATGCAGTGTTTCTTGATGGATACTACAGTACAAAAGACGGGACACCAGCAAAAATTGCAAATGCGTTGTGCATTTTCGAAAAAAATGCTGGAGATGTTCTATGGCGCCACACTGAAGCCGCTATCCCTGGATAAGTTGTAAGTTGATTTATGCTACATTAAGTTGTTTCCTAATTGAATAGTCTCCTTAAAAGTTACACCATTATGACAACTGAAGTGGATCATTCTGCAGTTTTCGGAGATTAGGCCGGATGTGAGCTTAGTGGTGAGAATGGTGTCAACAATAGGAAACTATGACTACATGGTTGATTGGGAGTTCAAACAAACTGGCTCAATTAAAGTTAATGTAAGCATTCATATGATTTTACGTTTTGTTTATGTGAATTTGCATACATATTCATGATGTTTGTCTTGACAGATTGGATTGACAGGATTGCTTGCAGTGAGGGCAACAAAGTATACACATAAGAGCCAAATCAAAGAGGAAGTTTATGGCACATTAATAGCAGAGAACACACTTGGAGCCCATCATGACCATTTCCTGAATTTTCATCTTGATTTGGATGTAGATGGTCATGATAATTCCTTTGTTGAATCAAAATTGCAAGCAAAATCCACGCCAGATAAGCGATCGCCTAGAAAGAATTACTGGACTGTGGTACCTAAAACAGCTAAAACCGAGTCAGATGCAAGGATTCATCTTGGCTCAAAAGCAGCTCAATACTTAGTTGTGAATCCTAATAAGAAAACCAAGATTGGGAATGAGGTAGGATACCAGTTGCTGCCCGGAATAGTGGCTAGTAACATCTTACCTTACAATGATTACCCGGAAAAACGCTGTGGTTTCAATAAGTACAATGTATGGGTGACAAGATATAACAAATCTGAGAAATGGGCTGGTGGAGTGTACACAGATCAGAGCCGTGGCAACGACAACTTAGCTATATGGAGCCTCAGGTATACATATATCTTCAAATCTGAAGTTCTAAAAACTTAAAATACCGCATACTTGCTAGGGCTTGCCCCATGCACCTCTACAATCTGCATTCGACTAACATTCTCTATCATTGCACACCTGATTTAAACCACTGGATGATTATATGCAGTTCATCTTGTTGATGCTTTTTGCAGGAATAGGGAGATTGAAAACAAAGACGTTGTGGTGTGGTACACATTAGGCTTTCATCATGTACCTTCTCAGGAAGATTTCCCAATCATGCCTACTGCAAACGTTGGATTTGAGATCAAGCCAACCAATTTCTTTGAGCACAATCCTACACTTGGACTCAAACTTCATGGATAATCTATTGACTGAACTTCACAGATTAATAATCACAACATCTGCTGCTGCTTCATTGGAATTTACACAAATAAGTGATTGAAAACATTATGATTACAAAGCTAAACTTCATGCACTATAATCACATTCAATTTTAACTATGGAGTAATCTTGTCTTTCTTACATTTTTTTTTCCGACTTTGTCACTACATTAGGAGTGATTCTCATCAAATGAAAAGGACAGTTATTAAAGATTATTTAGCTACTGTAACACTCGAATACTGACATATTTATCAAAGGATCTTGTTCCATAAAACATATGAAAGAGCCATTGGCATCTCGCCATAATTCTCTATATAAAATCCAGAAAGCAAAGAAAGAAATCAAGTAATCTATCTACTAATGAATCTTAGCCCTCAAAGCAAGGAAAGAGAACATTGATTGTACTTCTTGTATAAGTCACATTGAGTTCTACTTTGCCATCTTAACAAGAGTGCTTCAACAATTCAACATGGAGCTATTGGCATAATGTCCAATAGGGATTGGCCACTATTATGAAATTAGGGAATTCGTTGACAAGAAAAAAAAAGGACTGGAGATAGTGAAAGTTGTTGACTTATTATTGCCATGCCCTCACAGGGTAAGTACTTGGAGATATAGTTGTTGAGTAAAAAGTCTTTCTTTTCGAAAGTGACCTATTCAGATCGAACGAAAAAACATTAGAATGTGTGTTCTATGTGTTCGTTTAGAATTATCTCATAAATAAAAAAATTTCTCCGTTTTGTTTCGCGTGATCATGACAATTGCAACTCGGATATGCACAACCAATTCTTTGTGGATGGATCAGCAATTGTCAAAATTTGCTTTTCACATTTACAGATGAAATTTCAGGAAAATCACGCGTGAAGAAAAATCCTGCAGAGTTGGAGCTATAAATATGTGTTGGTTTTCAGGCTTCAATTGCACCACCATCGAGCATAAACTTTCCTACTTCTTTCTCTCCTTTGTAGTTCATTTTGCCTTTTTCTTTTTTCGTTTCCCTCCTAACATTCAAATATACATGTGTTATTCTTTTTCGTAAACTATGTTTCCACATACATATTAGTGAAATTTTTGAGTTACCAATGGATGGATGTGAAAGATCGAACCACGTAATAAATCTTTAGTGTCCATTTGTCCTTTATTTTCTTTTCTATGTTATGATCATTTTTCTAGCTTCTAGATTTACCTTGGTATTTGAAGTTCCGAAAGTGCAACCAGTACAAGAAAATAACATTACTAATTCAAATTGTTTTCACTTCCTAAAACCAAGCGAAAATTTCTGTTTCTCAGAAATGATCATCCTTTGTTCTGTACATTTTTCATTATCACTACAGATTGGGAAAATTGCATAGTTTTTTCTTCATGGCAAATCTAATTCCCATTTTAGCTCTTGTTTTGCTTTTCTTGCAAATTTCAACCACAGAAACCCACCCTTTAGATCCCCTTAGCCCGACAGAAATCAATCAAATTAGCCTCATTGTTAAGAAATCCTATCTGGGCTCTTTTCCAAATGCGACATTTCATTTCGTTGACCTAGAAGAACCAGACAAAGAAGATGTCCTCAAATGGTTATCTTCACATGAACAAAAAAACCAATCTTTTCCTCTCAGGAAAGCCAAGGTGGTGGTCCGAACCAAAGGCAAAACTCATGAACTTGTTGTTGATTTAGCATCTAATTCAATCTTGTCTGGTCAAGTTTACACCGGCCATGGATTCCCTTCATTGACTTTTGAGGAGCTTTTCCAAGCAACCCAGCTGCCAAAAATGGATTCTCGGTTTAAAGATTCGATTTTGAGAAGAGGGTTGAATGTATCAGAGGTGACTTGTATTCCATTGACAGTTGGATGGTTTGGTGAGAATGTGAAACAGAGAATTGTTAGGCTTTCTTGTTTCTACCGTGGAGGAACTACTAATATTTGGGCACGTCCAATTGGTGGGATAAGTGTTACAGTTGATGTTGAATCAATGCAAATTGTCAATTTTGTGGATAAAGATTTGGAAGTATTGCCTAAAGCTGAAGGAAGTGATTTCCAATCATCAAATCAGATACCTAAACCTGATACTAGTCATAGTAGTACTAATAACTTTATGAATGTCACCATCAATGGCAATGAAGTTCATTGGGCTAATTGGAAATTCCATGTTGGATTTGATGCTCGAGCCGGGATAATCATATCGACAGCTTCAGTTTTTGATGCGGAAGCAAAAAAGTTTAGGAATGTGTTGTACAGAGGCCATGTATCAGAGACATTTGTTCCATACATGGATCCTACTTCTGAATGGTATTATAGGACATTCATGGATGTTGGCGAATTCGGTTTTGGCCGGTCTGCGAATACTCTTGTTCCGATGATAGATTGTCCAGGAAATGCAATGTACATGGATGGTTATATGGCAGGTTTGGATGGACAGGCACAACCTATTCCAAAATCAATCTGCATTTTCGAAAAGTATGCTGGTGATCCTGCTTGGAGGCATACAGAAGTTGGTGTACCAGGAAAAGTGGTAATTTAGCAGCTGTTTTTTCCTGCTAACATGTGAATTTTCTCAATTGAACTGATATCATGAGTTCTTTGTTTTTGTTTTTCTCAGATCATTACAGGACAACAAGAAGTTAATTTGGTTGTTAGGATGGTTGCTACTGTTGGAAACTATGATTATGTTCTTGATTGGGAATTCAAGCAAACTGGTTCCATCAAAGTTGGGGTAAGCAAAGCAAAGATTGGCTGTTTGTACAGATAGCGTGTTTTGTTTTCGTTTTGGATTAAGGCAACCTGATATTATCTTCATGGCAGTTTCTATCTGTCATTTTCTTGAAATTGGTTGCACCAAAATTTTGTTAACACCAAACAATTGGCTACAAATAATTCACTGTGATTAGTTTTTGAACATCTTCAAATCTGAATTGATTTGAACTGTAAATGCAGGTCAGCTTAACTGGAGTGATGGAAATGAAGCCAGTTCCATACACATCAAGTGATGAGATTAAAGAAACTGTATATGGAACACTTGTGGCTGAGAACACAATTGCTAACAACCATGATCACTTCTTAACATACTATCTTGACCTTGATGTTGATGGTATCAAAAACTCATTCATGAAAGCCAAGCTGAAGACCAAGAGGGTGAAGGACAAGAACACTTCACCAAGGAAGAGCTACTGGGGAGTCGAAAAAGAAACTATCGAAACAGAAGCCGAAGCCAAGATTCAACTAGGCTTTGAGCCTGCTGAGCTACACATTGTCAATCCTAATAAGAAAACAAAGATTGGAAATCACGTCGGGTATAGGCTAATTCCCAGCGCGCCAGCGATTTCCCTCTTGGCGGATGATGATTATCCACAGATTCGCGCTTCTTATACTAAATATCAAGTATGGATAACCCGCTATAACAGATCAGAAAGATGGGCTGGAGGATTTTATGCTGACAGAAGCCAAGGAGACGACGGATTAGTAATTTGGTCTCAGAGGTAATGCATTACAAATTCAGGTTAATATGTTTGTGTGATCTTGCAAATAGTAACTTCTTCAACAGCTTTCAAAACTGTCTAGGTCTATTGCAAAAAAAAAAAAAAAGAGAATTTGCCGCAAATGCTACTTTCTGCACAAATAATCTTCAATCAATTAGGACTTAGGCAATGATGGTTTCATTTTTGCTGTGAAAATACAGGAACAGACCAATTGTGAATGAAGACATTGTTCTCTGGCACACCATTGGTTTACATCACGTTCCTTATCAGGAAGACTTCCCTGTAATGCCAGTCATAAGTGGCAGTTTCGAGCTTCGACCAACAAACTTCTTTGAAAGAAATCCATTGTTGAAACCTTAATTTCCCAGAAACCACAAAGAACACAACTAACTTGAAGCTACAACTAAAGTTTATCCAACAGTACATTGTTGTTTAGAGAAGCAGCTTTTCACAGCCTACACAGCTTCACTGCTCAAATTAGACGGCTGAAGAAGGCGTGACACCATGAAGATTTGGGGATCCAAGCTTTCCGGAAAGCACAGTTCATGAAGGCCGGTTGCATTATCATTATTCTCGTACTTGATTTTGCAGCTAAAGCTTGGTGTTTTGTAGACTATATACATATCTGTCCCATTTTTCGAGTAATATTTTCTAAAGTTCGATTCAAATATAAGTGTTACCTAATGTAAAATTGTTAGATACTTGTAATCATTCTGAGACGGAAGAAAAAATGTATGCGAAATACTAAAGAAAAAGTGTACTAAAAGTAAAAGACACGTTAAGAAAGCCCGCCAGTGGCTACTGCATAATCAGTCACGCCTTTATAATCCATGGTAATAAATTTCTGCGAAAATCACGCCTTCGGAGTTACCTGCGGAAAAGTAAAATTTTTGCCTTAATCTTTATCTGCTAATCGGAACTATCAAACATTAAATCATCGAAATTTTGACTTAAAAATCACAAACTCAAAAATCCCACGACAAAAACAAACACAAACTGACATACCCGCCCTCTTCTTCACCTTTTCTCAGTCGAAATTTCATCCAGAAATCCAATCTTTACCCCCTCAATTCTCCGGCATTGCCTAATTCTTCGAAAGATTTCAACCTATCATAATCTGGTTAATTTCCAGTACTCTTTAGATGGTTCACTCTGCTTATGATTCGTTCCAACTTCTCAGTGATTCTCCAATCAAGATTGATGCAATCGAATCCTATGGCCCGAAATTATTGCTAGCTTGTTCAGATGGATCTCTTAGAATCTACAGCCCGGAATCCTCTTCATCATCCTCCGATCGATCTCCGACCTCCCCTGATTACCACCACCCTCAGGAGCTGAAGAAGGAAGCTTATGTCCTTGACCGTACAATCAATGGGTTTTCTAAGAAACCCATGATCGCAATGGAAGTTCTTAGGTCGAGGGAGCTTTTGTTTTCACTGTCGGAATCTATTGCGTTTCATAGGTTGCCCAACTTGGAAACAATGGCTGTCATCACCAAAGCTAAAGGGGCCAATGCTTATTCATGGGATGATAGAAGGGGATTCTTGTGCTTTTCGAGGCAGAAAAGGGTGTGTATCTTCAGACATGAGGGTAATTCTTCAAACTTTAGTATTCAATTCCTTGGTTGTTTTTACCCCCTTGATTCTTTTTGGTCATTGAGCTATGATGATATAATGAAATTTGGCTCTTTATGTGTTTTGAGTTGATTATGAAGGAAAGAAACCCAAATTTGAATGTTTGATAGCTCGATGCTTGGTTGAAGTTATGCTTTTGGTTTAACAGGAATCGAGTACCTTTTCCTATCATGACGTTTGTGTTTTCGTTCATTGTGGTTTACTTACATTGAAAATATGTAACTGTTGGAGTTTATGCTTTATGCAGTGGGAAGAGGGTTTGTGGAGGTCAAAGAATTTGGTGTTCCAGATACTGTGAAGTCTATGGCTTGGTGTGGGGAGAACATCTGTTTGGGAATTAGGAGGGAGTATGTGATATTAAATTCTGCTAGTGGTGCATTGTCAGAGGTGTTTCCTTCAGGGAGGATTGCCCCACCACTGGTGGTCTCTCTTCCTACCGGTGAGCTTCTTTTGGGAAAGGTAAGTTTTTACTTTGGCTGGTTTTGATCCCCTCATTAGATGCCTTCCCAAGTGGTATAGTCACTGATGGTTTTTTTTTTTGTCCTTTCAAATGTTGGAATGGATGGATATGATTTATATCAGTGTTGAAAGTCTAACATATTATGTGTGGCATGTTAATATACTTTTTTTTTTTTTGGTTTAACATGAATATCTGCAACGTTCCCTTGTAGAAGCAATTTGAATAGTTCCTTTCCATATAATTTGTGATAATTATGTTTTTGTGGATTTCTGTTCAGGATAATATTGGAGTGTTTGTTGATCAAAATGGTAAGCTTCTCCAAGGAGGCAGGATTTGTTGGTCTGATGCTCCCGCTGTTGTTGTCATTCAGAAGCCATATGCAATAGGTCTCTTACCAAGACATGTAGAGGTATCCTGTCTGTTAGCCCACTCCTTGTATAGAAAGAAAGACACGCCTTTGATAAAACTTTGTAATCTTGGAATAATGCAGATACGGTCTCTGCGAGAGCCCTATCCTCTGATTCAGACGGTTGTCCTTCGTAATGTGCACCGACTGCTTCAAAGCAATAATGCTATAATTGTATCACTTGACAATGCCGTTCATGGTTTATTTCCAGTTCCTCTTGGTGCACAGGTAGGGATATTCTGAACAAGAAGTGTCGTTGGTGTTATTAGTCTGTATGAATAGCTTTTGACATTTTTAAAACTGTTCTTTTTGTAGATAGTGCAATTAACTGCATCAGGGGACTTTGAAGAAGCATTAGCACTATGTAAATTGCTTCCACCAGAGGATTCAAGTCTCCGAGCTGCAAAAGAGCAGTCAATTCATATGAGGTTTTTGAATTTATTATTTCCCCTTCCGCCTTCTGCTGCTGTTTGGGACACTTCATAAATTGTGAATCTTTTTAATGTTTAATTTCAGTTAGGACGACCCCCGAATATTGCACATGTTGAGTTCATACTTCTTTGTAGAAAGACATTTTTTACCATTATCTGTGTGTTATGGATAGACTAATTACTGATTGAAATTTATGTATATGAACCTTGTTTTTGAGCTAAAACTGATATGACACACCTATGCAAGAACTGGTGTCTGCTATAGTGTCTGTTTGGTGGATCTGAATTTAGTTTTTCTTTCTCTTTGGAACACCATCCCTTTCCAAAAGAGGTTGAAAAACTACTGACCCTTGCAGTTAAAACCGCTTCATTTGTTCCCTTTCTCTCACTAATGGCTCCCAGCATATCAGTCTATTTGGAGATTGGAAGTCCATGAACCTGTCCTTTTAACTTGACTATGTTAAACACATAGTCCTACACATGGTCCTAGGCACTTTTGTTCTTTTAAGAAACAATGATCTCGACCAATCTGTATGCTTTGCTGTTCCATATACACCTGCATAAATCAATCACAATTTTGCTGATCTCTATTGATTTTGTTCGTGCATTTTGTATTGGTTGTTGGAATTGCTGTCATGCAGATTTGTTGTCTTTCTGTTGTTGTGGAGATACACTTATGATAATATTACTGTCCTGCAGATATGCACACTATTTGTTCGAAAATGGGAGCTATGAGGAAGCTATGGAACACTTTTTGGAATCACAAGTGGAAATTACATATGTGCTGTCTTTATATCCATATATTGTTCTTCGAAAGTCCTCCTTAATCCCCGAACCGGAAAAGTTTGTTGATATGTCTGGAGATGCTTCGTATCTCTCTAGGGCTTCCTCTGGTCTTTCTGACGATATGGAATCTCCACCCTCTCACATGCTGGAGCCTGATGATAATGCTGATCTAGAATCTAAGAAAGTAAGCCACAACACACTTATGGCCCTAATTAAGTTTCTACAGAAAAGGAGGTACAGTATTGTAGAAAAGGCTGCTGCCGAGGGAACCGATGAGGTAGTATCAGATGCTGTAGGGAGCAACTTTGTTCCTTATGGAAGTAACCGCCCTAAGAGATCAATCAAAGTAAGTTTTTGTTGTCCAAGTATGGCTGCAATCATTTTTCTTCTCTTTCTTGAAACAATTTGGTTAAGAGAATATGGGATTGCTACTTAAGTTTTAGTGAATAAATAAGTCCTGAGGATCCACTTTTCATGTGTAATCTGATTTAATGAGCCTGCAATATTATTCATTGTCCGAAATCCTGTCCTGTTTCTTATTCATTGAGGTGTACTGCTTTCATTTGCCATGGTGCAATGGTCGTGGGTTTTCCTGATTGTATATACATTTTTTTATCTCTTAGGGCAGGAGTTTGTCCCCTATCAGCTCTGTGGCTAGAGATATGGCTGCAATACTGGACACAGCACTGCTTCAAGCTCTTATTCTAACTGGACAGTCATCTTCCGCTTTAGAACTATTGAAAAGTCTTAATTATTGTGACGTGAAAATCTGTGAGGAGTTTTTGCAGAAAAGGAATCAGTATGTTTGTTTATTAGAACTTTACAAATGCAACACAATGCATCGAGAAGCTCTTAAGCTCCTTCATCATTTAGTGGAGGAGTCAATGTCTGAACAACCCCAAATTGAGCTCACGGAAAAGTTCACTCCTGAGATGATAATTGAATATCTTAAAGTAAGTTAATATTCATTTGCTATCATTTTTATTTTCTTTTTTCACTTGATGTTCTTGATTTCAGTCAGTTCGGATTGCATAGTAACTCAGTTCTGTGCATGCTGTTCTGATTCATAACCACAGAGTTACTTTTTGTTTTTTTGAAAACGCATAACTACAGAGTTGTCATACCCAAACGCAAGAAAGTTATTTATTTATTTATTATTATTTTTTATTAAGTTTTAATCTAAAGTACGGATTTCACTTTCATTTTTGTTATTGGTTTGTATAACAGGAAACTGTATTTTTTAATGAAATCTGCCTCTGAATATTGGTCTCTGCTCATATAGTTTTCCATTTGTGATAATCTTCTAACGAAGTCATCAATGTGTCTCTGATGCACTTGAATTTGAATTCTTTATCCCGGGAAGGGGTGTGTTGCTGCATAAATGTGAATAGCTTTTGTTTGGGGTTCTTTAAGGAAAACATATGATAATCCCTTAGATTGTGTATGAAATCAACTTTCCTGAATTCTCTTTTGCAGCCTCTTTGTGCAACTGATCCAATGCTAGTCCTGGAGTTTTCAATGCTTGTTCTGGAAAGCTGTCCGGTGCAAACTATTGACCTATTCTTGTCCGGAAACATTCCAGCAGATCTGGTTAACTCTTACTTAAAGCAGCATGCTCCGGATATGCAAGCCACGTATTTAGAACATATGCTTGATATGAATGAACATGGCATCTCAGGCAGTCTTCAGAATGAAATGGTAAGATAAAGATGGTTGTCAACTAATAACTCTTTAAAAGCTTAGCTTCTAAAAATAGCCTCAAATTCGGATGCCTAATTCTTTCCTGAAATCAATATATAGTGCATGTACCGTGCTGATTATAGTGTAATTATTCTAGAGTATTGGGGAGTGGTGTAAATTGGTTGCAGTTATTGATTAGACCTTGATATCTTCACAGCCAAAGTACCAGAACCTTCCTGACATGAACTCTGTATCTAACATTTAAATTTGTTCAGTGCTGTGCATTTAATTCAATATTTAAGTGTTCTTTGTAATGTATGATGAGCTAAAAAACTATCTTATTAGGTGCAAATCTATCTTTCGGAAGTGCTTGATTGGTATGCTGAACTTAATGCTCAAGGAAAATGGGATGAAAAAACATACTCTCCAAGGAGGAAAAAGTTATTGTCTGCACTGGAGAATATCTCTGGATATAGTCCAGAGGTATTGTTGAAGAAGCTTCCACCAGATGCATTAAATGAAGAACGGGCCATCCTTCTGGGCAAAATGAATCAACATGAACTTGCCTTGTCCATTTATGTTCATAAGGTAATTGATTTTACGTTGATGTTATTCACACTCCCATTTGCAGAGGAAATTTGACATGTTTTTCTGTAGACCCTGAATTATGTATAGTTTTTTTCTCTGTGTAGTTTGTTTCTTGTCATGAGTTTGCTTCCTGTTGTCTTCTTGTTAATCAAATGATACTTCCATCATTTTCATACCTGTTAAGATATTATCTGACATTACCTTCAACTTATAATCGTAGTTGCATGTTCCTGAGTTGGCATTGGCGTATTGTGATCGTGTGTATGAGTCTGGACTTCAACAGCAATCAGGAAAGCTTCATGGCAATATATACCTAACTCTGATGCAAATCTATTTGAACCAAACAAAGACAACTAAAGACTTCGAAAAGAGAATCAATAAACTTGTAGTTTCTCAGAGCCCTGGGATTGCCAAGATCAAACCTGGGCCTCAGGCTAAAACAAAAGGACGTGCTGCTAAAAGAAGTGTGGAAATTGAGATTTCTGAAGACTATCGAATCAGTCCTAGTAGCACTGATAGTGGAAGAAGTGATGGAGATGCCGAAGATGGGAGTGAAGAAGGAGGTTCTCCTATCATGCTTGATCAGGTTCTTGATCTCTTGTGCCAAAGGTGGGACCGCATGCATGGAGCACAGGCTTTGAAATTGTTGCCAAAAGAAACTAAGCTACAGGTAATGGTTTCTTGGATGGCTAGTGCAAAACTAGCAATCTTTAAACAAATTAACCCAAGGACGCACCTCTTTTTCTCTCTCGAAAAGTGCTTGTTTTTTGAGAAAATAGGGAATTAACCCCACAATTATATTTTGGTACGTGTTTATACAATATGTGCAAAATCTTTATGACTGTTGTTGGTGCCATTGCAGAACTTGCTTCCGTTCCTTGGACCTCTTCTCATGAAAACAAGAGAAGCATATCGCAACTTGTCTGTGATTAAGGGTTTGAGAGAACACGAAAACTTTCAAGTAAGTTTATTTACAATATATAATTAAGCATTTTAGAAATTGCATTGTTCATTAATATGACTGCCAAATTGAAGTCCATTTCCGCAATGTGAACTTGTCCTGTTTGCTTTTGCTTTATACTGATTGATGATGCTATGAAAATTAGGTTAAGGACGAGCTCTACAATCATAGGAAGACAGTTGTAAAGATAACTGGCGATAGCATGTGTTCTCTGTGCAACAAGAAGATAGGGACTAGTGTCTTTGCAGTATATCCAAATGGGAAGACTATTGTGCATTTTGTCTGCTTTAAGGATTCACAGAATATGAAGGCTGTATCAAAAGGCTCATCAATGAGGAAGAAATAATCCTAAAAGATACACGGGTTTTTGGAGTTCCTGTATATAAATTTCAATCTGTGCGCACACAATGATCCTTCAAAAGCATGTTTTGCCGGGCATTTAGAAAGATCTTAATCCTGGAAGCATGTTTTGCTGACCACTGAGGAGGATCTTCAAGTGTTCTCCATAGCCGTGCCTTTTCCTGTAAGCCTGATTTCTTTTTTGCTAGTGGTCTCCAATAAGCTGACAACTGCAGAGTGTTCCAAGAGACAAAGTACATATGAGGTGAGTGTGCTACCACATTGAACTGTTGTACCATGATTGTAAATTACAAAATCTGCATTTGAGGGTAGTAAAGGATTCTTGTATGAGTAGTAATTTAATCTTGTGATCGATGTCGGCATTGAGTTTGGTATTGATGCTGTTGTAAAGGTGGGTTGTCTTGTGAGCTGAGGCTGTGTTTTGTGTGTATTATGTCGCAAGCCTAGACCTTTTGTTCAATGTATTTCTTGATTCTTCTAAAGATTCTGGAATTTGTTGTACAATATTCATCATTCTTTCCAGGAAATGGTAGTATTCTGTTAAAGTTGTACTTATTATCTTGTTTATTGCAATTTCAGTCACTTTTCTTTGGGTTTGACAATTTTGTGACATATAATACCCAAATGAGATATAAAATATTGACCTGGAAGTGGAAGGTTGCATATTTATTGTAAGGCTAAATGAAGGTAATCTGTTTATTTTGCAAGTAATACGAACGCGGTATAAAAATGTTTTAGGTTAATTTTTTTAGTCAGTCTACAAACACAGTACCGCAGAGCTATAATTTGCTTCTTGTTATGCTATAACCAAATTATGAACCCTTCTTTCAGTTTTAAAATCAGAGATAGCCCTACAAACACAGCATCTATAATGATGGTTCAAAATTGTGTTCCATTTTTCTTGTCTTCTCAGAAGAAGCAGGAAAGAACAGTATTATATATAACTCACACAGTTTACTTTCATCTTCAATTTGAAGTCTTCCAATTTGGTGCCTATCTTAAACTTTTAAATAATCAACCATTGGTCAATATGAAAAGTTATAAGCTTTTGATGAGACACTTGTTGATGGTCCCAATTCATATTAGGCATGCATAAATTAATGGTTTCCAAGCATTGATTCAAGCCAAAGTTTGCTGATTGTCAAAACAGAAGAAATGGGATGATGATGATGGGACTAGACTCCATAAAGGAGTGAATTGTGATAGATGGTTTGAAAAAGTATGAAAATTTTTCACTAGTTTTTCCTTTCCCCCCTCAGTATAATTATCTTTTTTCGATGTGTTATTTTTGAAATATAATAAACCGATCGATTATTTTGAGACAGAGAAAATATACATTATCGTTAAGGATTTTGGTGTAGTGTAGGTAATGAGTAGAGGAGCCAGACAAAACTACAAAAAGATGGCAAGAGAATCCACAATGGGGTCATGGAGAGGCATCATATACTTTCCAAAAAACCAAAAGTTTGGTGCTACTAATCATCACCTCCTCCTCTTCCTCCTGATCAGATGATTCTGTCTTCTTTGTTCAGTTCAAAATGATGCTTGCATGCTATATCACCTCAACACAATAAAAGGGTTCAACCAATAATACGATACGATAGTTGTGACAATGTCTTCCAGAAGTTAGTAATTTAAAATTGTGATAACATTTTCATAATGGCTTATTGGGTGCCTTTTGTCCGAAAACCATTGAATATCAAAGAGCACAGGGTAGAAACATCATGCTGATGCAGCATAGACATCACAGAAGCTTTAAGCCATGCCTAATGGTCCATCTTCTTCTTCTTCTTCTTCTTCTTCTCTTTTTAAACTTATGATTTTCTTGTCTGAAAACAGTCCCTTTACACTTTGATATGGAGTGCTACAAGAACTGCTGTGACTTGGGACGGATCATTGATTGACAAGTGTCCAACCGTCCCTATTAAATTAGGAGAAATTGTGGCATTGAAAATGGAAAAAATAATAATAATACTAATATTTTGAGCCTTTTGAGGTAACCTGAATTAATTCACAATGTAGAAAATGATCAATCACCTTGAAAAATGGCCCAAATTGTATACATCAATTACTGCATAAATTGCGTCAATCCACATTACCATTTCTTCACCCTTACCCAACTAATCATATATGTGTATTTTAATTAGGAGATGTTTTAAGGTTTTTTGGCCATATGATTATTATTCTTTTTTAGGCTGAATGGTTTGTAGGGATACTGATATTTTTTTTAAGTCGTATTTTTTGTTAAACAGAGTATTTATCATCGACACTAGTTATTATTTACTTTGTTGAGTTATATAATATGTTCGAATAGCGAAATATTCAGTTAAAATTAGAACGAGCACAGAGTGATTTACTCATCAAACATCCTAACTTTTGTTAAGAATGTAAGAGTATGTATCCCGTCCCGTTGCACTCGACCACAATTCCTTTGGTTATTTGTAAGTGGGATATATGGATGGTTTTTTGTTGGTGGAGTGATGATACAATAAGAGTGATGAAATGATGACTGCCCATTGTTTGGCACGCCGTTAAGCTTCTGATATACAAAGCCAAAAGTAAGAATGATGGTTCCCACTGCACGCCCCCTTCTCCCCCTCATGTCTTTCCATTTCTCCAACCAAGATTTGATTTGCTTTGTAGTTTGCACAAGTTTCTGAAGAAGGTAAAAAAAAAAAAACCCTAATTTTCGGTTTTTGTCATCCTCCTCTTCTCGATCATCATCATCTTTTAACCTTTTCTTCCCTTCTAAATATCCTCCTACATGATGATAAGTTGTGGGTTGTGTCTAGCTAGCTGCTGTAGATTTGTGATTTTGTGTTCTTGCGCATAAGCATCATGATACTGTATTGCCCATATTGACACATATATGATCAGCCTGCAAATTAAAGAAGCCCAACATGGCCATTGGCCACAAAATCTTCATACAAAAGAAGCTTATTTACACAAATTTTATTCGAGAAATTCCATATTAACTCAAGTGATTGAATCAATACTTCTGTCAACGATCATAGTCATTATATCACGATTTTCATCTATAAATTAAATGAACACATGGACCTGATGAACTGTAATTATTTAGGACAAATCGCATCAAATCACTATCTGCCATGCAAAAACTAAATAAATACGTAAGCATGCATGCTTCAAGATTCCATCAAAATACATATTAATTCTATTACTCCCTCCATTTCAAAATATAAATCGTTTTAGGTTTGTAGAAATATTTCGAAATGTAGGTCATTTTAGGATTTCAAGTCAAATTATTGATTAATTTCTCAACTTTGCCCTCACTAAATGATACTAACTACTTTTCTTTTAGTTTTAATTATAATTCTAAAATAATTAATGATGAGTAAATTAGATATTTGACACACAAATTAATTGTTAAATAGTTGTCTTCTTAATTTACGTGCACAGTCTAAAGTGACCTACATTTCAAAACGGAGAGAATATATTAGAATACTGGATAATAATCTGTACTAATAATTATTAATAATACCACGTACGAAGGACAACATCCAGTTTGACAAAACAGAAAAGCCACGCGAGGAGATCATCCTCAGAAATGGAGTATCTTTTTTTTTTTTTTTTTTCCTTTTCACTTTAATCTTTTGGTTGATTGGATTTTAAGTTGCGAAAACCCATGAAGATTTTTCAATTTTTGATCTTTTTTTTTTCTACTCATTTCTATTATTCTTTTTCCTACTCAATTTACCACCTTTTCCAACTTCTCCTCCCTTCTTCTTTATATGTATGTTCTTCTCAACCCTCATTTTCACCACTTCATTCCCAACTCAGTTCTTCCGCAAGTTTTAATTTCTCCTCCTCCTTTTGGACTTCTTTTTGTTCATCAGTAGTTTGGTTTAGTAGTATTTTCTTTGTTCATCAATGGGAGATATTTCTTGTTCAAATGGGATTAATGGCTATAGTAGTAGTAATGGAAATGGCCATGCTCAAAGGAAGAGCTGTTGGTATGAAGAAGAGATCGAAGAGAACTTGAGATGGTGTTTTGCTCTCAATAGGTACCTTTTAATTAATTTCCTAGCTATATATCAACACCCTTTTATCCTTTTTGTCACTTCGCATGTTTATCCAATTTGTTGCATTTAAATGTTTTTTTTTGTTATGTTAGACTTTCGTAAGAGAATATTCATTTTTCAACCTCATGTTTTTTAAAAATAGAGAATTTCGATATTTTCTGCTCATTCGTTCCATTTTGATGGTCCACTTTATTGTATAGCATAATTCATTCGGCATTAATTCAAGCCAACTGCAGTTGCTTTTTGTTTGCTCACTTAGCTGGGCTCAATGTAAATGATGATCATGCGCAATCTCGAAAATTGGTAAATACGTGGACTTTATGAGACTGGATTTTCAGTGGGGCTATCTGAATATAGATTAACTCTCTTTCTTTTTAAAAAATAAAAATAAAAGTAATATTATCTTCCTCTTCTTGTTTTGTGTTGGTTTTTTTTTTTTTTTTTTTTTGTGAAGATTTATGAGCAAAAGGAGATTAACTATAACTCAAAACACTGTTTCATATTTTCCAAAAGAAAAAAAACGCAAAATTGGGGGACACTTTTTCATGGATTAAGGGGGAAAAGAGGAGGCTTGCTGTCTGCTTGTTGTTTCGGAATTGCAACTATTAATATAGTAATTTTTTAGCCTGTATGTTATGATGGTGTTTCTTTTGGGGCACAAATAAAAACCTTAAAAAGAGTTTCTGTACTCCTTTTTGGATGTCTTGTCCATGAAAAGGTCAAGACATAGTAATAAGATCAATTTTTAACCAAATGGGATTAGTTTTTGTTTATTATCATGGTTTTAATGTCATTTGTGTTTGTATTTTCTTGCAGTATTTTGCACACAGGTGCCACACAATATCAGGACATTCAACTCTTGGACACCAAGCCCTTTGGAAAGGTTTGTCACATAATTGATTGTTATTTCTGTCTATCCCAATAAAAGAGTCAAATATCATCTATCTTAATATGGGTTTAAATGATATTGATATGATGCTGCATGAATACTCTTTCCGTCTTAGGAAAATAGTCAGTCGTGTTTGTTGAACTATATGAACCAAATTCTTCATCTAATTAATGTCTTCTTTTTATGTTCTTGTAACAGGCTCTAGTGATTGATGGAAAGCTTCAAAGTGCAGAGATAGATGAGTTCATCTACCATGAATCTCTTGTACATCCTGCACTTCTTCATCATGTAAAGTAGGTTATTTTACCAGAATTAATACTCATGAAGAAATTCATTTATGATTACTTTACTGTTTATATGATAATTATGAATTGTTTGCATTATTTCAGCCCTAAATCCATTTTCATTATGGGTGGAGGAGAGGGTTCTACAGCAAGAGAACTGCTAAGACACAGGACAGTAGAGAAAGTTGTCATGTGTGATATTGATCAGGTGAACTTTCTTTTAGATACTTTTAGATATAAATGTGGCGCTATTGTTTTGGGACAGATGAAAAAGTAGTATATATGCCAGACAAAATTTGACAAGATGACCATAACTTGAATATAAGAACTCAATCTGCAAAATGTGAATTTGGTTCAACTTTAGCTGCTGTTGGTGTCTATTTTCTTCTTTCATGATTTTGATTAAGCTCAACTCAAACAAACCGACATTAGCGGGACTAAGCTACTTACTGTTACGGAACAGAATTATATCCGCATTTGATTTTGGCTTTGTGAGTTGTAACTACTAAATTAGTGTGGAAAGCAGAAAAAATGAACAAAGTGAAGATACTGTACATTTACTACAGTGACTGGTTAAATAGTGTGAAAAATGATGAAGGTATGCCTTTGTTAGAATGTTTGAGACAGTTTGATACTAATTTCATATTCATCTAATTCACCTAAACAGGAAGTTGTGGACTTCTGTAAGTCATATCTGGTGGTTAATCGTGAGGCTTTTCGCGATCCTAGACTTGATCTTGTAATCAATGATGCCAGGTTCATCAATCACCTAATTCACTTTCATTTTGTTGATATTTCTAAGTTTGATGTCTCGCTTGAAACTACTTTAATTTGACAATGTTGAATCATCAGGGCTGAGCTTGAGAGGAGAGAAGAGCTATATGATGTGATCATAGGTGATCTTGCTGATCCAATTGAAGGAGGACCATGCTACCAACTCTACACCAAATCGTTCTACGAATTCACCATAAAGCCAAGGCTAAATGAGGGTGGCATTTTTGTAACACAGGTCTGTACTTGAGTGTACCCGAGATCTCGTACCTAGAATGAGCCATGTTACATGACTTTTGGAACTAACAAGTGTGTGTTTCCGGCATTGCAGGCAGGGCCGGCGGGTGTTTTCAGCCACACCGAAGTATTTTCATGTATCTACAACACCTTAAGGCAGGTTTTCAAATGTAAGTTCACTGATAAAAGGAAGTTTCTATAAAATGTTACTTAACCATGTTTTGTCCTCAGGGCTAACCTTTTGTAACTAAGACAACTATTTCCTGTTCGCTTTCGCGTGCAGATGTAGTGCCCTATTCTGCACACATTCCCTCCTATGCTGACATCTGGGGATGGATCATGGTATAATCACTTTTACCTCTTACAAGCATAATCAACGTTACAAGCAAAAAAGAGTCCTAATGGTTTGAATATGAGAACTTTTTTGACAAAAATGTAGAATTTAAACAGAAAACCAGCAGAAACTAATGACACAACCTTTAATTTTGGAACAAAATATGCATAATGTAAGCAGCTGCTAATAATGATCATGAAATGGCATGGCAGGCATCTGACTCCCCAATCGACCTGAGCTCTGAAGAATTGGACCTGAGGATGAAACAGAGAATCAAAGGTGAAAACAGATATCTGGATGGCCAAACATTCACATCAGCATCAACCTTAAGCAAAGCTGTTAGGAAATCGTAAGGCGGAAACCTTTTCAGTTTTTTTTTTTTGTCTTGATTCTTATACAGATTGTAGCTGTTATCCCATTGCTAATCCTGAACAATTGATTGATGACAGATTGGAATATGAGACTCATGTTTATACAGAAGGAAATGCAAGGTTCATCTATGGCCATGGTTCTGCCCACAAGCAAAATCAAGCTTGAATGTCAACAAGGGATCAGAGAGACCAGATAGAGAAAAACAAAATGGAGACAAAATGACCTAATTCAGCTCATGTTTTTTATTTGTCTTTCAGTTTTTTCCCCCCTCCAACCCTTTTTTCTTCTTCTTTTATCTAGTAGTAGTAGATTTAAATTTCACATATGACTTAATAGTAATGGACATAATGTGAAAGGGCCTAATGTCAGATTGGATTTTTCTATAAGATCGTCTCGATGGAAATATCAAATGGTTAACGACATTGCCAAAGCAATTTTTAGCTACCAATGCAAACAATTGTTGTGCTAACCAGAGTACCTTTGAATGAGAAGAAGCTGCAGAGGAGAAGCTAGAACTATATAGTGTTCTAAGTATGCAACATTTATCAAAATAATCCCTTCATCACATATCACCAAAGCATGTATTTTTTGAGAGAAATTGACTTGAACACTGCAAAAAACTAAGTAGATTATGATTCCTACATATGCAAAAGAGTGCCATTAAACTTCATCGTCAACAAATTATCAAATGAAAAATAGTCAGAATCCTAAAGCACATCATATATATATATATATATATATATATATATATATATATATCAGCGAGTGAGTAATGTAGTGGTTTAAAATAGACAATGAAAGGTAGTTATTGAAACTATTATACACATGATCCTTCTTATATCATTAAGTCAACACTTACACCAGAATAACCAGAACACACTACAACTTCAACACATAGAAAACCATCATAGAATCTCACTTTATTACTGGTGTGTGGGCTGGTATCAGCAAAGCAACACAATATATCAAGTCAGCTAAGAAGGTCACGAGGCTTAGTCATTTTCCAAGTTGTCCACTAGCAAACTATAGCTTGAAACTCAAAAGTTTAATAAGGGATATTCTCATATACAGAAATAAGCCAAATGAGACAAAAATTGGCTGGATAGAAATCTTGCAGTTGCAGGTACAATCCAGCTTCTATCTTTATTCCAAAATAACCCAGTTAAGTCTGTCACAATGTAGGCATCGTGCTGACACTCTTTCCCTCCATAGTCAAAAGTATGGGGACAAAATGTGCAGAGCACAAACAACCCACTTGCAGCAAACTGAATCAGCCAACCCTCATATCCTGTTTCTTACTTCTTCTTGGATGATGGTTTTCTGTATTCTGGTTTTTTGTGTTCTATAATACGTATCCCAACTGAAGAAACTTGATCCGAATGTTCACATCTAAGTGCGGCTCAAGTTTTTTGGGGGCTAAGGCAAATTTTGAAATCGAACCCTTTTGATAATTAAAGAATTTTTTTTAAAAAAAAAAAATTAACCTTCTTTGTTTGTTCGGGTTTGAGACCAGTAACTATATACCCATGAGCCTATAGCAGGCGGAATAAAAAAAAATTTTCTATTCCAAATATGATTCATATTAAGTTTATTTTTCTAACTATTTTCGTCGCAAATTCTTTTATAAAATGTTCATCTATCTCTTCGATTAAGTCTTTTTATATTGATATAATAGTCAATCTATTTAATTTTTTCTTATGACATTGTTGATCTTAAATAATTTTTTATTAAATTAAGTTTTGAGAAATTTTTTTCTTCTGGAGCAACTGTTGCGTAAATAGTTAACATTATCCTACAGGCAATAAAATTATTTGAAAAATGATTTATTTCTTTTAATACAAATAAATATGTCAATTGGATTATAATTCTTAGTATTTACATTTTTTTTAAAAAAATTTTAGTTCATAAAATAAATCTAAACCACTAATATCTAAACTATCATTGTGTTTTAAGGAGTTTTGAAGGTTAAAACAACTATTTTCTAAATTTTTGTCATCAAGTGATTTTAATTTTTTCATATAAATAGAAAACTAAAAAAAAAAAAATCGTTCATTTTAACTAAGTAATGATGAGATAACCAATCAACTTTGTACTGATGCGATAACTCTATTAACTATGTAAATGAAATAATCAGTTTTAGAAATATTTTGAGGGAATCCTAATAATTTCATTCTCCACATTTTCATCAAACGGCGTATTTCTAAGAATTTTACTTTTTCCTTCAAATTCAGGTTCTATGTTCATCTTAACACCAATTTCATGGTTGAGATTATAGCATTTTCAAACCCATCTTTTCTGTATTTTTCAAAAAAAAGTATTAAAACCTTTTAATTATTCTATAAAATAAAGAAAGTCATATATAAATGTCGAGTGGTCGATTTTTTTTTTTAACAATTGGTCAATGTTTATTAATTAATACTAAAATTTTCCAATATATATATATATATATATATATATATATATATAAGAGTGACTACAATCCAGTCAGCTAAATGATTCAGTTAACCATCTTAACCAGCAGATTTAACTATAACTGTAGGATTAAATTCACTGGAACATAAAACAAAGAAACAGTCATAACACTATATAACTTCCCAAGTGATGGGTCAAAACGTGGATAACGAATCAATGATATCTTCTTCTCCCTGCAATTTTTTTTAACGAATCAATGTTGTCTACCTAGAGATGTACGACTAACCCGCAAAATAAGATATATGTCTATCTTTAACATTTGTTTCGAGAGTTAAATTTCAATTATTCATATTTCCATACAAAGATATTTCAATGTCAATTTATGTATTCATCAATAATAAATTTTCCTAATTTTAAATACTTCACATTAATATTAATAAAATTAAATTAACTAAAAAATATATTAGTTACACTAGATTATTTATAGGAAGTGCGATGAAAGCTCAAACACTAGTATCTGTAAAACAAAAAAAAAAAAGGAAATATATATATATTTTTTTTGGTCACAATGAAAGAGACACAAGGCCTAAAATCAACTTAGCAAATTGCTAGGTGTGATAATTTGAATAATTTAAAAAAAAAGGAAATAAAATTTGAATAATTAAGCACGTAGTAACATTGCAAAGCTCTAGGGGGGAAAAAAAAAAGAAAGAAAATTTTACAATGATAATTTGTACCTAGTCACAACTTTGGATGACTTCTCCCTAACTTTGTACTCTATCTGTACTCTATCTGTTTGAGACTTAACTTTTAGTATAATTTGAACTAAAAATGAGAATGTAAATTGGATAATAATTATGGGACGAATAGAGTATCTAACTTAAGGTTGGAGTTATCCAAATCATAGACCTCACCGAATCTCGATCAAAATTTCCTAAGTATAAGAGTGCCATCATTCGTCCGGAATGTTGAACATGTCCTAACTGGTTTTCGATCAATGTTGGAGTCTGGCAATCCACTAAGAGTGCCATCATTCATCCAAAATATGGCATATAGATGAGCTTGTTTGTTGCGAGAGAAATATATGGTGTTCTTATTGAAGTTGGGAACACAAGATGACGAATTGAATCCGTAATGATCATCGTAAGCTAAGAATATAGATCCATAATTTTCCAACTTGAAAATTCTTTTCCACCGTGGCACTTTTTTAGTCATTGTAATCTTGTAAAGCTTGAATTTATCCATGGTGATTGACCGATGATTTACTCCGTCAACAAGCAAGAAATCCCCCTTGAACGTTTCCACCAAATAAGAGGAAACCTTCCCAGCATTATTACTATGATCGATAGGATGAACCCGTTGACCGTCTTCGTCTTCACCGTCTTCACAATGAAAACCTAGATTGATGGATCTAGGCGGTATAATCTCTGGTACAACCTCAAAGATTATACCCTCCGTTGACCCTCTTCGTAGTTTTTCTTTTAGTCAACCGACATAAGCCGGTTATATTCTCCCGACAACACAAAAAGATTTCCCTTACAAAAGATAATGTCATTTACTTTCGGTACGACATTTATGTAAGTCCAATAGTTCTTGTCTACTTTTTTAAAACCTACACGACAACCTAGATTCTGAATGAAACATATTGCTCCAATGACATATTCTTGGGGATATATTGTGGGATCGCAAGACAAAATAACCTTCACGGGGACACGATCATACTCCAACGATCTCCCTTGCCATAAGCGGGAAGCAACTTTGATGCTTTTTTTGGTACAAGGATTAAAGAGCTCAACTACTTCTTCTGAATTAGGTCTGAATCTTGACATAACCAACCATCCATAAGAGGAAGAATAATAAATGTCGGTTTGGCGAAAAGGATGATGAGAACGATGAGCAGGAAGTTGGTCGTTGTAAACTTTACAGTGACTTACATAGTCTGGCTTAGGTTTGGAAGGATCAACTGCATAGAGTTCAAATGAATCACACGTATCGTTAGCGAACAAAAGCATTGGCGGTTCTTGGTGCATCGCCGCGATTCGCTTTGGTTTTTGACACAGAGCTACAGATCTCCATAGCTTGCAAACAGCTCAAGATTTTAGGTAATCAAGGGTATGCAATTTTGCCAAAACCACGTCCAAATGTTCTTCAGGAAGAGTGTTTCACATATCACTTAATATTGGACATAATGTGAAACGGCCTGATTTGATTTTATCCTCTATAACATTATCTCAAGGCAAACATCAAATGATTAGTGATATTGCCAAAGCAAACAATTGTTGTTCTAACTAGAGTACCAGGAGAGAAGCCTTTGAATGAGAAAAAACTGCAGACAAGCTAGGTTATAGTGTTCTAACCATGCAACATTTATCAAACTAATGCTTTTTTTTTTAGTCCAAAATGGATTTATCAGACTAATCCTTCATCACATATCACCAAAGCATATATATTTTGAGGGAAATTGACTTCAACACTGCAAAAAAAAAAAAAAACCAAATTAGATTATGGATATACAAAAGAATGCTATTCAGCTACACCACCAACAACCACTGTCCAATATTTCTTGGCAATCAAATTAAATAATTTTTCCGTTCTGAAAAAATAGCTAACATCGACCCACAACCACTATCAAAATTTCTTAGCAATCAAAATTACGTATTTTCTCTGTTCTAAAAAAACTGTTTACTTCGAGTATTGAGTTTTTTATTTTATTTTATTTTTCTTTTAGATGGAGCAGCAAATTAATCACCCCAAAGCCAAATGATCAAATGAGGAAATAATCAGGAAAGCAAATCAACACATACAACACTTCATGTAAGCTCACTTTAACACGGGTTTCTGGGCTGATTTGTGGGTTGCTATCAGCAGAGCGACACTAATATCGAGGCAGCTGAAAATACCTCCGGCCCAGCTGAAGGTTTTTTCAAGCATCTACATGACAGGTTTTTGAAATCTAATTAATGTAAGTTATTTGCCTTGTCTCATCCTAATGATTAACCAATTTTAAAAAACAAAAAAAGAAAATCCTCATGATTAACCTTTGTACTTGAGATTAATAGCTACTGTTTGATTTTGCATGCAAACTAAATGTAGTGCCTATTCAGCTCGTATTCTATCTTATGCTTACATTTGAAGATTAATAATGGATTCATGGTGATGGGTTATGGACCTGCGATGCTAGCTCACAAGTTGCTTCATTATTTTGAATTTGAGTTCTTAAATGGGCTCATAAGTCTTGAAAAGAAACCCAAAATCATTGGTGCCAAGGAATATATATTTTCGGAATTATTCTGCCACAAAAGAATCTAGATATATATTATACTCTTATTTACGAGTTGTAGAAGAAATTTACTTCTACTGCTTTCTTAACAAATATTTATTTTTTTACGCTGAGACTGGCTCGGAGTGTTAATTAAAGTTTTGTAGGGTTTCAGATCTATAAATCCCCATTGATTCGTATACCCAGATATTTCTTTTTCTTTTTTTTTTTTGGTAGATGGATATTTCATTTTCATCACAATGCATGATCACTTCTTCACTACCTCAATCCTCACTAGGAAAGACAAAGTTTCAGAGGAAAAAGGGGCATGAAATTTAGTAACATAATGAGTGTTTTATGTAACAGAAATATGTTACGAATCAGTTAATATACTAATAATTATCATAAAATGGCAGGCATCTGATTCCACAATTGACCTGAATGCTAAAGAATTGGACCTAAGGATGAAAGACAGAATTGAAGGTGAAAATAGAGATATCTTCATGGCCAAACATTCACACATAAAGCATCAACCTTATTTTCCAAAAAAAAAAAAAAAAAAAATATTATCAACCTTAAGCAAAGCTGTTCGACATGAGTAATGTGGAGGGCCTAACACGTGTAATTTTGTTTCTCTAGCCATATAAGATGGTTTGGATGGATTTGTGTTCATTTTTATGTGACAATTTTTAGTAGGGTTTATTACAATGTTTGGCACGATGAGAGGATTAAAATGCTAAGGGAAAAAAGATTTTTTGTAATATTTTGTGTTACATTCCCTGTAATATTAATTAAAATTTTGATACATATTTAATCACTTGTCAAATAAAATTCACTTATCATTTGATTATGGTAGTGTTATAAAAGAGCGTCACGCAAAATATCACATAAGATCTTATGCCTGAGGAGCCAATACATGAGTTCCTATAATCTGATTTGTACATAAATTTCTTAATACCACCCAAAGATAAAATTCAGTTAACTTTACTCATTATGAACTTGTTTTCTTACACACACATTTTGTCAAAAGCAAAAAAAGAAAACCCAACTCCCTAACAAACATGCTTTAATGTATGATTTATCTGAAGCGGGAATCTTTCACGTTAATTTTTTTAAGTTGAAACAGTCCCATGTGTTTTTAACAGTAGTTTTATATTCAACAAAGAGATTAAAGGGAATCAAAACTTTAATTAATTAGGAATCTTTTTCATTTTTTTTTAATTTAGAAAAGGCTAGCGCACCTTAAATTAACCCCTCGTTTTAACACGTGCTTGATTTCTTTTATCCCATAAATATTAGTTATTTAATTAACGAAAAAAGAAAATGGTTGGCGCCAGAAATTTACCGAGTTGATTCTATCTTTTTCATAACAAGTCAATTGACCGGAGACTATGAGCAGCGTCCTGTGGCCCTGTCAGTGTTAGTGGTGCCGGTGATGATTGGTGATTGTCGAATTAAAAGCTTAATTATGTCACTTATAAACTATATGATTTTATATTATTTGAAAATGTATGATTAGAATGAAACGATGTAGTACTCTGAAGGGTATCTTTTTTATTAAGGTCAAAGAATTTGTTGCAAAATAGATTAGTCACACAGATAGAAGACTTTTGGGGGAATCAAAAGTTTGAGTTACCTTATTGCTTAAGAAATGAAAAAGGTTACTATATATGTCACATTTTCATATTTGCACCAGATTTAAATTCATAATGCTATTTGAAGAAGTTAGGTTTTAGGAGAAGAAACATTCTGTTTATTACGATGAAGGCTGCAGCCTTATATACAACATATTAGGGTTTCCGGAACCTTCCGGAATACAAAGTACAATAACACATTTATGATTTTTTTTTTTTTTGAAGAAAAACTATTTGATTAATCCAATTTGGAGTAATAATCAAACAATTGATGAACATGTGACCGTGCATGTTCTGATTAATCCAATTCAGTTATTGTCTACTGTCAACCTCATAGATTTATTGGTTTAAAGCATCGTGTTATTTGTTACTTTCTCCATTTTAATTTAATAAAATAAAATGAATCATGTTTTTGAGACAGACAAAACCTAACATTTTTCAAAACTATAGTCTATACATAATAATCATCAAGGTTAATGAGATTTATAGATGTGGACACTTCAGCCATCCAACTTAGAAGTTAAAACCAATGAATCATGCAAGTGCAATTTTGAAAGGATCTAATATGTTGGTCATTGATTATCTAACATTTCGAATTTAAACAATGGTTTTAACCGTCAAAAGCATTGGATCTTTTGCTGTCTATTTTTATTTTAACGAAGAAAAAAGATACTTGTGGATTAGCTTTGGTCCACAAAAAAAAGTCCAAATTATATATAAAAAAAATTATCATGAATTTGAAAGTAATTATTTAACGAAATGAATCCACGTAATACACAATAATGCAACAAAAATGGAAGTTTATAAGCAATCCACTAAAACAGCAGTTAAGCTAAGAGACCATGACGCTGGGGTAGAGCGAGGTCTATATTTTACTATACTTTCTTCCATACTTCTTTCCAAATTAGGATTTGTTTAAAAAATCGCACACTCGCTTCACTTGGGAGTTACCTCTCTTGATAAAGTAATAATTAAAGAAATAAACATTTTATTCAAGTGATAAAAGTATCCCACCAATTTCACTATGAATTAGGATTCAATTTCGAATCTTATCACATCGATTATACAATACCGATGGTGAAAGTTTTACATCGTAAAGAAAGACTTTCAAACATAAATTTAGATCAATCGAGACACTTGTGTTTCGTATATGTGTTACAATTTGAGACACTTAAACTATTACACATGATGTATAACTACATTTATATTATGTTACAATTATAACTAGAAGAATCTCTCATGCAACTAGTGCACTTTGCTCCATCTTTTTCTTCTGGTAGATTCTATTTGTTATAATTAGTGCGCTTTGTTCCATTTACCAGTATAACTATTTCGGGTCTGTTTTACCAACTAATCTGGACTTCAACCCTATTTTTTTAGGGAAATCAACACCTCTATAGAGTGAGGAGGTAACAAAGCCTTGTCACAATACTCCCTGCATAAAGACACAAGTGATTGAGTGAGTTTGTCCTTATCCTCTAGAACAACCATTCACTATGACTAATATACTACATGAGAAACAAGTACGGAGTATAAAAATAAAAAATAAAAAGAAAGCAAAAGGGGCATTAATTTCTTTCTCCTTTTCCACGTTTAACATCTTTCAATCTCATCCTGATTCCCACCGCGTGACTCACCACGCGGCAACATTTTTCTTTCTATTTATTTTTTAACATTCCGTCCCATCGGAAACCTGTCCCCGTCGCTATAAATTTGCCTCCTCTCTCGAACACAATTCTCCTCCAAATCAAAAATCCCCTGTTTTCTTCTCTGTAATAATCTCATCGTTTTCGTCCAAAATTTATCATCATCATCAGCCAATCTTGCTTCTTCACTTCTTTAGCTTCTTCTGATCAAGACCCATTATCTAACTTTGATCATCTTTGTCTTCTAAAAAAAAACCCATCAATGGATTCTTGCAGCAAATCATCAGTTCGTGACTCTACTTCCTCTTCCCCTTTCGAAACCATCATTTTCGGTATATACTGCACCTGATCATTAATTTGATGAATTGAAATTAAGATTATAACAATTGAATCAATTAATCTGATTTTGTTTTTTTTTTTTTTTTTTGGTTTTGATTGGACTAAAAAACAGATTTGGATGAAACTCTGTACTCTGAAAAATTAGGAATCGGAGCAGCTACTAAACGCAATATTGATGGTGAATTCTTCATCCTTCCAAACTTGACCCACAAAAATAAAAACCTCATTTTTTGCAATTCAACTTGTGTAATAAAAGCTAATAATTTGCCTTAATTATGCAGCATTTCTGATGGAGAAGTTGGGATTCTCTGAAGCAAAAGCTTCCAGTCTCCGGGTCGAGCTTTTCAAAAGTCACGGCAGCTCTCTCGCCGGTCTTCGTGTAAGTACTTCGCGGGAATAATCTTTATCCATTGTTTTCTTCCAAACTGATCAAAAAGCTTTTATCTTTTTCCTGATAAATTCTCCATTCCCCAAAATTTTATCCAGGCTTTTGGCTACGATATTGACGCCGAAGATTATCACAGGTAAGAAAAGAGGAAAAAAAGTTACCTCATTTTTAGGAGTTCTTTTCTTTGATCAAGTTCATGTGCAAATGGCAAAAAGCAAAATTCTAACTTTCCAACTTTCCTCTGTTTTTCCTCCTGCACAGTGTCGTACACGGAAGGTTGCCTTACCATGTGATCAAACCCGACCCGCAATTGAGAACCCTTTTGCTCTCCATCAAACAGAGAAAAATTGTAAGCTTTCAATTTCCCATAAATGATAGAACCATGAAATTTGATCAGTTTATTCGTACTGGCAAAAACATGATTATTGACAATGTTGCCCAAAAAAATTGGGGGAAAATTGCAGATTTTCACGAATTCGGATATAATTCACGCAACCAAAGCACTGGATCGTCTGGGTATTAGAGATTGTTTCGAACAGATCATCTGTTTCGAGACGATGAACCCGAACCTGCCCAATTCAACCCGACCCGATGAGTTCCCGGTTGTGTTGAAACCTTCCCCTGAAGCCATGGAAATCGCAATCCAAACCGCCCAAGTCGATCCTCGCCGCACGGTAAGAAGATGATTGGATCAATAAAAAGAAAAAAATCACAATTTCTCAAATGGGTTTTTTTTTTTTAATATTTTTTGAAATTACGTGATTTGATTTGGTTTTTCTGATGGGGAAATTCCGTCTGCCGGCATGCAGTTGTTCCTGGACGACAGCCCCCGGAATATCGCGGCTGGAAAGGCGGTGGGTCTCCGTACAGTTCTGGTAAGTCGGTCTCATAATTCTGATGATTTGGGTACTACATTTGATGCGTCATGTACAACCTCTCTAAGCGTGACGTCCCGCTGTAGGTGGGACCCATCGCCAATTGTTTGGTTCATTCATATTTCATACTCCATAATTCATAATATGGATACATTATTTATGCATAATGTACACAAATCATAAATCTCAAAACACCATTTTTCTCTCTTTTAATACCCATTTGGCAAAAAAAAAATAATAATAATAATTTGGTAAATAAATTTACACTCTTATTATTGCTTAATAATATAGGTTCCGAACGAATGATTATCCAGTAATCTTAGTTTCTGTAGTTACTTTAAGTATACGGTATCTAAAATTTTATCGAGTTTTACGTGATTTGTGAAGTTTTTTCATTTTGTTTGTTCGATCTTATGAATATTTGAAGGTGGGAAAAGCGGCCAAGACGAAAGAAGCCGATTATGCATTAGAAACGGTGACAAACCTTAAGCAAGTGGTACCGGAAATATGGTATAATCCAGAAGAAGGAAAAGGAGAGAACAAAACTACAACTACAACTACTGCTACTAAAAGGATTGTGCGTAGTAGAAGTGAAATGGATGCTGCCCTTGCAACCACTGCAGTTGGTGCATAATAAGAAATGCTAATCAAAAGGAGTTTCTTTATTAAATGGTTTAACATTGGTAATGCCCTTTTGTTGATTGCATAAATCTTCAATAATTCAACTTAGGGCACCTGTTCTTTTTTCTTTTCTTTTCTTTTTTTTTTTAAATGTCCAAATGTACAATCTCTAGTGTATCAGGTCTTTGTATGGTTCTTGTAAATGTGTGTTGATTGATAACAACATGTATCCAATCAATTTAATGCAAAATTTGACTTCTCCTTCTTTTTGTACAAAAAAGAAGCTTCTAGCCCTTTACTTGTTAGTATATAAACCGACAAAACTAGTCTCTTCATTTTTCATAATAAATTTTTTGATAACAAGAACTTTGTACTACAATTGATTGATCCAATCGACCTCTGAACTAAACCATACGTCCGTGCCTCTGATCTAGAAGTTTTTTCAGGACTTGATTAAATTAATTAACATGTCACATATCCTTTGATGTTGGATGAATTAGTTATTAACTAGTATAAATAAACAAGATTATAATAAACATCAATTAAGTTAGACTGTGTGTGTGTGTCCACGTCAAAGACACATAATTTGATTGATTAATTTGTTTATCCGAGTGGGTGTGCGTCAGGTAAGTAACAAAAAGGATAAGCTGATAAGGACCATGATATTATAATATTGCTAGTGTCACTTCTTTTAATTAACACAAATTCATCAATAATTAAATTGTCTTATATTATTGCCGTGTTCAGAAGAAGCATAGACTTTTTTTTAAAAAAAAAAAATATTATTGCAATTTCCCTTTTGTTGTTGCCTATATGTAATTACGTGTGAATCTGATGCTTTCTTGGCACTTAAATCGAGCTTTCGTTTTCGATGTTATTGTCATGATAATAAGTCCTAATAAACTACTACTAATTAATTACTGCTAATAATGCTTTGGAATCTACTGTGGTGACTTGTGCTTGATCAATGTTTTTAAGGTTATGATCTAAGCTTTGAAATCGACCTTTGTTGGTTGTTAGGGATTTGTGGAGTTTTTAGCATGTCATACTATTTAAAAAAAAATAAAAAATAAAAAAATAAAAAACCTTATCGTTATTCTCTTGTCTGAAAAAAGAAATGAAGTTTTACGAGTTGGGGATGATAAGGTCTAAAGGGGATGAATAGAGTAATAGGAGTAGTACTATTATGTTACCTGAATTTTCTTTTCTCATAGAAGTATGTCTCTCCTTGTTATTATTATCTGACCTCTTCCTCATTATTTTCTATTTATGTCTATCTTATCTTCTTCTCAAAATATTATTTTCTTCCTAGATGATAGTTTACTATTAAGATATTATTATTCATCACCAGGAGCATGTTAGAGGCCCATGGTATGGAGATCTTTTTGTTGATCTTTAATTGAATTTAGTTCCATGTATTGGTTCAGGATCAGTGAAGAAAACCATCTTATTGGTGTGGAATTCCTCTCTAGGATGAGAAAGAAATGCAATGCATTTCATTTCTGAAAAACGAGCCAATTAAGTTTTAGTGTAAATGGTTGATGACTTGATGCTCCATTTTCTTTTGCTCATCACAGAACATGGGAATCTAATCATCCTAGAAAATTCATTCTGGCTTAGTGGCTTATATCATCTTTGCTTCTATCTCTTCATTCCATTTCTGAGAAATAATCAACTTCATTGAGTAAGATAACATAACAAAGTGGACTATTTTTCAGGACGGATGGAGTAAGCAGCAATATTTCTCGTGCATTTCAATGGTTTGCTGGTTGCATCATGTATGTGTTTGCCAGGAACCAGTTCCAACCAGCAATAAAATCACTCAAGTCTCATCTTTTGATTAGTGTCAAAACGGCAAAAGTAGAGTTTTTCTGCTCCCATTACCATAATCTTTTATTACGCAACAAATTTAATTTCTTCTGTGATTTGTCAAAGGTGGGATCTTGCATCAATTTATACAACCTTTTTAATCTTCACATGGAGTTTTCCCTCACAAATTATGTTATTTAGACCTATCAACATTATTAAACATTTCTTTAAGACTCCCAAGATGATGATGAATGATGATGAGAGTTGAATCATTCTCTTAGTCTTAGATTTTGTTGTGACAGTAAGTCAATAACCAATAACATTTCCTTGATGATCCAAGCAAAATGCAATATCACTTCAGCTTTTCCATTGATGGATTGTCCATATTCACATTAGTCATCATAATCCACTATGTAGATGATCAAAGCATTTTTCACTAACAGAAAAAAGTCTAGAACATGTAAATCAAGGGTATATGATGTGTTTCAAAATTAAAGTTTGCAGAACAAGAAAGTACAAATTACACATGGAAATCAGAACTCAAAAGTAATCACATTATGGCAAATATTACATCAAGGTGTTCAAAAGCACAAGCACTTCACAAATCATAGACATTCTTTCCAGTGAATTTAACCTCAATTGGGCTAACATTCTTTCCAATTCTCCTGGAGTTGAATCCAACTGGTTCACGACCAGGGTTCACCTTCTCTGGGTAGACACCATCTTTAGGATGAAGGTATTGAACTTCACCATTAGGGAAAACCCTGTAAAACTGGTACTTGATCTTGTACTTGGACCTCAACCTGGTACCAAGAGCCAAGCACTGTTCTTTCCTTGCCAGTTTCAGCAAGTTTGGTCCTTGCCTCATGATTGCTGCTCCACCAGTTGGCATCTCAAAGATCTGTTCTTTGGGAGAATCCCATGTAATAACATAGAATTCCTCGACTTGGGCTTTCCTCAATAGCCCACCTGTGCTTCCTGCAAAGATTGGTGATGGGGTGTTTGGGTCCAATTCTGGTGGGGTGAATCCCACCGGTGCCGGAGCTGGAGCAGCCTCTGCCGCCGCCGGAGCCTCCTCTGCCATGGCTCTGATGGGCCGAGCTCCTCCCATGTTGATGGTGGTGGACTTAACTTGCTTTGGTGAAGCAAATGAAACCAGGGCTGATTGCTTCCATGGCACAGTAACACGGTCAGATGAGGAAGAGAGAGCTGGAGTGAAGAGGGATGCTTGAGTTGCCATGGCCATGGTGTGGAATCCAAGAAGGAAAAAATGAGGTTTTTGTGTTACTCTTTCTTTTGAGTTTTTTTTAGGGAGATTTGATGATGGCAAAATGGTTTTGTTGGTGCAGTGATAGTTTGGATGAGTGGTGGAGAAGTGGATATTGGATAAGGTAGGAGTCTGGTTTGGACCAATTAGAAGCTGTGATTTTGATACTCAAGTCTTTGCTTGACCTTAACTTGATTTTGTTTTTGCCACCTAGTCACATACAGATAGATTCCCTGATGCCTGGTTAGTAAGAATCAAAAGACCATGTTTTTAGTTACTACTTATTACTCGCTACTTCTTCTATCTCAAAATATTATCATGTTTGATGTACTTTTTTGATAGAAGGAGTATGTATATGATAGATTGTCCTAATGTAATTGAACTGTTTATCCCGAAAAGATTATGATGATGTTATATGCTATCCAAGTTTCTCAAACAAGTTAAATGGATCATTATCCAACCTGCTAATCAATGAAGTGGACTCTGGACATTGTTTTTCCTTTTTAATAGATCAAATTGTATGTAACCTTATAATTTACATGATTTGTTACGTAGTAAATTCGGGTTTTGAAACTGGCGAGAAACAAAAGAAAATGAAGAAAGTAAAAATAAAGAGGAGTTGGTTTAACATTGAAAACATTATTAGTAAGTTTAATTGGCATACTGTATCAAGTTTCAATCCTAATCCTTGTATACAAGTTAACATGCGTAATTAGCACCATTGAACTAAAACCAAACAAACTTGATTATGTAGTTTAATGGAAGGATCATCATCATTCTCATCAGATTTTGTAGCTGATAAAAAGATTCATATACAGGGATACTAGACAATAGGCTACACAAAAATGTTCTATGCCACACTTTTCGATTCCAGGAAATTATCATTTGCCTGTAAAGGCTGAAAAATTTTCAAAGGGTCTTAATCGTTTCCAGTATTGTAACAGAATTCAGATTGAGATGCTGTTAGGAATTCCTTTGCCTGTAAGTCCTCCAACTCTGCTGTAATCAGAGGTGTTTGGAATCAGCAATGTGTAAGGCACCTTCACAGGTCCTGATCGTTTCTTTAAGTTCTTGTCATTGTTCCTCCGCATTATTCTTCGATTCTCAATCCGCAACAGTTTCTCACCAATTCTCTTGAATGCTTCTCTTGGTCGTATATCTGAAGTCCATTCGGGATTACCTCTTTGTCCGAGGTAAATCTCATCTGAGGAATGCCTTGACAGCATTTCTATCAGTGATATCCCCAGGAGTGTCTGGAAATGAGCTGTGATTGTTTTCAGGAATGCCAAGTCAGGATTTGATTCAAGCTCAGCGTATTCAGGTGTTCCGGTTTCAGGCATGAATCGCCGGCTTACTGTTGGACGATTAGGGAGGTATCCTGCGTAAGGATATTGCCCGAAATTGACTGCTGCATGAAGAGCGGAAGCGATCCAAATGATGATTGTACATGTTTCAATCAGGTCAGCTCGAGTTTCCATTTTAGGCCACCATGTCTCATCTTTCAGGTCCCCGTGGCCCTCATTTCATAGCTCAGTCCACCAGGATTGGAGTTCAGAATCAGATTGTACCATCTCATCTGTGTGGTAATAGAACAAGCAATATTCACACACCCATTCCTTGATTGCTGACCAAATCTCCAGGCCATCTACAGCGAAAGGATAATCCTCTATCACGAGCCTGAGGCCATGTGGTTGATTTGAGTCTGGAACTGCCATACCCCTGGAGAATGGAAGCAAAATGTCATTCGTGGCGAAAATCATAAAGGTTGATAGTAATTTCAGAGTAAAAATCTTTTTATCTGACCTTTTAAGAAGATCAAGCGGAAGGGCTTGATCCGGGAATGCCCAATTCTTGTAAATGGCGCTGGACATTTCCAGGGAATATTTTGCTGGAAAGCATGTTACCTCAAGCACTCCACCTGAATTGATGAGGATGTGCCTTGCCATAGCATTTATATGCATTGTATCTCGGAAATGCGGTTGTAGAAGCTTGAGTATTGGATGAAGCACACTCAAGTTTCTATTTGCTGCAATTATGAACGGTTCTATTACTGCATGAGTTTTTAACCTGCAATGACATTACAAAAATTCATCTTTGTTAAGGATTTTCGCACTTCCGCAGCATTTGATTTTCCAACAATGTAAAGGAAAACTTACCAGTGACTTATGAGTTGATGATAGCGGGAATCATTAACAGCAACATAGGCCTTTGCAAGCTGCCAAATTGAGCCTTCGACGCCATGCTCAGCTGGTATAAACACCTGGCTAGTGGCACCATTCTTTAGTCCTTCCGGATGTGGCAAACTCAACTCTATTGCCAGTGGCTTTAGTGTGTCATCATCTTGTAGTAGGAGAAGAGTTCGTGTGGCATAAGTTTCCGTGTTGGTTGTGTTAATCCTTTCAAGGTACGGCATCAACGTGTCATGATAGTCTAATATGAACAATTTGTTCTGTTTCAGTGCCTGAAGTCACAAAGAGCATCAGTTTAGTTTAAACCATATGACCACATCCTCAATGAAACAAACACTTGACAAGTATGTTTCTTTTTCTTTGATCTGTATTAACAAAATTTGTGACATAAAAAGGGGAAAGCGTACAGTATCTATAGATAGACCATTCATATTTTTCTCAATGTGCTTCCATCTGATTCTGCTGTTTTGATCGCCATATACTTCTGGATCTAGCTTACTAGTTGGTGGGAACTCCTGTCATGGATAAGTGCCGAAATCAATTACATTAGGGTTGTCGTAATAAATACAAGTGAAGATGTATAAGTACAATTTTTAGGTTTTACCTGCAGACGCCGAATAACAACAGGGTTAACTCCAGCTAGCATTTCTCTTGCAAACTCTTCATCAGTTCTCCAAGCAGTTTTGTCCTCTGCAGTATGGGTAAATTTTTTTATGGATGTCATATTAAGAGATTTCATAAAAGCTTAAATTCAGTATTAATCCAAAACAAGAATAATTGGCTGCAGCGAGTAAAGGGATTTGCGAAACCACCTTTGATAACATCAGGAAGAGGGAACTTCAAGAACCCTTCACCATCCGAGCGAATGAGTTCCTTGAGTAGCTCCCAGGAGATGCATTGCTTGAGTTTACTCATCGCACGATTATCAGGTAGTTTAATTCCTTCTTTGTAGAGTTTCAGTATATCTTTGAATGAGTGAAATTCATTGATGGTCTTATCAAATACGGAGGCAATCTCTGGTAGTTGCACCTGGCCTAAAGACTTGACTGCAAAGGCCAGGAAATCAGAAAATTTGATATGGCTGAACTGTTCATCCCTTGGAACATAAACGTCCAAATTTACTAATGCCAATCTGGTTTCCAACTTCTGATCTGTAACAACAGTACAAAAATTTTGTTACTGCTGAAAAAAAAAAAACTATGACAAAAGAGAACAAATGAACACTTCATTTTCAAACTAATGATCCAAATTGAGGTTATGATTCTAGCTACATGATTTATTAGCACTGCATAACTTACTACCTTTCTTATGCAAAGGCCGGCCTGTTCTTCCTCTTCGGGGATATGGTAGATGGCCCGTTCCACCAAGCACCGGGCGGAGATGCTCAGATCCCTTATCAGGGTCTCCCAAATCATTGTAGTATGCATAATCATAAACTCTATCCCATTCTCTCAGCATTCCTTTCCCATTTCCTCGCAGATTAATGAGCTCTTCTTCTCTGTAAAGGCGCAATGCTTCTGGCGTATCACATGGTAGGTAAGGCTGCAAATAGTGTAGATATGGCATTTAAAGATACTGCTTAGACACTACTATAAAATGTTCATTAGTTCAGTTCAAAAAAAAGAATGCTTTGTACAGAACTCAGAATACCTTGTTGGCAAAGAAGATTCGATTATAGCTGTAACGACGATCAGGATAAACCCAAGAATTGCAGACAAAATGAATTTGATCATGACCAGGAACATCTTCCAATGTGAGTGTCTTGAGATAGAATTGGCTGTGATGATGGTTTTTTTATGATGAAAGCACCTGGAACTCCCATAGACTCATCCCACTCAAAATGAACATCAAATGTGATATCCCCGGCTGTACTGATGTGAACCTTGAAATCCATTTTTCCACAAATGCTGGCTTTCCCATCTTTCCTCTCAATCCATTTTCTGTGCAAATATATTGATCAAAGTTATAAAGCATTGCTGTTTACGGAAATGAATCAATGACAAACTTTAAGAAAATCGAAGATTACCTGGATCGATTTGATCGGCACTGATGGGCTGTATGGAGACACCTTTGTTGAAGAGCTCATGAAATTTATCAAGAAAACTAGCACCAATCTTTCATGTCCAAAACATTCTTCTTCATCAGAGGATGCAAGGCAACATATAGAAACTGAAACTAATTTAAAACCAACAATGCTGTCTTGACTCTTGAACTTCTTATAATGTTTGTGAAATCACTAAGTTGAGTGGAGACATAGGACTGTTTTCTTAAACGCATCGAACTGGCAACTGATCGGAATCCTCTGCTCCAGGCGATTATTATAGTATTTCATCAGCCTCGGGTATTGTCTTTCATGTGACCAATGTAACTTTTTTATTTTTGTTGGACTAATATATCATATGGCCGCTTTATATAATATATATACAACAGTCTCATGTAGTCCACTCACTGATATGCAAGCTATTGCATTCCTTGCTATTATGATCGCCATTATCATCGTATTCCTTTCGTCCCAAAATAATATAACAAACAAAACAATTATTCTGTAATTGAATGAATAAGCACGAATCCTAACTTCTAGTTTCAGTTTGGTTGATATTTCCAATTCTTTGAAAACTTTCTCCACATGTGCACAAATTTTCCGTTACTCATTCAGATCATGCTCTCCTAAAACAAAAGATTAATCTATTAATTAGGGTACATAAAGAATATTAATTTACAAAATCAGTCCAAGGGGGGAAAATTGAGACAGTTGACATACCTTAAATGAAATTAAAGTGGCTAAATGCGGGTTATCGCGGGAAAAAGAAAAAAAAAAGTGGTTAAATGCTGGAAACAGTATGTATTATGACAAGTTTTTATGCTAAACAAGAGAATTCGGGGATCTTTTTATAATTAACTCAAACATATGAACATCAGAAAAAGAAACATTTTTCATTCTCCTCACCGTTAACGTGCCTTCCTGATATGGGCTATTCAGGTAAGAATCCGAGCAGTTTCCGGAAGCCCGATGCCTTATTATGCTCTGGTAAGCTAGTAAAATCGATTAGAACTATCCTATGATTGCTGAAATGGTTCCTGATTTTCGAGTTTTGCTGCTGCTGTGGGATTTTTCAATGGGTTGTGGAGAAAGGAGAATTTGAGATGCGGATATTTGGTAAGAAATATTTTGTGTTTAGACCCATTAAAAACCTGTGATTTTGATGCAAAAATCTTTTCTTCACGCCACTTTGCCATGTACATAGCTAATTTTAGAAAATTATTATGCTTTTGATGTGCTATAGTTGAGGATGTGTAACTCATTTACGAGATTATTGAACTTAATTCGATATCCTAGAAAGTTGCAATCTTTACGGTATTGGTTTAGCTTCATGGAAGGATTATGATCATCCTAGTTCCAAAGTATTAAGCTTATGAGACTAGTTTGATGCAAGAATCTTTAGAGTAATGTGCATTTAAGATTTCTGGAGAAGAGTCAAAGGGAGGGTTAAGATATCTGTAGCAGTTTATTCAATGGGCAATACAATCTACAATAATATGCATGTACAGGGATACTTCTACACAATTGGCTACCCAAAAATGTACTATACCACACTCTTTGATTCTAGGAAACTATCTTTCCCATGTAATGACTGAAAAATTTTCAAAGGGTTTTGAAGGCTCGCGTTATTGTATTTGATTTTAGATTGAAATGCTGTTTGGAATTCCTTTGCCTGTAAGTCCTCCAATGTTGCTGTAATCTGCTGTGTTTGGAATCAGCAGAGTGTAAGGCAACTTCACAGGTCCTGACCGATTCTTCAAGTTCTTATTGTTATTCCTCTGCACTATTTGATTCTCAATTTGCAACAGTTTCACACCAAATTTCTTGAATGCCTCTCTTGGATGATTGTCTGAAGTCCATTCGGGGTTGTCTCTCTGTCCGAGATATAGTTCATCTGAGGAATGCATTGATAAAATCTCTATTAATGATATGCCAAGCAGAGTCTGGAACTGAGCTGTGATTGTTTTCAGGTATGCCAAGTCAGGATTTGACTCAAGCTCAGCATATTCAGGGGTGCCTGGTTCAGGCATGAATCGCCGGCTCATAGATGGTCGATTAGGGAGGTAGCCTGCATAAGGATATTGCCCAAAATTGACTGCTGCATGAAGAGCAGAAGCTACCCAAATGATGATTGTACATGTTTCAATGAGTTCATCTCGTGTTCCCATTTTAGGCCACCATGTCTCATCTTTCAAGTCCCCGTGGCCCTCATTTCGTAACTCAGTCCACCAGGACTGGAGTTCAGAATCAGCTTGTACCGCCTCATCCGTGTGGTAATAGAAAGAACAGTATTCACTCACCCATTCTTTGATTGCTGACCATATTTCAAGGCCATCAACTGCATAAGGATAATCCTCTATGACAAGTCTGACGCCATGAGGCTGACTTGAGTCTGGAATTGCCATACCTCTGCAGAAGGATAAACAAGTATTACACAAGGGATCAATCATCATAGTTGATGCTAGTTTCTAGTAAGAGTAGTTTATCTGACCTTTTCAGAAGATCAACTGGAAGTGCTTGATCCGGGAATACCCAATTCCTATAAATGGTGCTCGACATCTCCAAGGCATATTTTCCTGGAAAAACTGTCACCTCAAGCACTCCTCCTGAATTTATGAGGACATGCCTTGCCAAGGCATTTATGTTCATCGTATCGCGGTAATGGGGTTGCAGAAGCTTAAATATCGGATGGAGGACACTTAAGTGTCTATTTGTTGCAATTATGAATGGTTCTATGACTGCATGAGTGTGCAACCTGCAAGGAAATCATATATGTAATTTCTCATCTTGGAGCAAGGAAATTTCATTGCGTATCAAGCATCTGCTTTTTGGATGTGAGGAAATACGCACCAGTGACTTATGAGCTGATGATAGCCTGAATCATTTACTGCAGCATAAGCCTTCGCCAGCTGCCAAACTGAGCCTTCAATACCATGTACCGCTGGTGTGAAAACTTTGCTGGTGGCACCATGTTTTGGCCCTTGTGGATGTGGTAAACTCAACTCTATAGCTAGTGGCTTCAGTGTGCCGTCATCTTGTAGTAGGAGGACAGTTCGTGTCGCGTAAGTTTTTGTGTTGGTTGTATTTATCCTCCCAAGGTACGGCATCAATGCATCATGATGGTCTAATATGAATAGTTTGTTTTGTTCCAGTGCCTGAAGATTTAGTACACAAGTAACATGGATTTGATTCAGTTTTTTGCCAAGAAGAAACCAAATGAAAGCGCATGTTAACACATTATTCTATCTGTAACAATCGAGTAAGGAAAAGGAGAATTCATACATCTTTTATGGATAGCCCATTCATGTTTTTCTCTATGTGCTCCCATCTTATTCTGCTGTTCTGATCGCCATATTCTGCAGGATCTAGCTTACTGGTTGGTGGAAACTCCTGTAATCGAAAAAATTTAGGATTCGATGTACCTAAGAAATAAAGAAATTGTTGCACTGAAGTCAATTTAATTTACCTCCAGGCGCCGGATAACAACAGGATTGAGGCCGGCAAGCATCTCTCTTCCGAACTCTTCATCAGTTCTCCAAGCAGTTTTGTCCTCTGCAGCTCCAAAATTTTAACAGATACCAAATCATAGGAATGCATTGGACCTTGAATTCAATCTCATTGTAAAAACTTTTGGAACTGTGTTAAAGCACCTTTGATTACAGCAGGAACGGGGAATTTCAACAATCCCTGACCATCTGACCGCATTAATTCCCTGAGCAGCTCCCAAGAGACGCATTGCTTGAGTTTATCAATCACTTGATTATCAGGTAACTTGAATCCTTCATCGTAGAGTTTCAATACATCGTCGAATGAGTCAAACTCATTAATTGTTTTATCAAATACAGATGCAATCTCTGGTAGAAGCACCTGCCCCAAAGACTTGACAGCATAGGCCAGGAAATCAGAGAATTTGACTTGACTGAAACGTTCGTCCCTTGGGACATAAATGTTCAAATTTAGCAGCGGCAACCTGGATTCTGTCTTGGGATCTGCAACCAAAATACAAAAGCTTAAGACAACTGAAAAACTGCTTCACGGAAAAACTTGGAAAAGCTCATCGGATTGAAGTTCTGATTCACACATCAGCAAAGTCAAAAGTACCAAAATCCAGATGATCAAGGCATGTGCTTATATGGTGCTGACCTTTTTTATGTGCTGGCCGGCCTGTTTTTCCTCTACGAGGATATGGTAAGTGCTTAGTTCCCCCAAGCACTGGTCGGTCATGCTTAGGTCCCTTTTCCGGGCTCCCCAAATCGTTGTATAATGCATAATCATAAATTCTATCCCATTCTTTTAGCATCCCTTTCCCATTTCCATTCCCTCTAAGATTTTCCAGTTCTTCTTCCCTATAAAGCTGCAATGGTGCCGGTGTATCAGCCGGCAAGAAAGGCTGCACAATAGAGTTGCTGTTATATACATATTATGTCTCCTTGCTGTGCAACCAATGCAACATCAGTCATTCCACTGTAAACTGATCTGATTGTTCTTGGAATTAGAATGGACTTTGAATTTAAGCATGTGTATTACATTTAAGAAATCTGCAGTGCATGATTTTGGCCTGCAGGTTGCAGGTTGAAAAAAAGAACGCCATCATGACAAGATAACTTATCATTGAAAGGCTGTGAAAAGTGGCCATCAAGAGTGTAACCTATACTTAATGGCCATCTGGACGTACCATATTATATTAGCCTTTTCTTGTACAAATCATGTCCTTTTATTCCTTTTTTTTTTTTTTTTTTTGGAGAATTGTCATTTTCCATTATAAAGCTACAATTATTGCAAAATGACAACAACCCTTTATCATTCTATCCTCCTAAAACATTCCTAAAGTGTGAAACACGAATAGAATGTTATGCTAAACTGACCTTATTGACAAAGAAGACTCTGTTATACTTGTAACGATGAACAGGATAAACCCAAGAATTGCAGACGAAATGGAGCTGATCATGACCAGGAACACCTTCTAAAGTGAGTGTTTTGAGGTAGAATTGACTGTGGTGGTAATTCTTTATGATGAAAGCACCAGGAATTCCCATAGATTCATCCCAGTCAAAATGGACCTCAAATGTGACGTCCCCTGCTGATACTGAAGTGAACTTTGACATCCATTTCTCCAAAAATGCTGCCTTTCCTAGCTTTCCTCTTGATTTATCTTCTGCAGAAAAAAAAAACAGAACATAAAAACAGAGAACAAAGAGGGAAAACAGAGGATTTGATTCAAGAGGGCAATTTCATGAATCTTGGAGAAATGGGCAAGAACAAAATGAGGGTTTTTTTTTTATTTATTTACAAGCAATGAATGAATCACGAACCTGGATCAAATTGATCTGCGCTGATGAGCTGGATTGAAACACCTTTATTGAAGAGCTCATGGAGTCTATCAAGAAAACTGGCCACAAAATCTTTCATGTCAAGAACATTCTTTTTCATCAAAACCACAGTCCCTTTAATCTTTGTAACCTCCCCATTCTGAATTTCAATCAGTTTGTCTTTATTGTTGTTTCCACATACAATTCCCAGCATCTTCCCAATCATCTCTGTGGGCTGCATATTCATAGTGAAACAGACTCCTTAAGAAGAAGACTCAGAAAATACAGAAAATCTACGAATTTGAAAGCAAGAAAATCAGAGAAATCATTGACTACATATAGTGTAAAGAGAACTGGGTTCACCTTCGAAGTAACTGAAAGTTGACCTGAGTGAACTTGGAATTTCTTCTTCTTCTTCTTTTTAATGTAGTACTTTAATGCATCCAAATTGGCAACTTGGGTCTGAATGTTTCTTGGTATTCAGACTGTTTGATATTCTGAAGTTGTTGGGAAGCAAAAGAGGTATAAATAAGCTTTGAACCTTTGAAGTTTCAGTCTTTCAAGTGTCAAAGTGACAATTTTTTATATAATTTTTTTAAAATTTTTTTGTTGGGGTTCTTTTCATCTTCAAAATACATATATATATATATATATATAGGAAAAGAAAAAAGAAAAGAAAAAAGCTTGGAAGGTAGAAGGATGAAGGAAGGAAGCCTGGAAGGAACTTATTCCAGCTTGGCCATTCAATCCAACTTGGCATTCTTTAAATGGTTAATAAAGAATTTCATTTCAGACATAAAAATCTAATGAAAATAAATTAGGTTGATTGTTGGGTGTCAGTGTGTTGTTTGGATATTGCCACTTTTTTTGAGTAAACCCATGTTTTGATCTCTTGTAAAAACTAATAAAAAAGTTGTGCTACCACATGGTCTGTTTTACTTTACCAATCACATTTGGTCACACATCCACTATTAAGTGTAGGAAAAAATGAAATACTCCTTCCATCCCATGAAGATGATTCATTTCGTTATATTGTATTAGCTTAATAAAAACAGATATTTTGACTGAAGGAGTACTATGAGATCTACTGAGGAGACAACAGTAGCCAATAAATGCACTTGATCATGAGGTTTACATTATTGTGTTGGAGATGGAACTTGAGGAGATTTATTAGTTGTAAATTATTGTTACTAGAGTATAGCAAAAATGCTACAATTTCTAGTAGATAATATAATTCAAATTATGGTTTTAAATTGAACTTTTCATATCTTATGTGCTTTTATTTGAGATTTTAAAAATTAAAACTAAAAACTTATGTAATCAGTAAAAATATATAGATGAAAAAATCGAGAGGGATGAACAAAAATTCAATAGAGACTCTAATTCCACCATAATCTGAACAAACATGACAGGAAACATGATTTTTTTCTCATTTATGGATACTGGAAATCGTCCCGTTGCGATTGACTCAAACATGACTAATTGGTATTCAAATTGGAGTAAATATTTAAAATGATAATTAGTCTAATAGTAAACCAACGAAATTCTTTAAATTTTAGTGTGATTTTAGTGCCGGACAGTTTTAAAGACATCCATATATCCCATTTTAAATTGTTTAATTTTATTTTAGCAAAGGAACTGTTAAAAGTTAAAACGGGACAGAAATCACAGATAAGATAAGTACGTCAAGAAATCAATTATGGAGTTTCAAGGCATCTAACCTCTCTGTAGGAATGAAACAGAGTTACATTTAGCAAATAATTATGCCACTTTGGAACCACCTTTTGGAAAGTGATCACTGTAATGTATAGCTAGGTCAAAGAATTTTTTATTTTTTTTTTATTTGTTCCGGCCTCAATCACTATTATGAAGTCATCATAATTTCATCCTCCGCTTTATATGGTACCGTTTTTATCACACACAAAGCATTACCTAATTAAATTGCTCCCTTCATTGGGAGGGAGAATACACGTTGAATATGTGATTTATGAGTTATAACAACGTTAGAACTAGAATCTTTTATTTTAGGACGGAAAAAATATGTTGATAAATTCACAATTCACACAAAGAATATCGCTCGTAAAAAATGAAAAGTAACAAATACAAATCATTCATTTCATGCATAATCATAGCTAGCAAATGGATATGCACGGCTGTTGTGCATAAAATGACATCTTGCAAATCTTAAAAAGCAAAAGTTTTTCTCATTTTAATTCATGAATTACAAAGAAAAAAATAAGGTTGGTCACTTGGTTGATATCGACTTAGACAAACATATTAACATAATTATGTGATGCTTCCTTCATCCTGAAATGAGTATAATAAATAAAATAATTATTTTGAAACGGAATAAGTAGTAATAATTATGACACGGGAAAAAAGTTTTGACCATAACAGAAAATATTCTCCGCACCGCTCCTATGAAATTTGATTTATTAGATTCATATAGGTAGCAGTTGAGGAAAATGAATGTACTTTTGATTTTCATTTTGAAATTCCCGCTCTCCTTCCTTGACAATAATAAAAACAAAATGGCGTTATTCTTTTTTTTTCTTGTCATATAGTAGACGTCTACCGGCAGCAATAGCATCATTAATAATTTCTTTACTGAATTATAGTATAATGATATTTTATGTTATTTGTCAAACTCCTTGGGAACGTGAGACAAATACAGCTTGTACCTTAAAATATTACAATAATTATATTGTATAATTACTTTGTCTTATTTAGTACTCCCTCCGTCCCATAATTATTATCCAATTTGACTTTTCATTTCTGGTTTAAATTGTATTAAAAGTGAAATCTCAAACTGGACAATAATTTTGAGACAGAGCGAGTATATTTTTCCTAATCCTTCAACTTGAGGCACATACGGTGCGAAAGATATGGTCCAAACGAAGCAAATTTGTCACTATGATGATCAAATGGTAAAGAATTTACGATCTTTCAAATAAATCTCGAGTTGAATTATGCATGTATGAGGAAGCATTGACAAAAAATAACATAATTGTTGAGAGATTTTTATACTCCGCGTAGTCAAAGCAAATCAAAGCAAAAAAAAAATTCAGTATATTAATTTGTTGGCATAGGTCATGCAAATTAATTAAATTAAGAAAAATGACGAAACAGAAAATCATCAACACTAGTGCAACTTGCTGTTGTTATGTTTGCTATTTCATCGTATCTTTTGTTGTTTATAAATGATTAAATGCTAGTCTCCCTTTAGTGGTTTTGCCTTTGCCCATAGTTTCTTTTGATTTGTTTTTCTTTCTTTTTAACAATCACATGGCTTAATTTGATTTCTTATACCAGACATTCTAGAATGGTATATTACATTGTTTTAGCTCAATAAAATGTACACATTCTATTCTAATGTTATTGTCGAGTATGGATTTTCTCTGTAAGAGAAGAAAACTAGGGTTCATAGAAAATTTGGGGAAAAACGATTAACTGTATTTTCTTCATGAGAAAAACATAAAGAATAATCATGTACAATTTGGTTTATTTACAATCTGACTTGACTAAGTCAAACTACCAAAAATCTCCAGTATTTACATAATAGGCGCTGTACTAATAAAGTTCTTACTAAACTGACTATACAAGAGTAACTATACAAAACTAATTTACAAATGTCTTGTTTATTCGAAAATCTATAACCTGAGAAGCTTGATTATCATCATGTTTTGCTTCTTGCTGATTACTCAACATTTTCAGTTTTAGTTCAATTTATACTGAAAATAATCTAAACTGGATAATAATTTAAAAACAGAAAGTTATTATTCTTTTTTTTTTTTTTTGGGAACGGAAGCGTATTACGGTTGTTAAAACGAGCAAAAAGATAGTAAATGGCTTACTTTTACTCCCCCAATCCCCCACCCAAAAAAGAAATGTTAAAAAAAAATTAAAAAAATGAAAGAGTAATTATTGAATTGTAAGTATTTTCGTTCATAAAGTGATGACAAAAACCAGTGTGAATAAATAATTTCACATTTCTGCTTTGCCACCTCATCTCCACCTAATAAGAGGATAGGGCTTTATTTAAATTTCCCGAATTAATTTATCCAAAATAATGTAACTAAAGTTTTCATAATATGCTTTTCTTGCCAATCGTGGTAAGAATCATACATCAAACAAAAGAAAAAAAAAAAAAAAAGGAAAACAATTTTCAAGTCTTAAGAAAAGCATGATTATCCAAAGATAAGGGGAGAAAAGTTTATGATGAATCTTCGACCGACCGATCAAAAGAGACATACAAAAAAAAAAAAAAAAAAAAGGACAATTACACTCGTGATCTTGATTATGTAAAAGGAGAAAAAGGGTCAAAAAGATGTAATTTTGCTATTAATAATGAGGTTAAATAATACGAAAGAAAAGGATATCTTTTCCCCTACATATTCTTTTCTTCAACGTTCTACCAAAACTTTGCCATCATAAAATTTGTTGAGATATTTTGCTTTTTCATCCTCATATTATAACAAATTTTAATTTATAACCCATTCCTCCCAAAAATGATTATCCTAATAGAAATGAGAAGGATATTATTCTTTAATTTGGTTAATCATACAACAAAAAATGCAACCCCTTTAAGCATCTAATTACGAAATTCTTTATTGCCAGATTAAAAATAATTATCAAGAACTTCATCAAGAATCTTTTATAAATTACAAGCTCTACAACTTTTGATGTTGCCTGATGATCATCCGTATTTTGCAATAACAATCAATATAAACTTTTATTTTATATATAGAAGAAAAAGGATGATTGTTGGGTAGAATGCTAAGTTCACAATTAAAAATAGTGTAATAAGCTTTCACATTCATATTATTTCATTTTTATTTTATTTTTCTTGCACTAATGATCATTAAACTTTTTTTGATACTCATAAAAGCTTTTTCTTAACCGGAAAAAAAAAAGAAAAGAAAAAGTGATACTGATATTTTCTCGTCAAATTTGACGATTGAGATTAAGAAAAGATGACCCATAAGTGCCATAACCCCCACTATATAACATAGCTTTCAATCAGTATTGGATATAAATTTGCAGTGGTCCGAAAAATTTTGGTGCTTTTCACCGGGGATTATTCTGCGATACAAGTTGTAAACCAAATATGGTGATGTTTAAAGTTTATTACGAAGAAGAATATGGCTCTAGGATTAAAAATTATCTTTTATATGTACATATATTCTATTTATGCAGTGGTGAAAGTAGATATATGATAAGAGTATAATATTTGCTCAAGAGGGAATAGACTATAGAGTTAAGAGTTCCGCCAAACAAACTTTGTAGTTGAACGACCTCTTTTTTTGTTGCAAAATGAGAGGCTCACACCCTATAATCAAATTTGTACATTTTAGGGTACGTTACCCTAATTAAATCATGATATAACCAAGACCTAGTTCCTATCGGCGGTTTATTGAACCATTACAACCCTCTCGGACATTGCAATGCCAACGTTGCCAAATAGTCGGCTACGAAATTTACCTTCCAGAACGACCTCTTTGACTAATCAAATCTAGTATATAAAAGTGGATTCTATAATTTTCCGAAATTATATATACACTATATTGCTAGAAATTATATTTTGATTAGAATTATGATAGTTGGGTTTCTTGCATATATAGTGTATACTGATTCAACGTTCCACTCCCCCGTCTTTATCAGACATTTTAATTTTATCCTAGCTTTCACTTAGAACGTCTTTTTTAATAAAATAAAAATCTTAAAAATATTTCATAATGATTAGGAGAACACAACGAATGTGAAAATATATTTTTAAGATTTGTTTTCTTAATTAAAAAGATATCCTAAGTTAAATTTATGACGAAATCAAAATATCTTATAATAAGGACCGGAGAGAGAGTAGTATATTATTGCAGTCATCATTCGTGGAAAATATTAGTTGAGATTGTTTTCCTTGGGAAAATTTCATGGAGGTCAGGTCAGTACTCTCACGTATGATTACTAGCTAGTGATAATATTTGTTTTTAATTCTTTTTTCATTTCACACGTGAATTTTTAGGAAACAAGAATAAAGCAAGTCAAATGCATGCATGATTTACTCTAATATGAACATGGAGATAATTGCCTAGTCAAATTATCCTCTAAATTAATTTTAAAAAAAAGAAACTTTTAATATTGACATTAGAGAGATAATTTGGAAAGAGAGTAGAGAGACATAACCTATTCGATGGCGACGTTCACAGAAAAGCACCACCATTGGCCCCTTTGAAAGTTTTGATCGGCAAAATGACGACGTTCATGGTTGTTTCGATGGAAGAAGAAAAGAAAAGAGACAAGATTTCATGATGGTTTTATATGATGGACACTAGGTTTTGATTCCTATAACATTAATAAGTGGTTAAACAACTTTTGGATTTTCAAAGATTGAAAAGTGATAATAAAGCTTGTAAGCTAGTTTATGTAAGGATTTTATACCACAGTATTATAGTGTCATTCGTCTTTTCGTCAAATATCATATTTTCTTTAAACAATATTGTCATAGAAAATACAGATAATCAAAGTTATATATGGTTTAGACTTGTCATATTTTCTAAATTGCGATTCATACTTCAACAAATGCAGTTCACATCCATAGTGTCCGGTGCTTATGTTTTATGTAACTACTATCACGATGATTAGAAAACATAATTCTTATTTCGGAGATGATCTCATCATCGGGGTTTTCGAGCATCATTAGTCTTTCGGTCAAACCTCATAACTTGGCCGGCCATCTTGCCCTAAGTTCACTATTATTATTAGGGTTTTTTTCTCGCATCATTTGTCTTCCAGGCAAACATTGTAACATGGGTGACGATCTGTTACCATAGTAGATACAGACCAATAACGTTAATTTTTTTTAGTTTTATCTTACTTCTTTAAAGTATGATTTAAATTTCAACAAACATCGTCGATATTAATGTTTGGCCGATAATCCTGCCAAAACACTTTTTAATAACCAGAACAAAAATGACCTCCTTTATCTTTATTGGGTCAAACATATCTTTCTCTCTTCTGTATGTCTTCATCTCTTATTCCCTCTTTACACCGTCACTTTTTCCTATTTCCGATCAACCACATCTCAAAAGAACAAATTCTTCTTACTAATTGTCTCTTCACTCTTGTATCGGCATAATGTTTTGATTCATTGCAGACTCAAAAACCATTGGGATTTGTAATTGGATTAACATAGCCCAATCCTAAAATGATATGGGTTACCTCTCCCGTTTGTCTCAATGGATTGGGCTGGAACATTTAAGTTGTCAGATGGATTCAGGAGATAATCCAAAACAAAACAGCTTACATTTGGATAGCCGGAGAGTCTCGTTAAGTGGTCCAATGACAAACAGCCATTTTCTTCTTTGTTTGCGAAATTTAATAGCACAGATCAGAAAATAATCATAGATTGCTCAATCTAATCATTAATAAAAATAATCATAATTGTTCTTTCCAAACAAAGTAACATAAATAGTTACTTTTGGATATATGCATTACGAATTTTCCATTATGCATATATATATGTATAGATTGTAGACTAATAAAAAATTACAAGTATTTCAGTAACTAGTACTTTTAGCGATTGAAAAAATTGACTGATTTTTAGGTAGAAGATAAATTACACATTTCAAAATTAACAAAAGCCTAATCACTTGGGAAAAAAAATTATCATAGTGAATGAACCTTAATCTAAATGTTACCTTATTGGATGCCTCCAATCCACCAAAACAATGATGTTATTTTGTTGTTGTCATCATATGGGTTAATTTGGCGATTATTAAATTATTATATAAACAAAAACAATTTTCCAACATTCGCAAGCACGACTACAACAATGTCATCATCATCATCCTTACCAGAGACCATTAGACCAGACCTTATTGTCCAAATGTGTTTCTAACTTTGGACTCTTTTTTAGTTAGTGCGTGCCCCCGGGTGTGTGTGTGTGTGAAAAATTTCGTAAAATGGGGAGACAAGTCGAAGCTCAAAGTTAGGATCTTTTACGCTAAACAACAACAACGACACACATCTTCGTACCCCATTTTGGTTTCTTTCTTTCTTTCTTCTTGGGCTCTTTCAGATCTCTTTCCCGAAAATTCCCCAATCTTTTTTCCAGTTTTGGTATCTGGGTTTTCGGGCACCGGGGCGCGATTTCTCACGCACGTGAAAATATCTTTTAATAATTTAATCGAACAGTCCCTTTCCGTCTTCATTCTGAGAGGAATATAGCGAACAAAAAGTTGGATTCAGAGGAAGAAGGGAAAAGGGATGGTGGCATAGAGTATAAAGAGATATTAGATAGCTTTTTTTTTAAAAAAAATTCTTGGAATTAAAATGGGTTCGAAGAGAAAGCCAGTTAGTAGCAAGAATTCCTCCCCTGTTGCCTCTGAAGAAAGAGATGTTGCTGGCAAGTTCTCTTTCTTTATTTTCAGATCCTGGTTTTTTTTCCTGCTTGTTTTTTACCCTTTTGCGGGCTTGTGAATTTGCTTCTTGATTTACTGATTTTGTTTCTGAGAAATTGACTGGGGTAATGCTGGATCCCTATTGCCCGATATGAGAAAACGGATCACTGGTTTAGATTAGTTTAAAATAGATGGTCAATTAGGGAAATGAAGAATGTGATTCTAGAACCAGATTACAATGGGCTGGGTTAAGTTTATCAGATTTGATTTTGTTTGTGAAAGCTTGTTCAGTAGGTCGGAGAGTTCAAGGTGGCTGTTGAAATGATATGGGGAAGAATCAGGATTCTTGTAGATGCTGTTTTTTCAAAGCTGTATATAAACATTGCATTTATAAGGTTTTTCACGTTGATGCAAGTAATTTAGGAGGTGTAGCTCTTTTGATTTTTTAGGACAGCTTCCATTTTAGGATGGCTATATTTATTACAGTAGAAAAGAGCTTTTGGTGGCTAGCTTCCCCTTTTTGGACAACTGAATTTTGCACAAAACAAAAGGAGTTAATGTTGGCCATCAATGGGTTATCGAGCTAAATTTTTGTGAATAATTTCTGAATAGTGCTATTTATTATGTAATAATGTAATTTGTTGTTAATCTATGTTCTCTAGTTTTTGTTTCGGTAGATTGTCTGTATTTAGTCTTGCAATCATTTGAGAAAGAATATATTTTCCCACAATTAGTATGCTTTGTATGACGCAGAGGCTGAACTAGTTTATTTGCATCTTAATCCAGTTAAACTAATTTTCTTTCATGTATCTTGGGTCTTTAGTCTAACAAATAATCAACATCCGACAATAAACATTGTCAAGAGGAATGAAGAAAATTCTGTATAAAGTTGATAAAAGTGGAGGTCGTGTGTCAAATATATTTGTCTTGAAGCGGTTGGGTTGATAATCGACAAAGGTCCGAGATATTTAGTAATGAACCAATCAAGAAAGTTTATCTTGGCATGCATGAATCGCTATCAGTTTTGATTCTACCTTTTGCGGGTGTCGTTTTCGTGGATTTGTATTTAGTGATCATAGGAATGAGCCAATCAAGTAAACTTGTTCTCGTTTGCACGATATCATGTACATTCAGTCCCAGACTTTAACTGAAGTCGCTTTTCTCAGCTTTGTATTTAGTGAACCTTTTGACAGTGAACATTGTACGTGGAATTTAATAAAGTTAATGATGTCTGTATGCTTAGGTTCGATAAAATCTTTCGAGCTCTTGGTGGGAAAGTTCAAATGGGGATGAAAGGAACTAATTGCTTTATTTCTTGGAGTTATGAAGCCATTAGAATCTTCTACTAGCCTGTTTGTTTTTATCTGCATTTACCCAACTTAATTGTATTTACTTTTGTCACGAAGCTATTTCCATGAAGATAATAAATTTCATTGTGATGATCCCCAATTAGATGTTTGCCTACGTGTCAAAATATTAGACCAATGTGTCCCTCAAACTTGTCTTCAAGATTATATTCTGATCTTTTTTCCGTTTGGAGGTATTAAATGTAGATAGTATGTGTGGATTTTATGATCATCAGTTGGTCAGAACTGATCTTAATAGTAATTAGAGTTCGCACTTAGGTGTTTGAAGTCATTTACTTGTTGAGCTGTTTAGTTCTGTATTGAGTTGGCCCGGTTGCCATGTCATGGTCAGTGATTGCTTGTGAAACGGGAGCTAGATTTTGCTTATTTTTTCATACTGAAGTTTTAGTACTTCTTTACTTGTCCAGGAGATGTTTTTCCTTTTGATTTTACAGCTGTGGAAAGTTAGTGGTTGTATCATATCTTAATTTAATACATTTCTAAAAGAGATATTGGCATTTTCTTCTATTTTCTTGGAAGATATGTGGTCATGTAGTTTTTTCTGCTGACAGGATTTCTTGCCTTTGCAGATATACGTGCAAGGCAACTAGAAGAACTTGAAAATCTGAATTTAGTGGCACAACCTTTCAAGACTTTCAAACTTTTCATTTTAGCTGTCATACAGTATCTCCAACGATCAGCTGCTTATCTTTTAGCTCATGGCAGCTGGTTTTTGCTTTTAAGTACTGTCATTGTGCTTCCTGCGGTATTATTGGTAAAACTTGATGGTCCTCATGAGAAGGTAGTTTTATGGTTTATGGATTTTCCTGCTATCATTTTCTGCAATTGACTCAATAATCAGCTGGAAACAACTTTAATTCTGTTGATTTTATATGAAGATTTTCTTATGGATTTTGATGTCTTTCTCTTTCTATAGCATATTGATGAAGTTTTAGAGTATGTAAGGTTTGGATTGTGGTGGATGGCCCTTGGTGTTGCTTCTTCTATTGGCCTCGGTAAGTTACCAAACAGTACCTGTTCTGAATAAGGTTTTCCCTGCATATGGTTCCTACATATTGAAGCTCAGTTATATGTGCTGTGTAACATGATAGGCTAAGTTTAGTTATCTCTTTGTTTGTTCTTCTATGTTACTCCATTCTAATTCTCTCTACTTGTAAGATTCTTTTATGTATGTGACAGCTGACAAATAAATGAGTATATTTGTGATATCTGACCATTTCTTGGTCTAATTGCAGGATCTGGTTTGCATACATTCGTTCTCTATCTTGGCCCTCATATTGCATTCTTCACAATCAAGGCAATGCAATGTGGAAGAGTGGATATCAAAAGTGCACCATATGATACGATTCAACTGAAACGAGCTCCTTCATGGCTCGGCAAGGATTGCTCTGAATTTGGGCCTCCAGTGTTTCCATCCTCACATGGGACAAGGGTTCCCCTTAGTAGTATACTGCCTCAGGTGCAGTTGGAGGCTATTTTGTGGGGTGTGGGAACAGCACTTGGAGAGCTTCCCCCATACTTTATCTCAAGAGCAGGTAAGAATGTTACAGCTTTTTGTCTTGTGGCACTTCTTTTTCTGTTTTTCGACAAAAAACAAATTTCTTACGCTGAAATGTAATGGAGTTTATTCAGGCTTAACGTTTCGTTCACCTTCAAGAATTTCTAGTGAAAAATTTAATATTCAGGGTTAGCTGTTTGGACCTATCTTTGAGCACACTGACTTTGTTGTATTCGTTTGTTCTTGTAATGAAATTGTTAGGATTAGGGTTCGTTAAGTGTTAATAGATGATTTGAACTAAGAAAAACTCCTCATGCCTAGCATTTTTACTCTTTCCAAATTCACAAAATTAAGATGCTTCTATGTGGTGTTGGGGGAAGGCATGTTGTCCTACACTCAATGAGTAACATCATTTCTGTTATTATACAATGCAAATCACATTCATATTTTGCAAAATGGGTAACGTTGATCTTCTATTGTGCAATTCAATTCACTTTACCCTTTAATACGGGCTAATGCCTATTAATGAGGTTATTCAGTTGTATCAATTCTATGGAGCTAGTCTCTTCTGACAACTCAGTCCTAGGTACTTAAATCATTTCTCCATTTTGCAGCTCGTCTTTCTGGGGGTACAGTTGATGCTATGGGAGAATTGGATGCTAGCTCAACTGAAGATAGCAGTTTCATGGCGCGGAAGCTAAATAACTTCAAGATTTGGTTCCTTTCACATGCGCAGTACCTAAACTTCTTCACAATTTTAGTGCTTGCATCAGTATGTCATGACTACCACTTGTTCTTCAGTCCTTATACTTTCAGATTCTTTGATTTGTATTATCTTTTATTTCCATCAGTTTGCATATCAGCTAATGCTCTTATAGCATTTAAATCTTTTGCTACATGACAGGGTGATCTAAGTTTCTTGTTTTCATGTTATTCATCAAAGGTTTTATGGATCCAATGGTCTCTTTTACAATCTTTACCTTTTAGCATCCACCCGTGTGCTGGAAGGGTTAAGCCACTTAAAGAGAAAAATGAAACCCCATAGTAATATTTGGACCATGTAGTAATATTTGGTCAATTGAACTGGGATAGTCAAAGGTTCTTATGTAGGTTACTTGTGTTCATATACCTTTACTTTTATTGACCTACTGGATCACGTTTCAGGTGCCAAACCCCTTATTTGATCTCGCTGGCATAATGTGTGGACAATTTGGGATCCCATTTTGGGAGTTTTTTCTGGCAACATTGGTAGGAAAAGCTATTATCAAAACACATATACAGGTTAGTGCTTTTCTAGGTGCTCAATTACAGATTTTTAGAATTTACCCTCATGCTCATTTTGAAGCCAGATCTGGCTTTTTTCTTTTTGGTAATTTCACTGGTCACTTTCTGACAAGCCTTCTGGTGTATGTCTGTTTCAGACTGTGTTCATTATTTCAGTGTGCAATAATCAACTTCTGCACTGGATAGAGAATGAACTTATTTGGGTGCTTAGCTTTATCCCTGGTTTTGAGTCTATTCTGCCCAATGTTATCGCGAAGCTTCATTCCATGAAAGACAAGTATCTGGCTGCTAAAACTCCAGTTCCTTCAAATATCAAGGTAAAAAACTCAAGATTGACTGATTCTTTTTCTCCATTATGGTAATCAAGTGTATCTCAGGTTTTAATGTTCCGTTCCCACCTTTCTTTCAGGTGAGCAAATGGGACTTTTCATTTGCGTCAATCTGGAACACAGTAGTGTGGTTCATGCTGATGAACTTCTTTGTTAAGATAGTGAATTCAACGGCTCAGAGTTATCTCAAAAAAGAGCAAGATAAGCATATAGCTGATTTGAAGAACAAATCATCCGTCTCCGAGCATTCAAATGACTGAAAGGATTTCTTTAGAGATTTTAATTCCTTATTGTAATAGGGATATAACTAGGGATTACAATGTCACAAACTCAGTGTAGCAGCTTCAAGGAACCAGTCAGAGTTGATGCTGTCTCATTACTGAGCTTCACCAGTAGTCAAAATTCTGTATAGAAAGAATAGGAATTTGCAGGATCTTTTTTTCCTGTGCAACTGGGAAGGTGAGGGAGCCATTGTTTTGGGGCAAAAATTTAGTGCCATTGTATGCAACATTGCATCAAGAGATCCAAAACCTTACAACTTTTCCTTTGGCCGGAACAGATTACTTCTGTTGTTATAATCTTCTTGATCAATGTTTGATCCTGTGATCGATCACTAGAGTTGGCGATACCTCATTTAGTGATCGATAAATGCTTCATCAGTCACAATTGGTTGCGGGGATTCAAACTTTACAAGTACAACCTAAGATCAATAAAGTGATTAATGATCCTTGAAGGTTGACTTCATTACAGAAATTGCTTTCAAGCCTTTGCCTTTGTCATCCTCAATGTTGAACTGGTAAACTATAGTACCTCTGTTTTAAAACTGTAATAATTAGAGATGGCAAATTGTGGGCAGCAAAAGAGACGTGAAGTAACCAACTGCTGAAAATAGATGGAAAAAAGGGTAAACCAACCCCAAGGTTTTTGGTCCAAGTTTACAAGTTCCAGCTAGCTTTAGACCCCCAATCAACATATCACACCTTGGGGTTGCTAGTGTTTCCTTTTATATGTTTCTTTTTATGAGGAAATACTCGCTCCGTCCAAAAATTAATATCCTGGTTGTGACATAGGGTGCATGTCATTTGTTTAGTTTTGTTAAAAGTAGTGACTCTGTGGGCTACAAATGTTGCATTTTGTAATAATCTGTGTATAATTGCAAATCTTTGATATATATTTTATAGCAATCTCTATGTTTTTTGTCATAATGTACACAAATTTGAAAAATTGGTGAGCTTTATTAATTAGTGCTCTAATCCCCCAAACTTAGAACAGTGACACCTAAAAATAACAACTTCACTGATTATATTTTTTTTTTTTTAGTGTCGTGAAATCGAGTAAGTTTAACGATAAAAAAAAATGTACCAAAACAGACACTCTTAACCTCAAATTACTGTCCACTGCATCATCACTCATCAGCGTTGATTATGGCATTATTATATATATATATACACAATTAGTAGTTTAATGAATCTTGATGACTCTCTACATAACACTGAATTATTTAGACAAAACAGGGTCAAAATTTGTTGTTTGCCCGCACTTCATAAAATCAAGCTTCCCTGTTTTACCTTTGAAATATGCGGAGTGACTAGTTAATATTAATACGAGCTAGTGTGGTTTTGGACTCAGAACTGGAGCCAGTAGAACCAACTCGCATACAAATAGAACCTCTTAGTACTAGTACTTATGCAAGAGAAAGAATAGAAGAATCTAATAAGGCACATGTTTTGGAATGAAATAACAATCGTAACTTATATGTTTGAATGGTTTTTTCAAGTGTGAGTTTTTAGCTGTTTTTTTTTTATAGGTAAAAACTGTATCGAAAATATATAAAGGTATGCTGGAATGGGACAATTATTATTATTTATTTTTAAAAAACCATAAAAAAAAAAAACAAATCAAACAAAGAATAGTTTCTCAAAAAAAAAGGAATAAGCATACGACTTGTCTTTTCTCCGGTTCTTAGATTAGTTGTTATAGATTTTAAAAAGAGCCAAAACTGTGAGCCTAAACAATTTTGTTTAGGAAGGAAAAGCTGTGACAACCTGCTTAGCATTAATGGTTAAATAAACATTTTTCAGATTATTTTAAACAAGTTTTAAATAAATTAATTATTTCCGTTTTAACAAATAAAAGAATAACTAAATAAAAAGGATTCAATTTAAACATTCCAAAACTTAAAGGTTTTAAGTAACCAAATGAACCTACTTGAAGGACCAAGTTATCATAAGTGGAGCAAATATTGTATTTCTTTTTCTTCTTTACTGGAGGAAATCTTCTCTATCCTTCTCCAAACTTCTTCTTCTTCTCCGATTAATCTCTCTCAAATCTGGGCCACCGACCTTCACCCTGCCGCCTTTCTTTCACCGCAAAATCATCTCACAGACCATCGTCTTCTCAACATCGTCAAATTGGCAGATCAATTACAGCGAGGAAGAGAAGGGGGAAAAAGGAAAGAAAGCTCGAGAACTGGAATTTCAGAATCTTTTAGGCTGAGAGATTAGAACCTAAATTGAGTCAGGAAGCGAGCTTCAAATTTGGAAATAGACCGAGGTACTATGCAAATTTTTTTCTATACTTTTAATTAGAACTTTGAGATTAAATTAACGGAGCTATGAACTATGATATGTTAGAGATGTTTCTTCCTTCGATTTTGATGTTGTTAATTCGTTTAGGTTGTTGGATACTTGGATTATTTAGATTGAATAGAGAGCAATGGAATTTGGTTGTGTTTTTACTTTCTTTGATTGCATGTTGTGCTGTGCTGCTTAGGACTGGTCTCATGTATTTAGAAACAATTTGTTGATGTGTTCGATATATATGGTTTTTTAGTCAGGCAGTAAATAAAGGGAAAGAACGACTCTGATAAGAGCGGGTTAGGGGACGTCACAAGTTGGACTACTCGGAGGTTGATTCAGTAAGTAATTGGGGTGGATTTAAAATTGTACGAAGAGGGGAGTGTTTCTGTTAGCACAAATAATGGAAGAGAGTTTCAGGGTCCGGGTCGATAAGGCATTCGGTTCGCTTCTATCTTCAGCCGCCAATTCATCGTCTTCGTCGGTGTTTCCCTCGGCTTCTCTTTGGTGCTTGACTGACGAAGAGATTGAGAAGAAAGAATGGGACAGAGACTCTAAAACCAACACCCCGGACCCCTCTCCTCCCGAACCCTATCTCCACCATGGCCGACCAGATTACGATCAACCGTTACCCTCTGACCTCGATGACAACAACACCGGAAATCTGATGATGTCGGAGGAGAAGGGGATAAATGATGGATGGGATCCAGTTTGGGAAATTCGGTCCTCCATTGGTCTCGACTGCACTCTGGACAATGAGGTAAGATAATTTTGGAACAAAGTTTCTTGTATTAAAATACGCCACATACATTTCTGACCGCTCTAAATTTTTGCAATTGCACTTGTGGAGCTGTCATGTTTAGGAATCAGGGTTCCGAATAATCTTGTGAGGTTGATTCCTTTCATCTAGGGTTTGAATTAATATCACCTTGTGTGTTTGGTTTAGGGGATATTCTGATTTAGGTGTATTATGGTATTAAGTGATTATGTGTAAGATGGTGATATTGGTGGGATCATGCCCAAAGCAGAAAATAAATTAAATTGTAAACAAACTATTTAGAGATCATCTGTGTTTTGACATAAAAGCATATTTCGAACATGCAAACAAAGAACTTCACAGCGCTGTTATCTCCTTATAATTCTCTGTTGTTCTGTTGTTGCAGGAAGAGGAAGATGAATTTGACAAAGTGGCTGTAGGCAGGGAAAATGTGCGTGATCGGATATATATGAAGGACATGGTCGAATATGGAATTGATGTGAATGATCATAATGAACTTCCAAGTTCCTTCAAACACGCCACTAGAGATCCTCGAGCCAACCATGTTGCTGCTAGACTTAGACTTAGAGAAGACACGGAGGCTGCTGGTGATCTACATACTTTAAATCTTTCGGACAATATTGTTCCTCCTAAGCCCATTTTGAAGAAGCGAGAAAGTTCCGCTGATGAGAAGTCCTCAAAACGGGTTCGCTTCTATGAAGAACAATCTTCATCACCAGCTAAAGATGGTTCTTCAGATACGGCAGCTACTGTTCCAGTGGAAGAAGAAACTATTATGATTTCATCTTGTGATCATAATCAATCCTTGGCTTTTGGTGGAGCAGCAGAAACAGACGAGGCAGCAGCATCCAGCATGTTCCCTCAGAAATCAGCTTCCTCAAATGACAAAGATGCTGCAGGATTGCTTCATGATAGTGGAAGTGTGGATGGGTCTTTAACAGAAGAGGTATGTACTCGTGTTGTTCCAGATTATTTGAGGAACCCAACTAGGTATACACGATACACTCTAGAGTCATCTGATGACATGGATGAAGCTTCTAATCGGAAGGCCTACCTGGACTTCCTTAAGATGCTGAACAAACCAATATCATCAACAGAATCACAAGTTGATGAGGCTGATAGTGCACCACTGACATTCCGTCCAAGAAAGAAAGCTCAAAGTAGTAGTAGTTCAATAATTAAAGAGGAAGAAGAGTCAAAGGGCAGAGCTTTTGCTCTCAGTGTCGCTGGTGGTTGTGGTGATGTTAGTCTGGACGATGATGAAGACTCCTTAATGGACGAAGTTAGAAGCGAACCAAGGGTGCTTGTTGATAAGAGCTCCCTGAAACCACCAGGCAGGCGTTACCGGGCTAGAACTATCATGGATTCTGATGATGCGGCTTAGTATCATGGTCATTTCTGCATCGCCATTGCTTTTTAAACTTTTGTTGCTTTGGTCGTGCTTTGTAAGTATGTATTGAGATTGTTCCAGTCTTTCCGCCACACAATAAGATAGATGATTTCTCTTTAAGGCCAAAACAACAAATGTTTAGTTTTGCACTGGTGTATCTGGAAGTCAGCAGGGGTTTTTTCGTTGCGCTGACTGATTTCAGAACTTGAGGTATATTGTCTATGTCGTTATCAAATTGCCTCAAATTCCATTCGTTCTTTCTGCGTTTATGGTTTTGAGTAGCTCGACATTAAGTGGATTAATGAGGCAAAGCCTTACTGTTTAATCTTATTTTTGCTTGGCTTTGTTTGTTCGTGTTAGGGGATTTAACAATGTTAGTCAGTTTCCAATATCGTTCTGACCTATTTGTGAATTGGGGTTGTTTCTGTCTTCCTAATTGCGTCGATCCTTGATACTGCATTTTTGTGCTTATGGCTTGATACAAATTGGTTGACATTAAGTGTATTGATTGGTGATGGTCACTGTTGTTATAATCTTTATTTTTCTTGTAGCTGCATATAATAATGGTAGATTAGTCTTTAGATGTAGGGGAGGAGGAATATTGAGCAAAGATGATAATGATTGTTCTCTGTATTCACTGAATAGGATAGAGGGGTAAAATTTGGTTGATATGAACAGTCTGAAATCAAGTTTGCTGTCGGCTGCAAAGCTATCTATACCTATCTGAAACTTTATTCGGAGCCTGTATGTGTTTCTTTTTCCATACTGAACTTTTTTAACTTTTATGTACTAATTTTTTTATGGTTAAAAATTGAGAAAGGCAGCAAGTATCAAGCTTTCCTTTTCTTTGCTTATTGTGAAGTTGGGAGGAAAAAGGGGGGAAGAAAAGGGTTTCAAAACACTACAATGATTTAACTAGAGTAAAGATAAAGTAAATGTATTCTTTGAGCTCAAGAGTAAAGATAAGAAATTATGAATGATTCTTAAAGTAATTTGTTGTGCATGCATATTGATTAAACAGGATTCGGGCAGTTTATGAAGGCTGGTTTTGATTTAAACGTTTGTCAAATCTTTTCTACATCTTTTGGGCATGACAAACCGTAATAAAGTAAGCTCCTTCGCTTTTTAAATTGTAGAAGATGTCAGATAAGAGAGAACCAACTTGGAGCTGTTATGAGGGCATTAAAACTTTTCTTGCAAGGAACTCTTTTACAAGGTAATTATAAGCTTAATACCCTTCACCAGTTTAATTATGACATTTTTTTCATTCACTTTCATTTGTCTGTTGGATTGGATTCTATCATAAACTTGGAAAGTTACTGGTTGTATCATATCTTAATTTAATACATTTCTATAAGAGATATAGGCATTTTCTTCTATTTTCTTAGAAGATATGTGGTCATGTAGTTACTTCTGCTGACAGGATTTCTTGCCTTTGCATATACGTGCAAGGCAACTAGAAGGTCTTGAAAATCTGACTTTAGTGGCACAACCTGTCAAGACGTTCAAACTTTTCATTTTAGCTGTCATACACTATCTCCAGTGATCAGCTGCTTATCTTTTAGCTCATGGCAGTTGGTTTTTTGCTTTTAAGTACGTCATTGCGCTTCCTGCGGTATTATTGGTAAAACTTGATGGTCCTCATGAGAAGGTAGTTTTATGGTTTATGGATTTTCCTGCTCTCATTTTCAGCAATTGACTCAATAATCAGCGGGAAACAACTTTAATTCTGTTGATTTCATATGAGGATTTTCTTATGGATTTTGATGTCTTTCTCTTTCTGTAGCATATTGATGAAGTGAGTATGTAAGGTTTGGATTGTGGTGGATGGCCCTTGGTGTTGCTTCTTCTATTGGCTTCGGTAAGTTACCAAACAGTACCTGTTCTGAATAAGGTTTTCCCTGCATATGGTTCCTACAAATTGAAGCTCTGTTATATGTCCTGTGTAACATGATAGACTACGTTTAGTTATCTCTTTGTTCGTTCTTCTATGTTACTCCAGTCTAATTCTTTCTACTTGTAAGATTCTTTCATGTATGTGACAGCTGACAAATAAATGAGTATATTTGTGATATCTGAACATTGCTTGGTCTTAGTGCAGGATCTGGTTTGCATACATTTGTTCTCTATCTTGGCCCTCATATTGCATTCTTCACAATCAAGGCAATGCAATGTGGAAGAGTGGATATCAAAAGTGCACCATATTATACAATTCAACTGAACCGAGCTTCTTCATGGCTCGGCAAGGATTGCTCTGAATTTGGGCCTCCATATGACTTCTTTTGTTATGATCTTCTTGATCAGTGTTGGATGGTGAGATCGATCACTAGAGTTGACAGTAAATCATTTAGTAAAATTACCTTGAATAATGTGGTATGTATGAAAATACGCTTTGTTTGGACGTCCACTCACTTTTCATGTTCAACTTAATTTACCTCTTAAACACAAAACCCAATGCAAAATAAACAACTGTCCAAATAATTTTTTGATTTATATTTTAAAATTAAATTTGAAACATTTTTTTAGTGTAATGATCATTTTTTGAACTAACAATAGTTCAATGATTAAATTCAAAACTTTGCATATTTATTTCAGTTTGCTTCAGTCAAAAAATCGAGGTCCAATTCATGGTAGTTAGGAAAAAGTATTTTGGAATATGTATGAATTTTAGAAGCTATTCTATGATTTTAGTGATTATTTTATAGTGACCAAAATCGTTACTTTTATAGAAACTATTTTATAGAAGCTATTCTTTGTTTGGACGTCCACTCACTTTTCATGTTCAACTTAATTTACCTCTTAAACACAAAACCCAATGCAAAATAAACAACTGTCCAAACAATTTTTTGATTTATATTTTAAAATTAAATTTGAAACATTTTTTTAGTGTAATGATCATTTTTTGAAATAACAATAGTTCAATGATTAAATTCAAAACTTTGCATATTTATTTTAGTTTGCTTCAGTCAAAAAATCGAGATCCAATTCATGGTAGTTAGGAAAAAGTATTTTGGAATATGTATGAATTTTAGAAGCTATTCTATGATTTTAGAGATTATTTTATAGTGACCAAAATCGTTACTTTTCCGTTGTTTAGTGATCATTTTTTAAATTCTTTTTTTACAGTAACTAAATTGACACTTTTCGATTGTTTAATCTTATTTTTCGTAATTGATATTTCAATACATATTCCAAATAACTTTTTCCTACCATCCAAACAACTTTTTACTAAAGATACAATCCAAATAATTTTTTCATTTCCCATTATGTTTTTCATTTAAAACACTTTTTACATTCAAGTCGAAAATGAAAACAAAATTGACGTTTAAACAAGCACAAAGTGGCCGCTAGATGATATCTGTATCGATAAATGAGTTTCATCATTTTTTTTTCTTTTCGGTGCAATAAGAAATTAATGTCTGAGATGTTACATTTATTACATCATGCTCCAACCAAGACTAGTCTCTGGAATAAATGAGTTTAATCATTCACTAAATTACTTTATCGCAGTGAGAGTAACTATCAACTCTCTTCCTCAATAAGTTGTAGGGATTTTCAAACTTTGCAAATACACACAAGATCAATAATGATTAATGATCCTTACAGAGATTGCTTTCATACTTCTGCCTTGTCATCCTCAACGTTGAACTGGTAAACTATAATTGTAATAATTAGAGATAGCAAATTGTGGGCAGCAAAAGAGACGTGAAGTAACTAACTGCTGAAAATAGATGGAAAAAAGGGTAAAGAATTCTGGTTTTTGGTCCAAGTTTTCAAGTTCCAGCTGGCTTTAGACCCATATCACACGTTGGGGTTGCTAATTTTTTCTTTTCTATGGTTTTTTTATGAGGAAATACTCCGTCCGTCCAACAATCAATATCTTGTTTGTGACATAGGGAGCATAGCATTTATTTAGTTTTGTTAAAAGTATGACTTTGTGGATTACAAAAGTTGCATTTTGTAATAAGCGGTGTATAATCAGAAATCTTTGATAAATTTCATGTCTCAAAATTATTGTTCAGTTTAAATTTTCATTTTTAGTTCAATACTAAAATTGAAAAATCAAACTGGACAATAATTTTGAGACATAATGTATACACATTTGAAACTTCATTAATTAGTGCTGTAATCCACCAAACTTAGAATGAGCAGTGACACACCTCGTGTTCATTTGAGAAACCTAAAGAGTTTAAACTTCACTGATTCATTATATCAATTTTTATTTTTTTTGTAAGAAGTTTAACGATGTTAAAAAAGCATATCATGATGTACCAAAACAGACACTCTGAACCCCAAATTAATGTCCACTAAGCTGCATCATCAGCATTGATTATCGCATTATTTATTATATACACACAATTAGTAGTTTAATCAATCTTGATGACTCTCTTGGCAGTTTCTTGCAAAACGTATTTTATTGGCTGGTGCCAACTGACCAGAAAACAAATTTTTTGATCCTTTCAAAACATAATCTAAGGATAATGTTAGCATCTTTTTATGGAATCATGAAAACAACACTTTTTGTTAAGATATAAACTAATACTACTATTAGTGTACGACAATATTATTATACACAGTATTTATTATTTTATCTCTCTGTCTCTCACTTTGTGTTCTTCACAAACTTCCAACTCAGGATTTGGTAAGAGAATTCTTTATAATTTCTGTGGAATTCCAAGTTAAGTTTCAGATTTGAAATAGTAGGGCTCCTTGGATACCTACCCCATAAATCTTTAATTTAATAATATAATATAATAATAGTTTAAGCATCTTTCTTAAACAAGTATTTTGACTCCCAAGTCCCAACCCAAGAAAGTGGATATGTTCATGTTAGAATACCATGATTTAATAATATAAATGAAGAAGATGGCAGTCTAGGTTTTTAGAGCATTAATATGATCCCTAATTCCTCAGTTCAAAGATTCACACTTTCTCATCTAAAACTAATCTCAGTTACAAATAATCTTAAGTCTAAGCCAGCGCTTTTCATCCCAAAGCGGACCTAGATTCTTTCAACTCTTCGCCTTCAAAATCATTTGATGAATCATCAGAGAAATCCGGGGGTTTTGGAATTAGTCCAAGCAAGTTGAACATTTGTTGATCTGCATCATAGTCATTATTTGGCGTGGTCAACAATTTCTCACCAGTAAAGATGGAATTTGCACCAGCTAGGAAACAAAGAGCCTGCTCTGGGATGGAGAACCGGACTCTGCCAGCTGACAACCTGACCATTGCTTTAGGCATTACAATTCGTGCAGTCGCAATCATTCTGATCATCTCCCATATTTCAACAGGCTGAGTGAAGCAACATCAGGTATTAGATAAGGCAAGAATCTGAAAGAACATTTTCTTGCTGTTTCAGCTAAGAAGCTTTAGTAGAACTTGAGGATGGTTACCTTTTGATCTTGCAGTGGCGTCCCTTTAACAGCGATGAGCGCATTGATGGGAACACTCTCAGGATGCGTGGGGAGCGTTGCCAAAGTGTGTAGTAAACCAACTCTGTCCTCCTCTGCTTCTCCAAGTCCTATGATTCCTCCTAATAATAAGAAATGCAGGGATCAGATATATTGATAACATGCAGCATCAGAAACTCACATTGCAAAAAGGGAAAAGCAAACTTCTTTTCTAGTTAGCTACAGTAACTTTCAACAACAGGAACACTTACAAGCCCCAAGAAACGGTCCCCAAAAAATATCTCGGTGACAATAGAATTTGACAGAGATAATTTAATTTCAAATCAACCAATTTACAATGATATGCCCAACAAAAATACCTGAACAGACATTGATTCCTGCTTCGCGGACATGGTTCAAGGTTTCCAGGCGTTCATCATATGTTCTTGTGGTAATAATGTTTGGGTAATACTCCCTTGAGGTATCAAGATTATGATTGTAAGCCGTAAGACCAGCCTTCTTGAGTTCTAAAGCTTGTTGTTTCTCGAGCATTCCTAAAGTGCAGCAGACTTCCAATCCCATACCCCTTCACATCACACATATTATAGCATGAGTAGATAAAAGAAAGGAAATGATATTTGAATATCTGAATCATAGAGGAAATCAATGCCCTGAAATTAAGTGACAAACATATTGCTTCAGTGGTTTGTGGTTTGACAGGGTTCCATGAGAAATTCTCATGGTTGAAAAAATATAAATTGCAAAACCAGCAAAATATATGGGATGGAATATTTTTGCAATTTACCAACAGAATTCCATGTAAAGGTCACATCTCGCATTTTACTAAAAATTACTGATTACTGAATTAGGAGACACCCTTTAAAAGATAAATGAGTACATAGTTGAGCACAATGTTCCAAGTTCATAAACACAAATGATAATTACTAACAGCAAAGGAGGTGTTTACATTCCCCAGGTTTACTTTTCGAGACAAACAGGTGGAAAAAACCAATTGCAGTTTCAATGAAATATAAGTAAGAATACAAGTTGCTGGACCAGCAACGAAATGGTTCACAGGTAGCAGATATACCGCAAAATGATCTAATACCTTATTTCTTTGACATATTCAAGGATTTGATTGAAATTTGTCTTCCTCCCTACAGTTTCTCTCCATGCTGCACCCATGCAGAACCGAGTACTACCACCCTCTTTTGCCTGCAGACACAAAAATATGTTTACGCTAACAGTTGATTCATATATTTCAGCACCCATATATTCTGATTGACAGTATTGGTGTGACTAGCAAGTTTTTTATGTCCATAGTTTACTAGCATAAAGAAAGATATCCATATCCAAAACCACCAAAGAGAAGGTCTGATGGGGAGTATCCCATCCCAACCCATCTCTTTCTCTATTTTTTATTTTTTTTCCTTTTCTTTCCACTATTCAGTTTCAAGAATATGTGACTAATGCACCATTCTACATTCTCAATACAACTTTGTACATTTCATATAGAAGCTTTATTATTTTCAACCAAGACTAGAGTGGAAAAAGAAATGAACAGGCCCCAACTACTTCAACAGATGCAAGGTCCAGATAAATAGCAGTCAAAGAACCAAAAAAAAAAAAAAATCACTCTCAATAGCTCATACTCTAACCAGCGCATCAGAAATAGATTTTATCCGGAACATATCATGTTCTAACAATCGGCCAGCATATCGTATAGCATTGAAAAAAAAAAAAAAAGGAAAAGAAAATTGGAGTTACCTATGGATCATCTTTTTCCATACGTATTCTGTGAAAACACATTCTTGCTTTGGTTTAAACCTTTTAAACGTTTCAAAAAAAGGTATACACCTATCATGTCTTCTTTTAATAGTTGTTTTCCACGTGTTTCTATAATTTTCTCATCTATTGGGGCTTCCTCACTTTTCAAAATGATCTCATATAGCAGTAACAGATACATTCAGCATGAAAGTTCAGTGCAACTTAAGAGACATATGGAACTCATCTAACCTGCAGAAATGTTCGGTAAGAATTCCAACAGACTCATAAAAGAATTTACCCATATTAAAAAAAAAAAAAATTTTAAAAAGCACGCTGGTGCTTGTTTCCTAATTCCTATCACTGTAATGTAACTTAAATGTTATTTAGGCTTTGCCTGCTTATCCAAAGCAAAAACGCTATTTCCAATCACCTTGACGATAGTTGCATAGCAGTCAACGTGACTAGAAAAGTTTACCTCAAACAACCAGCAAGAAGAATATAAATAGACGTCACTTAACATGTAGAAGAAAAGATGAGTCTCACCCTCTTTGCCGCCTCCAATACAGCATCCTTGTTCATAAGCTTTTGTGCTTTCAGGCCAGTGTCATATCTAGATGATTGAGGACAATATGAACAATCTTCGCTACATCCTCCAGTCTTAATAGATAAGAGTGTACACTGTTGCACTTCCCTGAAGTTTTGAGCATGCCTATGAACTTGAGCCTGTACAACCAGAAAAATTAGTACGAGAATAATCATAACCTAACAACAACAAGATGACTACTTGATAAACAAATTGCATTAATTTTATCAACTGTGATCACTGGAATCTCCCCTGATGCATAACCTAGCAGAAACCATCATGTAAACTGGTCTTACATAACTGCAAACCTTTATGGCCATCCATTAATATATCCATCTTTAGCTTAATGCTTGCACCAGTAATACAATCACATACATGAAGAATTGCAATTGGTGAATATCTGGAACCAAAACGCCTCTGCCATTTCTTGCCAGAAGAAAACAAAATTTTAACTAGCACATAAAGTCTGAACCAATAAACCCATCAAAGCCATCCCTTAATAGAAGTTTAATGATCAATCATCTAGTACAATTAAGACTAGTTAAACCATCAACCATGGAGGTAAAAAATGAAGGGTTATTATTGATGAACAAAGTAGAAATCAAAGCATGACAATGCCAATGCGCTCAATTTTAATCCCAGCTAAAGCAAGTTGAAATTAACGAAATGGGATTGAAAGAAAATCAAAAAAAAAAAAACCCCAAAATGAACAGACCCCATGGAAGAGGAGATCAAGGAGCGGCGAATCGTAGATGGATTTGATCTCGTCTCTAGACCAATCATTTCTGGGCCCTTCTCTAATACTCCTCTCAGCTTCAGCCGCCGCTGCAGATGACGAAGTAACTGAAAAATAGCGCAGCCGGAGATGAGGAAGAACCGCCGTCGATATCGACCGGCCGATTATTGACCTAATAATCATCACCATATTTTTGTTTTCCCTGTGAGGTTTTCTCTTTCAAACACCTTTCACTGATTAGCTCTGTTTTCAGTTGCTGCTGTCCCAAAGTTAGCTGAGCTGCACGTGACTCGTGAGTGACGAAGACTAGTTGACCCCGCTTAGATGTGAATAAACACTCTCATACATACCATTGGTACTAATTAAACTCGGGTCTAATAACAAGAAACACAACTTTTCTATCCGCTAATAAATGGAGTTTTTTGAAGAAATTTAGCCAAAAATCCACACAATATTGTAATTTGAGATCCTTCAAGTCTGACTCTTTCTGTCTTCGTCTCAGACAAATAGTCCATTTTAATAGATTAAAATAATACAATAAATTGGATTATTGATATGCACAAAGAGGAAGTACATTTTCAGAGTATTCTTTTCACATCTGGTTCAAAAATATTGTACTCCTATTAGTTTCTTTGTAAATCTCGTATTGTATTTTATACGCAAGAAAACAACCGCTTTGAAAATTTTGTAAAATTGAAAAGATTAGTTGAATTAGGCATAATCGTAGCGTAAGCAACTAGCTAATAATTTGGCATTAGCCAATAGTGTTGTGAATGCTATAAAATATTCTTGGATTATTTTTTTTTTTATATTGTATTTTTTGTATCAACAGTTATTTCCGATTACAATTTATTTATTTATTATTATTTTGTTAAGTGAGGAGTAGTACATAAATGTATGATAGAACATTTGACCTGATTGTATGATGACAATATACTGTGTGAATTAAATATTCAATTTGGATTAAATTATTGGATGTTACTATTGTCTAGTTTAACAAATCTACTAGAAGTCCTAGCGGCGCACGCAACATTTTTCTTATTTTTCGGCCAATTTTTCTTTTCTTTTTGGCAAAATGGTTCAAAAGAAAAACCCGCTACTGCTAATAAAATATAAGTCCCCCTTTTTCTTTTCTATTATCGGCTAGTAAAAAAGAAAAGTGTGTTTTTAATTTTTCTCCTAGACTTTTTTTTATCTTCATGAAAAGTTTTTAAAGTCCAAATTCCAAACCAAATAAATAGTAGAAAATAGTACTACATAAAAGCAAAAAAGACGAAAATGAAAGTGCGGATTCGAGGCTTTTTCTTTGCTTTTACGAAAGAGACCATTTCCTTTTTCTTCAAACGTTGTTGCACCGGTATTTGTCTATCCCGTCGGACCAAGTCGCCGGAAACAACACCGGGAAAACTGAATGGGACTGGGCCCGGCGGTGACAATTTACATCCTTTTTTTTTTTACATGATTACATCATCCACAAAACAAATATAAAATTAATATGTTGTTAAGATAAATAAAATCATAAAAAGTTAATTAGTACTAATAAATTTTGACACCATCAACATCATCATGATTAACTCAACAGTCCAAACATTAAGGCAATAACACTTGTACCATTTGATGGGACCAAAACCTTTGTCTTTTTCCACTTTAATTTTTAAACATTTTTCCGGTCGTTGTCTTTCTTTGTTTGTTTGTTTGTTTGATTCTATCGATGTTGTCCGATTATCTAACATGATTTGCTTAATTTGTGGTCACATGTTAACTAGTAAAAATGTGATCATCCTCTTCTTTTTTTTTTCCAATAATATTTTAACTTTAGTTACCTTTCTTGGCAAAAAGGAAACATTATTTGATGCCTTTTGAAATGTAAGTAAATTTCAAATGCAAACATACTGTGTTACACACAGTGCGATATGATATTTTCAATAAGGTACCTTATTGAAAACATCCAAGATTAAACTGACGACGAAATCAAAATATCTTATAATAAGGACCGGATGCAGTATATTGTTGTATAAGACATAATATGAAATTGTCTATAGAAAGGATTCTACTAAAACTACGATAAAAGAGAAACATTTCTCACCAATACAATCTATGCGTAAAATAATTTCTTGTGTAATGTGTCATTTTGATGGTTATATAAAATGTTACTATTAGTAAAAAAGAAAATCATTACTTTGTACCCAAAAAAAAAAAAAAAAAAATCCTGACTTTGTTAGGTGGGCACCAATTAAGAAACACAAGGTCCACAAATCATATCATAATGCATATATCCTTCAAAGTTCAAACCTTTTTCTTCATCACAATTGGCAATCCCTGTCTGCCCTTCAACCCCCCCACAAGTGGCCCAATCATGAGTAGGATTTTCACAAGTCTTTTTTAAGCCTTTACTCTCTCTCCATTTGGGTAGTTGGATTGTAGGGTTATAGAGATTAAACAAAGAAAGACCCATTCATATAACTAATTTAATCCCCCAAGATTGTGACAGAATAACTTATACTGATAATTTAAATTACTCCTATATAGTCTACTAAAACAGTCTACTTGTGTATCATTTTCAAATCACATGGCCATATATGGGACATCATGATGAGGGCAGATGATGTGCTATTATACCTATATAAATGGCATAGTAGTCAGCAGAATAATTCATTCATTCATTCATTTATTTCACTCAACCAACATCTCCTAGATTTGTGCCCTTTTTCCTTCTGTTCATCTGCCAGAAATCATGAATTTGTTTTTTTTTTTATCAGAGACTTCAGTTGGAAGGGAAAGCTGTCAACTTCACAGAGCTTAAAACTACTCCTCCTTTTTTTTCCAGATGAAGGAAGAAGACAACAAAACCAGAAAAGCAAAGGTTCTTTATTGATTCAGCTGGAAGTTTTTTCTCCTTTGTTTTGAAGATTTGCATAAAAGATTCAAAAGGGCAGTTTCCATTTCCCTCAAATTTTTTGCAGACAAACTGATCATCTTCAAGTGTCAGTTTTTCCTTCTTCTTCATTTTTTTTTGCTTCCATCACTTGATCTTTTTCTTTGATGGAATTGGGATAATCCAAAGATTGAGAACAGAAGAAGAAGAAGACAGAATTTGAACATTGAAACCACTTTTGTGGAGTTAAATCAGTAATGGCAGCTCACATTTCCAAAAAGCTTTTCCAGTTTCCACTTTCCAGCAATATTGGAGGAAATCTGTGTAAGAATGTCTGTCAGAATCATTTTTAACTCTGAAAAAACTTTGGTTCCTTTTTTATTGCCAATTTAAAGCAATAAAATGTAGCATTGCACCAGAGAATTTGACAAGTTATAGCAACTCACAAATCCTTCATGTATATGCCCCTTCTTTTAGGGATCAATAAGGGTTCTTCGCTTATTCTTGGCACGATTCAAAACAATGGCCTATTAAGTGAAATTTTAGTTCAAATTGTACTATATGTGAAATTTTATAATGGACAATAATTTTGGGATTGAAGAAGTACTAAATTGTAATTCATCGGACTTATATTGGTTATGTTTACGATTAATAAAACAGCAATCTCTTAATACTAAATTCGCAAAGTTTCCATTCAATGCACCAATCTCAAGTTCAAAACAAGACTCTATATCAAATGAAGACTCCTATTGAAAATTTTGAAGAGACGAGGGACGAAAATGCAAATAAGAACAACGTAATTGGTGGGTTGGGGGATATAATAATGAAGTAATTAAAATATTAATGATTGAGAAACTTTTAGGTTGGTGATTAAGCTAAAACCACGTCAAAGAGCATAATTGTTTTCATCTAAAGAAACAAACATATTCAAATACAGAAAAAGACACAAAGGACTTAAAAAGTTTTGGATCTTCTTCCTACTAGATTTGACATCACCCTTAACCTCACATGCTCTCCCTTTTATTCCCTCCTTTTAAGGGCACTCCCTCTTTCCCCATCCTCCCTAATCTATATTGTACTACTAGTATTTATTTCTAACATGTCCTCCCTTTAAATTAGGAAATAAATAAGGTTCGAGTAGATGATATGGCGATCATAATTTTATATGTATATGATCAATAATAAGAAAGTTTAAACGTCACTGACTATGATACGATAATATAGTATTTCATTTACCGTTTATTTCTAGAGAGATAAATAAACTTATAGAACCTAATCTTAAATATGCCAATGGTGCACTTTCCCTTAATTTGATTCCAATATTGTGTGGGTCCTTTCACCCCAAATGCCAAATCAAAAGCACCCAACACAAGACCAAAATGCAAATTAGCTTTTCCCATTATGTTCCCCACTTCTTTTAATAATGCGTCTAAAGTCAAGAATATTTTCTTCTGGGTATTGTATTTTCTAATAATATTAACAATAATTTGAAATTCTAAGTAAAGCTTATGAAGTACTCCATCTGTTCCAAAATTATTATCTACTTTGAGATTTCACTAATTTGAACTAAAAATGAAAACCTAAATCAGCTATTATGAGACGGAGGGAGTATGAACCATCAAAATGAGCAAAAAAATTAATCAGCTATTACCAGAAAAAAAAAAAAAAAAGATGTCCAGAACTCTTTAAGAGAAAATACATTTATTATTTCCTAATGTTCGTGTTACGATTTTATGTAATTGATGAAGCCATCAAAGATTTAGACGCAAGATTCTTCAATCAATGTGGTATATTTGTGTTCAAATGGGGAAGGTTTAAATTGCTGTCATTCATGGGTATTTTAATGGAATATTAGTTGAGCCATTAATTAGTTCATGTATTTAAGTTGTTCTTCTTTTCCTTCATTTTCTTTTTGAAAATATGTCATTGGATTGCATTCAATAATAGAAAGATAACTCATACACCCCGGTAAACATAGATTGTGGAGTTAACTTTCAATCATTCAGGAAGATAATTTTTTTTTATATCTTATGTCACTTATTAACTTCATAATGTCCTTGATAGACAAGAAATACCTAAATATCTGTATCAATTCAATTTTCTCTTCCTCAACTGTAATAATTGAAATAATTAAGGGCTTGGAGTGAAAAGAAAAAAATCAAACAAGAAAGGCAAAATAAGTGAAATTACACGTGTCAAAGAGAGAAAAAAAGAAAAGAATCCCTACTTTAAGGCATGATATCTGGGGACACGATGTTTGACCCTACCCACGAGTGATCTTCTGGAACCCCAGACCCCAAACAAATCCGATATAAATTAGATTATCAGTATTATTCATTTATTATTTTCTTTTAACGCTGAGAACCACACAACAGATGGCACTAACGCCCAATGCAATAACTTGCAAACCATAGTGGGAGATAAACCATCTTAGAAAGCCCGATATGACAAGCTTGAATGCGAAACAGGAGTTTATTAATGGGTTAGCAATAATAATATCTTTATTTTTTATTAGAGTTGGGAATTGAACTCATGACCTCCTCTTGAAGCAAGGGTGTTATTATTCATATTTTTATTATTAGTACTATTTGACTGCAGTAGAAAATGAAATGGCGGTTTTGGGTTTAGGTGGGTGTTTTGCATTCAAACTGGACCGCTTAAAAAAAAAAAAATTAAAACGACCATTACTATATGGAATAGAATAGAATATCCAACCATTATTATTACATTTACATATCAGTGACCCACCTCGAGTTTAATCAACCCTTTTCTGTTACGGGAAAAATTAAGATAGTTATTTTACTTGCTAAACATTTAAGATATACTCATTAGTTACCAATATGACAATGTTTTTGAGCTTAAGACGAGAATCATTCAAGTTTTCAATGAGAAAGATAGCAGTCGAACAAAAAACTTGAGTAATGAGAACTTCAGAATTTATTTTAAGAAAGATAAGTAGTATTTCTGTTTGTCGTGTTAAAAGTAAAATTATAAACTGGACAATCACTTTCTTGATTAACTCGAAGAGGAATGAAATTCCACATCTCATTTCATGTAACCTAGATTGCTTTTACCTTTTAAGCCAAATGCTCTCAAAATTGTTTTTTTTTTATGCAAATCATTTTTCATCACTCAAATAATTAGGTTGGATTTTGTCCAATAATTGAATAATATCATAAAAAATGATATTTTAATGTATCAAAAGAGAGGGGGGAGAAAAAATCCAAAAATATCTGTGAAGTAGACATGGAACACGTGGAAGAACCTGACAACAAAAGGGGCAGAGGAGACCCTTCCCTTTTCAAAAACAACACAGAACCTACTTTTGTCAACCCCCCACTGTGTGACTGTGTGAAAAAAAAAGTAATAATAAAAATATTCATTTCAATTCCCCACTAAATTATTCTCTTCCCCTGTAGGACTACTTAAAAATAAAAAATTGATTTATTTTAGTTATGGACCAAAGTGTGGGTGGGACCCTGCACAGATGAGAACTGGACCCCACGTTTTTTCCTACTAATGACAAAGCACCATTCCCAATCCCAGAATGTACTCAAACAGTGTTCCTGATAAGACTTTTTTCATTTGGCTATTCAACATCCACATCTTTCTTCAATCTATCTTTTCTACAGTCCACACCCATAAAGAAGAACATCAGAAAGAAAAAAAAAAAAAAAGATTTTCTTTTTTTCAAACCAAAGAAAACTATGAACCCAGTTTTTCTTCTAGGTTGAGGGCTGCTGCTGGTTTTCTAACCACAATTTCTAGGTATTCATCTTATCAAGAACAAGAAACCTGGTTTATCCATCATCCTATCAGCATCATTCATTCATTGAGATCCCCTCCCAACATCTTTTGTTTCTAACACTGAACCGAACAATCATTTTAGGACAAATAGAACTTTACGACTATTCTTCTTTAAGAATCAGAGTTCCATTCTTGAACGCAACACTCAAAAGATACAATATTGTGCAACTTGCTTGATCTGTTAGCTAGTTGGATACACTGTTTCAAAATGGCAAATATTAGTTTCCCAGGTGCAACTGTAAAGGCAAATGCGAGGAAAAAAAAGAACAGGAATCAAGAGGAGGCTCTGCAGAGATGAATGAAAAAATGGGAGGGCAAACTCTTGTATTAAGTAGAAACACAGATATACAGATACACCCTCTACAGCTATTTTCATATATGTTCAACAGATCAACCTTTTTTTTCTTCTTCAGGAGGTTTTAAAAAACCCCTTGCCCTAGAACAAAAGAACTCCTACTCCGAAAAAAGATCAAAAAAGAACCTGCACTACCCATCAACTTACACGGCACATTATCATGTTGCCATCTGTAACAATTCCCCTCCCTTAGCCAGCCTTGACTATCCTCATCATTTGCAAAGCTAGACGATTTACTCACTTTCCACTTTCCTTCTGAAGCGTATAGCCTCTTTGTCGAGAAGTTCATTTCCTGACATATCGATCCTGTCTAGCTCCATCAGACTATAGACAAGTGTATTCACAGATACATGTTCATCTACAGCTTTTTCTTCTTTCTGGTTCAAAGCATCATTCACTCGGGGCCTCGTCCTAACCCTCATTACATCCGTGCCTCAGAATCGTGGGAATGGGTCGTATAAAGCACAAGTTCAGCAATTCCCTTTGCAGGATGCCTTCGGCCAAAATTGGAACATCCACCGCTTTGCTCCCTCCCTCATTTCTTCTCAGGCTGCCAGCATGCATGCAAATTATCATTTCCTGGTCAAAAAATTGAAGTCTATTTCATGATCCTTTTTTTTCCCAATGTGATGACACGATGCACTAAACCCTATATATCATACTTATGCACAATATAAATTTTTTTAAAAAAAAAAAAAAAAAAACTCACCAGCAGGTTGCTTCTGCTCGGAAGGTTTTACTGGAACACCAGCTGGAACAGCATGAACATAAGCAAATCCTGGCATCAGCTGATGTTGGTTACCAGTTTGCTGCGCAGCGAACTGGGTAGCTTGAAGAATGCTCTGGGTTGTCAAGCCTCCCCCTTTCATATTATTCACAGCAGCAGTCGCGGCAGCAATTGCTTTTGCCGGATCAGTAGTGCTAGTACCAGATAGTGAAACAGACAAAGACAACATCCCAGACGAGGGCGCAGATGAACCAGGTGGCTGTTGGTGCTGCGGCTGCTGCTGTTGATCAGGACGCCTTCTCTGAACATAATACCCTCCACTGCCAGGGGCAGAAGAGGAGGAATTCATACTCGAGGAAATTGGAGGTTGGCCTTGCACATAGTTTGAGAAGTAGAGTTGAGCATGCTGCTGCTGAATGTTCTTTGCAAGTTGCTGTTGTGGCGGCAACTGTTGCATTTGAGATTTAGCACCACTACTTGAACTCACGCCGGCAATATGGGAGTTTCCAAGAATAGATTGAACATTTCTTCCACCAACAGGAGAAGATTTCTGCCCAGGAACAGATGAATTTTTGGGCTGCTGCCCTGACAATGATGATGCTTGCCCTGTTTTACTACTAGCAGTAGCCGAAGTAGTTGTTCTAGGACTTCCACTGGCCCCTTTAGACATTGATGAAGTGGAAGGAGAACCAACCATCATAGGAGAGGCAGGGGACTGATTTGTAGTAGGAGGCTGCTGCTGGCCTGGAGCAGGGGATGACTTTTGATTTGCCCCAAAAGATATCTGTGAGTGGCTTTGTTGGTTTCTTCCTTGCTGCTGGGGAAGACTTTTGAGGGTTGATGCACTTGATGAAGCAAATGATGATGAAACTTGTGGGGGAGTGGTTCTAGAAGAATTCTTCCACTGAGGAGACTGATTTGGACTACCACTGTTGTTGTTTTGAACAAGGTTTTGTGCAAAAGGAGAGTGCGCATTTGGAAATTTAGCAGTCATGGCAGATGATGAACTCAAATGCTCAGGGTACACACTACCATTGGGTGTTGAATTCTTATTCCATGCTGCAGCCGCTGCCACCAACTGTTGCTGTTGTTTATGAAACTGTTGCAACATCTGTTGTGATTGGTGCTGAGCTTGTTGCTGCGCACTCGGACCACTAACAGCCCCAACACTATTCGGCATTGCAGAACGAGAGCTCCTGGAAGGACCTGATGAGAGATTTATCGGACGAGCAGAGCTATCAATGACACTGTTACCCACCTGCGTGGAGGTAGAAGCATCTGTAAACTCTGATCTCGAAAATGCAATGGACTGCCCAACATTTGATAATGACTTCCCTGCTAATCCTTTTCTTTCATCATCAGCATTTGAGGAGTCACCTCCCGTTTTGTTGTCCTCTGAAATTCTGAAGTTCTTTCGCTGCTGGGCAACATGGGCAGCATTCGCAGCCATCATCTGGATATTTTGCCTGGTGGCTTCTGGAAGACTCTGAAGAATGGCCTGATTTTGGGCCATGGAAGACAAGTCGATACCAGGCACACCAGTGGCCCCATTTAAAGAAGCAAAAGACATAGCAAATGCTTGAGCAGGCATTGATTCGACAACATTCTTTAATCCTCCAACCTGCCGGGTTTGCTGTTGTTTCTTGTCACTTTGATTACCATTACCGCTAGACGAAGGGGCATTAGCAACAGCTGCTGGGGGAGTTAGCAATGCATAGTTTTGAGGATGCATTGGCATAGCGAAATTCTGACCATAGATATTTACTGGGGGACGAGATCCTCGGCTATCAGCAGTAGATGGACTATCTTCACTTCCAATTTCATTTTCAGCCCGTGATTGAGACGCAGGGATATGTTGATTCTGTGAATGCTGCAATTGCTGAGTTTGGCGGTTCTTCGGAGCCGGAAAATTATGCAAGTTTCCAATGGCAGCATTTCCACTGGCCGCATTTCCAGCAGGGCGTTGCTGCTGGCCTTGCAAATGCTTCTGGGATGATGATGAACCACTAGATTGACTAGCATTTTGGTTACTTTGCTGCATTTGCTGCGACTGAGGAACTTGCTGCTGCTGCTGCTGTTGTTGTTGCAGCTGCGAAGGATGGATAATTTGAGATGAATAGAATGATCCATTGAACAAAGGCATGGCCTGAGGATGTGTTCCCCTAAAGTTTGGTGGTGCTCCAACTGTTGGAAGCGGGAAAGGATAACCATTGTTTTGCAGAATCGCAAGGTACTGAGTTTCATTAGTAGGCATATTTGGATAGTTGAAGCTCACTGCCGTTGCAGCTCCAGCTGCTGTAGGAGGTACACCAACAGGAGTCGAATTGGATGCACTACCAGAAACTACAGCACCAGTCGTTGCAGGGGGCGGCTTTGCAGATGCGGGGAGAGCTGAAGCAGCTGCTACTGCAGCTTGTTGGTGATTTAAAGGAAAGATAAAAGCAGGTCCATGCTGTAAAGGACAAATTTCAGATCAGCAATTATCCCCACAAAGGTAGCCGAAGTGAGCCACTTTTTTTGGCATTGTTTGAGAGAGGTGATTTAAGAAAAAAGGGTACTGAATTCCAACAGATAATGTAAAAAGACTTAACAAAATACGTACCAAAATATTGTTAGGTGCTACAGGTGGCATTGCTGGCTGTAACAAAATCTGTTGCTTCCTCTGATTAGCATCGGCAATGTTGGCAGGTTGAGGAGCTTTTTCCTTCCCACTGTGACCAGGAAACATCGCAAGTCCCGGGCCTTTGTCTTGACCATTACTTGCACTCCTTCCAGCAACATTTCCATGTAGATCAGCAGAAGGCACAACACTGAGGTTCTTTGGTCCAAACAAAGATGCTGCAGAGCCTGCTGCTGCGGCCGACCAGAATGGATTCATCTTCATGAATTGCTGGAGATAGTTGATATTCCTAGCAATATAACAATGGGTAGCACACCTTTTTGGCCGCGGTTGAGAAAAGAAAGGCTGCAGTGGTTCACAGTTTCCCACAGTCAAAAAAAAAGAGAAAACATGGTGGGGAAGAAGAAGCCAAAGTTGAATTTCACACCTCAAAAGTTCAAAAAGAAAGTTTTTTCTTCAAATAAACAAAGCACCAAAATCAAACCTGAATTGGAGTGGGCGAAACAGTGCTTCCATCCATTGATACAACTCCTTGAATTGGTGCCATGTATCTGCTGATGAAAATCAAAGTTATTTTCGCCTGAGTTGAAGGTTCAATCCATGTATCTAAAAACGTCTAATGTGAATAATTGAGCAGGGAAACACTCCAAATAATTACGACCATACCCCATAGGAGGAAGCCCACCAGGCCAGCTAGCCATAGACATTGGCAAAGGCAGAGAATTTGGTTGTCCTTTAAATTTGAAGATAAAAAGGAGAAAAAAGGTCAGCATTCTGAAAGCATAAAGAATCAATCCAGAAATGATCACCCCAGATCAACTTACCAGCTCTTTCAGTATGCGGTTCTTCTTTGCTTCCCTTTAATGATGGCTGCTGCTGTTGATGCGGCTTGTGAGCTGGTTGCAACTTGTTACCTGGTCCATTTTCTCTTTCTGGCTTTTCCAAATCAAGCTGAAGATCAATGCTTCTCCCTTTATTCTCAGCTCTTTTCAGAGCTTCAAAGTCTTCAAGCGCAGATTTCACCTTCTTCTCATCAGCACCAAAATTCCCATTTTCGTTCACAATCTTTGCCATCTTTTCATCTTGTTTATCCACTGGCTTCATTTCCTGCACAAGTAACAACCGTCATTAATAACTCCGAAAATGGCAAGAGCAAATAAAGGGCAGAGGGAGAGGGGAAAAAAAAAAAACAAGGCCATCCACTTACAGAATCAATATTAGGCTTGGAATTCATAGCAACCGCTCCCAGACAAACATCATTTTCTCTCTCCGGTGAATATCTTCCCTGCGGTGGAGGAGCCTGAATTTGCAAAAAAACATGGAAAAAATTTAACAAATCAATAATTAAACCCAGTAAGGCCAATTTTAGATCAAATTATTTACTGATCCATCATCCTTGATCAAATTCTCACCTCCAGGTCAATCTGAAACTTTTCTTCTCTTTCTTCTCTTTGATTACCGACATCAGACCCAGTCAAACTTCTGTGCCAAAAACAGAAGAGGAAAAATCAGAACTAATTAAGATAAGCCCAGAAACTTCAACTTGAAAAACATCAAATCTTTAGATTCTCACGATTTGGTGGACAAAGCTGACCCAGTAGCTGCATCTTCACGATTGCTCTCTGCTTTAACAGTCGCTGATTCCTTCTTTGGAGAACTCGCCACATCCGCTCTGGGAGCTAAATCTCTACCTTCTCCCAATCTTTCAGCCGCCGCCTTCAACTCTGAATCAACTTTCATGGGCTCCTGTGCACGGAGCTCAGTAGCTGCCGCCGTCTGTGAATTTGACAAATTGCTCATTTCATACCCACTTTCAGCTGCAGATCCTGGATTCTTCTCAAGACTAGGAGAAGATATCTCGGCCTTGGGAGTCTGATCAGCCTCAAATTTGCCTGTCGTGGATGAAATGGGACTACTTCGAACACTAAAATTCCCAGTGTTCTCGGACACTTGTCTAGGCCTCTTCCTCTTTGGAGCTGAAAAAAAAAAAAAAACAACGAGAATTAATTTTCCGCCATTACTAACCCAGAAAAAAAAAGACCAAATTTGCTGCTGCGGCCTTCAATCTAAAGCTCTCACCAACAGCAGATAAGGGTCCAGATGAGGAAACCGGATTTGGTGGCAACACTGCCGGCGAGGACTGAATATTGGCCGACGGAGAATTGGAGATCGGCGATGAAACTCTCGATTTACCATCACTACTTGATCTGTTGACTTCCTTCGAATCAGTGGATAAGATTTCTTTCTTCGGAGGAGCTTGTGACTGAGTCATCAATCCGTACAGCACTTCAGCTATTTCAATCTCAAGTTCTTCTGGATTCGATGAAGATGCCTTAGAAGATGCTGACTTCGGTGGCCTTGGCTGCTTAGGCCCATTAGGCTTCTACACCAGCAAGAATAACCAGGTTAGAAAACCGGAAAAAAAGGAGAAAGGTTGGAGATGAAAGAAATAAGAAGATGAATGAAAGGACTGACAATCTTCTTCCTAATTGAAGCATTTGAAGAAGATGGCGAAACTGGAGCTGCCGGCGACGGCGTTGACGCAGAAACAAAACTCTGCCTTGCCGGCGAGGTCTGAGCTTGCTGCTGATTAATCTCAGCTCCTCCAACAGCAGAACCACCACCACCACTATTTCCACCACCGTTACTATTAGACATCCAATCATGCGACCGCTTTGTAGATGCTGCAAACACCAAAAACAAACAGAAAAAATGGAGGAAAAGTCAGCAAAACTTTAGACAATTCATCAGAAACATTTTTTTGAGGGGTTTTCAAAATTTTTAACACGAATTTGATAATCCACCTGTACGAGCTTTTCTGGGTACTGGAACACCAATCATTTCATCACCGGATTTCCAAACGGGAGCAGCCCGAAAAACCTTGGCTGAGCTTGGTGGATAACTCTTCCGGTGTTGAAGACTAGGATGCTGTTGCTGTTGCTGATGATTATGATTAATATTATTATTACCACTACTATTATTAGTATTAGTATGATGATGGTTATGATGATGGCTATTGCTGTTACTACTGTGATAATGGTTTGATACAGAATTCATCCCGGCGGAGGTTCCGGCCGGATTAGACGGCAGCAACCTCACCCCGCCACCACCACTATGGTGGCCGTTGTTGTTATTGGTGGTGGAAGTGGTGTTTTCATCGTCGTCTTCATCGTCATCATCATTTAAGCTCTCTTCCGAACTGTCTTCACCACCATCGTCTCTGTTACTCCCATGAATCATCATTCTGTCGCCTCTTCTTCTTTTACTACTTCTACTCGACCTCTCCCTTTCTCTTTCCCGTTCTCTATCCCTTTCTCTATCTCTTTCTCTATCTCTATCTCTTTCTCGATCTCGATCTCGATCCCTCTCCCGGTCTTTCTTCAATCTCTCTCTTAACCTGACAGATTCCTGCATCTCCAACGCACCATCTTCATCTGAAAACACCAAAAACAAAAGAAATGTTAAAAAAATCCAATCTTAATAAAAACAGGTCCAAATTAGATCTGGGTTCAGAAATTAAAACCTGGAGAATCTCTGAGACTATTATTGCTTCTATGTCTTCTTCTGGATAAGCCATTTGATGAAGCCACCAAATTAGCTGCTCTTCTAGCCTCTCTGTTTCTGTCCATCATAACTGAGATGGGATTTTCTTCCGAAAATTTAAAAACTCTTCAGTAAAAAAATCACCACCAATAAGAACCCAGCATAATTTTAGCCGGAAAATTTTTTTTTCCTCCGGCGAGCCAAGATGGGATTGAAAAAATGAGGGGGGAATTTTCTTTCTTTTTCCCTTCCTCTCTGATATTTGCCTATCTCTTTCAAAGATCTAATCCTTTCTTTTGTTCTTCCTTCTGTCTAGCTCTTCTTGTTGTTGGTGGTGGTTTTTTCCCCTTTTTTTCCTTTCTCTCTCTATCTTCTTTCATTCACCACTTGGGAGCTTCTCTCTCTTCTCCCTCTTTTTTCTGCTTCTCTCAATCTCATCGTCATCTTTCCAAGGGAAGTAGTATTTCACTCTCTCCAAACCTTCCGTGGACGGCTGAGATTAGCTTCTTTCGGGACATACTGCAATCTCAGCCTTTCATTTCCCTTCATTTCTCTGCTGATCCTACGGGTGTTATTTTCCCTCGCCAGCATGGCAGTGTTGATCACCGTCCGATCAGATTATAATAATATCATAATCTAATCCTCTTACCGACACGTGTGGGTCACTTTTTTGCTTACCCTGTAAGCTTCCACATATTTCCGAAACATTATAATAACTGTTTTTTTTTCCTCTCTGAATATTCTATGCTGAAAATAATTTAATAGCGTTGGCTGTCAGTGAGGTTGGGCACTTTTCACGATCTCAAATAAAGCTATTTTTTTCCACTTTGTTTTTTTTTTTTTACTTTTTGGTAATAAAGAGTGTGGTTAACCGGAGATAGCCGGTGGCCGAAAAAGGAGACCTTGGTAAAAGCAAACGTGACGATCACAAGGAATCTAGGTGACCGCAGAAAATATCGCTCTAGCCGGTCAAGTTTTCATTATTTTTCGGTTCTCACAATATGTGCATATTTTCATATTTAATTAATCCTAAAGAAGGAAAAAATATAATAATAACTGTCTTTTAATAATTACGGTCTTATTTAGTGATTATTAGGGGGAGCATTTAGTAGTACTTAACCTGTACTGTACTATCTGTTGTTTTAAATGGGCATGTGGGTCCCACGAAATTTTCTTTGAGTTTTTTTTAACACCATTAAAATAAAAAGGAAAAAGGTAAGACGGACGGTTTTGATCTGATGAGTTTGCAGAGGCAGAGTGTTGAACGCCGTTGGATCGAAAGCTGACGTGGAGGAATGGCGTTGAATAATTTGAAAGTTTTAATAATTAATTGATAATAAAAAAAAGATTCTCGGGGGAAAACAGAAATGAGTCCGAGCTGGCACTTTAAACTACTAGACAGGTTTTCGGTGCGGGGGCGTGGAGGGTCGGGCCAAATGTGGACCGTTGATGTGGATCAATCAACGGATGAGATTGAAAACAGCGATAAATGGTATAAGGATGGGAAAAGAAACTCGAGTCACGGTCACGGAACTTCCGAGAGAAAGAGAAGGGCGGATTGGAAAAAAAATGAAAAAGAAAAGCTGGGCCCCATTACCGAATGTGGGGCCTGATTTTGGGGGATTTATTTATTTATTTAGTCTCTCTGTCCCATAATTATTGTTCACTTTACCTTAAAATTTTGTTTTAAAATTATTATCTAATTTGACTTTTTATGTATCAAGTTACACATTTGTCCTTAGTAAAAAACATTATTTATAAAACCTTAGTGGTTAAACAATTACTTATGTAAGGGTATATATGGTTGTTTAAGATAAAATATAATTAAGTTTAATTGAAAATATATTCTTTTATTTTATTAAAATTGGACAATAATTATGGGACGAAGGGAGTATTTTTTTTCTCAGCAGCAGCTGCCGATCTAGAAATTATTTCCTCGGGTTGGCCTAAAATGTCACATTCTGAAGAGAGACGATGACGTGGAGAATGTGACCCACTTTGCCCCTACCTTGAAGGGACCCACACGCAGTAGGAGGTGTGTGTGTAGAGAGACTAGATAGAGAGTAGTAGCAGTAGTGTTAACATTCTCTGGTTTTTTGCTTTTTGCTTGGTTTTGTTTTGTGTGGTAGACCACACCATTATAACTCCTCCACTCGCCCACCACCGCTCGCGTGGGTCTCACTTTTTTTTTTTGTGAATTTTAATTACACTTTTGTATATTTTTATTTATTCCATACTTTTTAGTGGAAAAGGAAATAAGGAAAGTGGGTGGAAGGATATATTTTTATGATGATCATGTGATTATATGTGTAAATGCTATTTTAAAAATTTTTTTGTTAATTAATATAGTCGCAATAAGACATGAAAAAAAGCTCATGTATAATGAGGATTATTTAAAAAATTATTCATACATTCATTGGGAGGTTAATCATTACACTAGATAGTGGTAATGTAAAAAAATATTTTATTTTTAATAAGATACAATAAATATTAAAATACATTTTAAAATTCTATTTTCATTAAAAATATCTTATAGTAAAGACCGGATGAGTAATTATTAACTCGATTTACTAATTTTAACTGTTATCGCCATCGGTACAATTCAAGACTGTTGATTTTATATTTTGCTTTCACGGACATGTAAAACTCTCTTTGTCCCATGCTAATAATCATGCTGTTTGAAAGCGTGAAATTGTATTCTCTGGATAAAAATAATCCCCTCCTTTATTAATGTCTGACCTAAAAATTACTTGAACGCCTGAAATTTGGAGTCAGACATTTTCGAAATTTCCAGGAGGGTGAGGGCCATTGATCAGGCCTTCCTGGTATTTTTAAATAGTAGGAGTTAGGAGAAAGAAAACAAAAAATAGTATATGTATTTAGATTGACGGTTCTCAATTCCTACCAAAAAAACGCAGCCACCCTTGGAGGCTTTCACGAGCCAAAATGAAAAGAGAAGTAAAAATAAATATAGGAAACTGCATTTTGGTGGATTTTCTTTCTTCTTCTTCTTCTTTTTTTCTTTTTTTTTTTTTTACCGTTTTAGCTAATGGTATTTTTAACTTAACTTCTGGCTGCATGCATGACTAAAAACCGGCCATGCAACGACAATTATGTATACCGGCTCAATTTGAAACCCTTTTTGTTTTTAAGGTGAAACTTACTTAAAATGGAAATGGATCATTTTACATTCATTCATTTTAATGTGAACAAGTTTTTAAGGTGATTATGACCCCAATTATTGGGCGATAACGCTTTTAAAATACTAATGATCGACAAAATCAGCCTATGCTAATAGTTTACACTAAACTTTAAAATTCGCAGTACTTTCTTTATTTCACGATAATTATCGGAGAATACAATTTACTTAAAACTAGGTGGGAATATTTTCGATATATGTCTCCCATGAACTCCCATTTTCCCTCCCTAAATGTTGAACTCGTATCATGCTAGCAGTGATGGAACCAGACCTGATAATTCGGAGGGTCAATCAGAAATTTTTTTTCCTAAAAATATATAAAAATTCTAAAGTATTTTTTTAAAAAAATTGGCGATCGCAGGGACGATGGACCCTCTTTACTCCCCCTAGGTCCGTCATTGCATGCTGGTGAGGGGTGTAAGACCACCCAACTGAGAGGAATATATTTCAATTGAGTTTTCCTAAAATGGATTTACTAACTTTTAGACTTTAAATTTCAAAAAAAAAAAAAAACTTTTAGACTTTAGTAAGCTGTCAAATAGAATTAACTGCTGAGTGCTAACTACATATTCTGCGCGTTTTTTTTTCTTATTTGATGCAATCTTCTAGCTAGCAAAATCTGCTTTGAATTCTCCTCGGGATAGGAAAATATTAAGGTCAATCCTTGACATTCGATGAGGAGGGCACGAGTTAATTATATTACTAACTGTTTACGCTTTCATTTGAGAATTGATGTTGTACAAATTTTTTTGGCTTTGTCCTACAAATAAAATTATACTCCCCGTCTCCCAAAATTAAAAAGTTCATTTTGTATTTTGAGACCGTAAAAAGTTTTCTCATTTAATTGATAAAGTTAATTAAAGTTAGGATCGTTTATAAAATAGTAAAACTCTTGTTCTAATCTGTCATGGTTTGATTGAACTGATCTTTATACAACTGTTGTACAATTTTATATATTCTAATCTTTTTTTAATAAAATTTGATTGTCCTTTGGGGAAAAAAATATTATTGTGGAAGTGATAATGGTAGAAAACTATATTCACAAAGTGCAATGTTCAAATCTTGGCCGGAAAAACCTAAATACAAAAATTTAGTTATAAGGTATACCTAGTAATTTCAACTGCGGTCCCGATTTTTATTTACCAATCAAATTAAGAAGCTTATATATTCCTTCTATTCCCTTAATTGTAGTTTGTCCTTTTCCAATCAGTCAAAATTTCGGCTACTGTTTGTTACCCGGCTAACAATGGCATTATTATTAATTTCGGGCATTAAAATTTTATGACAAACAAAAAGAAGGCCGAAAACGAAAATCACACAACAGATTCATTGCACCCCAAAAAAAAAAAAAAAAAAAACACGACATCATTGTCCTACGTGGCAGGTATGGTCACTTTCCTCACGTGTCCAGTTCTGGTAATGACACGTAATGAAAAAATCTGAAATTTCTTTACCTTTTTAATCCCCTTATTAAGGTACTGTCTTCGGATATTGCCATTGGTTGAATGACTTCTTCTTCCAATGTCCCTTCTTTCATCACCAAATATCTTTGAAAAATGTTTTTTTTTTTTTGATAAATAAAATGTTTTTAAGTTTTTATTAAAGAAAGTGGAGAAAATGATAAAGTTACAGTAAATGCTCATGCACCACATCTATCCTCCAACACACAGTCACACACTATATTTCCACCACGTGGAATTCATTATCATGGTTTTTCATCGAGCTAAAATTATTGCTCGCTTTTTTTTAATCTCCTTTTACCATTAATGGTAAAAGAATAAAAGTAATTAGGTTTAATAATACTTTAAATAATATTGTAAAAGTAATTTATATTGTTATGTAATCTAGCAGTATCATTAGATAAATATTCACAATTTAAAAATCTTACACAGTAATTTCTACGTAGAGGAACACAATTACTTCTATTTGAAATATGTTCAAAGACAAAAAAAAAAAAAAATGTTCAAAGACAAATGTGAACTCGATGATGAAAAAATGCTTAAAAAGTTTAGCTGGATAAATTAAACAAATGGAATAGTTTAATTACAGATCGCATATACCTTTTTTGGCTTTTTCTTTGCGTTATTTGTACTTTTCCGGGGTTTATTATTATTTTAAAGATTGTTTCACAATTCTGAATTTGAATGGTTAGATTAGACGGATAAAATAAGGCTCCATTTTTTTTTAAAAAAAAAAATTATTTTTCAGCCTAATAAGTAATAGTGAGTGC